ACTTGATTAAAAATTAAAGTTTGCGCTTTTAAAGGGGCCTATCGCAATTTTAAAAGTTATTGGGTCTTTTTTTGGAAAAAATATGAAGCTCAATCTTTTTTGGCGGTAAAAATTTGATCATGGGAAAAAAAGCTTGCGCTTTTGAATAATGTCTAATGTTGATCCAAAAATATATACAAGTCTTTTGGCGGGAAAAATCTTGCTTCGTGCGAATGATTTTCTCCCATTAAAAGTCTATTATACGTTTGTTTAAACACTAGACGCTGTTCAAATCTGCAGAAATTTTTCCCCTCTCGGCTACCCTCCATACGCAAAAAAAAGTAAAAGAGAGCCTACATTTTGACTTGTTACCAGGCCCTTTTAAAAGGGCGAGTTTCTATTTTATCTTTGTACACTCATCAAAAGATATTAAAGAGAAGACAATATTTTAAATGAAGTGCTTTTTATTTCTTTGTAAGTTTCGTTACTCAATACAATTCTTAATCAACAAGTATAAATGTTTTTAACATAGGCAAGAGATGTACAGGAAAATATAAAATATATGATCTGACAAGGCAAATATAAACGAAGGCAAAATTTAACTAAGTTTGATAACTTCTCCGATTTATTTACTTCCTTTAAAAAACTTCTAAATCCAAAGGACGTAACAGAACTCTCGGTCAAAACAGATCGAAAAACTGAAATGTACTACAGACAGATTTTGAGTCAAAAACAGATCAACGAAATAAAATTGAACTAAAAAGTCTAAAAACTGCTTAGCTGCGTCAAAAGGTAATTGTCACGAGAATACCTTCCAAGTGGCTAATTCTAAAACAAGCTAAAATAAGTTCAGAGTTTTTTTTATCTTCTTTACAGATAAAATGGTTTCAAAATCACTGGATTCGTCTTTAACAACAGCTCCACCCAAATCAGATTCCACTTTCTGTTTAGTTTTTAAAACAAAATCCTAAGGCAATTGTCTTGAAGCAATTCGTTCATTTGTACGTCATTTTTAGTTGGCAGCTCTAAGTTACTGTTACCTCTAAAATTAATTTCCATCTGATTCCCCTGAATATCTAAGTTTTCTTCAGTTACGACTCCTCCATTCTCATTCTTCGTGGTCCACAGCACAAGGGAAATCAAAGGAACTGTAGAATTACACAAACGAACATCACATTAAGATAAACCAGATGAAACTTGCTTACAAAATAAAGGTCATTAAAACCTTATTATAATGTATGCATTTTGCTTGTCCCTCTGGATGTTATAAAGGAGTTGAAGATCACTACTTTCTGCGTTCTAAAACATCCTGCCGTCCCGGGCGGCGGGGTGTATTAGAACGCAGGAGAACTCATTGAACAACAGGGAAAGGGTTATAATCTTCGAAAATGTCCTCTGTGTAGTTCAGTGACACACTCAGAACTCTCTGCAATCTTAACAGTGTCCAGATTGTCCTTAATCGTTTATGACAGGGAAAAAAGTAAAACGTCATTCAAAAAGAGTTTCACTAGATATTGTTTTCAAAGTGCGTTCCTTTGAAAAAAATCCCGAGACTGAATCACTTTCTTAGCCACTTTTATGCTGTGTTTTCGATAATTTCCACACATTAGGGTGGAAAAAGGCCTCTGCCCCTTCCCAACTTTTGTCAAGAAGGAGCACAGACCCTCCTACCCTCATACCTCGCGGCCTACGACGATTTCGAAGCGCGAGATATCAAGAGTGCTTCTTCTCTTTTCTTAACAGCGGCGACAGCAATTGAAACGATTATCTGCGCTAACTTACGATCGACGCACTTATTATAACAGGAACTTTACATATGAACTGGTTATACTTACGCATCTACATAATATTGAAAAAAAATTGAAAAATTGAAGAAGTAAGGAAAAATTGAAAACTGTAAACTTGGAATTGAAAAGCTACTTTTTTTGACTGTAAGTCGTCGATTAATTTATGATTAGGAAATTAAAAAGCTGTTTGACACAACCGCATTTCAGAATTTGAGAATTGACTGTGTTCAGGGCAAAATGTTTTCCTCTTTGATGAATGCAAGACCAGGAAAGCCATCATGAAAAATTCTTCATGAAAGAAAAGCAAAGCTTTTAAGATTCACAAGGCTTTTTTAACAAAGCACAAAAGTTTGTTTACATTCCGATCATTCTTTGTTGTTGATAAAGTTTTATGGCAGAAATCAACCCATGAAAAAAATCAGATATTTGCATAATTTTCGCTCGTAAATATTTGAAGTACGTTTTTTGGTTAACAACTAAGCTCTTTACGAAATATTGAAAATGTTGAAATGTTTTAGAAAATTTGTCTTTTTCGTCTTCTTACGGAAATTATTCATGAAAACCTTCCGGTGATGTGAACGAATTTTATAAACGAATTACCTCACCAAACTCGATTTCGGCTGTAAATAATATTTTTCTTTTTTCTAATTCTCCAGACACTCAAAAAAGTTGAATACGCCGCCTTGATGATCTGTCATATGCAATTATTTTAAGAATTTGCAACTGACCAACAAAAGCCAACTCGAAACGATTCTGTTGTTTTGGCTTAACTGACCAAACTGGATTCGTGCATACATAAGTCAGTCAGCCACATACACACACCCTGAGCCTATTTTGTGTAAACTAAGTCGTGAGCTTACCTCGGCGTAATAATTTACTTTCGTTTCCTTTCCATACGTTCTTGTGATTATTATGAATACTTCCACTGCAGAAGTGGATCTGCATGGAAGAAAGAAAAAAATCAAATTTCTCTTGGCTCGAAAGACTGCGTTAGCATAGCTAAAGAGTAGATGTGTACTGTTCAGCAAGAATTAATCCGTCTGTTTTGTAAGTTTCAACTCGTATTGGATTTATCGCCAAGCAAAGAATGTCCGTGGTTACAAAGCCGCGTACATACTGTAACCATAAATGGTTTAATTTGCCCTTAAAACTGTTCTCTGCTTTTTTTTATCGTTTTGTTGGCTAACAGAGATACGAGTGTGGCATTGCTTGTCGAGAACTACTTCGAAGCGTTCCTTTATCAAGTCAGAATCCTCCCAAAATCAACAAGTCACCATACAACAACTTAAGATTTGAACACATCCCCACTCTTACCGTGTATTCTGTTTTAGAAGCTCTCATTCCTTGTCAGTTGACGGCTTTCGAGCACAAACAGCCCCTCGGCCACTTTCTGACGTTAAACTTGATAAGCTGGTGAGTTTTTCTCAGCCTTTTTTTACCTGACAAGCGGTCAAATTCAACCACGAGGGACCGTAAAATGTAAATGAGTTGAAAAATTTCCTCACGTGCAAATTTATCTTCGCGTAGAAAACTTTGAAAACGAGGTTGGTTTAAGTTAGCGTACCGAGGCTTCCTGCGGAGAGACAAAAATTCATGAAGGTTTTTGTAGATTATATTTCGTGTGGCTGATTGCCAGGTTTACGAAAATAAACACATCCACACAGAAATACCAAAATGTTTGAAGCTGATTTGTACGGAGGTTGAGTTAAGAGGGTGAAATACCTTCAGGATGAAAGCTGGAGCTATAGATTAATATCTAAGTAACTTAGTAGAGTTAAAATAACGTGCGAGTCGAATACAAATATCCTGCGATATTTGGACAGTTGGTCATTAAACACCTGTTTAAACGGTCAGCTGCGCGTGTTACGCTTCTCGATCTGCTTCGATTTTCCCACCTTCCAGAAAGTGTATATGAGGTTAAGTCGTTTGTTGTTTGTATTTTGACGACCTGCAAGGCGAGTTAAAATACGGTACAGCTCGTAAAAATACTCAGCGATACTACACACCAAAACGTCTGATAAGTATAGGTAATCACATGAGGCCAAGTACTATTAAGGATTAATTGCACGAGAGTTTTCAAAATTTTCCAAAATTGCCCGAGTCGCGAAGCGACGAGGGCAATTTGGAAAATTTTGAAAACTCAAGTGCAATTAATCCTTAATAGTACGAGGTCTCATGGGATTACTTGTTTATCAATAAAGGGCAAAATTTATACGAAGGAAAATCACGCGCGCAGTCTATTTTTATCTGGGAAGCAACGGATTAGCAATGCAACGGATTAGCCAATCATTAACAGGTAATCATGCCCTCTCTTGATTACTAAAAATGCCCTCGATTAAGAAAAAATGCCCTCTCTCTCAACCAATCAGCGCTCAGTAATTTTGCCCTTTATTGATAAGATATATGAATCACACTGCTCTGTATGTCAAAGAAAAAGTGCTTTCTCCAAACGCAATGAATAGGAGAACATTGGACTAAATAAGCAGGCGTGAATTCAAGATCGCAGGATGGCGCGCATCTCGATTGAGTGTCGTAAAAACCTCATTCTTCAGATGAAGACCGAGACAAAGACGACAATCATTCAGTTCAACACTCTGAGAGGAAGCCGACCTCTGCCATGGGGTCTCAAGGATCTCATCTGATTCATACGACGAGTCATTTGCATCTTCTAAACCCTTTACCTTCCATGAGTGACCAAGAGAGAATTTCTTCTTACAATATCATTTCAATATCAAGCATAGAAGTGATGAGAATAAAGAAAAATATCGATTAGAGGATTACTAGTTGATCCAATTCTCCAAACTGACGTCTAAACAGTTGTATGGCAGACAGTAAGGAGAATTACTAACGAGTTCTTAGGAGTTAAAGGGTAATCCGTTTGCACTGCTAAGAGTAAATTGCATTTAATTTCTTCTCACAATATCACTATCGAATTAACCATTAAGGTCAAGAAAATAACCGTAATGATTGCCAACTAAAAATGCTCTTGATCGTTAGACAAATTCTCCTTGTCGGCAGCTTAGAGAACGCTATTAATAACATGCATACTGATGTCAGGGTGTAAAGAGTAAAAGCCAGTTTGAAGAACAAGAACTGCAAAATGTTGCCCATATTCATGGCCAAATAGGTACTCTTATTTGATGGTTTATTTCGAAACGAATCAAGATTTCAAGGAAGAAACAAGAGGTCAGAAATATCGTAACGTATTGCGTCAAAAGGCAAAATACAAAGAAAAAGTGTAAGGAAATTTTTATTTGATTCGCTACAAACGAAACGATGACGGAGGTTTCTCTACATGATAGTAGAAAATTTATGTTACGACAACTCAAAGTCACTGTTAAGACGTACTTTGACTTAAAGTATATACAAGAACACGGGCTAAAAAACTAGAAAGTGTCACGGTAACCAAGCACTAAGAAAAAGAAACAAAACTCTTATTTCTCAGATAGTCTGACTACTTATGCAGAACTTTTTCACATGGAATAAATTACTCTATCTGCTCAGAGAAAGCCTACATTTCAACGCATGTCCTGACCATCTAAGGCGTGGAAAATATCTATTACAAGAATTTTGGGTTATAGGACACTTAACGGGAGCATTCAGGAAAATTTCACTCCTTTGGAAGACGCCATGAAACCATGACTTTCCAAAGTAAATAGTCCATTCGTGTTAACTTATAACTAAGCCCCTTCTTCAACAGGCAGTAGAGATACAAGCTAAGAAAACATGTCATCTCTATCAGCCCCAATAACTTCTACATCCTCCATGGTGCTGAAGTTGAGGAAGTGTGATGGCCGGTGGACTTCATGGTAGAACTCTTTGGGGTTAGACAACTGCAACTCATAACGCATGTTTGGGGAGTGACGAACGCCTGGAAAGCAGAGAACGGAGAAGACTGTTAGATTTATATATCAGATAGTAAGTCATTTCAAAGTCTCTCTAACGAGCGTTCCCCCCCTTCCCCCAACTTCACATCCCACCGCAACAGCTCATCCCAGTTCCCGAAGTAAAAAGGAATTAGGAGCATTGCTTCTCTTCCTATATGCACGCGAAATTCGCTTATTTTAAGGTTTCTTGAGAATTATTCCACAAAATTCGAAGAGAAGAATTGTTTGTAAAAAATTCCTTAAACTACAATCAAATAGGCCACGTTTTCTTCAATTTGATTCGTTTCGTCGTCAAGAACATGAAGTCAAGCGGTCGTAACTTTCACGATAAGCTGGACTGGATTTGCTCTTTGATTTTTTGAGGTTAATCTCCTTTACCATTTCCCGTTCTTCTCCGATACGATTTAAAATTTTTGCTTTTGAAACAGGAGTGAAATTGGTGAAGTTACTTGGTTAAAAATAATTAAAAAAAGGTTTCTCATATCTTGTGGACACCAATACCACTTCTTGAAACAAAGTGACACTTGATACAACTCACCCATAAAATTGAAGTTCCAGGATCCCTGAGTAGGTACCATGAAGAAACCAAGGAAGCGATCTGACAACAGCATCTGTACTTTCTCGTAGTGAGACGGAAGGTAACCCCTGGGATTGTTCCCTGTGTCCTTGTTGTTCCGCCCCCAGTCGTAACCCGAAGGGGTCAGTTTGTAGGCTGTTAGTGAACACGATCCTGGGGTAAAACTGAAAACCAAACCATGGATAAAATGAGTGACGCTTAACCAACGATTCTCACCATTCATCATTTTTCTTACTCTTCACCCACAGAAGACGCTTGGCTCACTCATGCTGACAATAAGCAGGATGTTTTTCACATAAAAACATTGCAGGTGGCCTAAACCCCTCATCAAGTGCTGTCGAAACGCCCTGCTCCCCTCTCAAAGATGATTTCTTACTGGCGCTCCCATTTTCCCGTTACGCCACTGATTAATTTAACTGTTCTTGTCTTTCTTAACACTGCTGGGAACTAATCAAGCCTTTGTGACAGGATGATTTAAGGATGGCGAACCTGCTTCGTTGAATAAATTTCGTAAATGATTACCTGCATGTAATGATGACTGTTTTCTCGCCATCCCAAGACGGATTGTCCGCCATGATCTTGGCGTGCGTTGTGACATCTTGTGGAGAAAGCTGTGGAAGTTCATTGGGCTGGGTGTGAACCCACCCTAAGGGTTCCATCTCCTGAAAAAACAAAAACGAAAAAAGTGTTACCGTTGAAACCTTTAACTGAAAACTACCCACATTTTTAGGTAAACAAAAACGTCCACCGAGAAAATACTCGTGAAAAAGCATGCATAAGATCAGATACTTTTTATTTTTTTTTTTAAGGGAACTCGTTGAGTAACGGGCTCGACCGCCCCGTTCACGATTTGAGATGTTGGCAGTCCAGTAGTATATATCACCTGACATGCTCTTGAGAGAAATTAGCCATGAGATCATGACTTTTAAGAAGGATGTAAAAACTTTGTTACAAACGTGGAATGGGACAAAACAAAAAAAAGCTAATTTGGATACTTTAACAGCTAAGCCACAAACAACGAGTCGGTGAGCGAAGAGAGCAGAATATTCTCCCGTTAGTTTTCCGATTCAAATTTAGCAGATCTGTGATTTTCACCGCTCTCTTTCACGGAACAAATATTAAGGGATCTAACCTTGAGATAGTCATGCTGTGGTAACATGTTTGGTAAGTGCACCGTCTGGTGTGTGCCCCACTGCGGTACCATCACAATACACCGGATCTCTTTTACCTGTGGGTTATCAGGCGGACTTACTCCGTACAAGTAACCGGCGATCTACAAAAACAATACACACCATAAGAATCTTTTGTGGAGAAAAACTGTGAACGTTGAAAGTGAACGGCAAGATTTTCCCTTAAGTTGACGAGAACGTGTCGCTTTGACCCTTTCACTCCCAGGAGTGATCAAAACATTATTTCTTCCTACAATATCAATACAACATCAAGCAGGCAGGTATTGAGAATACCAATACATATCAACTAGGGGACTATCAGTTGATCTGACACCACCTTCTCAGAATAATATGTATAGAAAATGTATGGCAAAAAGTACGGAGAATTTTCATCTAGATATTGGGAGTGAGGGGGCTAATGAGTGGCTGCTCATGATCATGACCTCTGATTGTTCTTCACGATTACTTCGATCGAAAAGCAGTTTCAAACTGAACAATTCTCTACCTGTGTCCTTAAATCCGAAATCACAATAAACTTCTTCAGAATATTCTTTGGCAGGATGTAGGTAAAGCCAGTTTCTTTGATGTCATCTGATGACACGTAAATGTGGTTGGTTCTCAGATGTAGGTTGGTCGCAGAGATGGCTCTGACACGCCACTCAGTCTTGGACGAGAACGTCTGTGTCTCGTAGTTTGATGTCGTAGAAACGATGATCTCATCTCCATGGATGTTGGTGGTTCGAGTGGTAGTGGCTGTCAGTTGTGACTGTTCCTTGGTCTGCTTCTCGATTTCAGCGATCTGCTGCCTCTGTTGCGAAGGGGCCGAGATCTCCATTCCAAGGATAATATCACGGATTTCAGACTGTGTCAGGGAAGCTACGTTCACACTAAGAAAAAAGGACAACTTGAGGTCACGAGGCTATCTGATTATGAGAAAATGCCGAGAGTATGCACGAAAGTAAAAAAAAATTAAGAAAAAAACCCAAAAATTAGAAACCGTCAACATTCACTTACTTGTTCTTTTTGCCATAGTCAGCTAAGATAAGATCTTTCAGAGCAACCTGTACAACAAACACAACAGTTGGTCACTTTCAAGGAAAATAAGCAATAAAATATCGGAATAAATTATAAATCGAACGATCGTTCGCTTGATTCATCAGTCTCGTGAAAACATCTATGTAGAAGAACCAACGGACACCTCGCGAGACACAAGACAAAGCGCGCGCGTACGACTGAACCACTCCACACGCGCGTGTGAACGCGAAAAGACACGAAAACATACAGGCCATGCTAACCTAGGTGTTTGGAATCGAATAATACAAAGCTGCATCTACGTACCTCAACTGGCACCCACTCCTCGTCAGTCAGTGTCGGCCAGATGTGATGGGGTTCAGTAATTGTGGTCTTATCCGGTTTAAGGATGACCTTTGTGCGGTCAGCGTTCACGTGCAAGGCTCGGAGAATGAGGATCAGACGGGAGAACGCTGTGTAAGACGAAATAGTCTTCAGCCAATCATCGTACAGGTTAAACAACACCATCTGCGGCTCTGTGGCTTTCAGAATCATGTCACCAAGCTTCTCAACCTGCGAGATACAAACACGGCTTTAGACAACATTATAATAGGGTGCGTTAGTACACATTTGCCAAAGGTTTAAGAAAACAGGAAAGTTAGAGGCTTTCCTGACCTAAGTGTTACTTTTAATTCAAACAAACCTTCAAACAAGCTTGGAAAGGAAGCTGCAGCTCACTGCCTTTGATAACAATGTTCGGGAAATCCAACAAATGAACCTAATAAATAATAAACCATTTTAGTCAACAACCTCAACACACTCAAACAGCAGCATATTCATGAAAGTGACCAAATTCCAAATCAACATCTTCACTAATTAACAGAGATTTGTAAGAACACAGCAAAGATTTTACTGCACCTCCAGTGGGTCAAGCATGCCTTTTCTTGTAACAATGATCTGTTTAGGTTGTTCTTCTACTGGAAGCGAACGAATCAAGGCCGCTACTTCTTCTGCTGTCTTCCATTTCGCCAGCTAAAGTTTCAAAACACACTTCATTTTAAACAATCAACGATACTTTAAGACGTAATTTCATTAAAAATAGTTTGATTTAATTCAGATACCCCTTCCAAGTCTAACCTAAAACTGACTAAAAGACAAGACACAATAACACGACCTATCTGCCTCACTGCATAAGATTATCTCGTGGAAGACACTGAGTATTTTGAGTCTATCAACGGAAGAGGTGACACCATGACAGTTTTAGGCGACGTACCTGTCCAAGACGCTTCTGTCCCGCCCACACAGAGGTATGAATGATCTTCAGGAAGAGCTGCCCCGTTCGAGGATTGAAAATAAAGATGGCGCCGTTGATGGGTTTGGTCGTCAAGTTACCCTCAAATGTCTGAAAGGAAAGAGGTGAAATTGTGAAAGATAATCAAGCGCGCGGTTTTCTTTAGTTATTTTCCCTAAATACAGGTCGCTTTCTTTTAGCTAGATCTAGCTGATAGGAGCTTTTCCTTCGTAAATGTTATCGATCAGTTCTGATAACAAACACAAATAATTCTGGTTGAACTAGTCCTGCTTTTCGAGAAGCAGCCAGGCGGTTTCTGCGAGGAAGATTCACGAGATGCGCAATAACTCCGAGAGTCGAATACTTCAGTGCAAAATCATGGTATTGATACTGAAGACACGCTAGAACCAGTTCTTTCTGTTCGGCTTGACATTATTAAAGTAAAGCACCCTCAACCCTTAAAATCAGACACCGTTCACCCTCGAAGCGAAGTTCTCGGGATTTGTGCAGCTGCTTCTTTGCGCGACAGAAACAAATTCCTGCGGCATAAGACTGCTTAACATGTCACAAAATACCTACCTTGTGAATCGTGACTCTGTACACGTTAGTGTCGTCCACAAACCAGATGATCTGGTTGGAGAAGAGTTCTCCGTAGTTCTGCGAAGACAGGTAAGGCTCAGTAGGTTCACTGGAGTACAACTGAAGGCCTTTCCTGATTCTCTCCCTCAGCACATACAAGGCGGGATTGGCTTTCATGATCTTTGCCATGGCCTGTTGGATGAGCGGTTTCACTCCTGGAAACCAGTTACCAAAGGCACTGCAGGAAGTAACAGGAAACAGTTATCAGGAAAAATGCAAATGAAAATGCAGAAAAAGATAAAAAAAATAAATTAATTTCAACTTAAAATCTTAGTACAAGGCTTCACTCTAACATTCCTCGTCCAGAAAGTCGAAACATTCCCGCCCACCCGTAGCCCACAGAGCAAGCGTAGTTTTGGCGAGCGAGTGTTCAGTACTTTCTTGGAGAAAATTATAGCCGCCATTTTTTATTTTTACAGCAGCGGACGGCTGGGGAGAGAGATAAATTTGTTCCAAGGAGGGTGAATGTCAGTAAAAAGGAGGGAGAGGGGAGGGCATGGGGATGGGTCTTCTCGCCTCTCCCCGTCCCCCACTCTCACTGTTCTTCTAACTTTAAATCAATCATGGCGGGTCGAACAAACAATCGTGGGCTCATAACGATAACTGCCCTTATAAGACGCCTGTGCTGCAGTAGAGTATTGAAGACTACTTCGCAATTTTTCCACTCCTATAAATCTTCCCTCCAAATCTTTCAAGTCTCGTGTTACCTGTGCAGATTATAAGCCAAGTCAATGCCAATTAGCACTCCCGTAGGGGAGGGGTAGATACTCATGTTGTCAGTGGTGTAGTCCAGGTACTTTGCGCGTGCGTATCTCTCGATGTCATGTGAGTCGTAGTCTCCCCAGCGGAGCTGAACGTCGACCCAGTACTTTTGGGTTGTAGTACTGTCCATGATGTCACTGCAAAGAAGAGGTGACAAAAGATCACTTAGTGAAGGAAAAGTAATGGTATGACCACTATCGACTTGGAAAATTTAGCCGGCTTCAACACGATAGCAAAATTTAATTTACTGACTGAAGAAAGGTGTCTAAATATAAAATACAGAAGTAGATGTATAATAGCGAGATGGAGGTTTTCTGTGAAATAAGACCTGGCTGAGCCAAGCTAAAGACGACTTGTTTAAGTCATCAGAAGAATCTCATTAAATACTAGCCCTTTTTATATTGCAGACAATTTCCTTCTAAAAAGGAACCAGCCGACTTCTTTAATCAGACGGCAAATCAGCATGGCTTCTACGATTTTTCTACTTCAATAAAGTACACACAGACTTACTTTGAGTCAGCCAAAAGGGAAGGTTTCGACACATTCCACTTGTATGCGGCAAACAACAGGATATCAGCACACGAACTGTTCATCTTGTATGACTTACGAGGGTGAATGGTCTCTTTCTGTACAGTCTCAATCTCCAAAGCATCTAGTTCTTGGTCAAACACCTTGAGGTATGTTAATGGACATTAGTAAGATACAGCGCAAAGAAGATTTAAGCTTCAAATGTTCTTAACCATACGACCCCCAAGGGTGACTCGCATCTAATTCCTCCTTACAATAATCAAGCATTGAGATCACGAGAATAGAGAAAATGATCACTAACAAGAACAGCTCTTGATTGTCAAACAAATTCTCCTCGTCAGAACCTTAGAAAATGCATAGAGGACAGTATGGAGAAAACACGTACTGATCTTAGGGTGTAAAGGGTTAACCCAAAGCTAAATTAAGCATGACGACCAGTAAAAAAAAAGAGCAAAGGTTAATTCAAAATAAAAACAAGTTCACTACCCAAAGCTTTCGGTCTCAGTTGGGATCTGATTGAATGAAAAGGCAGTGCGAGTTTTTTTAAACCAGTTACAAACGGAAGTAGCCTGCTCCTGGCCCCGGTTGTTTAAAGGGCGGAAAATGCTATACTCTGGGTTAATTTTATCCGGTGGATAGCGCAGTAAGCTTCGTAAACACTTGTGCGCTAGATGCCTATCTATTCGTTGGATGGCGTTATTCGACCCTCGAACTGTGGATTTCAGTATTACCTGACACAAGTCCATCACAACACTCTCGTGGACTTTCTGCCACAAATGGGCTCTGAATATCTGAATGAGTGAGATCTTCAATGTTGGAATCTTGCCATGCATAAATATTCCCGTCAGGTCAAGTTGCACCTGGAAACCAACATAAACCTGAAACGCAAAAAAAAAAAACTTAATTAAGAAAAAAAAAACTAAATAAATAAATAAATAAAGCAGAGTGGTCGCCTTGTACTTAAAGTCTTCTTTAAGCCCTGGCCAGGTCACTGCGTCGAGTTTTTTTTTTAAGCCAGACACTTAAATCTCTCACTTCCTGTCTACATCCGGGGGTGTGACTGGGAACTAACTTAATGTCAGGGAAACTCGGCCATCTACGACTGATTATCACCAGTACAGGAGGAGTGGCAATAGTTCTCGTCACTCCTCAGTGGCCAGACTTGTAGGTTTTTAGCAGAAAAAAAGTCTCGCAACGGCAAGATCGCATATTAAAAATCAACAACATCTGACTTGGAACCGCGAGTAAAGATATGGGTAAGTTTGGTTGAGAAATAATTTGCTGCGGGGGAAAAAAACCCAACAACAACAGCAACAAACAGACTTCGTTCTTTCAGTTCAAGTTTGGACCTTCCCCCTATCAAAAAATCCTGGACACGCCCCCTGCTTTATTCTACAGAAACCGGAAAAAGGTTTCAGCAGTAATGAGCTACCGAGCTTGTAATAAACCATGCGAAAATATGTAAAACTAGTCCGTACGATGCAATATATATATAGCTTACGTTGGCTCTGTTGATAGTCGGTGACCACCAGAGTGTGAATCTTCTGTTGGGAATCTGATTCAAACCAGATCTCTGTGCATTGGTCAGTTTCTTGTACTTCATGGACTCCTCAAACCCACTGGCCTTCTCCCAGAACAGACCCTCCCATGTGGGGAAGTAAGTTCCTTTAAACAGCGTGTGTTCCAGGATTCCTTCCACGCCACCAAGGGCTTGGATCATGTCTGTACGGTAGTTATTCAAGTTCCATAGTTTTCCGTCATGACGCTGATGTGTCCACCAGAATGGATTCTGTTTAAGAACCTGAAAAAGGTGGCACAACGGGGCTTAATAATTCAAGTATAACAAACGGCTTAAAAATTGTGGGTAATAAGGCTTATTTAAGGTTGTTTCAGGCGTGACGCATCTTGAAACAATAAACCCCAAATTAAAAAATTCATTTAGTAGTACTGGTAGGTAAGTGTCGTAAATCGAGCGAAAAAACTTTTTCTTCACATTTGGTTGGAAAGATTGTTACATGTTCTCTCAACAAGAAGCACCCAGAGTCAGATGGAAGAAAAGTATGACGGTTTCAGAAAAGTAGTTAAAATGAATAGAGACTCGAGGCATTCTTAGTCAGCTTTCACTCTATTCGGAAAATATAAATATATAAGTTAGTTTACCTGGTACTGCTTGAAGTCTGTTCTCACTCTCCAACCCTTGTCATAGGCGAGCGTGTGTCTGTCCTTCTGAAACAGTGTGTTGATACGAGGGATTCCACGATCCCATGAGTCCTCTAAATCTTCCAAGGTCAATCGCCTAAAGTAAAGAACAAACACAACCTTTACAGAAGACTTCTTTCAACTGGAATTTCCAGAACAACTAACTGAAAGCAGGCGAAAAAGTGCGGTTAAAAAAATTTCAGTCGACCATTTTTGTACCGTCGGCCTTCAACATTGACGTCGATGGGAAAAAGTTTTTAAAATAGAATAAGACAGATGGTAAATATTAAACACCTTACTGGGCAGAAGATGTTTTTCGTCTTATCACGAGTGTGAGACAATATCAAAAAGAATCACCCTGAAAAATCGAACCCCAGATCGTAGTATTTTTTATGCTGTCAATTGCACTCACGCACGCACACCACGCACGCACGCACGCACGCACGCACGCACGCATCCACGCCAGCGCACATCCAACGAACGGCAGGGAAGGAGATATGAAGAAATAAGAAATGCAAATATGTGAAATGAGAACATGGGTGCAACGACTGGACAGCAGCTTACCGATAAAACTTGCTCCGGTGAAGAGACTTACGAACAGTTAATTTACAATAGCACTCACCTGTTCTGAGCATTAGCTTCTTGCCGTTTTAACGCGTATTCTGCCCACACTCTCTGGGAATCAATGAATTCACTTTCCCATGGCTGGATGTACCTGTTGTGTTCACAAAAATGAGCAGTACTATTATCGTGTGGTATTTCATAGAATAGTTTGGGTTTAAATCACGCTGAAAGTGCACTGCGATGCTCACTTTAAAGAGATTATACTAATCTTCAGATCCAACTCTTTAAACATTTGCGCGGGCAAAAACCTTCAAATATGCTCAGCTGCAACAAACTTTACTTGTCGGGGAGAGGTTGGCAGGAATGACAATATACTGTACCTGTACAAATTAGGGATCAACTGATCTTTGTCATGACTCATTCCAGATCTAAAGTGAGTGATTCCTACATCGGTCTGTTGTGACCACCTGAAAAATACAAACAACAGCACCCCACGGTTACTAAGATAAAGAAGGAGATAGGAATAAAGATGCGAATTATTGTGACAGAAAAATGATAACTGTAGCACAAATGAGACAATAATGCGCCAGGAAAAATAAGCAAACAAACAGAAAACATAAAAGATTAAAACAAAATGCCCAATGGACTTATTGTCAAAAACAATTCTCGCACAAAAACCCTCATCTCTCAACAAGCAAATGTTTTGAAAACCCTTGATAACTTCACAATTGAGACTTGATACTCGCCTTGAGCCTCCATACTAAAAGTTTTCGACAAACCAGGATCTAGAATTGAGGATTCAGTTTCGAGGGACGGTCATGTTATATTGGAGTGGTAAATTTATCAGGGTTCATTCTTTACCTGAGATCTGACTGTGGAATGAGGACATGGCCCATGGACAACATACCAAGTCCTCCCAGCTCTTTTGGAGTGTAAAATACAACCGGAGGGAACCGACTAGGCATCTTGGAATTCAGCCCGATCTTGATACGTGTTTGGATCTGGAATATAAAAACAATTCAATATGAAGAACTACTTTAAAAAAAACCAATGACAATGCTAAGCAACGAACTTTATGGCCAGTGACAATAATACTTCTTTTACACTGACATTTCCACTTGTGAGTACGCAGTCAAAGTATGATATAGTATCGACGATAGTACTTCACAGTGTAAATCCCAGTATGTAAGAAATAAAACGATTTACAACTGCAACGGAATACCTTGTTTTCGCATTTCACTAACAAATCCAGCAGCTCTTGAGTGTTGACAACTGACTCCCTGTAATATGTCATCAAACCAATCAAAGCCGTGTTCCATTTGTTCACAATTTTGGTAAACGTAGTTGAACCAGATGCCATTAAGATTTGACGCACTCTGTTGTGGAATCGCTGCTGTGACTCGTCGTCAACCTTGAGGAAGCACTGAGCAGTTCGCTCTTTAGTGACCTGTCATCAAAAAAAATTGTTATTTTATTTTATTGCGTGTTCAAAAACACTTCATTTAAAATCTCTTATAATCTCCTCCATGTTTAGCCATTTTCGTCCCTATTTTTGCCTCGTTTGTGTGTTTTTTCTATCATACTGAGCTAACAGCTTGAATTCTTCTATGAGTTGAAGGTGTCTAAGTACATCACAGTCTTTGATTCGAATCATGATGCATTTAGCTCGTTCCAGGCTTTCATTTAGTAAAACGGAGCAAAATAGTAATCGATGCGAAAGAGCGAAATTGAGGGAGGTCTGGGTCTCCCTCGACCCAAACACGCCGCTTACTATTTCGCTCTGTTCTATTAACTGAACAGGCTATGGTGTGGCTCCTACAAATGGGAGATTGTCCGTCTACAAATGAAAAGCTGATTGAGGGCAAGATTCATTAGCAGTCATGTGTAGTGCATACCTCATTTTGCAAGTTCCACACTCCATCCCTGTGAGTGAATTCCTCAAATGTTGTGCGACATTTTGGAAGAATGCGGCATTCAAAGCCACACATGTTAAACAGCAGATTTGGATTGTCTTTACTGTAAACAGACACAAAACTTTCATCCCAGTTGAGTGTTGTCACAGATCTTGGCAAGCGGTTCTTTATGTCCCAGAACACAGCACGCCCAAGATTGACGTCGTGTTTCATGAGCCTCATACGTGCATCCCTTGGCCAGCATTTTCTGTTATTGTAGCCCACGATGTTTTCGTTATTTGGGTCAGGGTGTTCCGTCAGGTAACGCTGGATCAGATCACGGGCTTCATCTGCTGTAAACCTGAAATACAATCCAAAGTTGCTGTAATACCAATCAAAATTGGCTTTTGAGCTATAAGCAATCTCCTTATTTTGAGGCCTCTGACATCACAAATAATACTCATAGGTTATTCTAAACTTTAAAAGATTAATAGGATTTGCAAACTTGGCTCTCTAGCATACGTATTTTTCAAGTTGTACTGACATCTTTCACGCAAATTGGCAGACCTTAAAATTAGAAATCTTCTTAATTTAACGAGGCTCTTTTTATTTCAGGTATTTCATACCACAAAAACTTACCAAACCTGACAAGTTACAAGATCAAGTAATGCTTAGGGTTTCATAGCTTCTAACCAGCGTCTTGCTTAAATAGGCCCTTGAGACCTACAATCAAGAACATTATGAACAATTACCTGAAGAAAATGTGCACTTTGTCGATGTATCTTGAGTACAATCTGATGGGATGCTGTGACTCCGTCTGTACATCTTGGAAAGTCAAGAAGTCATTTGGCATCTGTGGAGGCCCTGCCATCTCACTCGCTCTCTGCAGACCCAACACCAAAAGATCCATCACCAATCCATAGTATTGCACGATGAATGACGCGAACTGAAGACCACGGATGATGCCGTAAGAGTTGGTGTGGTTCATGTCCTGTTGAATTAATAGGAAAGCTATCAAGGCAGGGAATGGTTTAAAACCGTATTCAAACATTGGTTATGTAGTGTGATTGTCTGAGTAAGGAGTCCTCAGAGGAAACCAACCTTGTAATTAATCACAATGTTGTTCTTTGCCGTCATGTAATCAGCAATGTTGTGATCAACAATCAGACGCAGGAGCCGATTCAGTAACGTCAAATCAATCTTCTCATACATCTTTTCAAAGTTTGACTCCATCATAACATTACATTCTCCTTCAGATGTCTCCCAGACGTCTTGTAAGTTGTTGATTCCTGAGAGAAAAGAAAGCAAAGATTTCTATTAGACAGCTTTTATTACTAGGGTGTATTTAAGTGAAAAATTCTAGACTATTTTCTTCACTTTTTCCAGACCATTATTTTTCATATTCTGCTCAAGAGTAGTTTTACATTGACGAGACAGGAACGAAACACAAAAGCAACACACTGCAATCGAAAATTGCCCCCGGCCAATCTCTCCCTGACTCGTCTCAAATCTTCCAGCAGGCGAAGGAACGTGCATCCTGCAGCGGTAATGACGAAAGCCTGCTCCCAGGCTAGAGTGTAAATGTCTATACCTTTTCATGAATTTAGGACTCTCTTTCACCCCCCTTCTTCAAATAGCAATGACAAGAAGCAAGCATTTCTTTCATGAGCTTAATGTGAGTGTATATACCTTGGCACCATTTGTATGTAAGGAGTGGAGGAGGTTCAGTGTCAGCTGGTTTGACCCATGGAGGAAACAGACGTCTCTTGTCTGCTTCATACCATAAATATTGGTCTAAGTAGGCATCTGTGATTTTCTCCAATGGCTCAACATCATATACTGGGATAAGATGGCTGTATAAGTCCATGAACTCAATACCAACCTGTAAGTAGTAAAACACCACACCATGAGCTGATTAATTTGTGACTCTCTCAATTATTTAATTTTTTATTTATACATTTGTGATATTGAGACAGACTGGCCCAGTTCAGCTATAAAGCTGGTTTAAATAGGGGCCTGTATGAGCAATAACAAGGCCAGACTTCAACACCTGGAGCTAAATTCCCTCCTCTTTGGAAGAAGTGCATATGTTTTAAGTGGTACAGAGAAGATGCAGGACACAGAGTCTATCATTCTTTGTCCTTATCCGAGAACACTGAGAATGTCAGACCATTTGCACAAGTCATGGCAAAGGCAGTAGATTTTCGTCTGATACTTGAAGACCCTGTGTATTATTTTGGCCTGGGGCTTGAGCCTTCGCCCTCCTTTGCAACAGTCTAGCCCTGTAACTGTAAGCTAACCAGGTGGCAGTTTGGCCCAAAAATGGTTGGTGCTTTACCTCTTTAAAGGCTCTCTGTGTTAACAAATGACGCTTGATTCTGCTGAGTGCTTCATGAGGATTGTCGTATGCTTGTTCAATCAGTCCCAACTCTTCTCTCTGGGACTGGTTCAAACGACTCTTTACACTAAAAGTGATACACAAAACAGATTGTCAAGGAGGAAAATTTCACAAAATTAAACAAACTTTAATCACATGGAATCTGAAGACAAATGCTACACTCATCACACCTGTAGGCTTCCTTGAGTCTCTCCAGAGCTAGAATTAGCAATTTGGTGTCGTGCTTGTAGGAGAGGGGTGGGAAAGGGATTGGCGAGAACCTCCTGCTCTCCAGCCAATGAACTGTAGTTGTGTAGATTGCAACTGCTTCCTCAGCAGAGATGTAAGGACCATCCTGTCAAACAAGAAAATTTGAGAAATTACATATTTCTCTTATGTAAAGTTTTAGCTCCATATCCTATTGCTATGAGAAGTTATTCACATTCCTTCTGCATCAAGCAGCCTCTACTTCTCCTGGACATATTGTTTGTCTGCAACAGGTAACCTCTCGACAGTTTGCCACATTTCCCTAGGTGTGCTGGTACTGTGTATAATTATGGGTGGAAAGAAGCACTGAGATAATACTCAGAACATTGATCCTCAAGGTCCTCATAATGAGGGGGCAAGGTTGTAAAGAAAGTGTGATGCTGTGTCAGTAGGGGGTATTACAAGATAATTTTGTTTTATAAACTGGGTTGATAATGTAAATTGGCCCTGTAGATGGTTTCTAGAGCTGAAATTTCCAGCATTAACCATTCATCAGATGTATTCTGTCTTAACAAACTCACAATGCTACATGTATAGTATACCAGATAGGGACATGACTACACCAAGGATTTCATTTGAGGAAAAATTAGTAAAACATCTGCAATGACTAAACGAACTGACTGAATTCATCAGGTGTGCAGAAATATGCCAGGAGTATACTCAGTTTTTCACCGGTTAATGGATTGACTCTCTAGCACAATTCTGTGTACTCAGAAGGTAAAAATCTGTTTCAGAAATGTGTTGGAAGAATTGCATTCCCACATATATATCCAAAAATATCCAAAAATATCAGATCTTTCTCAAGGAGAATGCACACCTTCAAGTAGTTATGCTGTCTTTCCTGTTCAGCTTTGAGATAGAGTCTTGTCAGACGTCCAAGATTTTTCTTACAAACAGTTTTATCAACTGTGGCTCCACGACGGATACGTTCCCTGTTGTAGTGAGCTGTGTTTGTCCACCAATCAGCCTTGGCTTTGACATACCGCAAAATCATGTTCTCCACTGGTGTTGGAAGGCCAGGCACCTGATGAAACAAAACAATTTGGTCAGCTTTACCGCTGAATGGCCAAAAGCAACATTTTACTTTCTCTTCTCCTTGTTTCATTTCTCCTTCCTCTATTTGAACAAATGCAGCAGAAAGGAAGGCTGTGTATTTTGTTTAACAGACCCATTTTTATGAACACATTTTTGCATACCAGGCTATTTTAGGTCAGTATCTAGACAACTGATACTGATGGTTTAAGTAGAAGGGGAAAGAAGTATTATTTCTCTTCCTTAAAGGGAACCATACAAAAAGTGTTTTAATACTGTATTTTTGAAATTTTGCTCTACCACCTTTACAGTTTATCTCCTGCATCAAAGGGGGCATTGTGAAAATTAATTGAACAGTGTCATGCCTAAGAAAACATACCATATAAGAAGTGAGGCTAGAAATAAACTACCCTTATATTCTTCAAAAGTCTACCACTTCTCCCAGAAACAAATAAAACTAAAGCACTTGAACAGTTCCTACCTTCCAAGGAATGTTGGCTTTCCAGCATCTCCAAGCTTCACTCAGATGCTGCAGAATGACTCGGGCCTTGTTCTGCTTAATACCTTCTGGCATCATGTCCAGGATGTCATGCATGACAGCTGCTCGTAGCTCCAAATCAAAGTGGCTTTCCACTCTCTGCTTAGTTACTGTTTTGGCCACACCCTTGGAGTGTCTGCCTTCAAACTGCCTAGCTAGGAGGTTACCAAGCCAACGCTCTAAGAGAGGTACAACCCCACGCAGAAAAAATAGCCACACCCTCCAGCCAGGTGCCCAGAATCCACATCCTGGACCTTTCCCAACTGGTCCCTGCAACAAAGATATAACTGTTTTAAAAATTTTAGAGTGCTAATATTTAGGATTTGTACCTTTTATTGGAAACGATTTTAAGGACTCTTTCAAGACTTCAAAAATTCACATCAACCCTTCAAACTCTGAGTAGTGACTAAATTTTTCCCCATAATATCAAAATAGCAAGTGATGAGAGTAAAGAAAACATAAATGTAAAATGTCAACCACTTTAATTCAATACTGCAGTCCAAATTTCAGGACTTTCTGCAATCTGCAGCCTTTTAGCTGGACTTTCTAGTCCTGGAAAATTGCATTACAAAATTGCAGGATTGTCCAGGTATTTCAGGACCTGTATGAACCCTGAATATCATCTTCACAGTAATAGTGGTATACTTATTCAATATGGGATAGAGAAAGATACACCACACTTACAGTGTTAAATCTGTAGTAAATGAGATGTTTGATGTCTTTACACATTCTGATTTGTCTCATAAGCTTGTACTTGTATCTGTACATTCCAGTCAGCTGACCAACATGAGCAAAGGTGTACTGAAGACCATCAGCCAGCTGTACATAAAATAAAGTTCACTTCACAATCAATACATGCATTAAAATTGTGACAAGTGAGTTATAACAAGTGAGTTATAAATGCCATATACTTAGTTCAAGTGCTATAATAGTAATGAAAATGGAACTGGAATAATAATGCAAGTTTAGTAGTCAATATTCCATGAGGTGGCTATTCTAGCCCACTGTTTCCAGATCACATTGAAATTTGGAGTGTTAGCTTTTGTAGGAGGAAAACCAGAGGACCTAGAGAAAAACTCTATGGGCAAGGATGAGAAACAACAACAAACTCAACCCACATGTGACACCAGGTGTGGGTAGCGAACCTGAGCCACAGTATCGAAGGTGAGCCCTTTCACCAATGGGCCACCCCCAAGCAGTTCTGTAAGCTGCCAGGGTTATCAACATTGAAAGTGTGTTGTGGGAGTAAGAGTACAGAGTAAGAGAGATAAGCACCTTTTAAAATGGTGGTTGAGTAAAGAAAGATGTAAAGCAGTTTAATATCATAAGCCAGAGACAGAAACTCTTTACTCTTCAACCAAATCAGTGGAAAAAGTACCACATCTATCTTTATTATATGATCATGTCTTAAAAGTTAACATCTTGTGCAATCTGTCAATTAAAGAGACAACAGTGTCCTCCTTTTAAGGCAGCAACTGGTAAACATTACTGCCTGTGGTACCTATTATTGTTTTCTAAAATTGCTTGAAATTCTTGAAAATTTAACCAATAAAAGGATTGCTCTACCAGAGCAATCCTTTCTTTACATGTCCTACTCAAAATAAGGGAGAACACAGAGTTAACAATTAATTTTCTGGACTTACCTGAAAACTGTCTACATTACCCAGTCTGTACTGCACATGGGAATCTACAACCAGCTTTGTGAGTCGCAGAATCTCCCGACAAAGATGGAAAGCATTTCCAAATCTGGACTTCTTTCTTTCCTTTGTGGTAAGAGTTTTGACTGGTTTCAGATTGAAATTGTAATCCAAATGAAGGTAGTTCAAGTTCTTTCTGTGGATCAGTAGATTCAGCATGTTGTAGCCTTGCCGGCACACTTGGAGACCCACTTCCACCCAATCAAGAGTTGTCGTTTGAAAGAACTTTGTCGCTTTGAAGGATCGGAACAGATATCTAAAAACCACAAAAGAAGAAAATTCATATCTCTGTTTGTGTCTTGAACTCAAAATATTGTGAACTCTTGAAATATTTATCAAATGTGAACAATGAAAAAGCCAATCACATATTTTTCACTAAATTGTATGCAGTTACAGTAAGTAGTTTGTAGTTTGTCTCTGTTTACTGATTTTCCAAAAAAGATTTAAGGAAAGTGACCTTGTGGGGTGCTTTTAGGATGCGTCTTAAACCTGTTGCAAAGTTGACCACAACAGTGAGGTTTAATTGCTCAATTTCTTGGTAATGAACTTGATACAATGGCAACAGTCAAAATGAATAAGAGAACAAAATTGGACAAATTGTTATATTGCCGCAAACAACCACAGATAAAAAATATAAGCAAGTCTACCTTTTCTTTTGTGCTTTAGGTGGTCTGTGTTTCAGTGCATTCAAAACGTAGCACTTAAGAAGCTTTTGATATGACACTCGCACCTTAACTGGGTGAGCAGATGGACAGTGTTCACGATACCTGTATAAAATTAACAATAAAGGGGACAAGTTTCTAAAGAAATTTGTTGCTGCATCAGTGGGAGAGAATAACAGGGTAATCTAATATTATCAACTGAGTTGAGGACATAAACCATAAAGAGTTTCAAAGCTGGCATTTCGAGGGCTAGCCCTTCATCAGGCTAATACTTGAAATGTCAGCTTTGAAACTCTTTACAGAGGCCAATTTATGTAATTAACTCAGTTGGTAATACTACATTACCCTGTTATAAATAACAATAGTTAAGGTTATACTTGATGTGCAATATCTCCTATACAATTTTAAAATCCTCCAATCAATAAGCAAGAACAAAAGGCTTGTAACAGTATATCATCCCTTGGACTTGAATTTATTGATTTCCAATTATTTAACAAAGTACTCTTAAAAGCTGAGGCCTTAAAAAATAATTGACATTTTAATAATTATTTGAGTCCCAAAAAAAAAAAATTTACCACAAGACAAAACAACCCACACCTGAACACAACATTTACATTTTTGTATTACAGTATGGGAATTCTTACCAAGTCTTCACCAATGGTATATCGATGGCTCGGCGTGTCCTGGCAGATCTTAAACAGAATGGTCTGGGAGCCCAGAGCAAAGCAATACCTTAAAAGATAAACCACCAAAACATTTTACAACTGTAAAAGCAGCCTTTGTAAAATAAATTCTAACAACTTGGGAATTGAAAAATAGTTTTTAGCTAAACAAAAGTAGTGCTAACCATTTGCTGTGTTATCTGTGTACAGTGGTGTATCTTGCAAGAATGGCTGAATATCTTCAGGCAGTTCAAAATCTTCATCATCATCAGGCTGGGGTTCTGTTGTCTAAATCAACAAAACAATTGATATAAAATTTTCACATACTTCCCTAAGAGTGTGTTACTAGAAATTGTGCTTTTGGTCATTAGACTTTAGTAAGTAACCTCTGTGTAACTTCTTCAAGAAGGTGGGTGCCTAGGACATCCACAGACTTCCACTGGGGCCAATAATAGAGAACTGCCTCCATGGCTGGGGAATCATTACAACCTTACCATGAGCCCCATATCAGACACCATAACACTGATTGCATACGTGGAGGGAAAAAATTGGGAGGGGTGGGCATTGGGGATGCTTCAAAACAGCCACTACTATAAGTGCCCTGAGCTGGGTTGTTCAAAGCTGGGTTAAGATAACCCAGGGTTACTATGAAATTTGATTTCAAAGAAAACTAAGTTTAATTATTTTTGTCTTCTATTTGATTTTTGGATGTTCTAAAAAGAATAGAGAAATTATCTGAAAAGGACTTTTGAATGGAGAAATAAAGAAACCTGGATTTCAATTTAACCCTAGGTCAATGCTAATCAGCCTTTGAACAACTAGATCCAGGACTGCAGAGGAACAGCTGTTACCAAACTGGTAAAGAACTCCATAGAATTGTTACATTGGCATTACCCAAATTAAAAGAAAATGTGAATTATACAACAATTTTTCACTGCAATTTTGTTTTTAGCTTCTCAACAGTCCACTCCATTTTGTTTTAGACAGACCATTTTCAGATGAAAGCAATCATGAAAACAGCTATTGTCAATGATTTTGACCAAGGTTTCCACCTCCTTAGTGGAACTCCTTATTAGAATTCTTGTAAAGAAGTCATCATTAGAGTCACCCAGATGATTACAAAGTGTTTAAGTTTCAAATAGCAAAAAAGCAAAGCAAAGTACCTTGACAGCATGTCTGTGGGCAATTGGATTGACAAGAGGGTCAAAGTAAAATGCTGGTAGATCAGGGTCCTCTGTTTTAATGTAAACAACTGATGGATGGTGATACCTGACAAAAAACAAAGACTTGAGTTTGAGATAAATCTCCCTGGTTTATAATTGTGCAACACCAACTGATGAAGCAACATTCACCCATCTTGTATGGCTATCACTTCCAAAGAAAGACACACTATTTGACCACTCATTGCTGGTCTTCAATATGCTTACAGCTTAAAGAATAACCAGACATTTTATTAATCAAGATTACATATATTGTGCCAATAACAAGGTAGCTCTTCTATTTTATTTAAAGCTCACACAGTAGTAACTGTGTTTATGAGGATTATATAACTTCATTAAGGTAACTGAGAATTAAGTTCTGGCATTTTGCATTCTGTTCCTATATTACACATGTGTTTGGATCAAAGAGCAGTCTATAGCTGCTTCATCTATAGACTTGCAGCAGTAACTTGAACCACTTTTTTTTTAGCCACCAATCCAAACAACAATCAACATTCTTTAAGCAATGCTGTTACCCGCATCTGGTGGCAGAGGGTGACAAACATCCAACAAGTTCAAGTACCCTTATGGTTGGCTCATAACAGGAAACAAGACCCTTACAGATCAGGAGACAACTGATCACGAAGTCAATATCTTTGTGAAAGTAGTATATTATGAAGACAGATTTTTGTTTCAAAAACCAGTTACCCAAATTTCAAAATTATTTAAATTTGTCCATATGATGATGGGGAGAAAATGTGTCACTGCAACTTGATTTGGAAGCAGTTACTCAGTTTTCCAACCTTTGAGTTTCGCGTACAGTAATTTTCATGCATTTAATCCTTCACACCCTTACATCAGTATGCTGACAGGGAAAACAAGATCTTGTAAGGAGAAATTGGACACTAATCACTCTTAAGGGGTCTAAGGGCTAACCAACTCACCAGGGTAGATGCACTTTGTACGGCAAACTGTTGAACAGATAGGGGAATGCAATTCTGTACTCTGTCCTCACAGGCTGCCGAATGATGATCTTGTTTATGTCATTAAATTCATTCCAGTCTTCGTCGTGGACATTGACATCTCGCACCAAAGGCTCAAATTTTGGTCCTCCAGGAATGGCAACATTCAATGCTTTAGCTGTGAAAAATGCCTTCAGATCATACAAGTAAAAGTAGTTTTTATCTACAAGATCTGTCAGAAGTTGGTTTCCCAGACGATAAAGTGTAGACATGATTGGCAGTGTAATATTCCATTTTCTGTATGAAGATCCATTGACCATTCTAAAAAGAAAGCAGGATGTTATGAAAAAAAGTAGTATGGCTTTTCAATTAACCATTTCACACTCAATATCTCATTAGTAATTCTCATTGGAGAATTTGGTATGGTCCAATCAATGATATCCTAACTGATATTTTACTTCTTCAAATCAATTTTCTGCTTGATTTTGTATTGATGTTTTAAAGAGAAATTCTGCATTAGTCATGCATGAGACTTAAAAGGTTAAGTCACAAATCAGAAAAACTACTGATACGTGGGTCTAGAACTACACCTCTGCAGTAGGTCAGGTCACATTCTACAGTTTCCTGTAAGGGAAAGAATCCAACAAACTATACCCAGGGACAGCTACTTCCTTAGGTTTCAGTTCCTACAAAGCCTCTTTCTTTGGAGGATTCATTATAACTATGATAACGGTCACAGAAATACAAAGTCCTTACTTGGTATCGACCAGGGGATTGTGTTCATAAAACCACTCATAAACACTTCCATCTTCTTCAGGATCCAACTCCATCTGGATCGGCTCAAGAGGTTCAACATCCAGGATGTTATCAGCGTAATCCAGAGGAGGTTCCTCATCATCAAATGGGGGAAACCTCATTCTCTTGAAATGCCTCCTGTCTCTCTTCTCACGACGCATCATGATCCACATGGTGCTAAATCAAGGAGTAACATCCAGTTTTACATTTTATGAGTCATGCCAAAGAGAGAAATTGAACAAAATAGTCCCTACTCAAGTTGGCATAATTAGCTAAAAATTACCCCAAGCCTTCTTTACATGAAATTTTCCTCCAACCTTTGTAACACTCTTTGATTTAACAAAATTATTTTTTGGTCTTGATACTTTGAAAGTGTTTTGTTCAATAGATTTAACAGTCCCCACCTTGATTGTAATGCTTTAAAGTAAATTAATTACCTTTTCTTACCTACATATAAATATACACCTACACTATAGGGGCAATTATTTAAACACAAAAATGACAGTGCTCCAAACTGCTACCATTTCAGTTCCCATGGCAAATAGAAAAAAATGTTGGTAATTAACTTTGCGTTGAAAAGCACTAATTTGGCGATCTCTGCTAAGCAGTCATATAAAAATATCTAAAATTTTTACATGAGTGTAAAAACATAAGTTAAATGATTATGGTCTTGAGTTGTGAGATGCACCTCTGCATGAAAAATTCCATGATGTTACACAAATTATCCTTCTTGCTTGTTTTTGAGGGAAGCTACAATGTTCCTGGATATTTTCCAAGAGTTTTTGTTTCTTCCCTTTTCTATATATTTTTTGACCACTATTTATTTAAAGAGACCTTCTAGCTCACTAGAAAGAGACTTGAGCTTGGGCTCAAACTGAAAATTTACATATACTTTTTTGACAAAGCTTTCAAGTAATACTAATTTGAACTTACCCCCACTGGGCCAAATAGACAGGTTCCACAACCCATGGAATCTCATTCACAAATGTGATGGCTCCTGTGATGTGATAAAGAACCTTCACATCTCGAATCTGCTCCCATGGCATGGGCATGTTCTCGAGTAACTTCAGCACTGCATGAGGCATGTATTTCAGTGCACTAAAATTCAAACATAAGAAGTGCATTTATACATGTTATCATTGAGAGAATGTAAGTGTGACAATTTTAACATTGTATAAGTAATATTGCATTCAGGTTGATAACTTCAGTTTTCTTACCCTAAGTATACTCGCTTATCATGCCGATATTTCCTGCTGGACATGTCACCATGATCTCGAATGATCTTTCTAACATGCTCTGGAGGCATGTCTTCTTTTTGTGCTTCCACAAATCCAAACTTTCTCTTTTCGCTGTATCTTTTTGACTGGAGTTGTTGCCATTTTCGAGCTGCAAATATTTTGATACAAAAGCAAATGTATCAGAATTGATGTTTTAAATAAAATGTGGGAACTTCATTGCCCAGTGATGACAATTTTTTGTGTCCTTCACATTCCACCTGATTTTACATGATACAAGTATGTGATCTTTGTTCATAGTTCAGTAAAATAATCTGGAAAGAATCTTGACCATTCAATAATCTGACATGGTGAATAATAAAGTAAAAGTCTACATCATGCATTCAAAAGGTTTAGTTGTTGAGCATCTTGTAATCTTGTGTTGACCTTAGTTAACTACTGTATTGAAATGAGCCAGTTTACAGCCCTAATAGTATTTCAAAAAGAATTAATGGACTACACAGACACTGTGGCTCCAGAAAGAAAGAACCAACAACGACGCAGCAGAAATTCGAATCTTAACAGTAAGTTTCATATTTGTTGTAATAGTGACACAATGAAATCTGTATGAATGAACCCTGACAATTCAATTTACTCAAAGTTCAGTCAGAGTAAAACAACGAAAAAGCAAGACAGCCTTAAAATCAATCTCAGCTACCCTAAGAAGAGACACGGGTAATTTTGGAAAACCTTTAAGTGACAGTTGATCACGTTACATAAGTTCACTGATCGAATGTCTGACAACGTGAACATGACGTTAAAGTGAATTTCTGATTAGAATCTAGGGTTATGCATTCGACCATGCACATTAAACCAAGGAATCAACTCTTGGAACAGTCACGCTACATTACCTTTTTCCTGTAGTTTTTCTTCAGTTATTTCAGCTGGTAACCCTGCAACGGCGGGTTGGCCCCACGCCGCCATGCTGACGGTTTCGCTGCAGATGAAAGCCTTCAAACGCAATTGCAAGAGGAAATAGGTTATAACCCGCCAAATAAAAAGCATGGCTTAATTCAAATTTAAACTACAAGACCTTCAATTACCTGAAAAGAAGTTCGCGTTCTTTGCAAATTGGAAGAAAAGCTCGACGCAGACGTTCAAACTACGAAGCATGCATGGCTGTCCGCCATGTTGTGACGTCACAACCCTGCTTCAGAATGAAGTGAGGTACCCCCCAAATACCTTTTCTCCCAGCAAGGCCTGGTAGCGAGGCTTTACTGAAAACTCCCACAACTCTCCACGAGCTAATTATTTTGGTAGCGCATGCGTTCAACCCGTCTGCCTTATCCGACGTGGCGTTTGGACAAAAGATAGTTTCATGTGGACCTCTTAATAATTACAGAAAACTGTAGATAAACTTTAGGGACAAATATGGCTTTTATACCTTTATTGTTATGTTCGATGTTACTGGTGCTTCAGTTGGAGAGCTCGTATGGTTATTTTATAACGATAGATGCACACGCAGAGGAGTGTTTTCATGATCAAGTAACATCAGGAACGAAGATGGGGCTTATATTTGAAGTAGCTGAGGGTGGCTTTCTGGATATCGATGTTACGGTAAACAGTGAAATTTTAAGCCTATAAATGCTCCAGAAATTTTTTTTTTAACCGCGTTAGATATGTTCCATGGATAGCTCATTACTCAGAAACAGTAAAATGGGTTGATCCACAGCGTAAAGCAAATGTAAAAAGTGTTTAAAAAATCGTTTCCTTAATTCTTGTCAATCGGAATTCTCAGAGTCAATGTAAACAGATTCAAGTTCCACGTCTGTTGAATATTTGAGCTCATTTTAATAGGTGACAGTTACAGCTCATCTTCAACTTTGATTAAAAGGAAGTTTCAGTTCAAGTATTTGTTAATGCTTACTAGTACACGAATGTTTTCTAGAGAATAGTATATGTGTAGGTGTTGAACCTGGACCTAACTGTCAGGTTCATATCCTACAAAACACATTAGCAGTGCCACTTTTGAGTTTAAACCATACTTACACTGTAAACAAAAACTTTGAACTGAAATTGATACAAGGACAGCAGAGGTGGACAGGAGTTAGGTTACATGCCTCAATCCCCCACAGAAGCTCTAATCAGCACCGAACTGTCAAACTGTGCCTAGCAAAACTAAATTTTGTACTACTATCTCAACCTTAGAAAGTTTTGAATCAGCCTTAGTCTCAACAAATATTGACTTTCATTGTAGGTTTCCTTTAACTTTTGTAAGTTGTGATTTTGGTAGATTGATTTGTATCACCAGTGGGAATTATTTAGAACAAGAACATAACATTTAGAAACAACTTAATGAATGTGGAAAGTCACCCTAGAAAGGAATACTCGAGATTCTTCATCAGCTTCAAAAGGATACCTTACCCTTGTTGTATTATAATACACACATGCAGACTTGTCATAAATTTAATCAAGATGTTTTGATGATTGTTTTTTGGACATTACAGATTACTGGTCCAGACCAAAAGGTTATTTACACAGGAGAGAGGGAGACCAATGGAAAGTATGCATTTGCTGCATACATGGATGGCACTTATCATTACTGTTTTAGCAACAAAATGTCTTCAATGACACCAAAAATAGTAAAGTTTTCCATGGATCTGGGAGAGCCACCTAAGGACACCAGTAAAGAAGAAGGTGAGAGGAGTTAATGAAATTGAGAGAATTCAGCAATTGCCACTGGCAAGTTATGGAAAAAACATTGAATAACCATAAAATGGATTAGAACCTGGGTTAGTCACACTTTCATGACTGAATGATCTGCCAACTGTGTTTCAGACAATTTGTCACCAAGGTTGTCATTAGAAGCCTGTAGTATGTGGAAACCTGCCAACTGTCACACCATTTTACACCAGCTACCTTACTGATTCTGATCAAAGACAGAAAATTTGTCTTTTTTGGGCTGATTCAAACGTCAATCTCTGGGTAAAGTCAGTTACTCAGATATATCCCAGAATGCTGGAAATCACATCTCAAAAGAGTTTGTGAATATTCCTGGGGCAGCATGCCCCTACATTTCGCCTTATTCAAAGAAAAATATCAATGCTGTGAAGCTGTCTTCCCTCCAACTAACACATGTTTGGTGCACTGAATATAAATGTAAAGTTTCCAAGGATTACTAAGATTTTCTTATCTGAGAGTTAAAAATTTTTTCTATTATTTTCACAAGGTGCAAATCATGATAAGCTTAGTGAAATGATTGGACAATTGTCTGAGGCAATGACTGGAGTGAAACATGAACAGGAATACATGGAAGTTAGAGAAAGAATTCACAGAGCAAGTGAGTATATTGCATCAGGTGAATATTCAGTGGATTTATTTGTTAGATTTATAATTTTGGTTTCTTTGTATCTTCCTTCTGCAGTCAATGACAACACAAACAGCCGTGTTGTTTGGTGGTCTTTCTTTGAGTCCCTAGTGCTGGTTGCTATGACGCTAGGACAAGTTTTCTACCTCAAACGATTCTTTGAAGTCAGAAGAGTGGTTTAAGTTGTAACATTGATTTTTTAGCAAAATTCAAAAACTGTATTGTACAGAGAGATATGAGGTACAATTGTGTTCACAAAGTAAAGCAAATTTACTTTTTTCAAAAACCAGTAACAACTGTTTGTATAACACAATTTTCCTTTTCTTTATTGGCTTTTTGATACTTTGCCAATTTAGAAACTTTTTTTTTTTTTTTTGAGTCAAGGACTGTAATTTCAAACACTGTTCACTGTAGTGCAACAAACTATACTGATGAATGCTCAGTTGTTATGGAGAGGACAACAATTCCCATTACTGGTATCCCAAAGTGTTCCTTAGATGATTAATTGTGACCCAAAGCTAAGGGGTTTGAATTTTAACCATGATCTGGTTATTTAAACTGGGATAAGCTATCATTAAGTGAAACTGTCTTCCAAACCATTTTCAATTGAGCCAAAATAATGTTGAATGTAACCATTGATTTTCTATGAACTGTGATAATTGCTGTGAAGCTTTCACTAGACATAAACACACATCAACTTCACTCTTATAAAAAAATATTGGAGTCCATTTTTTGTCTAAAACTGCCTTTTTAGTTTTTGTGCAGACTAGCGTGGTTTAGGATGAAGTTCAGGAAAATTATAAATTATATTGCCCTTAAAAAAGCCACAATGTCAAGAGGACTGCTTCCCTTTAAGCTCTTCCTTTCGGTGTGTACAAATTGTATCAGAGAGACATCTTGAGTAGAAACCAGCCTTTGTCTAAGTGAATCCACAGATCCTTTCTCAACATGTTGTAGAAAGCTTTTGTCTCCTTTTTAACTTACATGTAACTGTTGTTGGAATTAAATAAAGGAAATTGTCATCCTTAAACCCTTGAACCCCTAAGAGTGATTGGCATGTAATTTCTCCTCACAATGTCACCCCTGTATCCAACACAAAAGTCACAAGATTAAGGGAAATGATCAACAACCAAAGAGTTCTTAACTTCCAAACAAATTCTCCTTTTCAGCTCCTCAAGAGATGTATAGAGAACAGTATGGCAAATATGCATACTGATGTCAGGGTGTAGAGGGTTAAGGCTGATTTTTCTGGTTGATATTTGTGGTAGTTATCTTTAAATATGAATAATCGCATGACTTTGAGTGCAATTTGAGATAAATCGTCTTGCATAAATCTTTGAAAGGCTAACCAAATCGCACAACCTCATAGGGCATGTCCAACTTGCAGTCTTAGAAAACTGCACATAGCCAGCAGTTGAGGTGTCTTCTTAGGGTGAGTTGAAATTACAAGCTCATGATTGGCCTGCAGTGGGAGTTCCTACAGGTGACCGTTATCACAAAAAATACAAGGATGTTGGGTAAATCAGCAAGCACAATAGTGATCTAGTGGTCAGTTGCAGAATGGAAAACTAAAAACTAAATCTTTTGGCAAAACCACTTTTCTTTCTTTCCTTCTTTCTTTCATTTTTTTGATGATCATATCAGCCAAAGAAAAATAAAGTAAAAGATAGAGAGGACAAATTATTCATAATGAGAAGGTTGTTTTATAATTTCCAATTTCTTTAAGGGGGGGAACTTGCTCCGAATTACGGTCAACTCGCCGACGTATAAAATCGAGTAGAGACGTCGGCGAGTTGGTCGTCAATCCAATACAACTTATTAGAAGTTAAACATACAGAAAAGTAAACGATATTTAGTAAAAAAACACTGGTGAACATCAAACAGAAGCTTAAACATTGGTGAATATTGGTGCGACAACAACACCGTAAAGACTCATCATGTCAATCGCTCAGATTTTTTAACAAAACTTGGCTTTCTAGACGAGATCTTTAGGAAAAAGCATTTCTTTTTATTTGCAACAAAGTTTATAAGGATCTCAAGGCGAATAAATGGAAGTAAACATCACCAATGACTCTATACAGCTTCAAACGCGAACGAGTTGTGTGACAACAACACTGTAGACTCATCATGACAATCGGTCAGATTTTTAAAGAAAACTTGGCTTTCTAGACAAGATCTTTGGTAAAAAGCAATTCTTTTTATTTGCAACGAAGTTTATAAGGATCTTAAGGCGAATAAAGTAAAGTAAACATCACCAATGACTCTAACAGCTTCAAACGCGAACGAGTTATTGTGTGACAACAACACTGTAAAGACTCCTCATGACAATCGGTCAGATTTTTTAAGAAAACTTGGCTTTCTAGATAAGATCTTTAGTAAAAAGCATTTCTTTTTATTTGCAACGAAGTTTATAAGGATCTTAAGGCGAATAAAGTAAAGTAAACATCGCCAATGACTCTAACAGCTTCAGACGCGAACGAGTTATTGTGTGACAACAACACAGTAAAGACTCATCATGTCAATCGCTCAGTTTTTTTAACGAAAACTTGGCTTTCTAGACAAGATCTTTAGTAAAATAAAAAGAAATGCTTTTTACTAAAGATCTTATCTAGAAAGCCAAGTTTTCTTAAAAAATCTGACCGATTGTCATGATGAGTCTTTACAGTGTTGTTGTCACGGTGTCAGGTTGTGTCGCCCCATTGCCTTGTCGCCCCAGGTTATGTCGCCCCAACCGAAGTTACGTCGCCCCAACATCGGAGTTGTGTCGCCCCAACATCGTGGTTGTGTCGCCCCAACATCAAAGTTGCGTCGCCCCAACGCGTAACTTCGCTTATCAAGTAAAAGTTTGTAAGATTCTCCGATCGATTTACGCGAACGATCGACTAATAAACATGACACTGCTGTAAGATTTATCGATCGATCGAAGGAAAAGTTTGTAAGATTATTAGGATGTAACTCGAGCGAGCGGCTTGTAAAAAGTAACTTCACGCGAACGATCGACTTTATATAACATAAACATAACACAATACAACGCGCGGATAACACAAACGTGTTAAAAAAGGGTCTAAGATATTTTATTGTTAAGTGTTAAACAAAAGTAAATATATTGAGTATAAATACCTGTTGTTAGTGGAAAATAGTCCTTAGTGAATAATAAACTTGATGTTGGAAATAAATATTGTGTTCTTTTCTGTCTGAATTTCTCGGGTTAGCCGAATAAAATTACCTACGTAATAATCAATAAAGATTTTCATCAGCGCGCGGGGGAACTGGGTAATATATATAATCCTATCGCTATCGGTCGAGGCTCCAACTTTACGCTTGTTTTTGATATTTTATTGTTAAGTGTTAAACAAAAGTAAATATATTGAGTATAAATACCTGTTGTTAGTGGAAAATAGTCCTTAGTGAATAATAAACTTGATGTTGGAAATAAATATTGTGTTCTTTTCTGTCTGAATTTCTCGGGTTAGCCATGAAGGACAATCGAATAAAATTACCTACGTAATAATCAATAAAGAATGTTATCAGCAGCCCGCGGGGAACTGGGTACTATAATCCTATCGCTATCGGTCGAGGCTCCAACTTTACGCTTGTTTTTGATTGCCCTTTCCTTTAGCTCTACTAAAGCACCTTTTGATATAAAAACACGAATGAAAGGTTAGTTAATGTTACACAACTTCATTGTAAGCATGCTTTACATCAAACTATTGAAATAAAATCCTGAATTGAGCCGAAATGTTCGAAGTAGATTTATCATCTTCGCAGTACACAGTTGCATTTTGAAAGAACGGCAAGCTAAGTCAGCTAAAGTTAATACAGCAGTGTTATGTTTATGTTTAAGTCGATCGTTCGCGTGAAGTTACTTTTCACAAGCCGCTCGATCGAGTTATATCGTAATAACCTTACAAACTTTTCCTTCGTTCGATCGATAAAGCCTACAGCAGTGTTATGTTTATGTTAGATAAAGTCGATCGTTCGCGTTAAGTTGCTTTTTACAAGCCGCTCGCTCGAGTTACATCGTAATAATCTTACAAACTTTTCCTTCGATCGATCGATAAATCTTACAGCAGTGTCATGTTTACAAGCCGCTCGCTCGAGTTACATCGTAATAATCTTACAAACTTTTCCTTCGATCGATCGATAAATCTTACAGCAGTGTCATGTTTATGACACTATGTTTAATAAAGTTAATACAGCAGTGTTATGTTTATGTTTAAGTCGATCGTTCGCGTTAAGTTGCTTTTTACAAGCCGCTCGCTCGAGTTACATCGTAATAATCTTACAAACTTTTCCTTCGATCGATCGATAAATCTTACAGCAGTGTCATGTTTACAAGCCGCTCGCTCGAGTTACATCGTAATAATCTTACAAACTTTTCCTTCGATCGATCGATAAATCTTACAGCAGTGTCATGTTTATAAGTCGATCGTTCGCGTAAATCGATCGGAGAATCTTTGATGTTGGGGCGACACAACCACGATGTTGGGGCGACACAACCACGATGTTGGGGCGACACAACTCCGATGTTGGGGCGACGTAACTTCTGTTGGGGCGACATAACCTGGGGCGACAAGGCAATGGGGCGACACAACCTACATTCGTTGTCACACAATAACTCGTTCGCGTTTGAAGCTGTTAGAGTCATTGGTGATGTTTACTTCCCTTTATTCGCCTTGAGATCCTTATAAACTTTGTTGCAAATAAAAAGAAATGCTTTTTTCTAAAGATCTTGTCCAGAAAGCCAAGTTTTCGTTAAAAAATCTGAGCGATTGACATGATGAGTCTTTACGGTGTTGTTGTCGCCCAATAACTCGTTCGCGTCTTAAGCTGTTATAGTCATTGGTGATGTTCACCAATGTTCACCGATGTTTAAGCTTCTGTTTGATGTTCACCAATGTACACCAGTGTTTTTTTTACCAAATATCGTTTAATTTTCTGTATGTTTATGTATTGGATTGACGACCAACTCGCCGACGTCTCTACTCGATTTTATACGTCGGCGAGTTGGTCCGTCGGCGAGTTGACTGGTTACCCTTGCTCCAGCTGGTCTTTGAGTCAAGAAATAGAGATTAAAATGAAATTCTTTTTTAATGTAGTGTTTTTTACAGAGTGGACAAATAAGAACAACATTATTTTGGTTTGTTCAAGTGAGCCTTCCATCTCTTTGAATAAGGCAATTTCCTCCACTTTTTTCTCTTCTTCTTTGGTCTAAAATCTGTAAGAGATAAGATATGAGAAAATTGTGAAACATGGCACAAGAAATAAGTAATGTCTTGGTGTTTTACCTCTGCAAGAACATCACAAACATTTCTTTTGTGATAATTTTACTGACTCAAAAGTGTGAACTACCCTATGTCATTGAGGCATGGACAATGCCAACTAAAATTTGAAAAATATCACCATCCTCCAAGAAACTCAATTGGAAAAAATGTAAATAAAACAAACATGGGTAATTTACACCCTTTGCATGATACTGATTTGCTAATTTTTTGGTCAATTTTGGTTCAAGGGATTTTGGGTAAAACTGCTGGCCCAGGTTTTTTTTTCTAACCATTAGCCTGAACTATGAAACAAAACATGGAAACAAAAAAAAACTAATAAGTGAAATAAACACATTAACGCAAGGAAGATGTTTGCACAATGCCAAAAAGGGGACAAAACTTTATGCAAGTAAACTGGTCCTCTTCAACATCTTGATATGTCTCCCAGACATTGTGCAAATGCCTAAATTTTTGTTTACCATTCTAACAACCACTTACCTAAATAATATGTTTCTGGTGGTATAACTTTCCTGGGTTCACTCAGTATGACGCCTCCTTCCTTAATGGCTTCTGAGAAGGCAGTGGTCTGCACAATAGAAAAGTTGATAATGTAAACAGAAGTACCATTTAACTGTCACATCTTCCACCAATAACTCTCTACCTTGGATTTCCTGAAATCCCTCATCACCCACACAACTTCTCCCAATAATTTCAATGCACTCTCCAAATTTCAGTCAAAGAGAATGGACAAAGCTGTTAGTTGGAGAGTGTTAGCTGATATAACACCAGATTCTCTTAACTAATTTACCACAAAATGTATTGAACCTGGAAGGGAGAATTATGAATTAGATCTTTGGCGCAAGCCCTTAGATCCCCAGAAGTACAGAGAGCAAAAAAGAAATTTCTCTCCAATTTCTTTCTAATGACAAGAAAGAAAAAACTTCAGTAAGAGGATATTCTTTGTCTTTACATGAACACTTAGCTCTCAGGGCCATATGTATTCTCTGTAAGACATTTGTTTTCATCAATAAATTCCCTTCCACTATTAGCTTTACCACTGTTCACTAAAATAAATGTTCAGATAAAAGTTTTGGTTAAATTGAAGATGGCATAAAATGCATTTTTGTTAAACAACAGCTAAACTTTGTTTACATGCATATAACCAGCCCTCAGAGTCAAATTATTAGAAACACATGACAAACAATGCAAATAATTTATTTGTAAATCCTCAGAGTGACAGGGTTCAAGGGTGAAGAGGAATAGAAAAATATCATAAAATTATGGTAAAAAAAATACCTGCAGCACAAAAAGAATAATGACAATTTTAGGACCGTATATCAATTTTAGCAGCTTCTGTTACCCTTTGTTTGCGCAAGCCCCCTTTCATAGCTTCCCATCGCACGCGTGTTATTCCTGCCTCTAGACATCTCTGTGCAATAACTCTGCCAATATTCCTTGCAGCAGTAACATCTGTAGTTTTGTAAAGATGCTGTGTGATTTCAAACTCAGTGGTGGATGCAGACACCAAGACCAATCCACTGTTATGCACCACCTGAGCTCTTGTATGCCGGTTTGTCATTAAGAATTGAAGTCTGTGGATGAAGAATACACCAGAATGATTTTACAATATCCTTGAGAGTAGAAGTACCCACACTCCCTGAGATAATTAACACAGAAAATGTCATCCACTTGAACTGAGTAGGCCTTCAGCATCATTTAGACATGTAATCTTCTGTTTATAAATGATGTGAATAAGCCAGTTTCAAGTTCCTCAGGAAATTCCACAATTTAGCTGATGATGACCGTCAGAAGCCCCAAAAACCACCAGTTGAATATTTTTACCATAATTGGCAGTAATGTCGTAATCTGATTGACCAATTTGCCGTTGTCGATAGGAGTACAGACAACGCTGCTTGCGTCAGGGTGTCACGATCTTGGTCACGCATTGAAAGAATCAATTTATTTGACAACGATATTGTGGTTAAAAGCGAATTGACTGTGGTCTAGCGTGGTCTGTACTATTATCGACAAAGACATTCGCCATCACAGTGGTCATTGTAATCTGTACTCTTATCTACAACGATTTTCGTTGATACACAGAACAACTGTCGATTTGTTAAACCGACACACAGAGCTGCAGTATTAGATAAAGCAAACTTACTTGTTGTAGAAATCAACCCTGTAAACTTGTGTAGAATACCCTCTTGGTTTGTTGAATCCAAAATATTCTTCGTTTCGAGGATTTCTGTTCTCAAATTCACCCAAAATTGGAATTTTCGTTTTTCGAGGGTCACTATTTTCAGTCGCCTCATCGACCTCTTTCATTTGACTTGCCGCGTTAGAAAAGTTGCATCTAGAAATGCAACGAATATTTCTTGATATAATCTTTAGGTTGATCTCCTTGTAGTTTAAAAGGCTGCGTCTAACTAATGGTAAATAAGATGGAATTAGAGCTCGTACAAGGCTTTTAGTCGCCATGTTGGCTAATCCGGTGCGCACGCTCCTAGTCATCATTACACAACATACCAACTTGAAAACTACTTTTACCGCTGTTAAGAGTAAACAGAGAAAATTCACGTGGAATTTTAGCAAATCCACCAAAAGGGACAAAATGAGGTGACTTACTCCTTATTTTAAGTTATACCTTGCGCATCGTACTGTCTGCCTGTCACCTAACTTCTCTATCTCTAAGATCCAATGAGTAATTCTCTCCTCTACGTTATGTAAATCTAATCCGCGATCAGGCGTTCTCGCTGATTGAACATGTCAAGTTTCCCATGTGAAAGAAAGCCTGATCGCAGATTCTCGTATCTTAGTCATCGAGACTAAGTGTTATATCAAGATCCTCCAGCTTAAGGGTTTTTCTACGTTTTCGTCAATGTTCCCTGCGGCCAATGTAGTGAAATAGTTTTGGAAATCGAGGTTCATGTAAATAACTTCTTTGAGTGAAAGGTCTTAAAATTGTGGGATCAAGTTGTTCTGGTGTGAAGTGCCCTCCATTCATAAACTCATCTAGCAAACTATGATTGATGCAACTAAGAAATTAAAACTTAACCTGGAATACTAGCCTGCCAGTCAGTGGGGCTAACCAGTCACAGTAAACAAAACAGCTTTAGTTTAGCTGACCAATCACAGCTGTGTAAACCAACCAATCACAATAGGGCATCATATTCCATATGATGATGGATTAAAGCATTGATTCCCATTAGCATGTGTCTATTTACTCTTTTCAACTATCAGTGGTTTGGGTCAATTTTTGGCCCACTGTCTGCTGGCTATTGGTAATGTGTCAGTAATGTGATAGTAATGTGTCAATATCATGTTGGTTGACAGGTTACAGACTACTGAACATGGGAGCTATTGTTCATATTTACTCAAAAATTATGATTCTTTGTCAGAGCTGACCAGATTATGACAAAAATGATGATAATATAATGAGGATATAATGTTGGTACAGTTTGAAAAGAAATAAGGACAGTTTGATTTTGAAAGAGAGATTTAAGCTTTCTATTAAATATAACTGTCTTTAATTACCCTTTCACAGTGAAGGTGGCCGCATTCTTGCACAGTTCAAGAGTGAGCTTGGAGAGCTCATTGGTACACCATTTGACCTTCCTCTTGATATTACTCCTGATAAATTAGAATTAGTTTGCAATGCAGTGCTGCAAAAGGTAAGATGTTTGCTATTTACCACTTGAGCACTGTTGCATATGTGGACTCTCTTGACTTATTCAAATTTTAAGAATAAAAATATCATAAAGCCCTAACTGGAGTACTAAAAAAAAAGTTGTTGAATGATTTAGTGAATGATTAGTTATGATTATTACTTTAATATTCCTTGGGGCTCAATTTTTTTTTTGATTTGTTTTTTTCATTACTTCAGGATGAAAGCGTACCTTACTCTTTCTATGTGAATGAGTCAGAAATTACAGGCAGTCTCAAGGAAACATTAGAAACCCAAACATTAGAAACAGAGAAAGTTGTAGAGATTGTGTATCAACCCCAGGCTGTATTTAAAGTTCGAGCTGTGACAAGATGCACCAGCACAATTCCAGGTAAAATATTTTAATCTAAATTTGTCATTACTGTTCAAGAAAATAAATGACGGTCTCTATATATTCTGCAAACATTGCAAAATAATTTTCTTTGAGTGATTTTTTTGGGCCTTTTTTTGAGATAGAATGTTTTTCAAACTTGGTAAAAATATAGCTTTATTTTTTGTCTGTGTTAGGTCACTCTGAGGCTGTCATTTCAGTGTCATTTAGTCCTGGTGGCAGGTGGGTTTAGTGTTGAAACATGACATTGTAGAGTATTCATAGTTCAAGTTACTCCTCTTAAGCCATTATTACTCTACGTTGACTGTCCTTTATTCAGTGATCAAGATAGTATATTTACCTTACAATACTTGTGATTAGTTATTTTAGGAAATCTAGGTAATCTTGGTTTGCTGTGAGGATTTAACCCTTTAACTCCCAGAAGTGATTAAAATGAAACTTCTCCCCACGATATTTATACATTATTGAGCAAACAGGTGATGAGAGCACTCAAACATATCAGTTAGAAGTTTTTATCCAGATCTAATACCAAATTCCCATAACTAATTTACAAGGAAATGTGCAGCACCTAGAAGGGAGAATTTATAATCAGATCTTGGGGGTTAAAAGGGTTAAACCATGGTCCTTCTAATTCTATGGTCCAGTGCTCTACTTCTAAGTTACAAAGAACTGGGGGGCAAGGAAAGCTAAAGGTATTGGTTTACAGGGCTGATATAATTATTTGACAAGCATCCTGTATTCTGCCTTTGAGGGTTAGCAAATCCTGTGTGGAAATTTCAGGAGATGGTGCGTTTTGAGCTCTCTTATGAATAAGAAAGACAAGAATTCTTTTTGTTTTGTTTTGTTCCATTTTTTTTTTATACATATTTATAAATCCTTCTTAGATATTTGGCAAGTGGTTCAGGAGACACAACTGTTCGGTTTTGGGATGTGAACACAGAAACACCTCATTTTACTTGTAAAGGTACTCACCCATCATTGAATTTTCATCCCTGTAACAAATGTTGTTGAGATTTTTCCATATCAAAGTCCTAGTGCTTCATATTTTAATTTGATGTTGATCAAAGTCAAAAACCTTTTGAACAGTGAAGTTATGATGTATGGATTTTCAATAATTAATTTATTCTTGACAATCATTTTTGAGGCCATACACACTGGATTTTACATATAGCGTGGTCTCCAGATGGGAAGAAGTTAGCTTCTGGCTGTAAAAATGGTGAGGTAAGAATGTGATTTTCAATTGATAATTATAGTGTTAGAGTTATCAATTTGGAGTTCTATTTTAAACAAATTTCCCATTTTTTGGTTTTAAATTTTCCTCCTTTAGTTTAATCTGTTGTCTGTGTGAGCATCACAGTAAATGTATATAATCTTTAAAAAGCTTTAAAGCATGGACAAGAGAATTGGAAACTTGGTAAGGAGAAGTTATGGATAGAGGAGAGGATATTTCTCTGACTAGGTTTTATGTTCAAGGCAAGCTTGTTTCCTCTTGCATAAATCTGTGTCTGGAGTATTACATGAAACTTGACCCTTGGACCTCTAAGATTGACTAGCATCTAATTTCTCCTTAAAATATGGCCTCTGAATCACACATCAAGGTCATGAGAATAAAGGAAATGATCACCAACCAAACCAAAGCTCTTGATTATTAAACTAACTCTCTCTGTCAGCACCTTAGGACATGTATACAGAACAGTATGGAGAATATGTACACTGATGTTAGGGTGAAAAGGGTCAAAGAATTGTCTGATTTATTTTAGATTAGAATATGGAACCCTGTTGATGGAAAGCAAATAGGAAAGACTTTGAAAGGTCATTTGCAGTGGATTACTTGGCTCAGCTGGCAACCACTTCATAGGTACAATGTTTTGAATAGTGGTTACTTAATTTAGAAAAACAGAGAATGTGATATGTTTGTGACTGTGAAGTTTTTCTGGTTAAACATTTTTCAAACCAATTTGACTTTAACCCTTTTTCTTTTAGTCATTATGATAATTATTGTAATCTGAAACAAATTAAGGGAAAAGTATTTGTCGCCCAATTTTATATAATTAGGAGACCAAAGCAAAATTGAATTAATAATATTGGTAAAAAGAATAGTGGTATTTTGACAGAGCAAATCAACAAATCAAAACATACTTTGTCAACCCTTTATTTCCCATGAGTGACCAAGATAGAATTTCTCCTTACAATATCAATACAATATCAAGCAGACAATTGATCAGAATAAAGAAAAATCTTAATTAGGGGATTATGAGTTGATCCAATACCAAATTCTCCAAACTAACATCACAAGAACTATGTGGCAGAAAGTAAGGAGAATTACTAATGAGATCTTGGGAGTTAAAGGGTTAATACCTTTTTCTGTCCTCCTAGTTGTGGTGATAAAGGCATATAGAATGGCATGCTGAATATCTCCAATTATTTACTCCACTCAAAATTCAATTTTGTGGCAGATCACTTGGCCATCACAGTTTTAATGAATAAAAGGAGTAACTTTCTAAAGAACTGTGGTGCTGCATCAGTGAGGGCTGTTACAAGACAATTTGGTTTAAAATTGAGATTTAAAAAAGAGATTCTAAAGCTGACATTTTGAGCATTAGTTCTTCATCAGAGCAAATTTATTCTGAGGAAGGACTAATGCTCAAAATGTCAGCTTTCTAATCTCTTTATTGTGGCCAATTTGCATCATCAACTTAGTTAATAAAACCAAAGTATCATCTCACTCTTAAATGTGTACTACATAAAGGGGAACAGTTTTATTTAGTATATAGATCTGCATCATTGATGAAAATTTTCCTGTCTGCTAACATTTCTAAAAGAATTTGTGTGGAGAATTTTGTGGTGGAACAATTGATAATCCCCTAGGCTGGGTTGTTCAAAGCTATGAGACAATATCCGAGGTTTAGTGTGAAATCTCACTTCAGGTATGAAAGCTGTAAAAGAATATTTGGTATAATTCTTTTTGTCTATAATTTGATGCTTGAAAGCTCTAAAAAGGATAGAGAAAATTATTTGAAAAAGGCTTTTGAAGAAAGAAACAAAGAAACTCAGATTAAATCTTAACCCTGGGTTATTGCTAATAGGCCTTTGAACAACTGGGCTCTGGACAATATTTTGTGCTATTCCCAACACTTGGCTGCTTGATACTGTATTGATATAGTAAGGAGAAATTATGTCTTGGTAATTCATGGGAGTTAAAGGGTTAAACCTAATTTTTTTTCCTTTTTCTTTGTTTTATTTTCAGTAATCCTGAATGTAGGTTTTTGGCAAGTTCATCAAAAGTAAGTGTTGCTCAACAATGAACCTGTTATCACATGAATACTCTGGAAATTTCATCATAAAGTAAAGGACGTCCAAAATTTCTCAGGCTCCTTTAGTTCAATTGAAAGCAAAGATCATTTTAACCCTTAAACTCCCAAGATCTGATTGTTAATTCTCCCCTCTAGCTGCTACACATTTCCTTGTAAATTAGTGACAAGAATTTGGTGTTATTAGACGAAGATAAAAGCTTCTACTTGATAACTTTAAGTATTCTTATTACCTGTTTGCTGGGTAATGTATGGACACCATAGGGGAGAAGTAATATGTTAATCACTTCTTGGAGTTAAAGTGTTAAATTTCACAGTGGCTCAAACAAGTATGCTGTATTTAGATTATTTTCATCTTGTTTGCATAAGTCATGTTTTCTTTCACGGAATGGAGTTTTGATGGTCAGCAGTAGAATTCTCCAATTGGCAACTTGTTTTTATAAAACTTTTAAACAGTTTGATTTCAATGTTTTCAATGAAACGATGATTATATAATCCTTATGATGTCCATTAAGGGGTTTCATTCAATTTTTTTCTTTGAGCAGCTGCAGACAACACAATAGGCAGCTTAGCCCACAAGGTGAAACCAAAACACGGGAGCCCACTCCCAAGCTAAACAGACAGCTATAGGAGGTCTTGCATGCAGCAGCAGACAGCTAGTAACTGGTTTTTAATGAAACTGCTGCCTGCTGTTTTGTGAATTACATTGATCTCAAATGTTAAGTATCTTAATTACTTTCTTCTCTGAAGGATACAACTATCAAAATATGGGATTGCATCCTCAGTCAGTTGATAAGAACATTATCAAGCCATACCAAGTCAGTGACATGTATCAAGTGGGGAGGGGAGGGGCTTATTTACTCCTCCTCTCAGGACAGAACAATTAAAGTGTGGAGGGCAGATGATGTAAGTGAGTTTCTGTATGAAACAAACTTTTTTGTTAATGCTGATGGTTGGAAGTATTGAGGTCTCCCTCTTATCTGTCATTTGACCTGGTCATGCAATGGGCTTTTTCCCTCTCCCCCTTCCTATTAACCCTTTGACCCAAAAGAATGACTGACACCTAATTTCTCCTTACCATTTCACCCCCGCATCACACATTGAGGTCATGAGAATAAAGGAACTGATCACTAACTAAAGATGCTTATGGTTCTTAAACAAATTCTCCTTGTCAGCATGTTAGGAAAGGTACAGAAAATAGTATGGAGAATATACATACTGATATTGGGATGTAAACTGTTAAGGCTGAAACATTTGAGCTTGTCTGCCATTAGCTTCTAAACTCAAAGGAATGAGGTTCCAGCCAAAGCAGCCCTTGGAAGGGGAGGGAAGCTGTTGCATGACAGGAGCAAATGATAGCTGCAAAGGGGAATAGTAGCACTGCAATACACTCATTTAAAAAGTAATCCTTCGAAATTTAAACTGAGTATTGAGATTTATACCTTATTAAGGTGTTATTGCCAACCACTCCATGCCCAGTCATCTTCTCTTCAGTTTCCTTACTTGTGGGTGTCTGGGTCTTTCTCAGTGTGTAAATCTCTAGCAAAAACCTTTTCTAGATAGAAAGTTCTTTTTTCCCTTTCCATCTTTATAGAGCAAAAGGGCTTTTAACCCTTTAACTCCCAGATCAAATTTGTAATTCTCCTTACTGTCAACCATACAATTCTTATAATGTTAGTTCAGAGAATTTAGTATTGGATCAACTAATTATTCCCAAATTGATATTTTTCTTTATTCTCATTACCTATCTTAATGATATTGTATTGATACTGTATGGAGAAATTCTGTCTCGGTCACCCATGGGAGTTAAAGGGTGAATAAGGTCAAAAGAAGTCCGGGATTTCAATTGTTTTACATTACTTACTAGTATTGTTTGAAAACAGTTGTCTCTCTCCTCACCAATCAGATGCAAATCTTAAATCAATGATTGTGACTTAAAGTGGTGTGATGGTTTGCTTTGAGTTGGGTTTTATGACTGTCACAGTATTTAATAGTGCTCTATAAATCATGATATACAGTAGGTAGTCATACCATCATCTTAAACATTTTGGTTCTTTGTCTTTCCATTTTCTAGGGAGTTTTGTGTAGAACATTGCAGGGTCATGCGCATTGGGTAAGTTTGCAGTCAGGGAGGTAAAAAGATATGGAAGAATAAAAATTTGAGTAATGTTAAGTTTTGTTCAAATCATTTGACTGTATTTCTAAGCAGCAGAGAGATAATTATAAACAATGGAATCTTTTGTTCATTTCTTGCAAATGATTGTGAAATATTTCTTAAGCAGTCATTGCATTCTAATTTTGTTTTATATAACAGGTGAATCACTTAGCACTGAATACAGACTATGCTTTAAGAACTGGTGCATTTGATCCATCAAAAGGCTCAAGTGATGAATTAGTTACAGCAGAAAATGATACACTGAAAGAGAGAGCATTGCAAAGATACACGCATGCAAAGGTATACCATCAATTTTCCCTTTGACCCCTTAAGGGTGACTAGCATCTAATTTCTCCTTACAATATCATGCCTGAGTCACACCAAGGTTATGAGAATAAAGGAAATGATCACCAATCTCCTGATTATTAAACTGACTCTCTCTGTCAGCACCGTAGGCAACATATAGAGAACTGTATGGAGAATGTGCATGCTGATGTAAGGGTGTAAAGGGTAATCCATCAGCTCACAGCAAATTAACTTCTAGGTGGCTGTCATCTTGCTGTTCAAGTTAGAGTTATCTTTGTATGATCAAATTCTTTTTTTTTTCTATTCAGGGAGGAAGAAGAGAGCGATTGGTTTCAGGCTCTGATGACTTCACTCTATTTCTTTGGGATCCAGAGGAAAGCAAAAAACCTCTAGCCCGCATGACAGGTCAGATAAGTGGGTACACCTGTATACAGATTAGAGATGTTTGAAACTTCAATAGGACAGAGGAAGGGGTCTGATGTTTCGAGCAATAGCCCCTCATCCGTTAGCCCTTCACCATTCACTCTGATGAAGGGCTAAAACTTGAAATGTCAGCTTTGAAACTCTTTCTGGTGGTCAATTTACATAATCAACTCAGATGATACCTGCCCGGTAATTCTGAATTACTCTGTTATACTCTCCCACCTATGCAGCACCACAGTTTCTTTAGAAACTTTCCTTCTTTAAACTTCTTGTTGGTTTATGCTATATAGTTGGGATTAAGTTCCACTTATTGAACTCCATGGTACAAAGCAGACTTCAGATTTGGTTATTTTGGAAGGACTCAACAAATGGTCTGTCCATGGATTCTAAAAGTTATAACACAAGCTGTAAAATAAATTTTATGTTATCTTTTATATTGCCACTACTTACAAGACAAGATTGATGGAAATTTTGTTGTTTGGTATCACGTCCCAGAACCCATTGTTTGTTTATTTTCAACTTTTAGGTCACCAAGCTCTAATAAATCAAGTCAGCTTTTCTCCTGATGGTCGCATGATAGCAAGTGCCTCATTTGATAAGTCAGTTAAAATCTGGAATGGTGACAGTGGAAAGTAGGTGGAATTAACCTCAGATTTTACTACTTGCCTCAGCCTTCAATCCTGGCCATCTTATTATATGCTATTTCATGAATAATGTAATTGGCTTTATTTTTCATTAGGTACATCACATCTCTTCGTGGACATGTGAACTCTGTATATCAGGTAAGGAGTTCTTCATAACTTTTACTGTACACATTTTTAAAGTCTGGTTTATTTTATTTTAATTTTCTTGTTCTTCTTTTTGTATTAATTGGCGAGGTGTCAGTTTCAAGAAGACCATTCAATGACTTTTCTTGTGTCCATGATAACCTTTTCTTTCCACCAGGATTCCTTGAGATAAAAATACAAACTTTACAATGATCGTTTTCCAGGTTACGGTATTCCTGGTATTCTTAACAGTGTTCAAATTTTCCTAGATTGCTTGGTCAGCGGACAGCCGACTTCTTTGCAGTGGAAGTGCAGACAGCACCCTAAAGTTAAGTGCTTAGCGAGCCAATAATATTAAGAGTGTGGTGGAGTGTAGGATTATTGTTTCAACCTCGTTCCCAGGGTTCTCTTCTGCTCGTTCCCTCTCGTTTCGAAGGAAGAGGAGGAGAGAACCCTGAGAACGAGAATTGGATTGTTTGCAAAACAATCAACGAAGCATGCAGCGCACGGATGTGAAAAGAAGTCCTTTTTGTCTAAAGGAATCGGCTTTTAACGGTTACTAAGGGCGTGGACCAGTATTTCAATCAAGATCCTAGACATGTGTCTTTCTGGTACTGGGGAGGAAGGGGTGGGTGGGGACAAAATAAGTCGCGTTTGTTAACAAAGGAGAGGGTGGGGGTCTTCGCATTTTAAGACCAACCCGACTCTACCCCCTTAGCCACGACGTGTGTTACAGAAAATCTTTGAAAGAAGTGGTCGAGTCTCGAGAGAGGAAATGCAGTAAATTTTGAGTTGCCATGAACGCAATCTTTTAATTTAACAGGTGTGGGATTTGAAAACAAAGAAAATCATGGAGGATCTTCCTGGTCACGCAGACGAGGTATATGGTGCATAATTCATTACTCAATAAGTTTCGTAACTCTCGCTTACTCATTGGTTCACCCTTTTGCTCCCAGAAGTGATTAACATGTAAATTCTCCCCATGATATTTGTACAGTATCCAGCAAACAGGTAATGGGAATACTCAAACAAATCAGGAAGAAGTTGTTATCTTGATCTAGCAACAAACTCTCGGAAATGACTTATAGGGAAACGTGTAGCAGCTAGAGGGGAGAATTAACAATCAGATCGTGGGAGTTAAGGGTTTAGAACCATTGCTTACAAGGCTATATATATAATGAGTAGGTAATTTAGTGTTAACAACTGGGTTGAAAACGTAAATTAGCCACCGTAAAGGGTAAAAAAGCTGACGTTTCGAGCGTTAGCCCTTCGTCTATCGCTCTGACGAAGGGCTAACGCTCGAAACGTCAGCTTTTTTACCCTTTACGGTGGCTAATTTACGTTTTCAACCCAGTTGTTAACACTAAATTACCTGCTATACTCTCCCACAACCGCAGCACCACAGTTTCTTTAGAAACTTACCCCTATATATATATAATGAACTGATGACTTCGCGCCTGGATCATTTAGAGCGCAGATGCACTGCTTTCGTCTTGAAAACAAAGTAGTTTTCTTTGTTTTTTTCTCTGTGTTGCTCGGTTTTTTAATGACACATTTTCTAGCCATCCTCTGCAATACAACAAAATGAAATACCCAAGTTTGTGTAATCTATTAATGAGAGCCTCGACGGAATATCATTCACATTTTTAATTTGAACCTACTGCTGCATTAGCATGTTCTGTTGAATGGGAGATCCCGCGCCGTAAGGGACGGTAATCACATCGAGCGGCTCACAGAATTTTAACGGATGTTTTCACAGGCGTCACTTTCGTGGCGATTTAGACTCCCTAAGAAGAATGCCGAACGTTTACGGCAATGTCAAATAAGTAAACCGCATAAAAATTTACTCTAATTTTTGTTCACCTGAGTTAATCTAAACACATGCATTTTCATCTCGTGGACAAACGGCTTAAGGCAGACGGAAAAAAACGTTTTTTTCCCTTCTCTTCCGACAGGTTTACAGTGTCGACTGGAGCCCAGATGGTACCAGAGTTGTAAGCGGTGGAAAAGACAAAGTCCTGAAAATGTAAAGGATTTTTTAGCTTGCGTTTAATTCAATGTCATAGTATCCAGGCTTGGGTTCGTAATGTTTATAGTTATGTTGTATTATAGCACTCGCGAATTTTAGGAGAACTTAATATCTGTATGAACAATACTTGATTGGATTTTTTCTGACCTTTTCACTCCCGGAGGCGACAGACGTGTAATTTTACTTGTGACATTTTCGACGCAATATCTTGCTACCTGGCGATGAGAATTGCTAAACGTATTGGTTATGGGGTATTATCTTGATGTAAAATTTCTCTTTTCTTACTTATAAAGAATTGTATGACAGGAAGCAGGGAGAATTGCTAATCAGATATTGAGAGACTTTTACAGGGGTTATGTCATCGCTACTGTATTCCTTCGCATTCTACCTTGTGCGGGACTTTGTCAGCTGGGCTTTCTGCAGACAGTTTGGTTTTATCAACCGAATTTTTGATGTAAATTGGTCACCGTAAAGAGTTTCTAAAGCGAACGTTTGTGTGTGAGCTCTATTCGCCCTGAAGAAGGGCTAACGCTCGAAACGTCAGCTGTAGAAACTCTTTACAGTGGACAATTTACACTAACTACTCAGTTTATATCATCAAATTATCTTTTAATACCCCTTCTGACGCAGCACCATAGTTTCGGAAACTTGCCCATTTATTCTTTCTGCATATAGTTTACCCCGTAAGAATACTCCTGTCCTTCTCCCCCTCTCCTTCCCCCCTCTCCCTCTCCCCCCACCCCCCTTTCCCCTTGAAGCTAAGAGGAAAACTGCTCTTTGCGGTATAACTTCGGATTGGCTCATATGAGCATTATCCACATGCTTTGTACAAACACTAAGTATCTGTGCTTCTTTGTCGAAGGTGGAGATCTTAAAGAAGAAAGACAGCGGATCGATGTTTGAAACGTAGCATGTACGCACCCGAAGGGAAGATCCGTGGAAAGGAGAAGAAGGACGAGAGACTGGGCACCAAGTTGACGGCGCGGCTTGCTCTGAGGAACTGGATAAGTGTTGCAAGTGGACGGTCTATGATTTATGAAGATGGCGATCAAAACAAAATGCAACTTTTATTTCGTTAAGTTCGAATTTGAACCTCTTTCCTACCATCAAAGGAAAAAAGATTTGTTTTGAACTGCGAAAATACTGAACTGAAGCTGCTATCACAGAATTCATTTTAGAATAACTGAGGCACTTTGATGATGATGTAAGGACATCGAAGATGTATACAGTTTATAATAAAGGAAAAAAGAAATGGTGCAAATTGGATAATACACCTTCAAGTCGCTGATCAAATAACCTAACTGAACCCGGTTGTTCGAAGGGCAGATAACGCTATGCACTGGATAGATCTCCAATCGGTGGACAGCAGGGTGGTGGATTGCAATTTATCCGTTGGATAGCGTAATCCATCCTTCTGACAACTTGGCCCTGAAATTTTCCAGCAGTTGCAGTTGTCGGAAACTGCTAATTCGACATTTGGTTTGTCTGTTTTTTTGTTCGTTAACGCGCAGTTCTTTTTTTTTCTCTGGAATGAAGGTAGAATCGAACCTCGATTATCCGGACTCGTTGGGACTGGGTGAAATGGTCCGAACAATCGAGAATATGAATATTAATGAGGAACAAAAACTGATTAAAATAAAAAAGCGACATTTAATTGTCAAACTCAAGGACATAATGATCGTGAATAAATATTTGTGTTGCTATGTAGCTTGTTTATCTTGCATACCACGCCAAGTCAATAGAGCGTGAAATCTCACTTAGCATCAAAACAACTTTAAGCCAGTCAGACCTCATTTGAATGTAATTTAATGTTAACAACTGAGTTGAAAACGTAATTTGGCCACAGTAAAGAGTAAAAAAGCTGAAGTTTCGAGCGTGAGCCTTTCGTCAGAGCAATTACTCTGACGCAGTAAGCCGAGTTGTCGAAAACACGGACCAAAACTTTGGAAGAGGGCGAAGCAGTAAACTCATTGAAGGACCAAACGAGGCGCGGCAAGGTGTCAGCTAAAAAAAGCCATGACAAGTCCTTTAACAAAAGGCGCGAAAATGCTGATCGGAATGCGAGAGATTCTAGTCCTAATGAAGTACTAAGATGCAAATTCTGTGGTGGAAAACATCGTGCTGCCAAGAAAAGTTGCCCAGTGTTTGGGAAAATGTGTTCGGTTTGCGGAAGAATGAATCATTTCGCTTCACAATGCCTTTCTAAAACGAGAGTGAACGTCGTCGAATCAGAAAGTGAAAGTGAGATCGATGAATACTGCTTCACACTCCACTCGGTGGATGAAAGTCAAGTAGTTAGGGTTCATGTGGCAAGCGATCTGGAATATGCTAAAAAATTGTTTGCTACAATTAACTTCGAAAACACACCAGTTTATTTTCAACTGGATAGTGGCGCAACATGCAATTTGATTCCCGCAAAGTTTCTTAGAGCTGAAGTCGAACTGTTTCCCACGCAGAAATTACTCACAATGTATAACAAAACAATTATGAAACCTCTTGGAACGTGCACTGTAGCAGTATCTAACCCCAAGAATTCCAAAACGTATCAGATCAAATTTGTTGTTGTGGACAATGACCCATTTTAGGAAATCCAACGATGCAGCAGACGGATTTGGTCAGGGTGCAACACCAAAATGTTATGACCGTCAATACTGAGGTTCAGCGCGGTAGTCAGGGCCCCCTTTCGATGGAAGAAGTCTTAAAGGAGTACTCAGATGTGTTTCAAGGCACTGGAAAATTGAAGGGGCAGTACAAGCTGGAAATTGAAGAGAATGCTAAGCCAGTGGTCCATCCTCCTAGACGAGTACCTGTCGTGCTCAAGGGAAAGCTGAAACGAAAGTTGGCACGGCTGCAGAGTCTCGGGATCATAGAAAAAGTCATAGAGCCTACCCGTTAGGTTTCGAGCCTCGTTATCGTGCAAAAACCTAATGGACAGATTCGTGTTTGCCTGGACCCTAGGGACCTCAACAAAGTTCTTAGGAGGAGCCACTATCCAACCCCGACAGTTGAAGACATTCTACCTGAGCTTACCAGGGCTAAAGTGTTCTCCACTGTGGACGCAAAGAACGGTTTCTGGCACGTTGAGCTTGACGATGACAGTTCACGCTTAACAACATTCAATTCTCCCTTTGGAAGATTTTGCTGGCGTCGCCTGCCATTTGGTCTTTGTTCGGCCCTGGAGAAGTTTCAACGAAGGCTTAACTACGCACTTGACGGCCTGACGGGTGTATTAACCATTCATGATGATATCTTGATTTTTGGCGAGGGGTCTACAGTGGAAGAAGCACGGACAGATCACGACAACAATTTCCACTCCTTAATGCGGAGGTGCCGGGAGCAGAACATTAAGTTGAACCAGGACAAGGTGAATCTGCGACGCAAAGAAGTCCCATTTATGGGTCATGTGGTATCAGAGAAGGGTCTTCAAGCAGATCCCGCAAAAATTAAGGCGGTGTTGGAAATGCCCACGCCAACTGACGTGGCCAGTGTACGAAGATTTGTTGGATTCACAAATTATCTGAGCAAGTTCTTGCCTCAACTAAGTGATGCATTGGAGCCACTCCGTAAGCTAAATTCACCAGATGTAGAATGGTTCTGGACTGACATGCATGACAGTGCTGTCCAACAAGTGAAGCTGCGGATCACAAAGGCACCTGTCCTCGAATTTTTCGACTCAACAGAGAGCCTCACCTCACAGTGCGATGCATCAGATAAAGAACTGGGTGCCGTTCTACTTCAGAAGGGTCAGCCTATTGCCTATGCGAGCCGTGCGCTAACCGATGCAGAGTCTCGGTACGCCCAGATTGAGAAGGAGCTTTTGGCTGTGGTTTACGGTTTGGAAAGGTTTCATACTTACACTTACGGTGGAGAAGTGTTTGTGGAATCAGACCACAAGCCTCTGGAAGTTATTGTCAAGAAGCCACTGCATCGAACTCCGAAGAGGCTTCAGCGCATGCTCATGCGAGTTCAGTTGTACAACGTCAAACTGGGCTACAAGAAAGGCTCCTCCATGTATCTGGCCGACACCCTAAGTCGGGCTTATTTACCCTACGATAGAAGCCAGGATGTCGCTTCAGAGATTGAGAGCATCAACATGACGCAGCACATCCGTTTGAAGTCGAGTACGCTTCAAGAAATTAAAGACCACACGCAGAAGGATAACAGCCTTCTAGAACTGATTAAAGTCATCAAGGCTGGTTGGCCTGAAACTAAAGAAGAATTGTCTCATCTGGTGTTGCCCTTCTTTGATGTTCGTGATGAGTTGAGCGTCTGCGATGGCATTGTCATTAGAGGAGAAAGAGTGGTGGTCCCAAAGTCGCTGCGTCGAGACATGTTGTATCGTCTGCATGATGCTCATAGTGGAGTTGTAAGTACCCTTTTGCGCGCTAGAGTAAGCATATACTGGCCAGGAATGAGCGGTGAAATCAAGCAGTTTATTGAAATGTGTGATGTCTGCAAGGCGTTTGACCGGAAGCAGCCTAAGGAGACTCTCATTCCTCATGAAGTGCCTGACCGGCCATGGGCGAAAGTTGGAGTTGACTTGTTCACTTACAGGGGTCGGAACTATCTCATTTGTGGTGATTACTATGCTTCTTTCCGGGAAATCGATTCCCTTGACAAAACTACTTCGGGGGCGGTAGTACAGAAGTTAAAGTCGCACTTTGCAAGGCATGGAATCCCGGAGACGTGTGTATCAGACAACGGTCCTCAGTTTACCTCGACTGAATTTAAGGAATTTAGCCGCCAGTGGAACTTTGTGCATGTAACAAGTTCGCCAGCTTATTCGCAAAGCAACGGAAAGGTAGAAGCAGCTGTTAGCTCCGCTAAAAATGTTATGAGTAAGTCAAGAAAAGTCAGAACAGATCCATACCTCGCTCTCCTCGAATACAGAAACACGCCTAGTCAGGGATTGGGCACCAGTCCGGTGCAGCGGTTGATGTCAAGGCGCACAAGAGCACAACTACCCATCATTCCTAAGCTTCTCAGTCTAGCTTTCCAGCCCAAGATCTATCAGAAGCTTCTCGCCAAGAAAGAACGACAAGTCCTTGCTTCCAATAGGGGGGCTAAGAATATCGCCGTCACCTGAGGAAAACAAAGGAGGCCTGGCGGAGTTCAAGACCTGCTTTGGTGGCTGAAGGAGGCGTTGAGCGATCGCATCAACAGTCGACATCCTTACCCATATGGAACAAGAACAGACTGGTCATGAGCTCTCCGCGCCGTGTTAGCGGACAACCGTACTCAGTGGTCAAGTGGATGCGACCAATGGGCATGCGATGGCATCTCGGCAACCGGAGCCAGTTGTTCAGCCTAATGGGTTACCTGTGCAAGGCCCAACAACTCGATCAGGCAGAGTTGTTAAGAAGCCAGCTTATTTAAGGGATTATGTTACTGGGATGTAACCAGCGTCGAAGCTTTCTACGTTCCACAAACTTTGAACTTTGTTTACCTTGTTTGTCTTTGTTTTAATTTTTTTTTTTATAAGGAAAAGGATGTAACAATAGGCATTGTTTAGTTATAGCCTCGTTTGAGTGTTAAACTAAAAAGGACGGGTTTTGTCAGAATTGTTTAGTTGTAGCCTCGTTTGAGTGTTAAACTGAAAAGGACGGGTTTTGTCAGAATAAAGCAGTTAATGTAACACTAGATGGGAGTTATGAAACGATACCTTCGTAACTAAACACACGTGACCAAGAATCACCGATCACAGTGCTCGTTTGTTGAGTGAAAGTCTAGGTATATAACAGAATCATATCAAACCATTAGCTGGAGCATGAGGAGCTTTGGCCCCGAAAAAAATTCGCAGCATGCATTCTACGGAGGCGCTATATTTCTGTCATCAGTGTAGAGAATTACATCAACGTTTGCGGTCCGTAGGTGTCTATGCAGTTACTTAAACCTGTTGATTATAAGTTAAAGGTTCACCTAATAATTTATACTGCATCTGTGCTCGAATTTCAATTACGAAAACACAAGAAATCTGGCATTGAAATCACTTGGCGCGATCTTATCATGGAGGCTGAAGTCTTCGATCGATCGGCTGAGCTTTCTATAGTTACGGGATCCAATCTCGACCCCAAAAAGTCCTGGTATGTGCTAACGAAAAGTTAATGTGAAATCAGGCCAAAAGCTTTTGCAAAGAATGAATTGTTTCGTCGATTCCACGATGACTACAATACGTTCTGTCCCGCCAGCAGGTCTCAAGCGCGCCAACGAGGGCGGGAGTTACTACATCATGGGCGACGAGTGGGGGAAGAAGAAAAGACCGACATACGAGTGGTCAGCGGGGAAACAAATTTAATACTTCGTATAGAGACATATCAGTTATAGTTGCGGAAAACAATAGTGTTGTAAAGCCGAACTATCAACAGTATACTTCGCTAAATAAAATGTTAAGCAATTTTTCAAAAGTGTTGATGGCACATATATCTTTTACTGCTGTAATAAACAATAGAGGTATCGGAAAAGGCATTGGTGGCATCCGGAAAGGCACCAAGAAGAATTTTATTTACGTTTTGTAACTTGCTGCGTGACGAAAAAAGAAAACCAAAACCGTGGTCCCCAAATGAATTCTCCCACCTTGCCCCAAAAAATTTTCAAATTTTCCGCAACTTCACCTGTTCGTATTCGTAGGTCTGGCCAAGCCTTTATGGTCATTGGCTCCCGTATAGCCACTAACTATGGCTTATAAATATAGGTGTTTAGTGTTAAATTGTAAAACTCTCCGAAGAAGTCTACGGCAAATTTGGTGCGACAGCTGTGGTCAGTTTTTCCATGCAGGTTGTCTGGATATACCTTTCGCAGAGACGTGGTGGGGACAGAGACACCAACACAACATTTCATCTACCGCTCGCTTCGAAAGTTAAATTTTCATCCCGAGTTCATTTGTTAAATAAAATAGGAAAAAAACACTTCGAACGGAAAACAGAATTATTTTAACGCCTGGATCTTCTGAAAAAAGGTCTCCTAAACGAGTGGCCCTGATTATAATTATTTAAGCATGGCAAACACATTAGCCTTAACTTGGCTGTTTCTCGAAGCTCAGTGTTTTCCTACATGTCTTTTTCACGTGAAATGAGGCGATTGAATATATATAATAAACACTAAAAGAACTACAGCTGATGGAAATTTAAAATTTCTTATCTAAAGGCTGTGGATACAAACTTAATAATGACTCTAAAAATATAAAAATCTAGAACGAAATTTTTTTAGCGTTGCTTAGATTTTCATTTTTCCGGAATCGAAAGTCAAGATTGCAAAGGTCAAGTGAAAAGCAAGCCGACTGTGATTAACGCCTTAAACAAGTCAAGATATAGAGATTACTTCATGGAAAATGCGCGCGTACGATTTTTATTCACGAGTTGTGTAGTATCAACGAGTGAATGAAAATCGTACAAAGTGATAATTTTTCACGGTGAAATTTTGTCGTTCGTACTCCTGATTGGCTACATTTAGAATCAGTACGAATTTTATTCACTACGATTTTTGTGGGTAAATCTCAGTACCTATGAAATAAAACTTTTTTTCGTCATACAACAAGCTACATATCGTAAATATCATTCTTCTTGATGCCTTTCCCGGTGTCAGCGATGCCTTTCCCGATGCCTCCGTTGGTTAATATAGCAGTAAAAATATTGTTCAAGTCAAAGCGTTCGGATAATTGCTTATCTTTTGAATTAGCGAAGTATAACCTGGTAATATTTTGGCTTTACAACACGATTGTTTTTGGCAAGTTACAAAACGTAAATATAATTCTTCTTAGTGCTTTTCCGAATGCCACCGATGCCTTTCCCGATACCTCCATTGTTTAATACAGCAGTGAAAGATATATGTGCCATCAACACTTTTGAAAAATTGCTTCACATCTTATTGAGCGAAGTAAACTGTTAACATTTCGGCTTTTCATCACGATTGTTTTCTGCAACTACAACTGATATGTCTCTATATGAACTATTAAATTTGTTTCCCCGCTGACCACTCGTATTTCGGTCATTTCTTCCTTCGATTTTTTCCTTCGTGATCGTAATATAATTTCAAGCCTTCAACATAGTCTTCTTACTTTGCGCGCGAGTTGGTTGGTGTGATGTCTGTACAGATTTTACCAATGTAATAAAAGTAGATGACGTGAATAATAGTGATGGTAAAGCAAGCTTAAAACGGCAACAATCGCCAGAAACTACAACGGATACACAGGGTATGATTAAGTTTTATTGATTTTTCGAGAAAAATCTTCATATTTCGAAATATTTATCGTTGTAAATCGACCATATTTCGTTCCCTATACTATTCCTTATAACGTGTTCAAATTTTCAACGGTTCCCAGAATAACTTACTCTGAGTCACACAACGCGTGACGCGTTCGTGAATTAATCGTTGGCTCTTTCTCGAAACGTGACCTTGGGTCGCCTGTGACAAGACAATTGCGTAAACAATACTTGACATAATAACATTATACACAAAAAACACGGGATTTTGGATCATGTATTTATTAAAAAAGAATATCCATACAACTACAATGAAAACAAACATAAGATTCACCTTTCTGATCGTGAAATTAATACCATTCGCAATGTTATCGTAGCTACGTTCCCTGGCATCAAGTGAATCCAACATGGCGTCTTTCTTCACTAGCAGTTTGCATCCATTTGAATTTTGTTCTTCAGTCTCACGGTAGTAGTGTTGTTCAATAGATTGCATAGAGTATATGCAGTTTGGTTTCAGATTTCAGATTTTGCTTTTTACAACGAGTTTACGTTTTCAACTAAGACATTGGCATACTTGGCATACAAGACATACAAGGCATTCAATGCTTTCATGGCTTTCAAGCGTTCGCGATTCTGTCCGATCCAAAATTACCGCTCAATAACATCTTTTTGTGTGGATTGGCCGCGAACAATACGACTTGTGTATGCGTCTATAAGTATTTTGAGCCATAATGCCATAATTTTGAGCCCCATAATGCTCCAGATAATCGTAATCCAATTACGTTGAAATACAAAACGACTGACAAAATAGTTTTATGGGCAAAAATCTCGTGTACATCATGTGACCCGGCCCTGTCCGTGCATGACAACGTCAATCATCATCAAGATAGCACGCGTGATCAGCATGTGAACACCTCATTGGATCACAGTTAGTTGTCATGGTGTTGAGGGCCCAATGACCTCTGGGTACTATTGCGCAATTTTTCCATTTTGTGGCGGAGGAAAAAAAAAAAGACGACAAAAAAACAAAGGCATTTTATGACTGGGCTACCACAGGTATCCCAGTAAAAAGGCATTTTATGACTGGGCTACCACAGGTATCCCAGTAATTAGACCCGTTAAGTTTGTATGAGACATTTCTCTGGACTCTTGTTTCTGGAAAATGAGTGAACAAAGTAGAGTTGCATCTTGAAAATGATTAGAATTGTAATCATCGGAAGTTGCGGTTTTTTCCATTTCATTCGAGGGGAGCATAATTACATTTTTTGAAGCGATTATCGGATGTCCTGGAATGTTTGGAATGGAATGTTTAGCGAACACCTCATGCCACTAAGAGGCGTCGAACCTTGGCTTGAAGTACTTGTGCAATTACTGGCTGCACATTCAAGGTGCAGCCAGCTAATTTGCATAACATTTTTTCCCGACGCAAAGCTCGTCATGTGTATAATACTGATTGAGCTGAAGAAATGAAGCAGTGGGGTTACTTTCTAATTGTTTTTTTCCCCTCTTTTTTTTGTGTCATCATTGTGTGTTTTGTTATCAGATTTGTTAAAGGCGATGATGTGGAGCTGATCGGGCGCTGGATTGCCGAAAACGTTTTTTCCGATATTCTGAAGGAAGAAAAGAGGGAAGGCGGATCGCCGAGATGGCTTTTTAAAGACATCGATCTTACATCTCAGGAGAGAATATTACATCGGATCTGGTTTGCTTCTCCGCTGTTGTTTGTGGGGATACTTAGTGGCGCGATGGTAATATTTTGGCATATCTTTCTACTCGAGGTGAGCAGCGTCTGCGATGTAAACGACCCTTCACAAGATTGCTTCGAGGTCGTCGTCTGGGATATGCCGAAGCAAGATCCCATCAATTGTAGCAGCGCCGCCGTTCAAAACGGAACCACATACGTCCTTTGCTACAAAATCGTTGTCAATCTTGGAGTGGCCATAGGTGCAAGCTATGGAGTATTCAAGCTGTCCATGTTGGCCTTTAGCTTGGGTTCGAGCGCATTGTTGATGATCAAGAAAACCAAAACCCTGAAAGCATCACGAATTGTCATCTCGTTACTGTCTTATTTTATCGTGATAATTCCAGCTGTTTTGAAGGTAACCCCTCTCGGTGTTACCATTTGGTCAGATAATCTTATTGTTTTCTTGCAGTTGGTGATAACAGCTCTAAATTTAACCTTCTTCCTATGGGGTATCCCTTGGAATGAGCTGATTGTATTAAACGCCGAGAACAACAACCGGAACGACACTGGCTTAGAAAACGCCGTTGCCGCTACTGACGACAATTAGAGGCGTTAGTCCATGGAAATGTGTGGGATAAGGACTTAAAACAGTTTTTCAACAATACCGCGTAGTTAGTGTCTAAGTTTGTAAATTTCTGTAAGCATGTATGTACAGATCGAAGCGTGAACAGAAGGAGTGTGCAGAGTATGACCGTTTATTTGCTCTTCCTACCACATCCGGGTACTAAATATATAGTCTACCTGAAAGTTATTGGCGCTGCGGTAAGGAGTAGAATCAATGTCTGCCGAGACATAGACACAAATGAGTCCAGTATATTTTGAACACAATCACCCACTGTCGGGCGAGGATGTGAGTCTTAGTTTGCTTTTGTAAGTCACCATGCGAACGAAATTGAACTTGTTATTTCCATCGGTGAATAAATTGTATTTAATCAAAGACTTGATAGAAATAGAATCAATTTACACCCCGATAAGTTTGTCGGGTGTTCGGAGGGTCGAAAAAGATGGTTCGTCAGGACGTGCGTTTGATTTTTGTGATTTGTAACAAAGGGGTGTAATTTAACTGGTCAATCATGATGTAAACGAAAGTTTTCGTGGATTGTACTAGCAAGTATCTATAAAGCTGCTTAATGCTCTTCTGTTGAAAATACTGAGGAATCCCCGCATCAAATAAAACAGGTATCATACAATCAGTAGAGGATTCAGTTTTTGTTTCTCTCCTTGGGATGTTGTCTTTCATTCGAGTAAATTCGAGTTTATGCGGGTTTTCTGAGAACGAGTCAATAGCGCATTGACATCATCAAGTAACTTGAGACCGACTTCCGTTGATTCTAGGAAAACTGAGTCGTCTGTTTACTTTCCATTTCATTCCTCTCGTTGTCTTAATTAATTTGAATATAAGTGCGGGCGGACGCAAGAGTTCCCTTTTTTGGGAACGAGTGGAAGTAAGACACTTGAACATCTTTTCTCGCCATGCCTCAAAATTCTTCTGCAGAAACCAAAGCCGATACTCCATTTTATCATCATTAAAGCCCTACCAAAGATATATTGCGGTCTCTGTTCTTCGAACAAGTGACGGAAAGTAAATAAAACGAAGTGAAAAACATCATTCCTAAGCTTTCACGTGGGTAAAAAAATGCGTGCTCTTTGTCTGGCTATTAGCCATCTGGATTGAAGCCAAATCTACACATCATAAACAGTTCGTGTTGAAAGTGAACCCAGGTACAGATTTAAGAGGCTGTCTCTCTTATTTCCACCCGGTCAATTTTGCGTCAAAAATAATTTTGCCTGAAACTCTGTTAACAGAAAGACTTTACCTAGGAAAGAACTAAATTAGATTTGATTTGATTCGAAATAATTTTCTGACTGCATTACGGGCCATAATTATTTCCCAGTCCGTAGGGACCGTCGCAACGTCTCAAAAATTGAAAAATAGGCATAGTTTGTAACGTTGTAAAATATTTGATTCGCATAGTTAAGCCACAGAATTTATATCAGATTGCTTAAAAACCTTTCTAGTTTGCCAAGAAAGTTAGAATTTGCCCTCTCGACATATTTGAAAAGGCGAATTTTAGCATATTCTGACCACTAGAAATCGCCATCGGCCGATGGCCGTAAATAACCTTGATTTAGACGCTAAGTTTTGGGATTTGGGACCTGGTTGACGATTCTGTCCTACACAGCCGTTAAGTTTAGACCTTTATTGGCAAAAATATGCAAAAACCCCTGTACGTTTTCGATTTTTCAAAAGTTATGACCATTTGAATCAGCACATGTACGAGCATTAGCGATTTTTTCGCCTACACCAAAATCGAACCACTGGAGCAGATTTCGTCATAAATACAGCTTACCCGCTTTGCAGCCCGGCTTCATGGCTCACTTCAGAATTTTTCTAATAACCAGATTGGTGAAATCCATGATAACTTCAACAAATAGCTAGGTATTGCCTTCGAAAAGTAGGCGGCATCCATCGTGATTCGTGGTATCAAAACAAATGCCGGAATTGGCCACATTTCGCGGTGAATCACCCATTTAACATCGCTGCAGAGCTGAATTTTTTCCAAAATCAGAATATAAACTCTCCATGTCTGGAAGCTGAGGGAGAAATGAAGGTTTTAGGCTTCTGAAGTGAAGAAATAATCGCTCAAATTTAGATCCAGTTCGATGTTATACTGTTCTCACAAAGGTCCGCACAAAAGAGAAGACCGCTGATAGCATGTGCCGTACGTTGTGCTGTATGGTTTTGTTTTGTATCCCAATGTAATATTTGGGCAGAAAAATTTTGGATGAAAAGAATAAATGCTTTTACCTGGAGTTTGATATCATATAATTAATAAATCAATTTCAAATATCCTGAGCTTGCTTCTCTCGGTTCCGCGTCGATTGTGTCTACAGAACAGCAACCTGTCAATAGCCGGAGAAATCATGGGTTTTTGTGAAATAATTTCAGATATTCCTCGCTTCCCAAACTGGTGAACTGGACTTTATGATAACTCCAGCAAATACCTCCAAAATTTAGCGGTCGGCATCTGTCGATACTCTTCTTTGAATCGTTGTTGCGAACTAAACTCGAAAACTAAAGCCATGTTTCGCGCTTAATGTCCCGTTGAAACTTTGGATTGCAGCTGCATTCTCTTCAAGAATCAGTCATAGAACTCCATTTGTAGGTCTATGTGTCGAAGTTTGGCGTTTTGGAATTTAAAGCTGTACGATTGCACTATCACGCATAACAGAGGTCCGCATTAATCATTGCGGGTGAACCCGCTGACCCTTTTTTTTTTGGAAGGCCTGCAAGTGTAGTATGGCATGCAAGTGCTTTTTCGAAACCAGAGAGGCTTCAGTCTGTAGCCAGTCCTCAGCGAGGTTGTTAGAGCTTTCATTGGACAGAGGATACGCATTGACGAAACACCCAGTGAAGGGAACAACAGCTGCAGTAAGAATAGTAGACGAATCAAAGAACACTCTCCGTACAAATAAGATTGAGCATTTTAGTAGCTTCCACAACTTCGAATATGGAGATATCGGTCTGAGAGTTTGGAAATGTTATGGCATCGGTAAAGGGAAGTACATTCCATATGACGTAATTTACATCAAGCACCAAGGTCAAACGTCCCTTCAAACCATAGAATCTCAAGGGTTTTATGATCCTCCTGAAAAGCGTGTGGTCAAGCGTCGTTCAAAGGGCAGCAAGGAAACAGAGAGTACAACGCCATTGTTTGAATGCTCTGTGTTTGGATGTGTTGAAGTGTTCGAAACCTTTTCGCAGCTGGAGCTGCACCTGGACGTTGGAAAGCATACAGTCAGCAGGTTAAAGCCAGTATGATGCAATCAAAAGGGACTGGGCCCTTAAGTTCTCGTCGATAGATACCGCTGGTATCGAGTGTTCGAGCTGTTCGTTAGATTCTAGTACACCACTCACTTCTCCCGTGGATACTTCGCCCCATACTTCGCCCCACTCGCCCCACAGGATGGGCCGTAAGCAAACCAAGGGGCAGCGTTAGATTTTCAGAGAAGGTAAAAGAATACCTAACGGCACGGTTAACACTTGGAGAAAGAACTGGGCGAAAGGCCGACCCCGCCCAAGTTGCAGTGGACTTGCGAAATTTTTTTGTTTCTCTCCTTGGAATGTTGTCTTTCATTCGAGTAAATTCGAGTTTATGCGGGTTTTCTGAGAACGAGTCAATAGCGCATTGACATCATCAAGTAACTTGAGACCGACTTCCGTTGATTCTAGGAAAACTGAGTCGTCTGTTTACTTTCCATTTCATTCCTCTCGTTGTCTTAATTAATTTGAATATAAGTGCGGGCGGACGCAAGAGTTCCCTTTTTTGGGAACGAGTGGAAGTAAGACACTTGAACATCTTTTCTCGCCATGCCTCAAAATTCTTCTGCAGAAACCAAAGCCGATACTCCATTTTATCATCATTAAAGCCCTACCAAAGATATATTGCGGTCTCTGTTCTTCGAACAAGTGACGGAAAGTACATAAAACGAAGTGAAAAACATCATTCCTAAGCTTTCACGTGGGTAAAAAAAGCGTGCTCTTTGTCTGGCTATTAGCCATCTGGATTGAAGCCAAATCTACACATCATAAACAGTTCGTGTTGAAAGTGAACCCAGGTACAGATTTAAGAGGCTGTCTCTCTTATTTCCACCCGGTCAATTTTGCGTCAAAAATAATTTTGCCTGAAACTCTGTTAACAGAAAGACTTTACCTAGGAAAGAACTAAATTAGATTTGATTTGATTCGAAATAATTTTCTGACTGGGATGAAAAGAATAAATGCTTGTACCTGGAGTTTGATATCATATAATTAATAAATCAATTTCAAATATCCTGAGCTTGCTTCTCTCGGTTCCGCGTCGATTGTGTCCACAGAACAGCAACCTGTCAATAACCGGAGAAATCGGCTACCAACGTGTTAAAAACTTGACACATGCTTCGTATGAACAGATGTTATAAGTGTTGCTTTTGGTAAATTTTCAATCGATTTCATCAAAACATTTCACTGACTACTAGATATTATAATATATTACACTATAACAACGCCGTCAGAACTTGATATCGGAAGTAAAGGTAGTTTGTATCTGTAGAGCATATTCTACACTTTCAGCCACCGTATAAGACATTGTTTACATAAGTCTACTGAGATACACACTGAAAATCACTAATCACGTCCGACAGTTTGTCTATGAGGATCTGTTTTTTGTCTCTCAATTTTACAGGGATCTCAAAATGACTACAGATGGCTCTCAACAAAAACCACATTGAATTTCTGAAGTGTGTTATTGTGGTAACGTTCACAGAGGTCCTACGTAACGTAGCAGATTGGATGTGAGACTTTGATCTCTTTGTTAACTTTGTCTACCAGATCTTATCTCTCGGAATTTTCCTGGACGCATTGGATATCTTCCTCCTCATCCAGTGATATCCCGATCACACCCTGATCTTTTCACCGCATTGCTGCTAGCCGGGAGAAAAAGCTCTGAATTTGGCTCTTTGTCAGCCACTGTTCTCTAGTGAACAAAAGTGCATTTGATTCATTTTTCGCATTTCGCAAGTCCACTGCAACTTGGGCGGGGTCGGCCTTTCGCCCAGTTCTTTCTCCAAGTGTAAACCGTGCCGTTAGGTATTCTTTTACCTTCTCTGAAAATCTAACGCTGCCCCTTGGTTTGCTTACGGCCCATCCTGTTCGTAAAGACGAGTGGGGCGAAGTATCCACGGGAGAAGTGAGTGGTGTACTAGAATCTAACGAACAGCTCGAACACTCGATACCAGCGGTATCTATCGACGAGAACTTAAGGGCCCAGTCCCTTTTGATTGCATCATACTGGCTTTAACCTGCTGACTGTATGCTTTCCAACGTCCAGGTGCAGCTCCAGCTGCGAAAAGGTTTCGAACACTTCAACACATCCAAACACAGAGCATTCAAACAATGGCGTTGTACTCTCTGTTTCCTTGCTGCCCTTTGAACGACGCTTGACCACACGCTTTTCAGGAGGATCATAAAACCCTTGAGATTCTATGGTTTGAAGGGACGTTTGACCTTGGTGCATGATGTAAATTACGTCATATGGAATGTACTTCCCTTTACCGATGCCATAACATTTCCAAACTCTCAGACCGATATCTCCATATTCGAAGTTGTGGAAGCTACTAAAATGCTCAATCTTATTTGTACGGAGAGTGTTCTTTGATTCGTCTACTATTCTTACTGCAGCTGTTGTTCCCTTCACTGGGTGTTTCGTCAATGCGTATCCTCTGTCCAATGAAAGCTCTAACAACCTCGCTGAGGACTGGCTACAGACTGAAGCCTCTCTGGTTTCGAAAAAGCACTTGCATGCCATACTACACTTGCAGGCCTTCCAAAAAAAAAAAGGGTCAGCGGGTTCACCCGCAATGATTAATGCGGACCTCTGTTATGCGTGATAGTGCAATCGTACAGCTTTAAATTCCAAAACGCCAAACTTCGACACATAGACCTACAAATGGAGTTCTATGACTGATTCTTGAAGAGAATGCAGCTGCAATCCAAAGTTTCAACGGGACATTAAGCGCGAAACATGGCTTTAGTTTTCGAGTTTAGTTCGCAACAACGATTCAAAGAAGAGTATCGACAGATGCCGACCGCTAAATTTTGGAGGTATTTGCTGGAGTTATCATAAAGTCCAGTTCACCAGTTTGGGAAGCGAGGAATATCTGAAATTATTTCACAAAAACCCATGATTTCTCCGGCTATTGACAGGTTGCTGTTCTGTAGACACAATCGACGCGGAACCGAGAGAAGCAAGCTCAGGATATTTGAAATTGATTTATTAATTATATGATATCAAACTCCAGGTAAAAGCATTTATTCTTTTCATCCAAAATTTTTCTGCCCAAATATTACATTGGGATACAAAACAAAACCATACAGCACAACGTACGGCACATGCTATCAGCGGTCTTCTCTTTTGTGCGGACCTTTGTGAGAACAGTATAACATCGAACTGGATCTAAATTTGAGCGATTATTTCTTCACTTCAGAAGCCTAAAACCTTCATTTCTCCCTCAGCTTCCAGACATGGAGAGTTTATATTCTGATTTTGGAAAAAATTCAGCTCTGCAGCGATGTTAAATGGGTGATTCACCGCGAAATGTGGCCAATTCCGGCATTTGTTTTGATACCACGAATCACGATGGATGCCGCCTACTTTTCGAAGGCAATACCTAGCTATTTGTTGAAGTTATCATGGATTTCACCAATCTGGTTATTAGAAAAATTCTGAAGTGAGCCATGAAGCCGGGCTGCAAAGCGGGTAAGCTGTATTTATGACGAAATCTGCTCCAGTGGTTCGATTTTGGTGTAGGCGAAAAAATCGCTAATGCTCGTACATGTGCTGATTCAAATGGTCATAACTTTTGAAAAATTGAAAACTTACAAGGGTTTTTGCATATTTTTGCCAATAAAGGTCTAAACTTAACGGCTGTGTAGGACAGAATCGTCAACCAGGTCCCAAATCCCAAAACTTAGCGTCTAAATCAAGGTTATTTACGGCCATCGGCCGATGGCGATTTCTAGTGGTCAGAATATGCTAAAATTCGCCTTTTCAAATATGTCGAGAGGGCAAATTCTAACTTTCTTGGCAAACTAGAAAGGTTTTTAAGCAATCTGATATAAATTCTGTGGCTTAACTATGCGAATCAAATATTTTACAACGTTACAAACTATGCCTATTTTTCAATTTTTGAGACGTTGCGACGGTCCCTACGGACTGGGAAATAATTATGGCCCGTAATGCAGTCAGAAAATTATTTCGAATCAAATCAAATCTAATTTAGTTCTTTCCTAGGTAAAGTCTTTCTGTTAACAGAGTTTCAGGCAAAATTATTTTTGACGCAAAATTGACCGGGTGGAAACAAGAGAGACAGCCTCTTAAATAGATAAATTAAAACATCATGTTTTGTACAAAAGTTTATTGATTGTTAGATGATAACTTTGCGCGGCTTTGCGACATAGAACATCGATGACGATGAAGATAGCTTACGTCAGTTCAACTTCATCCCACTGTTTTTTCATCTTAAAAACCAGCCACAATCTTTAAAACACTGACTGGGAAACTCTTTGAAACGAGGTTGATGTTCAGTCCTCAGGCTTGCAGCATGGAAAAAAGCACGCATTCACAGGATAAACTGGGATAGGTTCGAGGCAACAGGTTTACCCGGGAAACTACAGGATAAAACTTTCACCATACAGCATCACTTCGTTTACATGTTGCTCAACTTTTGTCCTACAGACTCCTATTTTATTCCATCACATCTACAGAGACAACCATGTCGATGCTTTCTTCGCGAAATTTGTGAGAGATTTCCCCTAATCACGAAAAAGTTGTATCAACCTCCCTTTCTCTCTATCTCTCTCCCTCCCTCTCTCCCTGCTGGTCTGCGCAACTGTTTCTCCCTCAATAGCTGAATCGTGAATTGAGTCCAAGGCTTGCCTCTCCGTTTCTTGACGTTCCCCGATGTTGCGTGACTTCGTAGGTAGTTACAGAACTCGATAATCACCAGCTTGAAGTGTTGCGTGACTTATTTTTTCCGTCTCGATTTCCCCTTTGATTGGTGCGTCGGAGACGATCCCTCTCCCAGGAAAAGTTGACCATCTTGCAACTCCTGCACAATAAGGAAAGAGGAAACTTCAAACCTTTCACTTCAAGAAGTGACCTAGATAAAACTTCCCCTCACAATATCAATATAATATGAACTAGACGAGTGATGAGAAAAAAGAATGATGTCAACTAAGGAGTAACAACTTGATCTACCACCTAATTCTCAGAACTAAGATTATAAGAAATGTATGACAGAGAGTAAGGAGACTATTGAGGTCTCTGGAATGAAAGGGTTAAAGACGACAAAAGAGATAAATAAAGCTCCTTTTTCCCTAGAGGCCCGTGAAGACCACATCGCCCTGTTTATCCACGACTTAGATGAGGGAAGCGATGCTATAAATGTTTCATTAATTTTGTCTTCGAGCGCTATGAAGTCGTCGCAAAAGAGTTAATGATCGATCTTGGTCTGTTCGCAGCTGTGTATTTTTTCCTATTTAGGTGAGCAAGAGCGGAAAAGAGCGCGCGGGAAGGGGATTATTTTACTTGTGTTCTGGACGATGTTTTGTAAAAAAATGCAGTCTTTTATTAGAAGCGGTCGATCTTTCTGATGCGAAGAAATCCTTCAAGGGTGGGATAGAGGAGGGAACATTACTAAGTTGCATGCACCTGATCAACATTGCAAGTGATTATGAAATAAAAATTACCTGTCGTGTTTCTACCGGTGCGTTTGATATTGCTTGTTGCGTTTCTAAATGACGCATAAGATCCGCTAACTGTTCTTGAAGATCGCTCACTTCCTGCGAAAAGAAAAAGATCAAATCTCACAGGGTCAATTTAAGTTGACAGCCAAAGGTAGAAATATCCGGAGGATTGTGTGATATAATACCTGTTGTCTGGTTGCCTCCACATCTTTCAGTTTGTCTTCCGTTTTCTTCAACTTTTCTTGCCATAACTTTTGATTATCTAGCAAACATTTGTTTAACTGAAAACAAAAATGACAAAATTGGAACCAGTTCACACACCCTTTATACTTTTCTAGTCACTTTTTAATCCTTTAACTCCCAAGATCTCATTAGTAATTCTCCTTACTGTCTAATATACAATTCTTCTGATGTTAACTCTGAGAATTTGGTATTGGATCAGCTAATAATCCACTAATTGATACTCTTCTTTGATCTCATCACTTGACATTTTGATTTTGTATCGATATTGTAAGGAGAAATTCTATCTCGGTCACTCCTGGGAGTTAAGGGGTTGAAGGTAGTGGCAACGCACCCTAGTCCTTATGACTAGGTGTCGCAAAACGAAAAGCTATTTGATTGCAACAGCCAATCAAAGCAAAGGTAAATAAAACAATGAGCCAATGACAACTCAATATAAATTCAGGCAATAAAAATCCTGGAGCGCAGGAAAACACCACAGAAGAAGTAACTGTTGTTTTTAATTTTGAATCTGATTGGTTGAAAGTATGGTTCGAGATGAACAATTCAACCAATCACGCAGCGAATAAAAGAAAAATCAAACAGCCTTCGATTATTTTCGACATCTAATTGAAACTTCATTATACGTTATAAACCGGCCATGTTAGTGAAACTCCACAAACCTCTTGCTCGTCTTTAAGATCTTTAACAAGCTTGCCAACCTTACTTGCAACCTGTGAAGCAAACAATACAAAAGAAAACAAAACAAAAACAATAGGATTCGTTGGGAAAAAAACATACAAAGTTAGAGTAATTGGATCAAACACGCCAAAAAAAGCTTTTGGTACGATTCTCGCATTTGATTGATTTGTGGGAACATATATCGCGCAGTGGTGAGAGTGCGCACCTCCCACCACTGTGGCCTGGGTTCGATTCCCGGACCTGGTGTCACAGGTGGGCTGAGTTTGTTGTTGGTTCTCGTCCTTGCTCCAAGGGTTTTTCTCTGAACCCTCTGGTTTTCCTCCCTCCAGAAAAACTAACACTCTAAATTCCAATTCGACCTGGACTCCGTGGAAAAGGAGAGCCACCTCTTGCTAAATCCCATTTATTATTTATTTATTATTACTGATTGATTGGTTGAAAAGATGGTGGAGTTTTTAGGACCAATCACAGAACAAGGTAAAGCTAAACCAACGCAAATCATTTTCAGTACTCAATTCAAAATTAGTCCAACAGTTGTTGTTATCGTTGCTGTAGCTTTAAACATCATGTCTGGAGGCTCTAACCTGTGTGTATTTTTTGTCCAAATTCTTTTTTTCTTGCTCAACTTCGGTAAGCTTTAATTCCAACTTCTTACACTCCTCCAGTGTTTTCTTTGTTCTCTCTTCCATATTATTCCTCTGAAATATTTCCCCAAAAAAGAAGGAATACCTAAAATTAGACAATACAGCTAGAGACACCAGTGTACACCATATGTTCCAGAGCCATACAAGAGGATAAACCTGAAAAATCACAGCAGACGTCAAGCATGGAACATCGTTCGAAAACCGAGCTCTAAATTTTCAATTTTTCTTCATCCGATACGAAGCTATTTGGGGAACTACGTATGTCTATAATTTGTTCACAGAGTGGGTAAACGAGACTTGGAAGTTTATTCAGTGCTAACTGTGAGTTGCTCCCAGGATGCTCTACCAGCCAAGCTGTGAAACACTTGCTAGTGAGTTCGGTGTATGCTGAATCCATATCAGTGTTATTTAGTTTAATTGCTCAGGAGATTATAGAGAAGCGCGTGCTCTGATTGGTCGAGGATTGCGTCATATCTCGCTATAATCAACTCGCGCGACGTGATTATGGCAGGAGCGCTAAATTTCAAATGGCTCCCTCGCATTTTGTCAATGTTACACAGAAAATGTTAAACGCGATAGAAGAAAATCCCACCGTGAAGGGCATAAAAGACGCTACTAAGTTTGGGTAACACTTCTCAGAATATGTAGTTTTGCTGATTGAATTGAATACACCTGTTAATTCTGGTGGAAACTGGCTGCGTATCTCGATACGAGTAATCAAAACAACTGTAACAGAACGGTTTCAAAAACAAAACGAATTTACAAAAGAATTCGAAATCAACTGAGCAATTGTGCTAAGACAACTAATCGCCTCAGGGTCAGTGAATATTGTTGAATAATCCCCGAGTCTGAGGCGAATAATTTTTTAATATGTCAAACGTTCTGCATACTGTTAGGATCAGTAAAATCGAAAACGTTCTCTGTGAAGATAGATTAAGTATTTAGGAATCCTTTCAATCTGACATAGAATAGATGTCTTTTTCGTGCGGTTTTTATAATGTATGTAGTGGAAATAGAGGCTTGGCCTAAAACATGGCCTCTTCATTCGAACTTTGTGCCATGAAAAGAGGTTCTACGATGTAAATCCTGACCTGTTCTACGGCATCTTTTTCTATTTGAGTTATCTTATCTTGGAAATAAAGTCTCTGATTCTCCAACTGGCTCGTCAATAAGTAGGTATACTAGGAATGAAACAGCAGCACTGATCATAGATAATAAAACAAAAATTGTCTTCAGAGTTCAAAATTAACAAACTAACAGTCAAAGAACAGACACAAACTTAAGGTACCTCCAGTGACAGTGAATCCATTTTTTCTTCATCCGCAACCTGCCACAAAGACAACAGCAACCAACTCAAAAAAAATAATAATGAAACATTTGCTGAAAGTTTTGTCGCTTGTTAACTTTGAATTTCAGGGTATACTGAATAATTCTCTGGGGGGGGGGGGGGGGGTTACCTGCGGGGACTTGGCATCCCGTCTAGAAGAAGTCAAGACATGCTCCAGCCTCGATCCCAGGATCTCTCGTCTTCCCGTGCCTGAAGGCATGGGTGGAAGGGGAAAAGCCCTGGGAACGAGGTTGGATATGCTCCCGTTCACTTTCAAGATCTAAATATAAATTTTTCCACACTGTCTGCTTTCATTTCTTATAATTTCAGCGATGAGAATTTAGTCTTAGGTCAAAGAATCTATCCTTGTGGATATCCTTTTCATTGCATTTCTGGTCGGAAATCTATCAATATAGAGAAGAGAAATTCATTTTTGGTCACCTGTGTAAGTGAAAGGATTAGGTAACAGACTAACAGTTTTTTCTGTTTTTTGTTCTACGTGATTTACCTGTTGTTCTGAGCCATATTCAACAAGCTTGCCGTCGGTTTTATTCTGGATCAGACGATGAACAAAGTTGTCTGTGGATAAATCAAAATATTGGAGTTATGAATAATTCTTCAAAATTGACCGCAGTAGAACAAAAGAGGAGGAAATGTCCCTGCAAATCCTTGTGTCCTACCTCCTGTGTAGTCCCAAACTCGCTGTGTTCCAAGCTCTAAGGAATATGTATGATGTGTTTCCTGGAAATGTCTGCAAATTCAGAAAAATGACGACGTATACTAAGCAGAAATAGTTTAAATTTCTCTATTTGTTCCAATTCGACTTCGATCTCATACATTGCCGTCAATTAAAAGCATAAAATCACATTTCGATTTAATGTCCTAAATCCAAAACATAGTGAAAAGGAATTGCAATAGTGGGCCGATCAGATCAAGGGAAAAAAGATCACAAAAAGACCTTAACTTAGTTACAAAAAATTGTTTGTTAGTTTTAGCTTTGCTTCTGCGTCGTCTAGAGAGTGGCGTAAGTTTTCTGGTCCAATCAGAGAGAAGTAAGGGAACACTGATGCAATCCTGGATTACTTTCATCAAAAAAAGGAAATTTTCCTAGATGAAATTTGTAATTCTCCTTACTGTCATCCAGACAATTCTCATAAAATTGGCTCAGAGAAATTAGTATTGGATCAACTAATTATCCCCAATTTTAAATTGTTCTTTATTCTCATCAATTATCTGGTTGATATTGTAAGGAGAAATTCTGTCTTGGTCACTCATGGGAGTTAAAGGGTTAATAGAACTATCTGTTGCTAACCTTTTTGCGTGAGATCTAAGATATCTACCACAACCAATGTGACCGCAAATGAGACAAATCCACAGGCTCTAAACGGGTAAAAGGAAATACAACTGAAACAGGCAGCATAAAACATTTCATACAGAGCGTACTTCAACTGAGACTCGTACAACCAAAACCAAAGTAATCAACACTGCCAATCCGGATAAGGCACACAACACAAGGAAGAATAACAAGCAAACTGCCCGAAGCGCTGGTAAAGAGGAGTGAGGAAGTCGATACTGGTTTTAGTCTTGCGTGTGATTGGTTAACAGGATGGCACGACCTTCCTAAACAAATAGCAGAGTAAAAGGTAGTAAAACGACCTAATCCTGGGTTAAAGGGGGTAAGTTTCTAAAGAAACTGTGGTGCTGCGTCGGTGGGAGAGTAACAGGGTAATAGGGTAATTTAGTGTTATCAACTGAGTTAATAACGTAAATTAGCCACCGTAAAGAGTTTGAAAGTTGACGTTTCGAGAGGTAGCCCTTCGGGCTCTTACTTGGTGTAGAAGACACACTATACGTCACAATAGAATTCATCACAACTGGGAATAAGAAAAAAATGAAAACAATAATGTGACGTATACTGTATCTTCTACACCTAGTAAGAGCCGCCCTTTGTCAAAGCGAATGTCGCAATCATTGGTTATCTGTTTTGATTTCTGTCTTTTGATTGACTGGCAACTATGGACATCCAACTAAGAGTAAACATGTGGAAAGGTGACATTTAAAGTTAACATTGAAATCAATTTGTACAGATCAAATACTAGAATTTATAATAAAGGGGGAGCGGGGGGATTAGGAGCATTCAAACTATGATTAACAAGACCATCAGATCTGATAGAGGAGGGGTCCGGACCCCCGACACTCCCCCCGGATGCACCATCAAAATAACTGCAGAACAAAGCGTACCTCATTTGAATTGCACTCAAAACACTTGTTATCGACCCCCACACTCCCTGTCATTCAAAGTTAACAATGAAATAAATTTGTAGAGATCAAATACAATAATTTATAAAGGAGGAGGAGAGGGGGGGATTGGGGGCATCCAAACTAGGAGAAGGGTGATGGAGAAGGGGTCTGGACTCCTACACCACCCCCCCCCCCCTCCCCTTTCGCCCGATCCACCATTAAAATAACTGAAGAATAAAGCGTACCTCACTTGAATCGCACTCAAAACACTTGTTATCATCGACGGGCTGAGGAGTCTGGGAATATCTACATACTGGACAACTACGAGACAAAAATATGATAACTGTCTTCCACAACTTCAGGATCACAAAAGACACATGATTCAACGAACGATACAGAGATTACCATGAATCTCAACAGTAAAAAATCCAACCACATTATTGCAGTCGATGACAGATCTTCTTGAACACCTCTTTTCGAAATCAGTTTTCTGATCATTTCTTCAAGTCGGTTCAGGCTGACTTTGTATCTTATTTTTTAAATTTATAAGAATCTTAAGCACAGTAGCAACCAAACAGAAATCGCCCAGTCATGGTCCAGTGAGAGTGGTTAACCCTGTAACCACCAGGAGTGACTAACATATAGTTTCTCCTCACAGTAGTACTAATGAATGAAACATTACGGTTATGAGAATAAAGGAAATGATCGCCAACTGAAGCTCTTGATTGTTAAACAAATTCTCCTTGTCAGTACCATAATAAATGTATGAAGAAAAGTATGGAGAATATGCATACTGATTCAGGAGTGTGAGGGGTTCACGAACCGAGCACCCCACCATCCGTCCAGCGAACCAGGGAATGTGCGAAGCGATCGACGAAACAAGCAACAAAACCGACCACCCGACGACGCACATACAGAACCGACTATCCGCCGAACCAAATAAATTACTGTCAGTCCAACAAAACAAGCAGCGTACCAAACGTTCGACGAACTAACCAACGTATCGACCGCCCGCCCGACGAATCGAAAACGTCCCGACCGTGCGACGAACCAAGCGACGTCCCCACCGCCCGGCGACTGTACGACGAGACACGTATCAAACCGACCGCTGAACGAATCCAGCAGCGTGATTGACGTCCGGAAAGACGAAAAGCGTAGTTACAGCGTAAAGCAGCCGAACGTCCAACGAGCAAGCGCTCCAACCAACCGACGAACAGAGCAACGTGCTGAGTGTCAAACGAACCATCTAAATGATTGTAATTTTAAATTTTTCTTTCGTGCTATATTCCATTTTGAGAAGAGTACTATCAAAATTTATAAAACTCACGTCGTATCAGTCCATTTAGACAGGCAGCTTCCGTGGAATGAGTGATTACATAAAATTGTTAGAACTCCCTCGACAGATTCATCCTGAAAGGCAAAGGAAAGCTTGAGTGAAAAGTCATTTTAAAATTCAATAATTTGCTTGAGTGTGGACATCTGGAATATATCAGAAGTAAATGAAGATACTGAATCCGAATATGTATCAAAAATCTTAAATTTATTTCCAAAAGCTGTCGCTGTCGCTGTGCAAAGCCTTTGAGTTTGATTGTAAGTATAAATTCATAATAAAAGCTGATATTTGCCCCACATTTAAAACACTTCATCTTTTGATGCAGGCTTAAGTTTTTAAAACTCTGTGAATCTTGGTTCTACTCCCCAGGAAGCGACTTTCGGTTTTTGAATTTTCAGCTGGCAACCTCTATATTCTGTGACATCAAGTACTTCGGTATATTTAGTGACGCACAGAAACCGAAAGGAAATAACAGAGAAACTTTACAGCTGTATTTTGATGTTATGATACCAAAAGTCTTAGTCTATTCGATAGAATCATCTCTCTTCTCCACAGGACAGCACATTCTGTTATTTAAAAACAGACAAGAGAAACCGAACTTTTTGAAAATACACTGGATGTCGTATGTTCCAAGAAATGTAAATAAAACTATTGTCTCACGCAAAATTTAATTTAATAAAAGCTTTTGAAGCCGAAGCCAAACGTTTTTTTTATCTCGCTCACAAAAGTGGTAACTGAAAAATTCAATAACAAAGATATCAACTGCAGCGGGAAGGACCATCATATTGATTCCCTGAATTTGGAATTAATAAAACACCACGTAATAAAGCAATCTGCAGGTAAAGCTCCGCAAGATGTTTCACAAAGGAACACGTCCTTGATATAACTCTGGAAACATTGCTGAGTTATTACAATATGTTTGTTCACAACGTGAAAATTTCAATTTTCAGTAGGTTACTCGGCGATCGAACCAACTAAATAAAATGGAGCATGCTTGAGTTCGAAATAACATAAAAATACGTATTGCTACTCATTCGTAAAACTATCACTTTTCGTCTACTGCTCAAAATGCAGGTTGATAGCACTTACAGTGCGTAAAAAATTGAAATCCTTACCATACGTTCTAAGCACACTGGGCATTTCGGCAGTTCAGTCAGTCCTTCACATGGCAGACTTCCTCCCTTGATACAGGAAGAGAAAAGAAAACATTTGTTTCAGTATGAATTATTAACGACTTCATGTCTCGAACCGTCTAATGATTACAGCGACGGCCGAAAAATGTTTGCAATTTTAAACAAATTGCTTTATAAACTCAGTACATGCCTTCTCCTGCAGCTCTCTATATACAATCTCTACATACAAATTGATGCCTACAAACACATGAAAGGACAGAAGCAACTCACTGGGGATTAACTGAATTATGAAAAACTGAAAGTCTGTTCCAGCAATAAACGATTATGTTAAAGTATTAGGCGATTGGCCAATGCGGACAATTGATAATTTCCATGAAAATCTCTCATTTTGTGAGTGCTACTCTTTGAAACGAACTAGTAGCGAAGCTGCTGAATAAATACGGCTTACTAACCGAGTTCGAGGTCCATACTGTTTATTACGGACCGATTTTTTTTACGCTCGGATTTGTGGCCCAAGCGCGAGTGTATAAAAACGAGGTTCCGTAACTTACAGCACGAACAGACGAAACGAAACGATTAGTAAGATATCTTATATTTCTCATGGTTCAAATTGAGGAGGCAGATTTCAATTCAAACAAAATTTTGAATTTAGCAGGTCGCACAGTGAAATACGGCACTTTAAATTTAATTGACTTATGTGTTAAATTTCGTTGCAGTTTAAACATACTTCAATCTGGCCTGCAGAGCAGGCGTAATTTTGGCACGCGAGTGCTCAGTTATTTTATAACGAAAATTATGGCTGCCATAATTTAAATGGCAGCGAAAGGCTGGGAAGAGAAATAAATTTGTTCCAAGGGGGGCGGTCGAGGATATCACCCATGTGATATTCCCCAATTTTCAAACTTTACATCCACTACGATAAGTCTTCATTAAAAATTTAATTGAAGATGAGAGAACGTTTTGTGGGTTGTAACGGCGTAAGGGAAATATTTGTATGTTCATTACGTCGTACCAGAGAATACACAACACAAAATATATTTTGCATCAAACAGTGAGCTGTTCGTAAACACTGTTTCATGCGCGTTGCAAAATATTTGAAGGATAATTAACACAACAGCCTCTATTTTGCGAGAAAACATGCTCGTATATTTGTCCTTGGACATTATCTGTTCCTTGAAGCTCACAGTTTTCCTCGAGCTTCGCTCTCGGAGAACTGTCCACATTTTGGAACAGATAGTGTCCGCAGACAAATATCCGTGCATATTTTTGCGCCAAATAGAGGCTATTTCTTATTTATTCATGAGGTTTTCACAGCAACTTACTTCTGATAATTTCTTGGTCTCCACTTTAGCAACATACACTAAATGACAAACCTAAAATGGTATTTGATTCATTAAAAAACACATCAAATGATAGAACCAGTAAATCATACATTCTAGTTATCAACTGTTGTACAAAAAAAAAATCAAGTGAAACCATCAAATATTTTTTTTCTCTCTCTTATTTAGATAATTCAAATGATTCCTTGTAGCAGTGCCCAATTAGTATCTCCTTAACCCAGAGCTAAGCACCCTTAAGATGCCTTCCCACCTTCCTAAAAAATGGCAAATACTACCTAACCCCTTAACTTCCCTAGATCTGATTGTTAATTCTCCCCTATTGCTGCTGAACAATTTCATTGTTAATTAGTTATGAGAATTTGGATTTAGATCAAGACAAAAACTTCTGCATGATAAGTTTGAATATTCTCATTACCTGTTGGCCAGATAATGTATATATTTATTTAGGGAGAAGTTCCATGTTAATCACTACAGGGAGTTTAAGATTAAAATTACTTAATACACAACCCTTCTAAAGCATTTTGATAACTCCTCTTTTTAGAGGATTATTCACCTACCTCATCCTCTAAGAGATTGTAATGATGGCCATTGTATGTATTGTAGAAATCATCTGCAATTTCCTTTAAGGAAAAAAAGATTTTTGAAAGCATTTTGTGATTTTTATCATACACAAAAAAAGGGAATACAAAACTTATAATTATGTCTATTTTGTCATGCTTGTAATTGGACAGTGTACTAGGACAGTTAAAGGGACAGTTAACATGTCATGCCTGTGTAAGTGGACAGAATGCATCATGTGTGTGCACTGTTGTCTCACATTTCACCAAGTTAACTGTTTTTTTATGAAAACGTACAACCAGTACTAGTTTCTTTCTCAAATTTTGTCATAGTTTTGATTAATTGGTAACAGGACTTCTTGTTGTCCAATTCTGTCTGTAATCATACTCATGATTAACAAATCAGACTCTTGCTTCACTGTCGTCCGATTTTGTTCATCACTCATATGATTACAGACTGAGTAGGACTCCACTTCCTCCTATTACCATTATGTACATTATTAGTGATCTCACCTGATTCCTGAATTTGACAAGAACCATGTAATGATTTGGGTTGCTATCTCTGATGATCTTGACACATTCAATAAACTCCCTAGAGAAATATTTTGTTTGGATGATCAAACAATCTGTGTGAAACAAATGAATTACACTGCAAAACAATTTATCTGCTCATGATGGTCCAGTTGACACCCTCCTTCCATTCAGCTGCCTATTTCTAATGTGCTCTTTTCCCCCACCAGTTATTGAATGGATCACCAGCAGGTGTTCCATTTTATAACAGTTCCACCCTTAAAAGAGAAAATAGAACCCAGGACAGCAAATTGAACTGAGTGCATATGTCCAAAAACATGGTTTAGAGCCCAGAAACCGGGAAAAGTGTCCAAAACACTGGATCATGTTAGTAGAAGCCCCAAAGCCTACCCCATCACCAACCCAGCTACACCTGGTAAGCCTAGCTCAAGCCAAAGTCTCAGGATGCATATTTTCCATACTGTTTTCCAAGCATTTTCTATGGTACTCAGTGTTCTCCCTTATTTTACACACGACAGGTAAAATAAATTTTCAAACCGGTAAAGCGATCCTTTTACATGTTGATTTTTCAAGAATTCCAAGCAATTTTAAATGGTAATAAGAAGTACTACAGGCGGTAAATGTTACCAGTTACTGCCTGAAAAGGAGAACACTGGGCACTAACATGGTGACTTTTGTAAATAATCATGAGCTTGAATGGTTGGTAAATTCATTTCCTTTATTCTCCCAACCTCCGAGTTTGATTCAGCTGTGATAATGAGATGAGAAATGAGATACTTGACACTGTTGCAGGTAAAAGGGTTAAAAGCAATTTCCATTGAACACACAGTCAGCAATAACCAACATGTCAGTTAATGATATGAAACATAATTAACTCACTCTGAAGGAGCTACAAACTCCATAAGATCCTTGCATGTCTTTTTAGCAGGGACAGCTAACATGCAGACCATTTCACTCCGCTGGACTCCGTCACTTAACAAAGTCATGTCACTAGAAAGATCAATAGCATCCTTAGTTATGTCAACAGTACATCAACTGTCATGGATTCTCAGATTTCACTGAGGGATAATGGGGATTTATCTTGGGATTTACAGTGAGAGGTAGGAAACCATGTACACAGAAAAATTCTATGACAAATCATATGATTGTGTTCCCAGGAACACAGGGAACAAATGTGATTTCAGAAATGTGAAAAAAATTATCTAGAAGGGTATATTGTTTGTTTGAACACTAAATTCTCAGGGGTAAAATAATAAGAAGAGCATAAAAATCAGTCTTGAGAATTGATATTTAGATCTAGGGAGTGGGAGGGTTAAAGAGAGAGAGTTCATTTGTTGTTATTTACTTGTTCTTGTAGATGTGAATAATTCCCTGGATGATCTCTACCATTGGATTTCCACAGAAGAAAGCTATCTTTCCCTGTCCTACACTTTTCTCCTCTTTTTCGTCTCCATGAGCAGAATCCAAGTTTGTATCTTTGTCTTCAAAATAAAATGAAGCAAGCTAAAACTTTTTGATTTGAATGGCGATGCAAGTTACCATTAGTTACAAGTATTAAGTTTCCCTTGGTTCTCTAAATTTGCTTCAAGATTTAACCCTTTTGATTCCTAAGAAAGAGCAGCAATCTTAGAATATCACCCCTGAATAAAAAGATAACAAAACTCACAAGGTCTATTATACTTTAAAACACTGATAATAGAGCAGATCTGCCTAACTTTATATCAGAGTGAAAAAGTACAATGGTATGATCTACAGCCTTGAGCTTACCACTACTCCTTGCATGAGTTTCAATGTGAATGTCATGAACATATCTTTCACCCCGATGAACTTTCATTTTTTCCTCAGAGATAGCATCAGTAGACATGGGCTCTTTTTCTTCTCCACTTGTGAGTTTGCCCTCTTCTGATGCTGAAATTTCTTTACAAGCCATAAATCCAGGGGCTAAAACACATTGAAAGTAATATCCTTGTTACAGATTTAACCCTTTTATCCTTAAGAGTGACTAGCATCTAATTTCTCCTCACAATATTATCACTAAATCGCACATTAAGGCCATTAGAATGGAGGAGATGATCACGCACTAAAGAGGCTCTTTATTGTTAAACAAATTCTCCTTGTCAGCACCTCAACAAATGTATTGAGAACAATGTGCAGGATAAGCGGTAAAATTTCCGCACAGCCCCATACTATTGTTAAACAAATCTGTTTTCCCAATGGCAATGTATTATTTTTGTCGTTGTTTTCTCTGATGAATGATAGTGTAATAAAAAGATAGTGTAATAAAAAGAATGAAATTTCTAATGATGAAAGTGTAAGTATATAGGTTCTTCTCTGCTTCATTTTTGGCTCAGATGAGTATACAAGGAGCAAAGGAAGACATTAACAATTCAAATGAAATGTATCAAAAGTAATATTGAAACAGTTCATGCCGGTTAATGTATTAGATAAACCTGTATTATTAAATACAAAATAGATATTGATCAAAATTATAGCGAACATACCCTGGTACTCACCACAGTAATCTAAACCTTGGGGCCCTGGCAAATTATCTGCAACCTCAAATCTGAGAACTACCAAGGAAATGGACATTTATTCTTCCTTTCTGTCCAACACCTCAGTTATTTGAGGGAATATGTGCCACAAATCCGGCCAAAATGTGTAAGACTACACGTTTGTTTTTACGAATTCATCGTGATAAAGAAAATACGAGCCTTCACTCCGTGACCAATAGCCAAAACAGCAACATCGTCGTGTAAGATTTACAAATTGTCAAGTATGCGTGTGACTGCTGTCAAAGTTTCGTATGATAGTTGAGAAACAGGTGCATTTTCCAATTTAAATGAAATTGTCTCCGTGCCAGGTAGTGCATGGTACGGAGATTCAAAGAGCTGGAGTTTGTCTTAACTGCAGTTAGGGCTAGGTTTTAACTTTATTGAATGGAACGTGATGTGTTGCAAGGTGTAAACTGCTGACCAATTTTTCGCGGGAAAATCAAGGTCAGGTGCAGAAAAAAAAAAGAAAATACCAGAGACCGTTGCAGGCGCAATCGAATCATGTCGAAGTGTTTTTGTGCTTATCTTCGTTAAATTACTATTGCAATTCCTCGATTACACGGCAGCATCATACATTAGATCCGTGGTAAAAAGGTACTGGTTGTCTGCGTGGATCGTACAACTTGTCACTGATTATTAGGTATTGTTCAACAATCATGGCGCTGTTGAAGACTGTCATTGCCATCTTCCTTATTGTCGCGGCATTCAACGCCACATCATTCTTTATGCACTTTAAAAATTTTCTCTCTCCAATTCTCAAAATGCTTCGAACGTGGATTCCTTCGGTTGTCAATCTATTAGAAGAAACTGTGGCCACAATTTACAAGTATTGCGCTGAGAGCTTGCTTGAGGACATCAAGAGAGCCATCGTTGTTTTAACCGAACTGGTTGGAAGGGTGGCTGAGTTATTCCATCCGGCTGTTAGAAGTTTGCTTGAAGTTGTAACTGATGGCTTGGTTGCCCTTCACAACAATGGAATGGGTTATACTGATGAATTCCTACAGCAAGTTCTTGGCATTGATGGTAATTAATTTCCTAACTTAATGATGATATAATATAATTTCTCTAAGCTTAAACAGGCTTACAGATGCTATATTGTAAATGAAACCCTGATCACACATGCAACGTTATAACATATTATAAAAAAAAAAAAGGGAAGGACTTTTTTTTCACTATAAGCTGTTATATGTATCAACATATTCACACCACCACCATAACAAAAGTATGACAGTCTCAAGTCATTCAGTATTCAGCAAACAGGTCATGAGGATATTCAAACTTATCAGGTCGAAAGTTGTTATCTCGATCTGACACCAAATTCTTGTAACTTATTAACAAGGAAATGTGTAGCAGCTAGAGGGGAAAATTAGCAATCAGTTCTTGGGAGTTCAATGGTTAAAGAACCTCAAAAAAAGGGGATACAATGCTGCAGCACAGTGAGGGAGGAAAAAATTTATTTTATTGAAAAAGTTTTAATCATCATTCTTCATGGGTAAGATGAACCTTCTAAAATTTGTTTCACTCCCAGTGGTGGCTTCATAGCTCAGATGATATGAGCACCTAACCAGTATTGGGAAGGCACAGGTTAGAATCCCATTGAAGCCTGAATTTTTTCAGGCTTCTCTCCTGTAATTGCTAAAATTGTAGTCCATGTACAAGAACAATTTTGTTGCTTGCTTTTCAGTTGTACGCTGAATGAAATTTATTAATTTATTTCATTAAAGGTTATAGTGAACTATGTATAACATAAGAGTCATGTTACATCTTGCATGTAAGAAAATAATTATCATCAGCATCTCTACTCAAAAACACTTGACTGTGATACATAACTAGTTATTTGATCATGAGTGCTAATTTTTTTTAAAACTTATTATAGGTGCTACTTTACCGGATCAAGTTGGAAGAGCAAGAAACAAACTCTTATCAGTGATTTTGTTGCTCTTTTGGATCATCATGGGTATCATTTGCATTTCCAGAATGTCCTATAACAAATTTTTCCTTTTGATGTCTGGTACATTCCTTGTCCATGCCTTTTTTGGGCCCGTGTGGTGTATACGACGGTTAGCATTTTGCATTGGAATTTGCTTATGGATGGGTTCTTTAGTCTCCAGTAAGCCAATACCAGCGGCAATCACTGTTTTGCTTGCTTTCACATTGACAGGCTTCAGAAAATGGCGGAAGAAAGTTGCTATGATGTCAAACACAAGTCATCTCTTGAAGTTTAACCAAAGTATTGAGCAAAGACTTGATGGAATAGAAAGAAAACTAGACCTTTTGATGACGAGGCTAAATAACATAAACAACAATATGCACTCCAGCTATTAAAAAAGTTGGGCTATGAATTTATTTTTTGCCAATGTTGATTGGGGGAGAAGTTACGAAAGTCAAACCTGCTAATCATTGCAATTACAGGATGGACATGTCTTCTTTCAAATAAAGATTAGATTATGATTACTCATAATCAACTATTATGTTTAGGAATCAAGGACTAGAGATAAAATTTTCCTTATGATAAATCTACTAGTTGTTCAAACATGACAACAAGAAAAGCATGTCATTGAATAAGAATACTAATGGATCATACCTCATGCTGTTCACTTTAGTCACAATTTGTTGATATTGCTTGATGCAGAATCGATTTTCCTTGATGTCTAACCCTTAAACACTTAAGAGTGATTGGCATCTAATTTCTCCTTATAATGTTACCCCTGAATCAAACATTAAGGAAATAAGAATAAAGGAAATTGTAGGAAGCTAAAGAAGCTTTTGATTGTTAGACAAATTCTCCTTGTAAATACCTCAGGACATGTAAAAGGAACAGTATGGAGAACTTGTATACTGATGTTGTGGTTTGGAAAAGTTTTAGCCTTGCCAATGAAACAAGAGTCTGTTCTTTCTCAAGACCTATGAGGGGCTGATACAGCCCACCCCTTGTGGAGAAAAGAGGACTGGCCCTAGTGGTTGAGTGATTGATGAGAATATCAGAGTTATTAACAGTGGTGGATCTAGGGGAGGGGCTTGGGGGACCCAGGGCCTCCCCCCCCCCCCCCCCCCATATTTTGGGTAAAAAAAAAATCACAGAAGGAAGAAAAGCCAGTAGGGCAAGCGACAAAAAACCCCTTTTAGCTCAAGGTCTGGATCCACCACTGATTAATATATGAAATTTTTGCATGAGTGCATGGATATAATATAAAAACATATTTGTTAACAGCTGCCAGATTCTTGCACATTTCAGCTGTCATTTTTTTCCAATATGTAGGTGTCTTAATTTATAGAAGGATACAAGTGACTGGAAAGTTTTGAGATTTAAAATGGATCGATGTAGATCAAGCCTTTCTTAGAGGTAAATCAACTTACCTGAAAAAAAAAAAAAAGGAAAACAAAATTAATAATAAATTATTATTGTAGTGGACCATTGAATTTTTGAATTTTATTACTGATGACAGCCTTGCACACTCCTTCTTCTCCCCTGTTTAAAACATCTGTCCACCCCAACCCCATCCCTGTCGTTACCCCCGCACCACTCCCCACCCGAACGGAAGGACTGTCGGATCTGCCGCCACGGAAGTGAGTTTATTTTCACTTTCTGTCGAGTCTGTTATGCTCTTGCGGCAGTTTCCAAAAATTCGTGTTGGTACTTTCACTTTTTTAGCCGCTTCCTCAGCCGTTGTTCAAGCCAGTAAGTATAACACCCTCATTATCACGTCGTAAGCATACATATTTCAAACTGTCGCGTTCGTTCGAACATCATAAAACACCAGCTTTTTTCAAACGTGACTAAACACATCACTGACCTTTCCAATATTGATCGAGGATTTTTAAACTGTTATTATAGTCATTGAAAATGTTGATTACACCCAGGGAAGCATTTAACGCTACGTTTAGCATGGTTTTCTACAAAGACTGAGGAACAGGTCGTTTGGTGAACAAAATAACTGTTTGAGTAGTGTTCCGATTTGGAATTCAACCAGGTTTAACATTCTAAAGAAGCTTAATGTTAAAATTATTCCCCTCTCAAATTTTATTAAAACTGTGTCACACTTTCGCTTTGCACAAAAACGGGACTGGAGAAGGAATTCTCTAATGTTTTCTCCTGTAACAGGAGTTGGCAAATAATCTTTGTTATTGGTTTGCATATAATTAAGCTTGATTAGTCGAAGGAAAATCCGGAAATATTTCTTTGATAAAGATATCCAATGTCAAATCAGAAAGTAATTAACAACTAGCATCAAAAAAGTAATATTCCTGTGGTGATTCTAATGAAAGCAAAAGTTGACAGATTTGGTACAATTTTTGAGAGACTCTAATTGCTTAGTTTCTTGTATTTGTGGCAGACTTGTGATCAAAAGGTTTGGTTTGGCACCCCTGCCAGGTTATTGAGATTTGTCTCTTGGCAAGACACTTCAACATGTCTTCATATTAAATATCTCTTGATTCTCCGTTTAAGTCTTGTTTCAATTGTATTATATATCTTGATAACTTTGCAATTGATTTTTTAATTATTCAACGGACTTAATTTTATTTTATTTTATTTAACAATTGTATTTTTATTAATGATTATGGACAGCACTTGTTTTAGAAGGGTGCCTAGAATATTTGGGGTCACCTAGGACTGTGATAATATTGTATTGCTAACAAATAAAATTGAATTGAATTGAATTGAATTCTCCAGCTTGGAGTATGAATGGGCACAACTTGATTGTTATGGAAACTTAGTGAATTATTTGGGGAAGGGGTAGGTTCTTGTAATGAATCAGCACCTTGTGGGGGAGGAGTAGTTATACTTCTAGTCACCTCATGTTACTGAGATGTGGTAAACCAAGGCAGTAACAGGCCTCTGGGAAATAAAAGATGTTACCTATCTCTGCTGTGCCTATTTGTTGCTCTTTTTTACCTACCAAATTTTGCGTGATCTGTGATTTATTACGGAACAGATACACAACAACATGGAATCTATTTGTTAACCCTTTAACTCCCAAGATCTGATTGTCAATTCTCCCCTCTAGCTGCTACACATTTCCTTGTAAATAAGTCACAAGAATTTGGTGTTGCATCAAGGCTTCTAAATCCTACTTGATAAGTTTGCATATTCTCATTAGATGTTGGCTAGATAATGAGTGGATGTTATAAGGAGAAGTTACATGTTAATCACTCATGGGAGTTAAAGGGTTAAACAGAATTAAGGCTTCAAATATAGATGTTGAAGTTTTGAATTAATTTTGGTGAAAAAAATTTGAAATAGTTGTTTGTATATTCCATTTGTTGAGGATAAATTATCGTATTTGTATAGGAAAGGAAAACAAAGAAATGGAGTCTGAAATGATTTCCCCTAAATTTCATTTTAACTTACCAGATACATGACATGTACTGGTAATAAAATACTAAATAATCATTGAAAAGTGTTTAAAAATACATGCTGCTTAGCCTTAACTTTATATTTGCTGTTTATTATCCTCAGCTCAAACTGGACTGTGTTACTCTATAATGCACACCAAGGCAAGAACTCCAGAATATCCTAGGTCGAATGCAAAGAAATTTCCAGTACCAGCAGAGTTTGTGGACTGGAAAGTTCCATTCCCAGAATATAAACCAGTAGATTACACCTCTAAGCACATTCTTCAGATGCCACCTTATGCAGATCCAGATATAAGGTAAAAATATTTTTTACCTATTGACTGAGTGGGAGGGCCATACAGGAAAATACGCATGTTAGCTTTTCTATGTTTTTTTTTAATAGATTTGTGCCTTCAGGGCAGAATGGGGTGTATTGTAACAAATTTTACCACACTAGGAAAGATCTGCATTAAGTTTCATTCATTCCTTCCTAGAGTAAATCCTTAAGAAAAATTTTAAAAAATTCTTATTTTAGATTGTATTTTTCTTCCCCTGTGACCTTAGGAAAGGACCTGCCAATGTTCCTCTCAAATTCAATGCCCTGGATACAACTTACAACACTGACAGGAAAAGTTACATAGGAGAATATGAAGTTGTACAAGGTGTTCCAAGGTAATGAAGCAGTGCCGTGCTTAGATAGTGGAGAGAGATTAAGTGGGCCAATGTTTTGCATAGCTTGCAATTCTTTAGCTTAACAGGATTGCTCCACCAGTTTGAAAATTTATTTTATCCATCATGGTTAATTTAAGGGAGGACACTGCTGTATGGTGCCTTGCAAGGGTTGTGATCTTTGTCAAGGTCTCTATTTCTCACAGTGCCTCTCACCATCTAAAAGTATCAGTGGCTATCAATAGAATGTAGGGGAAACTCAGTAAAACTTTTGAGTAGGGGGAGGAAGGGGTGATTTACTATCCTTGCAGGACTAGCGCAGCACTCTAAGTTTAACTTGTTTTGTTATAGTTAGAATTTTGTGGCATTAAATCATAAGATGGGGTTAGAAGACAAGTAAAACTTGGAACATTGTGGCACACCATTTAGGAGGGTCTCCTATACTTATTATGTGGAGTGTGATTGGGTGATTTTTTTTCCTTGTGAATCATGATTTATTTTTTTTATTCTTGAATTTTAATTAAAGACAATAAGATCTTTTCATGTCCATGTGAACAATTTTTTACTTGAACATGACCCATGAATTAAGAGCCAAATCAAATGTCAGTTGTGAGCCATTTTGTTTTGAGTGATGAATTTGCTGCTATTTTCAATGTTGTTTTGAAAATGTTCATATTGTTCTCGAACTGCTGTGGTTAGGTTTTGACCAGGGTTTTGGCAGGAGATGGACTCCACATGAATTGATAAAAGTCATAAAACAGACCAGTAATGGTCCTTGAACAAATGAGATAAGACTTTATGTCATCTTTTGTTATTTAAGACTGGTCAAGACAAGAAAAAGTAAAATTTTAATTCAACCTGATTGTCTTGAATTTTGCATGAAGGTGAAAGAGTTTTGGATATTATTTGTGATATGTGAAAAGACCAAATGTTTTCACATGGCTGAGTTTTACAAAGGGGTATAGAGGAACCTCATATAGGAGGAGTGGCATTGCTTTCAGTCTCAATGTGCTTCAGAAAGTGCAATAAGCTCTGGCAGTAACAGGCTTTCCTGCTGGAAAGACCTTGTGACAAATAACCAAAGGAGGTCTAAATTATATGGTAATGGAGTTGTAAGGTAGAGAGTCAGTTTTACATTGATTTATTTGGATGCTTATGTTGTTTCTTGCTCAATCATAGCTAATTGCAATCTGTTTTCCTTAAAGGAACCCTGTTGGTAGAACAGGGATGATTGGAAGAGGAGATCTTGGCAGATGGGGCCCCAACCATGCCGCAGATCCAGTTGTCACCAGGTATGTGTGGTGATTTATCTTTCTCTGATGCAAGGGTGATCTGAATGTTTGATGGGGCCATATAAAAGTTCAAGTCAATGCTAAAAACATACCCACCTTCTTTGATTGCTGAATATCAAAAAGACTTTAAAGACAATGTACCAAATTAAATGTTGAAGTTAAAATCATACCTAGTTGCTTTCCACTGCTAAAAGAGTCCTTACAATCCTTCAACACTGTTTTCTCTGAGAAAACATTTTAGAGCAGAACTTTAAAGTATGCTTAACTATTTTACAATTCTCTTTCTGTTATGAGACATTCTTTATTTTTTTTAACTCAAAGGTGGAAAAGAGACAGTTCGGGAGAAAAAGTTATGAAAGAAGGAAAACCTGTTCTAGAAATTGTTGCTATTCAGAGGAGAGATTGCAAAGAATGGGCTCTTCCTGGGGTAGGTGTCTAACTTGCATGTATACCTAGTACAATTTTGTTCCAGATCAGTTATAGTCTGCTCAGAGACTGTGCCCCAGACCATGCCCAAAAGTCACTTTGTGAACACCAAAGAGAGGTGGCCATTGTGGGGAGGTATGGTTACTAGAGCTCTGTACTTGCTGTTTAAAAACCTTATGAAATCTTTTATGAAAAAATTTAGCTATTGTAGCATACAATTTCAATTTCTTTGGTTACCAAAGAGAGGTGGCCATTGTGGGGAGGTATGGTTACTAGAACTCTGTACTTTCTGTTTAAAAACCTTATGAAATCTTTTATGAAAAAATTTAGCTATTGTAGCATACAATTTCAAGGACAGTCACACTTTCATAACAGCTATAATTAAAGATAGAAAAGTTAATGCATGGAAAATCTGTCTTTTATGTAAGACAGTGGCAAACAGTAAGAGATGTTGCCCAAAAATTATCTCCAATAATGTGCAAATATATCTTTTCAGGGTATGGTAGATCCAGGTGATACTGTCACAAACACCCTTAAGAAGGAATTTGGTGAGGAAGCTTTAAACTCCTTGGAAGTTTCACCTGAAGAAAACAAAAGAATCCAGGAATCACTTGAGCATCTTTTTCATCATGGAACTCTGGTAATTGCAGACTATGAATGTCACAACACCCAGAATGAGTCTGAGAGGGCTTTCTCTCCCACACCATCCCCTGATCTTGCTTTACTTTACTCTGTGATTGGTACAGAAAAACTTGCATACCCTCCCATCCAATTGGGTATAAGTGACTTGGTCATGTGTCTTTCCCGGCATTTTCGTCCCCAGAGCCTCTCGTTTTCATTTATTTTTGTGACCAAACGTAGTGAGAAGTTTGGGAACGAGAATGGTGTTTTTTTACCTTCTCATTGGCCCCGTCTGATATTTAAAATTGGTTTTTGGGTAGAGTGTGGTTATCGAGTTATGGATGCAGGTGGGAAGTTTGGAGAGCGTGGGGGAAGTATAAGAGGAGGTCGAGGCGCAGCCAAGAGGAACTTAAGCTTCTTGAGTGCTCTGTAAAACTTCCCAGTTGCATCGATTAAACAAGATATATGCACAGCTAAAATTGCAAACCAATTATTTATATAATAGCGGAGACATTGGTTTCGTTTGGCTCATCTTATTCATCTTGCCTCTTTTAACTAATTGACCAAGAGAAATTCGCCTCTTTCAATTGGTTGAGAAAAATGTAGACAAACGAGATCAGAATAATCAAGTTTAAGGAAATCTTAGCTTGATAAAAGTCAAAGACCCCAAGAAGGGATTTGATTTCTCTATGCTGTTGATGTAAAGATGCTCGATGCAGCTCCTAAGGACGAACCCCAGGAAACTTGCACTTTCTCCCAAGCGAGCATTACTCTTTTACTTAAACGGGCGTTAGCACCAGTAGAGGAAACCCAGGTATGCTAGTGACAATTTCTTTGCTAGTTTCTTTCCTCGACAGTCGGGGAGTGAGGTTCGCTACAGGAACTGACGGCTTAACTGGATGTGAATTTTGCAACAAAATATAACTGTTCACGTCATGCTACTTAGTCAAGGTCATGTGCGCCTAGAGATACACATCACCACTGCTTTACAGGTTTAAGGAGATTTAGATAGGACAAACGTGCGCCATGCGACAATTTTACTTGTTCCGATTGGCCCTCACGATTCCTTTGGTGTTGCTGTATTTTGAAGGTATTTCAAGGCTACATAGATGATCCCAGAAACACAGACAACGCCTGGATGGAAAGTCAAGCGGTTAATTTTCACGACGATAGTGGAAACGCCTTCAATAAGTTCACTCTGCAAGCTGGAGATGACGCCCAAAACGTCAAATGGGTCGAGGTGTCTCACGAACTACGCTTATATGCAAACCATCTCGACTTGGTAAAAGAAGTAGCTATGAAGCATAAAGCGTATTGGTAGCCAGCCAGCGGGAATAAATTCACACAGATTAGATTTTTAGATAAATTCAGTTTGTAATTCAAACTTGCTTTACATTTCCGTTACATTTACGACCCGTGGCTCTGATTATTTAAACAACGTTTAGGCGTTGTTTGGCCGAACCGCGTTAAACAATCCTCAATTTTGCCAAACCTTTCATTTACTTTTATCTGAACACTTATTTTTGTGAACCGTGTCAAAAGGGCTAAAAGCTAATAGTGGAAGGGCAGTTATTTAATCTAAGCAACTGTCGTATAGAGAAAACCTGAGGCACACTGATTGTTAGTCTGTTCCAGGCGTCCAGTTAGTAAAATGGAGCGAAAGCGAAAGAGCGAGAGAGAGGTTTGGGTCGGGTCAGGTATTACGCGACCCGAACCAAACCTCTCTCTTTGTTTTTCTTCATTTGCTACCAGCGCGCCGTTTACTATCGCGCTTCGTGTACTTACTGAACGCCTGAATTGCGTAAAAGCACAGTTTGGGCTAGACCTCAGGTAAATAACCAGTCCATTGAGTCAGGTCAGAAACATACAGGAAAATATTAAATGTTTGCATGCTTTATGCTTCATATTGAGTGTAAAGGTTTGGTCACTACCTCTGTTGCTAAGTTTTGTGCCAGTCAACGTGATCTTCCTGACGACCGTTCGTCAACTATATATCTCGTGCACGATTAGTCTAAATGTGTCATGTGGTGCAACCTGAATGAGAGAGTATTAAGGTGTTCCATTGCGTAAATGGAACACCTTAAATTGGTCTTTGTATCATATTTGTACCAAAAAAATAAATTAATGCACTGAAATAGGCAACGATTACAATTGTGAGGCCACTGACTATGTGCAAGTGCGAGACCAAACAGTTTCCCAAATTCTTTAGAAAGTTTTAAGATGAAAATTATGCACAAAAGTCTTTTTCAATTAAGTTCTCAAACTTTAAACAGTTCCTGAGTCTAAGTCAGTGGCCTCAAGTATAATTTTACATTGCACATGTGCACCGATTTGAATAAAAGTGGTTCATTTGTTTTATTAAGTGTTCTGGTTCGATGTCATTTTTGCGAGTTTTTTTCCATGTGAAGTCCGCACAATGCATTTTATTTCAAAAGTTTTTAAATATTTGATATAAATTATTGAGTGTTCTGAACACTGACTCAGAGGGTGTATTTCTTTATAGAAGCCTTGAGCAGGTTGCGAACATGGTGTTGCGTGGTATTCATGTGTTTGTTACATAATGTAATACTCAAAAATCGTTTCAGATATACATGACGTATTAAAGAGGGTAGCAATTTTTTAACGGCTCTTTTTCAAACAGGGTCTCAGTAGCATACCCCTCCCCATTCACAAAAGCTTTGCTTAGAATTCCCCCCTCTCCCCCTCCCCCGAATGAAAAGACATCGTTGTAGTATCTTGAAAAATTTTGCAATCTGTTTTAATCATCTCCATCTCTATATACGGACTTTTTTTCTTTGTGTCAACTTTCATTTTGATGTTTTCCTCTCTCGTCTCAGTAATATTCTTATATTCTTTGGTTTCCATTACGATGTAGAAGACTCAGAAAGTAAGTTGAGCGTATTTGTCTTGGGGGAATATACAAGACCGAAGGGGAATATGGGATCTTAATGAATAATTATCAGCAAAATTAACAATGCCTCGTCCATACAGCGAAGATCTCCGATGTCCATGTCCATCTCGCGCCGACAACCCCGAAAGCCTAAAATTAATTCTAATCTACCCATACCGCCTTTCGGTCTTGTCCCGTTCCCTTGAAGCTTTGATCCGACAACGTAAATTGAAATAGCTGTATTCCTGAACAAAGGCTATTGCAAGGGTATTCTTGGTACTGTGAATGCTTGCTTCGCGTCCGAAAATATAACAATTGTGTTGCAGTGTGTACTCGGACATTTTTACATTTTTACTTGCTTTCGAGAATAAGTTTTTTTTGTAGTAATTTTTCTTTCTCTAAAAATTATGCACGAGACACCCCAGTCTTGTGCCGATTCTCAAGGCGACAGCTTGGGGTTCCTGTGCCGTAGGTTACCATTGCAACCTTTTCCGCAATGCCAATAATGTTCGGAACATCATATATTTTGAAGAACTGAAAAAAACATTTGATTAATGATTTTCGCGACATGAGGTCATAATGTCTTTCAAAATATGATAAATAACTGAACAAAAGGTGTCAACATTTATATTTTCAAGCGCTATCTCTATTGACAAAGAAAACGCACTAGCCTTCATAAGGCGAAACATGCGATACCCACTCAATAATATCAGTTTGGGTTTTTTAATTCTTTCAATCAGTGTTTTCATGTCTACTTTTTATATTTTCTTTGTGGTAAGTCAACTCTGGACGGTTCATCAAAGCATCATCCGTTCAAAGTAAGTAAATTTATTTTGGTTTTTTTTTTTAAAGTTGACGAAATTCTTTCCGAAAGAACCCGAATGATTTATTCAAGATCTTCCATAAACTGACAAGTTAAAATAGAGGTGATGCAAATTTAAGAGAGACGAAACATTTTCATTTCCGTAACGATTTTTTTCCAAACAAACTTTGAAACATTATTTTTACAAGTATCTGTCACAATCTGACACCTGTCAATGAACATTTGAAAACCAACCGTGTTGAAATTTAAGATAAAAAGAGTTCTTTCCTGACAGTGAATTCGACAAGGATTTAACCCAGAACTATGGATAATAAAAAACATGCAAAAGATAACTTCCAGGACATTCATGTACAGAAATCAACTTCGATCAGAGCAATTGCCTTTTCCACTATTATTCGGATTAACATTCTTTCAAAAAAGGGCTAGTTACCGTGGAAACTGTACACCTTTATTCATGTCGAATTTACGATAAGAGGACGTGTTTCTTGATCAAAATTATTCAGTAGTAGCTTACTGTGAGTTTGTTGTTCAGGAAAATAGACTACTGATCCAGGACATTCAGAAGATACCGTGGAAACTGTACACCTTTATTCATGTCGAATTTACGATCAATTTTTCACGGTGATAGAAGATATCAAGTACTCTAGTAAACGTCGTCAGAAGAATGAAAAATGAATATTTTTTCCATTCATGTTCCCAACACACAAAAAGCCAGAATGACATGTATGGAAAACTCTTTCTTGATACCAATTTTGTCTTTTAACATTGTTGATACGATTGGTCCGTGATTTACCTTGATTCACTAAAAACGAGCAAAACCGCTTCGATAGGGCTGAAAATATGACCATTGCATGGACTTGGGGAGATCGAAAGTAATTTTGGACTCCCCCCACCCTCTCAGAAATTTCAAGATCCACACATGGCAAAAAAACCGGAAGTAATTCAAACCTCATTATCGCTTGCGTCATTTTTTTCTCAACAGTCACGATAACACCGCTGACAAACTAGTGTTCAGTCCTACGCCGACCACTCCACCAGTGAGGTGCAGCCCACACAATAACATCCTTTTCTTAAAAACCCACAAGACAGGTTCGAGTACCATAGCAAATATTTTCTATCGTTACGGAGACTTAAAAAATCTTACGTTTGCTCTTCCGGGTGCTACATTACTAGGATGGCCCAATAGATTCCAAGTCTACTTTCCTTTTCGTTTGCAAGACAAAACACCGGACATCCTGTGCAATCACGCTAGATTTAACAAAATACCCATGAACTGGCTTTTTCCCAAAGCAACCTGCAAGTACGTTACCATTCTTCGGAATCCCGTGGATAATTTTGAGTCAGCGTTCAGATACATGAACATGGGACGACGCATAGGTATAGGAAATGATCCTGAATCCTTGAAAAAGTTCCTGACACATGGAATTTCATTCACTAAAATGCGTCAAAAAGCGGAGCCTCTCATCAGAAATCCCCTCATGTTTGACTTGGGACTGAGTTTTAAGCATTACCAGAACATCACAGCTGTAAATGAGTATATTAGATTCCTGGAAAAAGAGTTTGACCTGGTTATGATCATGGAATACTTTGATGAATCTTTGGTGTTGATGAAACGACTGCTTTGCTGGGAAATTGAAGACATTTTGTATTTGAAACTCAATGAAAGACAAGACGAGGAAAAGGGGACAACACTGACAGCGGATGTGAGAGAAAATATCAAAAGATGGAACAAAGCCGATGTGCTGTTGTTTGAATATTTTAATCAGTCTCTCTGGTTTAAGATTGAAAGCGAAGGGGAGAACTTCTACGAGGAACTGGCCACTTTTCGTAAACGAAGACGTGAATTACAAAACGCGTGTGTAGAAAATGAAACGCGTTTGGAAACAGTATATAATGGAAAGAAAGTGAAAAGTTATTCTCTTAGAAAAGGACTGTCGAAAGAATTGAAGACTTTGTGCGAAAAACTAACAAGAGCTTCTAACACCTATCTAAGATACCTAAGAAAGAAACACGAGGAGAAACTAGCCAACGAACTCGACGAGGACGAGGAGAGCTGGAACCTATCAACAGATCTAGTTTATAATCCCGTTTAACTGACCGCATCTTCCAAGAAAGATCTTTTTAAAAAGTCCAAGGGTTGATAAGTGACGGAGTAAAGAAAATCATTCCGGCTCTCGTTGTTTGAGTTGTCTCGTTTGGCTTTCCTTTTTTATCTTAAAGCTGATTCAAAGTTTGTGCTTGCCGGAAAATGCAGCTATCCGTTTTAATCTTTGCAAGAGAATATAAACTGTCTTTTGATCTTTGTCTGTTGTTTGTGAGATTGTTGCCTTCCTTAAAATTCACCCTTTCTGAGCTAATAACAAAAACATTCTTTGTGCAAAGGAAAGGTAACAAAAACGTTTCCTCGGAGACACGCGACCAAAAGTGGGGAGAAGCAGCCTAATTGACGCTCTGCACGATGTATTTATGAGGGACAAATAAAAGATAAAAAAATATGTAAAGAAATTATTTCATTACAAGTCTTAAAATTCATTCATTCTTGTTTCATCTTGGAAAATGATTGCTTCATTTGTGTCTTTCTACCTTACCAAAGTCGCATTTTGTTGTCTCAGCTTCAAGATAATACCATTGTCGGGGTTTATGGAGGTGTCGCCCCATTACAAGTTGGCCACCAACCACTCTTGCGCCTTCGCCCCCTAAAGTAAAACAAGTTCATTCTATTTTGTTTGTCATTATTTCCATTTGTATTCCTTAGTAATACTGATATAATTAATCAATATTTTCTTCTTTCAACGCCGAAATCGAAACCGAATTATTTAAAATGAAATTGGCACGTTCCGGGGACAAGTGACATTTTTTCGACTGCGTGTAATAGTCGACGGATAACGACAAACGTAGAAAAAAACCCATATTTGTCCCTCAAAACAGCCGAAATTCGACGATAACCAGCAATAACTGCCGTGACTGAATGATACGCTGCAAAATTACTGCGTCAGACGTACACTCCATGGTGACAAAGATGTCGCGATGAAACAAAACAAAAAGTCCATACTTGCAAAGTATAGTAGTTTTCTCGCTGGTCTCCGAGGAAACACCTACCGTAAGGAACAATGTTTTTGTATCAAATCAAAAAGTGCTAATTAAGTTGTGAGTACTTTTCATTTTGTGTAGTGTTGTAGTCTGAATAATGTGGATGACTATAATCTATGATCTAAAGTTTTGCTCGCCCACGAATTAAGTATAGATGACTTTGAACTGTGCCTATGAAAAGGTATTCTGATGAATTCTAACGGTTCCTACGAGTTTATCTGAGGTCATTAAGTCCTGTCATCGGTACATAAAGGAATTGTCCTGGCTCTATGTCAGCAAAGAATTAACTGGCAGTTTTTTACGAGTATTCAAGCTGGGAATAATGACGCGGAAACTCTTGGTTCGCGTGGCCTTTCTTCTTGTGTCCGCTGTCTTCATTTATTTAACGAGGAGATTGAACGTGAACTATACGGCTTTCTCCTATGATGAAACAGTTAGAATTTCCTATGAAGACATGAGGTGAGTTTTACTTCCAGTCACTGATTCAAAATATCCCGGCTAAAAAAAAAAAGAATTAGCTCCAGTTGTGAAGGCCATTTGGCTCCAGTGCAGCGGTCACCTTTGATACATTTTAATACTTGTAATGAAATAAATTCTTTACATATTTTTTTAAAATTTTATTTGTCCTTCATAAATACATCGTGCGGAGCGTAAATTAGTTTGTCTTCTCTCCATTTCCATTTGGTTTGCGTCTCCGAGGTAATATTTTGTTATCTTTCCTTTACACAAATAATTTTTCTGTTATTAGCGCAGGAAGGGTGAATTGTATGGAAGGCAGCAATCGCACACAGAACAGATTTACCAAATTGCTTTAACCATAATCCTTCGCTTAAATTGGTCAAGATTTTGATTTTCAGCGTAGAAATAGCAGTTTTTTTATTTCTGGATCGAGTTTGTCATATACCGAACTTGGAACCGACCCAAATTGTAAAGTTTAAGCTGATGTTAAACAGTTAATTCTTTCTTGTAATTTCATTAACCACAGGGAAACTGTGAACACAGTCGACAGCGTTTCTACCCATGTAGATCCTAGCCCTCTTTCCACACGAAGCTGTTCGCCACAGCATCACATCTTTTTTCTTAAGACGCACAAGACTGGCTCTAGTACGATGGCAAATATTTTTTTTCGCTATGGTGACTTCAGAAATCTCGCTTTCGTTCTCCCAAGGTATATACTGTTTGAATGGCCTCAAAGATTTCAAACTTCTCTCGCCGCTCCCCTTAAAACGAGAAGGCCGAACATTTTATGCAGCCACACAAGATTTAACAAGAAACCAATCAACTGGATTTTTCCAAAAGATTCCAGCAAGTACATAACCATTCTCAGAAATCCAGTGGATAATTTTGAATCGGCCTTCAGGTACATGAAACTTGGAGAGATGTTTGGCTTTGGAAACCATCCAAACTCTTTACAAAAGTTCCTTGAAAATGGGGTCTCATTTGCCAACATGCTTAAAAGGCATAATCCCCTCGTAAATCTTATAAGAAATCCTCTCATGTTTGATTTGGGTTTGAGTTTTAAGTATTATCAGAATTTTACCGCTATAAACAAGTATATTCAGTTTCTAGACAAAGAGTTTGACTTGGTGATGATAGCGGACTATTTTGATGAATCATTGGTGCTGATGAAACGACTGCTCTGTTGGGAAATGCACGACATATTGTATGTAAAGCTCAACGCTAGAGTAGATAATGAAACGGGTACAATACTGACCGAGGACGTTAGGGAAAATATCAAAAGATGGAACAAAGCTGACGTTTTGCTATTTGAGCATTTTAATAAATCATTCTGGGAGAAAGTAAAGAACGAAGGAGAAAGTTTTAACGAAGAGCTGGCCGCCTTTCGTCAAAAGAACACTGCTATGAAACAAGCTTGTATAGAAAATAAACCGCACTTTCAAACAATTTATGAGGGAAAGTTAGCGAAAGGTCACTCAATTAGAGAAAAACTGCCCCGAAAATTGCGAATGTTTTGTGAAAAGTTAATTAAAAGCGAAGAATGCTACCTAAAAAACTTGAGAGAAAAGTCTCAGCATCAGAGAACGCCATCTAGTTCGATAGATCTGCCTCAAAATTACAATGAACACGAGGAAGAAGACAAAAAGAGCTGGGATACAACAAAAGAACTTTCCTACTTTCCTGTTCTGACATTAAATCACGACACTCGTGAGACGTCACCGTGGCGGCGTGTAGGAAATCTGTGGATAAAACGGGGGCATAGAGCGGAAAGGATGAGAAAAAGGCAGTATAAAGCAAGACGACGAACGAAAAGGAGTTCTAGTTAACCCGTTCACTCTTATAAGTAATAAACGTGTAAAATCTCCCTACAATATCCATATATTATCCAGCAAAAGGGTAATGACAATACTCGGATTTCTTAAGAAGTTGTCCTCTTGATAATACGTAACACAAAATTCTCGTAACTAATTTACAAGGAAATGCGAAGCAACTGAGGGGAGATTTGACAATCAAATTTTGAAAGTTAACAGGTTAAAAATTAGATTATGAGCTGAAGATTTCTATCGCATGATTGTCGATGAGGGGAGAGCCCGGATCAACTACCACGCATAGTTGTTGAAAGCTGATAAGCTAACTGTTGTAGTATAAATCAAGAAAGAGACAGGCTCGTTATTTCATGTTGTTTACAACCGTACACTGCCGGACTAACCACTTTACTCGCTAACCCTGTCCGGATAATTCACCGGATAAATAGAGAGTAGAGTAGCCAATCAGATTTCAGCAATTGTGATAGATCATTAGTTGATAAACTGTAATTCCTTACATTAAGTGCCCCCTTCTCCAATAAGTTCCCCCCCCCCGAAATTTTTTTGTTAGTAAGTGCCCCTATTCTAATGAGCACCCCTACTGGTTAGGCACCCTCATCCCAATTGGCGCCCCTGTTCCAAGAAACGCCCCTATTCTTTTTCAGTAATAGCACTGTTAGAGTACATGTACATTGAGATTAACCGTGGTCCATCTTCCCGAAATTGCCAACTTAAAGCCTCACGACAAAAAGAAAAGTGGTCTACGTCTCTCAACTATCATGTCGCCATGAATGCACAGTTACTTCAAACGAAAGATCCCATCTTATAATTTTACGATGATTGCTTTGCTAGTCGTTCTAGCATCTAGGTCCATTTCCAATCTTTTTCATTCCAGTTTTTAAATACACATCAATGCTTTGTTTCGCATTCTGCTGTTTCTCAAAATAAGAGCAAGCGCCCTGTCTCTAATAAGCACCCTGTTTCGAATAGGCGCCCTCCCTTGAGGTACCAAAAGTAAATAATCGCCCTGGGCGCTAAATCGAATCATTACGGTATATTAAGAACAGAAAGATTTCCATTGTATTAAAGCTGATGTCGTTTAAGTGAAAGTGAAAAGGGTTTTTTCGAAAAATGAAATGACCTGAGAGAGAAATTAGTCATCTTGTGATTCATACCTTTATTTAGAAAGAGTAGCATTACACAAGTTCTGAAGCTGCATGGTTACACTCGTTGTTGCTACACTCTAATGTTATTCATTAAAAGTTTCTTAACTTACTTTGACCGTTTTCGCTGTCTGAATGAGTGCTTATATTTCGAGACTTGTAGACGTGCATATTCCAGGCGAGTGTCTGGTCGTAGGTCTTGCTCTGGTATATGTGGTGTTTCTTACAGAATTATGAATTATTTTCGTGGTTAAGAGTACAGTTAAATCCCGATAACTTGAACCTTCAAGGGAAATTGATAAAGGTTCGAGTCATCGGGAGTTGAAAAAAAAGGACTGGAAATAAAGGAAAATGGCGTCTACTGCTTTTTCTATTCATGCAGTATACATTTTAATCAAATTTAATTATAGAGAAGACGATTGAGAGTGAATGAAACACTACAAATAAATTAATGCAGAAATCACGAGGTGACGAAAATGTTTTGGACTTCAGTACCCTGTTTGTCTTAACTTTTCACGTATTGACAGACGAACTGGTTCGACGTGGTTCGCGTTATCGAGGGTAGAAATTTGTAGAGAAAGACCTGAAGGGAAACGCGAATTGCTTCGATTTAGTGGAAGGTTCAAGTTATCGAGGGTTCGAGGTACCGAGGGTAAAACTGCCATAAATCTATGGCGCAAATCTACGGATTATCGATCGATTTTGGTTGGAGTTAGCACAAAGTACGAGTTAGTCAGGGTTCGAGTTATCAAGATTCGACTGTACTGATTCTGCTCAGTTTCGAAAATTTCCGTCGTTGTAATAAAACAAAGTTCTCTAATAAATTATCTATGTTGATTTTATTGGCTTATATTGCAGATCTTTAGCTGTATTCCAGCCGCTTTCCGTTTGAACTTTTATAAATTTGTCCAGTCCAACGGTCCTCAATTTTATCATACGTTTTTGTCGGAGGTAATCCAAGAAAGCGTTTTCCGTCCTCACGAAATGTCCACACAAAACCTTCAAACGCGGCGTTAGGTCGTCTCTAACTAAATATCCCTTCACAAACTTTTCATGATACGCTCGTTCTTGTTGCATCTCATCCTTTAAACACAAACTCTTTATATTTTCTTTCTTTCGCCGAAATGCAGCCAGATCGTCATCAAAGCTTGGACCTTCCATTTTCACTTTTCTCCAAAACGTTGCGTTGAAATGATCAAACAGCAAAACGTCTGCCATGTTCCATCGTTTGATGTTCTCTTGAACAGTTTTACTTAAATCTTTCGCTATCTCTTTATCTAGTCTTGCGTTGAGTTTTACATACAAAATGTCTTCTAGTTCCCAGCAGAGCAGTCGTTTCATCAGAACCAATGATTCATCAAAGTAGTCCATTATCATAACCAGGTCGAACTCTTTGTTCAAGAAGCGAATGTATTTTTTGACTGCGGTAAGATTCTGATAAAACTTAGGACTAAGACCCAGATCAAACATCATCGGATTTCTCGATAAATGGGTCATCAAACCTTTATGGGTACTGTTATAGTCTATTCCTTTTGTTAAAAATTTTTCTAAAGCGTCCAAATTGTCTCCGAAACCAAGTTGTTTCCCAAGCTGTGCAAAATTGAACACTGACTCAAAGTTGTCTACTGGATTCCGTAAAATTGTCACGTATTTGCTGGTTTCTCTCGGAAAAAGCCAGTTCATTGGTTTCTTGTTAAATCTAGCGTGGCTACATAAGATGTTGGGTACTTTGCTAAAAAGACGAAGCGGGTGAGTTATATGGAATTTATGTGGCCATCCTAGAAGAGTGCCCGGTGATAAGACAAAAGTAAGGTTTCTCGAGTCTCCGTAACGAAAAAAAATATTAGCCATCGTACTCGAACCAGTCTTGTGCGTTTTTAGGAAAAGAATGTGATGAACAGGGAAACATTTTCCTTCTTTCTCTTGAGCCAGTCCTGATGCATTTCCCTGCCTGTGAAATAGATACATAGATACCGAGTATATGAATTGGTTTAATCACTTAGTTACCCTTAACCCTTTAAGTCCCACTAGTGACCAAGACGGAATATCTTCTTACACTATCAGTACAATATCAAGCAGACGAGTAATAAGAATAAAGAAAAATATCAATTAGGGGATTATTAGTTGATCCAATTCCAAATTCTCCAAACTAACATCACATGAATTGTATAGCAGACAGTAAGGAGAATTACCGATGAGATCTTGGGAGTTTAAGGGTTACGAACAGTTTTCAATTGAGAGTCGAGAGTGATCTGAGATTGCTCTGTTTTTGCTTTGCTTCGCCCTGTGATTGTTCTGTAACTGATACTCGAACCACTCTCTCTCAACCAATCGGATTCAAAAATAAAAAAATCACGACTCAGTCTCCTACGCTTTCCAGGGCTTTAGGCAGTTTTGTCGGTTTTACTTCGAGCTTGGTCTTAATGGCTCTTAAATGTAATTTTCCTTTCTCTTAATTTGGCTGTTTTGATCACTTTGGTTTTAGTTTTTGTGATTCTCAATCGAAAAGAACTCTATCTCCTTGAAGCGATCAACTTCTCATTGCGTTTTCCTACCAACAGTACATCAGAGAACAAACAAGGTAATCAGCTTGATCTAAGACCAAAATCTCCTTCAGGAGTCTGTAGCCAGAATTGCTAGTTCGAAGGTCAATAAGACCCCCTTAAGACCAGACAGAGTCTGTCTAATATGCAGTGTCCGGCAGTTTCGTGCTCTTAGTGAGAAGGATGAAGGGACATTTTTCATCTCGCCCTTACAGCTTTTTGTGGCCATCTTTACGAGAAAGACTATTGATAAGAATCCTTTGAAGGACAAGTATGCCTCAAAAATCATCGCTTTAATTTCTCCCAATAAAAGCGCACTGATGAGATTCCAAAGAGTGACGTGACCTGTCTCCAACGTTTTCAAAAAAATTGTTCAAATGCGCTAACGATTCACATCTGGAAATTACCATCTCGAATCTTGCCTCAAGAAGTGACTGACGTAACAAAGTCTCATTTTTCTTTCTTCCACCTCTTGGAGAGAGAGAATCAACATTATCTACGGTATTTCTTGTGATGGTTCTTGTAAAATTATTCTTTGTTTTGATGTCAAAGGTTAAGAGCGGAAAAGAAAAAATGTACCGAAACCTTGCAACTAAAAAGTTATCCTTTCACAAATATTTAAGTTTTGAGCTTTATGTTATTATTCGATCAAGGTTCTAGGGAAGATCCCTCTTCACGATTCAACTGAGGGCGAGTTATTTAAGCGAGGTCTAACTTAAATCACAGTCGCTAGATACTTTAATCTTCCTTATCATTCTAAACAGTTATACATTAAGCGAAAGCCGTAAAACACTAGAACAAAAATTTGTATTCCAAATCGGCACCCTTAATCCCCACGGAATCAGCGAGCGCTTTTCATTCAACTAATTTATTCCTGTTTTCTCGTCACCATATTCCCACCAATGGCGTAGCTCCACTTTCTACATATAAATCCACACACAACCCACAATTCCTCTAATCGCTCTGACGAAGGGCTAACGCTCGAAACGTCAGCTTTTTTACCCTTTACGGAGGCTAATTTACGTTTTCAACCCGGTTGTTAACACTAAATTACCTGCTAACTTAAATCATGGTTTTACGCGATCAGTGGGCCTTAGGCTTTCTCTGTAAGAGGGCTGATTTAATGAAATAAATATCCTTTCACTCTTAACTTTCACCCTCTTGACACTGTTCACAACAAGTGTTTAGATAAACCGTTTAACTAAAATTGAGGATTGTTTGGCTAAACTTTGCTTAAATAACCGGCTCTGACAGTTTGTGGAAAATCGACTAGTGTCTCATTTTCGACGTTGAGTCTTTGCATAGTTTAATAAGATCCTCGTGCATTGTTCTGTGATATTTCAAAGTCGGGGTCTTAGACGGTATTACGAAAATTGATCGCTGACTGATGAAACGTAAGGGAGATTTCAGAGTCGCTTTTGTAAACATCGCCATTGTACTGATCTTTAATATAGATTAGTGATATGTACTGCTACTTTACTTTTCCGTATCGCATCGAATCAGGCGAGGATTTGACGATACTGAACGAATTTTTTCTTCTTCCCGTAAACTGAGGCTTACATAATTTATTTAAAAAGGGAGGGAAATTTAACAGTGAAATCAATACGGATTCTTCAGCACCAATTTACTTAGTATATACAAATGCAATGATAAATACACTTACGTCAGACGCCGAATTACTTGTCGGACTGCGTTCACCTCCTTTTCATTTGACCGAGAGTATGTATACAATAAATAGATCACGGAAAGCAAGAGAAATATCCAAGGAAGGCGGTCGAGAAACCTGCGATGAAAGATTCTCATCCTAATTCAACATTCCTATAAGATAAACTGCGGTGAGATCTCGCTGGAACTGCTGATCACAGCAGCTAAGGTCCTTATGGTCAAGCTGAGCTTTGCGACAGATATCACGTTTCATACTCATGGCAGTAGTTTCCTTGGAGGCATGCAAATTTTGGTTTTTTTTTTTTCAGGGGGAGGTGAGGGGAGGTAGGGGCACCGCGTGACCTCCCGAGGAAGGGCTGTGAAGTATCAGCACTGGAGAAACGTGTTGAAAGCGAATTTATCCTTAAGTTAATGGGTAAGTTTCGAAAGGCTGACGCGCATGACGCTCGAAACATCAACTTCAGTAACTCTTTAAGGTGGCCAATTTACGTTATCAACTCAGCTGATTAAACCAAATTAATAATCCTATCCTTGATTAGTTTCCTTTTAAGAGTATCTACAATGCACATTTCGTCCACTGCGAGTCACTTCTTACACAAGTCTTCCTGCTCTTAAGTTCGCCTGTCATAAGTTGATCGGGGCACTTGACAAGGAAAAGAATGTTATATTCTTTCTCTTTCACGAAAACGAAAACTCGTCAATCCGGAAAATAGGTTTATGCGTGTCCCGGAAACGTCTGTCCATTATTCGTCAGATTACTGTAACGTCATCTTTCATCATCAGGGACTTGCGCTAAGGAACTAACTTTCTTTATGGTTATGTCATCATGGCTTGGTTGCAAAATGTGATATGGGCTTTTTTCCGGAAAGTTGTAAGTTGTAATTTCCTGAAGTTATTGGTAATATTACATGATAATCACTTCTGTCCCTGGAAGTCACTTTCTCCAAACTTCGTGACCTTTAGCAGCCGCGCGCAGGATCGTTCTTGGCTAGTTCCCAGGCTCAGTTTACAAGTGAGTTCTTTCCTTGACCATGAAACCTCTATACGCACGTTGTTGACTTACTCGTCTCCAAAGCTCTTGTAAATTTTGCAGAATTTGTCCATTTACAGCCCAGACAGGCCAGTTCTAGAGGTGGAAATTACATAATGGCGAAGCGAAAGATGATTATTGACTGTGATGCCGGCATCGATGACGCCCAAGCTATCCTGATTGCTTTATCTGCTCCTGATGTTGAGGTGGTTGCGATCACATGTGTCGCTGGCAATGCAACTATTGAAAATGTATGTGTGAATGTGCTTAAAGTTCTGGAGTTGTGCGATCGAAGAGATATTCCCGTCTTTAAAGGAGCCACTGGTTCATTGCTAGGTGAGGAACTTTATGCAATTCATTGACTAGGGGTCGAGTTACGGTACGTGACACTACCCTTCCAATCGCTTGATCCCATGAGTAAGTAAGGCCCGGTTCAGACGCCGTGCTTCAGCCGCACCGAATCGAATTCAACGATAGGCACACCTAGATTAGTTAATCCTGGCTGGCTGAATTGATTCAAACGCCGAACTTTATTCGGCCGAAATTAATTAATCAAAGAAAATTAATATCTTACAGAGAGACAAGCCTTATCTGTGCTTTGTTCTATTGTATAGCACTTAGGAAGCGGCTAGGGCACGAAAGAAGTGTAGGGAGAAACACGAGAGGTAGTCGAGTGTTTCTCCCCTCTTCTCGAGCAGCAGTTATGCACCTCCACTGTTCTTGAATAGCCGCAAAAGGTAAAAGTTATTGAGAGGAATGCGTGGCAATCCAAATGTCACCAAAATAACTTCTTGTAGGTGAAATATCGTAGTAGGTATCCGTAGGGGTCACGTCTCAAATAATTCCTGAGACTTTGACCTAGCAATGTTGAGCACCTGGGTTGAACAGTTTGCAAACTATGGCTTCCAATGTGCCTCATGTGCCGGCAATGGAAGAAGCTCAAGGACCTCAAGAAGCAATTGTGAATTGTGTTGCATTTTTTACGAAGAGGGGAAAGGCGGCAAGAATTGAATGCGGTTTTTAGTTCTAATCAGACCCCAATGCCCCAGTCATATAGGAGAGAAATACTCTGAGTGAGAGGGAGAAAGCCTTTGGAATGGGAATTTCTCTCTTTAATACATGTATACCAGTTTGTGCTGCCCATCTGGGTCTTGAATTTGGAACTCACTAGCAAGAAGGAACTACCATGTTTTTTAAGTGATATTTCCCAGAACTTGTTGTAGTTCATGCATTTTGCAAATAGGTTGAGGATTATCCATGACATGCCTTGATAGTGCACTGGCAATGACCTTCCCCTTACAAGAATATTTTAATTATAAAAGAATTTGTTAAAAAATGGTTGTAAAATAGAAGATGAGTTGATGGTTATTGGTGAATGGGGTACTGAAAATTGATCAATTTCTAGAATGAGTTTCTCTGACTTCAATTTCAGCCAAAAATATATTTAAGTATCCTCTCCCCTGCTCTTCTTGCTCTTCCCTGTAAGGGGGAGGGGGGGTAGTTTAAATTCTGTTAAGGTCAGTTACACGATATGATTGCTACCTATTGTTATATAGAAATCATGAAGCTTGGGAATTTTAACTTATGGATGATGACATTTTCTTTTTTTTCTGTAGAGGATCATGGGGATCTTTCCACCGATTTTCATGGCAAGGATGGCATGGGAGATGTTAAAGACATTCCTAACCCAGACATGTCATTACTGAAGACTGAACATGCTGTAAATGCCCTGATTAGAATTGTCAATGAGCATCCTGGAGAAATCACCTTGGTTCCTCTGGGACCATTAACCAATATTGCTCTTGCATGTCAACTTGATCCAGGCATTTCCTTTAAGCTAAAAGATGTGGTGATCATGGGAGGGAACTTTGAAGCCAAAGGTAACTCGCATGTGAGTGCTGAATTCAATTTTCATTTTGATGTGGAAGCTGCTTACATAGTGTTGAATAAGCTCACCTGTCCAGTCTCCTTGGTGACATGGGAATTTTGCCTGAACCATGCATTACCTTGGGAATTTTACGACTCATATATTGGACAAGAGACAAAAAAATCTGTTTTCATGAAAAAGGTTACTAATGTCTCAGCCTCATTCTACAAGAAAAATAAGAAAGGGTTTGGACAAGGTTACACAAGCTGTGATCCTCTGGCCATGTCAGTAGCTGTAAAACCAGAGATTGTAACTGAGGCAACAAGTGTGTATGCCACAACAGAGCTACACGGGCACTTGACTCGTGGCCAAATGGTTGTGGATTGGAGAGCCCATCTTGGAAAAGAACATAATATTAAGTTAATTCAAGAAGTTGATTTGGAAGCCTTTAAAGTCTTGATGATGGACTCCTTGAAATAATTATACATAAAAAAAGAGGAGTAAGAAACAAAGACATTTTTGTAATAAAATATTTGCCTATTTTTCATTGTGGTGTAAGAATGGAGATGAACTATGTTCATTTGTCTCACAATAGAGTCACTTTTGATGTAGATTGTGACATTTCGACTGCAATACTGCTAGTCTTCATCAGGTGATGAGATCGATTGTTTACATGTCGATATTTGTAGCATGTTGGTATGCTGCTATTGGTGCATTTCGATTCTCATTAGTATTCCAGTTATTAGATGGTGTTCCCTCATAGAACCTCATAACGTTCTCTATACTTATAATTTGCTCCAAAATTCTACTTTCAAAATTTACTATGAGGGAACACCTCCTAACAACCGTAATAATAATGAGGATCGAAATGCACCAATAACAGCATACAAATGTGCCACAAATAGCAATGCTTAAACAATTGACCTCATCGCCTGATGAAGACTAGCAGTGTTGCAGTTGAAATGTTGTGATCTACATCAAAAGTGACTCTATCGTGAGACAAACGAACAAATTTCATCTCCAAAGACAATTTTTTTAGCTAGCCTAACCTGGATTAACCCTTAGATCCCTTAGAAGGGGCTATTATCTTATTTCTCCTTTTAGTGCAAATAATGAATTAACCCTTTAACTCCCAGATCACATTTGTAATTCTCCTTACTGTCAACCATACAATTCTTATGATGTTAGTTCAGAGAATTTAGTATTGGATAAACTGATTATCCCCAAATTGATATTTTTCTTTATTCTCATCACTTATCTGGTTGATATTGTATTGATATTGTAAGGAGAAATTCTCTCTTGGTCACATGGGAGCTAAAGGGTTAAGAAATAATTAAGCTCATGAGAGTAAAGGAAATGATCACCATCTAAGGCTCTTGATTTTTTCAACAAATTCTTCTACTCAGTACAGTAGGAAATGTATAAGAACAGTTTTGAGAATATGCACTTTAATGTTACTGGTTTAGCATTTACATTTAAGTATTCTTGCTAGAAGTTTTGAAAGTAGAATTTTGGAGTAAACTATAAGTATAGTGCCACTAAGTATCATGTGAGAGATACTCCAAGATTTTTTATTATACCAGTATGCTTTTGGTATGATTTAACCCTGTAACTCCCAAGATGTGATTGTTAATTCTCCCCTCTTGCTGCTACACATTTATTGTAAAATAGTTACCAGAATTTGGTGTTAGATCAAGATAACAACTTCTACTTGGTAAGTTTGAATATTCTCATTACCTGTTTGTTGGATAATGTAAGGATATTATAGGGAGAAGTTTCATGTTGATCACTTCTGGGAGTAAAAGGGTTAATAGCAAAATGGTTCAAAACCTGCATTGCTTCATTTAAGCATAATTTGAAAACATAGTTGTATTGGATTTGCTCCTGTATAGTCACTTGACAAAATAGGAAGATTTCATTATTGTTTTCTTAGTAGCCTAGATAGCTTTATATTTTCACTCAGTAAAACAATTGAAGGTTCATTACAATTTTATTATTACCTTTCATTGCCTTAGACTATTTCAATATGCTCATTGAGTCTTGATTAAAATGATCTTGATTCAGTACTAATAAAGTCTTTGAACATAAAGAATTAAATTATCATGATATTTTTAATGTCTTAGACTACTTTAGTTGTGCTTTTTCTCAGTAGATCTTGGAAGCAGGACTTCCAGAAGTAGCTGATTTGTGTACTTGTATTTCTACTCATGTAAGATTTTTTTCTGTTTTTATGCAGTCATCATTTGTCACACTAGTTTTATCTTTATCCTGTTTCAAATGTTATGCTTCAGTTGTATCCTTTTTCATGATTTTGTCTTCTTTGAATTGAATTACCAGTAGATCTAATAAAAATTGAAAAATCGATTTCTAGATGATCTGTTAAAGCACAGCTGTTTCCTTATGTGCTAGGTAGTGTATATTTAGTAAATTTGTCAAAAAAATTGTTGTTGTTTAATGTTTATAAATAATTCAAAATTTGGATGACTGTATCTGTTGTCCGAAAATTTTATCTAATGCACAAAAATTGGAACTAGACAGATTTTTTAATGTAAAGTACATTCTCCCTTTGTACTTTTCGTTCTCTACCCAAAACATTCTGAACTCGCAGTAAATTGAGCATGTTCGTATCTGACACAATTGGAGGCAAGATGTTTCGATCAGCATATTTTTATGATTTGCTCTATGTTCTTAAAAAAATACTATTTATAACTTTAATATTATTAAAAAAAAGAGCAGTCTTGACAAATTGAAAGTCATTTAAATTACTCGAGAGAGGGGTGGAAAAGAAATCAATCTGTTGTAGAAATGCACGAAGAATAAAACTTTCGGTTCGTTACGCAAAAAGGACGTGAACCGATTAAGACCAGTACGTCATCAACTCAGATCATTGCGTTCATTGGTCAGCTATTTTTATCTCTCCAGTTGTTTTAAGTCTGTTCACTATATAAAGCTGCACGGCGAAAAGTTTTGACAGTTACGGAGGATCCTACTTTCGCTGCAGTCTAGGACTGCAAGGAAGTCGCTGAAATATGCAGAATTTAAAACTTATGGCTATAGGAGATGGCGGAGTAGGAAAGTCGTCCTTTCTAATTTGCGCTACAACTAGTCATTTTCCAAGTGACTATGTTCCTACAGTTTTTGATAACTACAGCGTAGATCTCGTAGTAAACAGTTCTCCTTACTCGATTTCTCTTTGGGATACAGCAGGGCAAGAAGAATACGATCGTCTGAGGTTTCTCGCTTATCCTGGAACTGACGTATTTGTTGTGTGTTTTGATGTTGTAAATCGAAGTTCATTTGAAAACGTGAGCGAGAAATGGATTCACGAAGCGCGCTACTATGTACCCGAGACTCCAATCCTCCTGATGGCAACGAAGACGGATCTTCGAAACAGCAGGTGTGTTAAGCCTTTTCCTCAACAACGCACGATTTTAGTCTACCTTTCACAGGAACTCTTTATCAAAATAACACCTGGCGGATAGGTTTGTGGGTGCTCCTATGCTGTAGTGCGTAGTTACATGTAGGGGAGTTAGTTACACCTGTTCACTTCCTGTTCGACCTTACGTGTCAGTAGTATGGAGGGGGGGGGGGGGGGAGTTGGTATAGGGGGTATGCTCCCTTGTAAGTGTAGAGATGGGCTTCCAGGCAGAGCATGGTATTTGGTCCTCTTAACGAGGTGAAGCATGTTTCTCTGCCTGCTGGGAGAGGCAAGTTGGGTGAGGTTTTCTAGGGGTCTGGCACTTATAATTGATATTGCTTAACCCTTGAAGCCCCTCGTCAGCTTGTGATGTGTACGGTCTTATACTTTCCTGCAGGGAAAGAAAAACTTGTGCCAAAGGGCTAATATGAAAGTGAGGGTCTGCTTTCAGGCTATTGCTGAGTGAATCTGGAGAACTGAGAATTCACATATTTTGCAGATGAAAGAAAATCCTTTTCACTAATGTTCAATATCTTTCTTGTCAACAGTAATGCAGATGACAGGTCCACTGTGTCTACAAGAGAAGGAATGGCTCTTGCTGAAACTCTTGGTGTGTCATATGCAGAGTGTAGCTCCCTAACAAACACTGGAGTGCAGGAAGCTCTGAATAAAGCTGCAGAAATGGCTGTTAGTTTTCATACCCAGAGAAAAAGATCAACTGCAAGAGTTTTGGGCTTCTTTAAAAGGAAAAACAAAAATTCCATGTCAGCTCAGGATCAGGAAATTTTTCCCCCTCAACTGCCACCAGCAGGTATTAAAAGTTATATCCTCTGTAGTAGTTGGTGACACACTAAACAATTCTTTGATTTTGTATTTGAGTTGTAAATATGTTATAAATATTCATCTTTATTAATGCTACTTATTTTTCATGGTTAATGGCTGTTTTTAACAGTGAGAATATTACATGGTTGCTATTTTCTTTTTGCAGGTTTTGCTCCCCATGTGGAGGTACTCAGCTCAACATTTGCCAGTGAATGGGATTCTATGTTGTCTGACACAATGAGTGCAGATGTCAGATTTGTATTCTCTGATGGTGAGTCCCTTGAAGCTCATAGAACTGTTCTTGTTGCAGCCTCCTCCATCTTCAAGAATGTTTTACTGGGAGAAATGTCTGCAAACCATGAATCTTTCCAGTACATCCTTGAAGATGTTTCATGGATTTGTGACGGAGAAAGGAACTGCCCAAATCTTCCTCATATCGAAGGGAAATGCCAGGGCAAAGGTAGAACTGTAATAAGGTTGCATGAGAGCATTACTAAAGGCATTTTCACTGAGGTGTTGTCCTTCCTTTACACTGGATCGCCTAGTGTAACAGATGATAAAGACAAAAATTTTATCACAGAAATTCAAGATGCTGCCAAGAAATTTCAGTTGACATGGTTGATAGATACCTGTACAAACATTCTGTCAGGAGATTCTTTCCTTAATCCAAGTATTGGCACATGGCTGAATGACAACACGGGACAAACAGCTAAAAATTTGTTTCTGAACAAGCCATTTTTAGCTGATGTCAAGTTCTGTGTTGAGGGCACCATTGTTTATGGACACAAGTTGATATTAAAATCAAGGTCAGAGGTCATGGCAGCCATGTTGGGTGGGGCCTTTAAAGAGAGTGACTTGGATACAGAGGTAAGCATATGTTTTAGTAGCTTGTTGGTTCCAGGTTTACAGTTATTTGAGCAGAAAAAAAGATGTTCCCTAACCTACAGTACAGACTGAGAAAACTAGGTTAACCCTATACACCCTAACATCAATATATATATTCTCCATCCTGTTCTCTAAACATGTCCTAAGGTGGTGACAAGGAGAATTTGTTTAACAATTAAGAGCCTCTTTAGTTGGTGATCAATTCCTTTATTCTCTTGACCTTAATGTTTGATTCTGGGGTGATATAGTAAGGAGAAATTAGATGCCAGTCACTCTTAGGGGTTAAAGGGTCAAAATAAGATATTATGTCCCTGGGTTCAAATGGAGGGGAGAAGATTTAAATGGAAGAAAAACTTTTCAGTTGAGTAAGTCAGACAGTGAAATACAGCCTGCTAAAATGACAAATTATAGCACATATACTTAGGGAGAGATACAATAAGTAGGTTTATAACAGATTGTATTTCTCACATCCTATATTTATTCCTCAAAGATTGAGATCAAAGACACAACCCTGCAAAGTTTTTTGGCACTGCTGGAGTACCTCTACACTGACCACGCCCCAATAGAGGAGGGAGATTCAGTGGAAATAATGGTTTTAGCAGACAGATTCTGTCTTCCAAGACTTGTGACAATGTGTGAGTTGTACACAACCAAGAAAGTTGATTCTTTGATACAGAAAAGGGTGTCTGATGGCACTAAAGATGTCATAAACCTCCTTCTCACATCACAGGTATGACCCAAGTTTGTTCAGGAGAATACAATGGCAGAAATTAATAGTTTTGTTGCCCCTATGGTTAATGAATTTTAATTTACTAGATGATTCAAGTAAAAGAAGTAGAATTTAGCTATGGCATATATATGAGAGTGGTTCTTCATGCAGAGAATTTTGAATTATTAAGAAAATGTTTTTTGGAGGATGGCAAGAACCAACAATTTACTTGACCCAGATATAATACCAAATTCTCATAACTTATCTATGTAGAACATTGGTATTTACACATTAACTAACAGAAATTATTCATAATTATTTGCCAGGCGTACAATGCTAAACAGTTGGCTGACTGGTGTCTTCATTTCATTTCAACCAATTTCTCAGTCTTTGAATCCACTGAAGAGTTTGAGCTTCTTCAAGGGGATAACAGGAAACATGTGATTCAACATAGATGGCCTCCTCTGTCCTATTTACAAGCACTAGAAGAATTTGAACAAAGAGCCCCGCAATCTAAGCTTACTTCCAAGTGTAAAATGATGTGAAATATATGCTACCAGTAAATCCAAGCAATATATTGGAAAATGATCTTGTAACTGGACTAAAGAATTAGAAACTATGTGGATGAACCTTTTATTTATATAGTCTTTTACTAGTGTCTATTTTGTAAGGTAAAGGAAGCTATCGAGTCAAAAGGCTCATACTGCTAATGCTTATCCAGTTTTCAGTACAAACAATTCAAGGTATGGAAACTCCACCTTGCCCCCCCCCCCTCCCCCTACCCCTCCCTCTCCTCCCCCTTGGCTGGATGTCATTCCATTACAAAGTTTCTTTGGAATCAATGATTTTACAGTTATCCTTGACAGTTGAACACCTGGGTGGAGAGTGGCACTGTTAAATTATTAGAGTATCTTACTTAAAAACTCAAAACAATGGCATGGCTAGGGTTTGAACATGGCCTTTCTGATTCAGAGTCTAGTACCTTTTAAAAGTAATTAGCCAGCAGGTCTCAAATGGATGGCTGCTTGAAATGAACCAAAAATTATGGTTAAAACCATGGCTAACATGTTTGTTTCTAAAGATACCTTTAATTAAATATATGACTATGGCTTGTATTAGTATGTTTATGATGCAAGTTCCTTCCCATCTCTAAGATCAAGCATCTCTAGACACCATCCTGGAATACATGAATGATTATTTAAGTAAAATATTGAAAGAGTACAACAGTAAAGTGATTAAAAAAAAAATTATGTTATAATTGTTTTATATTGCAGAGAAGCAGAGCATGCTGCATTATCTTTAACAAAAGTATTGAAACTTGCTCTGATAAGAGCTCTTATGAATAACAGAAACCTAATCCCATCTTTTTTATCATCAAAAATTATGACTGCATTGGTTTTCACAGTTTACACTGTGAATTCTTGGATCTGTTATTTAACAGAGTTCATCATTATTTCCTTAAAGAGTTCTAAATCCATCTTTGTAATTAATCGTACATTAACAGGTTTTTGTAGCATTTGACGCCAATCAATCACCATCTGTCCTCGTGTCAATCCCTCCTTGAGTTCCACTGTGGCATGAACTGAGGTTTCTTCTTGAACAAACTTTGGTTGTAGAGCTGCACACAATGCAAATGGATCACAAGATATAAATTCACCATTCATTTTCTCTTCATATTCTTTAATCTTTGTTGAAATCTTCCTCATGAATTCTGCTCGTTTGGTACCAGCTCCCACATATTGCTCAAAAAACTCCCAATCCAAAGGGTGCTCTAAACAGGTCTCCCATGATACAAGGGAAATTGGACATTTAAACTGATTAAGGAGAATGTAGGCTGCTTCAGGGTCAGCACCAAAGTTGAATTCTGCTGAAACCCAATGATTTCCTTTGCCATGAATGCATCCTCCTAGTATAAATACCTCTTTGACCTTTTTTGTAAATTCAGCATCAAAGTTAGAAGCCAAAGCAATGTTGGTCAAAGGGCCAAGAGCAATGATGACAATTTCGCCAGGGTTCTCATTCACAAGTTGGACTAAGGCCTGAGCAGCATGGGTTTGTTGAAGAAGACTTGTATCTGGGTCTTTAATATCAGTGGCATCTCCAAGGCCATCAAATCCATGGTATAATGGTTGCTCATAGGCGATTCCTAACGTTGAAACACATAAGTCATGTTTAATTAATTGTTTGTAGACAATGAATCTGGATGAATTGGAACAAGCGAGTGATGTTGCATATTAACACAAAAGAGCCCCTCAATTCATTAATTACGTCAGCTGAAGTACTTATGCAAACTGTCCTTAAAACTTCCTTTACTGTTGCAATCTCGTAAAACTATGAGGCCCCACACTGTTGGGAAGGGCTTGCACTTTGAGATCCCAGGTTGGAATGGAGATTTGCATTTCTCCGTAAAAACTGTAAAGCTCAGAGTCTCATTATTCTACGAGTTTCAACGGATTTCCACGAAAATACCTTAATATTTATCAAACTGAACATAACTGATCGTATTATGCCATAGGGTTGATTTTTTCTTTAGGTTTAAGTGAAAAGTCGGAAAACCGTACCCATTGAGTTTGAGTGACCTCTTCTCTAATTGCAGCTCCTCGTAGTTGCAGTGTCTGTCACGATATTCTTTCTTTCCTTGAATTACACTGTTACCCTCGTTCGATGACATTCAAAATAAACCAGGGAATTTGGTAAGAATCGGAATTAACCATACCTAGTAAAGATCTGTACGCCCCTTTGTACACTGGTATGTCGGTTCGCTCGCAGGCCTCAAGGACCTTTAGCACGTTCTTGGTAACTTGATCAACATTCACGTTGCCACATGTACAAGTGATGGCTAAGACGTCAACCTCTTGAGATAGCGCTATCATGATAGCTTGGGCATCATCAATACCAGCATCACAGTCAATTATAATCTTCATTTTCATGTTTTCTTACCAAAGGGAACCTTTCTTTCCTCAGAAGAGGAGCTTAAGAGACTGGGGCAAGGGTAGCCGTATGTATTGAGGCGTGGGGCGGGTGGGTATGTCCCGCGGAACGGCCTCTAGACCTTCTTGTACTCTTCAGTCTTCATCGATTATTTAATGCTGCAATTTTCCTTAATTTTTAAAACTGAAAAAGAAGGATGTGTGTATAATTTTTGGGAACACCGTTAAACCAGTTTTTAAAACCAGTGTGGTCGTACTAAGATATGAGAGGCAAAGATTGTAAGGGGAGTGGGGTAAGTGGGAACCAGACACGTGCGATACTAATATGGCGGCTGCCTGTAAGTCAAAATTGTTGTGTGGTTGTTTCTTCTATAGTTCCGGTTGAAGGAACTGTTTGGTTACAATCGTAGAAAATTGTGAGAAAACTCCCCACGGGTAGCATTCAAGTCAATCGAATGATATTTTTAGGATGTATTCACGTCCTTTGAGCTTGCAAATGACGCGCTGTTTGCGCGCAGTAACTGGTTACTCTGGGACACGAAGGACTCATGTAAACCTGCAACGAATTTTCTTAAGGAAACAACCACTTCGCCCGTCTACTACGTTGTCTGAAGCAGAAAGAAAGGAAGATTCCAAAGAAAGCGACGAAGAACCAAAATCCTGGAGAGAAAATCCAACCCTGAAATACTGGGTTCTTGGCTCACTGGGAATCTCTGGCTCTGTTTATTACTACGTTTACAGGAATCACGAAAAGAAACGATTGCTAGTAAAGCATTTGCCATCAACACCCAGTCATTTCGTACTTTCCCGTGAACGAGATCTCTCCGCGCTTTTTTCCCTTCATAGTCAGTTGAAGGGAAGGGAATCTTTAACTGTTCTCCATATTGTTGGCTGTCCCGGGTCTGGAAAAACAGAACTTGCTCGGGAATTTGCCGAGAAACTCTCCAGAGAGGAACAAGAAAGGTACACCTTTCTTCCAGGCAATCTCTTCTTTGGGACTTTAAATGGTTCATCGGTAGAAAGCCTCCTTTTTGATGTGAAAAGGTTTGCAATTTCTGTTGGTTGTTTTGAGAGTGATTGGACATCAAAGGCAGGTGAAGGGGTTAATTTCTCCAGTCTGTCCAAGGAAGAGCAGTTAGACTACCTTGTTGATGCTGTTAGGGAAAAACTTAAAAACAGCCAAGGCTGGATTCTAATTTTGGAAAATGTTAAAGATAACGAAGCTATGTACCGCTGGTTTTCTGCAAATTCATCAAAAAATTGGGGTAATGGAACAGTTCTCCTCACAAGAGATGGCCATGTCAACAGTGATGCAGTGATTAACAATACTTACAGTATTGATGAAGGGTAAGAGCATTTGCATGACTTTTCACATACCATGGGAAAAAAATCATTTTAACACTTAGACTCCCAAAGGTGATTAACATACAACTTATCTCCATGATATCTATACATGGTCCAGCAAACAGATAATGAGAATACCCACACTTATCAGGTAGAAGTTGTTATCTTGACCTAACTCCAAATTCTTATTACTACTGTACAAGAGAGGGGAGAACTATCAATCAGATCTTAGGGTCAATCTAGATGGTTTATTTGCACACACTTTTTTAAAATATATTTTGGTAATGAGCAACTCTCTAAAGCAGTAGTACTTAAAATTTCCAAAACTAGGGGTTTTCGTAAAATTGTAAGTCTGCATGCTATTTTAGTCCCAAACAAATCTGACTCTACTTTTGTCAATGTTTGCTACTGAATCAAAACTGGCATTATTTCATTAATAAGTATGACAATGTGATCATTTTGTTTTATTCATTTTCTTTCTTTATTTTAGATTGCCTATGGATGATGGGATAGAACTTCTTTCAAAGTTGAGTGGATTGGAAGGAAACAAGATGACTGCTGCAAAAGACATTGTAACAATTCTAAAGGGGATTCCTCTGGCTCTCACATGTGCTGGTCATTACATGCAATCAAAAGTGCTGAAAAATCCCAACTATTCCAGTTTAGACTTTTTAAGTGAGTTTAAATCAGAGCTTCAGAACTTCACAAAGGCTAATGGGGAGATGGCATTAAGCCCCACATATGTCATGGTTAGCATGGAAACAAAAAGCCTTGTGCAAGAAAACTTCCATCTTCTTCATGCTTTTGATTTTCTGGCAACCTGTACACCTAATTGGCCAATACCAGTGAGCCTCATTGCTCTACATCTGAGGTCACCAGATTTTAATCTACCCCCTGTGGAAGGCAGTGGACCTGCTCTGCCAAGCCAAAAACCCACTGAGGCTGAACAAGGGAATAGCTCAGAACAAGAGGTAGAAGAGATGTTCCTATCAATCAAGAAACTGGCCAAGAACTTGGAGAACTTTATAACAGCAGTAAAAGATAACATTGATGCTATCAAAGCCATGCTTAACCCTGTACTGCCCGATATGCCACAAATGTTGGATGGAAATGTGGAGATGTTAAAAGCTTGTCCATTAGTTTCTGTTAGAAGAATGGAGCCCATGGGTAAGAAAACTGTTTTTTGTTGTTGTTGCTGATTTAAAGTTGAAAGTGACAGATCTCACCTTTCTGCGGTAAAATATCAGTTTTCCTTTACATAACTTTAGTGTTCTCCTTTTCAGGCAGTAAGCAATAAAATTTACCATCTGTAGTACCTCTTATTATGGCCTGATGTTGCCTGGATCTCTAAAAGATTCAACATGGAAAGGGATTGCTTAAAATAAGAAAGAACACTCTGTCTTATGCACTGGTGATATACATATACATATACATATACATATACATATACATATATATATATATATATATATATATATATATATATATATATATATATATATATATATATGTGTGTGACCAAGAGAGCTCCCAACTTTTTCACACTTAGGAGTGATCATTATGTAAAAATTGCTTTGAAATTTGATAACCTCTAAGGAGACAGGTAAAAAAATGAGGATCTTATTTGAGTGTTGCTTCTCTCAGTTCATTATACGACCAATTATCTTATTTATTTCTTACCAGGGGTGGAGACAGTAGTAATTAGTCCTTTGGTGCACTCAGTGTTCCAGCAACTTTTCTTGTCCCGGACAATGGAGCAGCTTGAATCTGAGTATCTGGTGCAGGCGGAGGAGAAACACAACAAAAGCTCTTGGTTTCGTCGGCTGTGGAGTTTTGACGCTCAAAGATCATTGCAAGAATATCGCAATTCCCTGGGTGAGGTCTCGCAAGAGGAAGCTGTAAATATGCATGAAAATTTGCCCGATAGCGAGCTCCTTGCTCATCGCTCCGGGCCCGATGTCAGTGGTTTGTTGCAGGAGAGTGAGTCAGAGATCACAGAACAATTCAGGAAGATAAAGATTGGTGATGCAGTTCGTCACTGTCAGCAGCACACGGCGCGTATTTTGAAAACTATCAATGGAGTGGCCTCCGTCTGCGGCCAAGACAATCAAACACGGACTCTCGCAAGACTCCTCAAGCCGCACCTCGACCACATTTTAGCCGCTGGCACTTCCAAGAGCCTGGGACCCAAAAGTCGTGCCCATGCCATTTCAGCCGTAGCCGCCATTGACACTTCCTTTGGCAATTTAGAGTCTAGTAGGAGACTTTTAGAGGATGTCCTGGCTATTGAAACACAACTGTATGGCGAATCTAGCCTGGAGGTAGCGTCTACTTTGACGCGTTTGGCAGATGTGTGCAGTTCTCTGGACGACGCACAGCGGTGTAGAGAGCTTCTTGAGAGAGCGATTCAAATTTACGAGTCGCAGCGAAGGAAATTCGGGGAATACAAACAGCCTCTTGAATACGCACGTACCCTATCAGCCCTTGGCGCTACCTATGGAGGATTAGGCTTCAAGGAACGAAGTCGCGATTATATTGAGCGAGCCTTCTCTTTCATGCAGTCAGCAGCACCCATCAGCCCGGACGAAGTTGAAACGCGCCGGTTCACAAGCGACGTGGCCAGCACACTCACTGATTTGGGGCATGCATACCTTTCGTTAGGCGAAACGACGCAAGCACGGCGGTTCTTAGACATGGCTCTGAATGGACAAAAAAATATTCACGGCGATGAACATCCAGAAGTTGTGCGCACTTTGACAGTTCTTGGAATTGCTTATACAATGCAGGGAAACTGGACAGAAGCGAGAAAAATGAGGAAAGAAGCCGGAAAAACTCAGGCAAAACTTGATGCCAAGCCACTGATGTGAACATCCTGCAATGGGCAAATGAACACGGTGACGCCTCAAAGACGTATTACATGTTGAAAACGAAAATAATTGTTCATTTCTCCGTACTTGTGAGAGCGAACGATCTTATCAAAACTTGCGGTAAGAATCTTTTGTGGTGAAGTAAACGAGACGATCTTGAAGATTTGGTCCAAACCGTTAAAAAACTACGGAAGATCGAAAAGAGAACGTTTCACTTAGATAGGTTTGCTCATTTTGGACAAATGTTAAGATAATGAATTTGCCACGGTTTAATAATGAGGACATACTTTTGACAAACTTTGAACTGACTTGGACGAGTTATCAAGTTCCAAAATTTACCCATCATTACCTTAGCTCTGGTGACTGTCATAACTCTGGAATTACAGAGTTTACGATTTTAAATAACATTTTTGATCATAGTCAGTGTAACAAAGTTTTGCACTGCCTATTTTCTTTTGCTTTCTAGACTACGAGCAGTCGCTGCTTTTCGGCGAGATCCGTCCCGGAGTCAAAAATAAAAAGGAAGGAATTAATAATAATAAGAAGAGGAAGGGCGCACGTGAGGCGCCTCACCCCTCACCCCTCACCCCTCACCCTAAGAGTTCCGCGTGGCGAGCTTACATTAACTTTTTTCACCGTTTTTTTTTTTTTTTTATTTTTTTTTTTACTAAAGCATAGGACTTCGCCGAAAAGGAGGGACTGCTCATACTCTGCGTTTTTTCGCTTGGGTTGTGTTGGGACTTCATACCTTGTGGCTGATGGTTAACTCTTTACGCCCTAACATCAGAGTGCATATTCTCCATACTACTCTGTATAGATATCAATCTAGACCTCTAGTTTGAGATCGTTTCCTTTTTTCTTATTACTTTTCCCTCTGATTCGGTAGCCATGCTGAATGGAAAAATTCATTGTTAGACACTCGGGAATCAAAAGGGCTTAAAGAGGGTACTTCTGCTCGTTGTCATAACACTTATAAGGAAAAAAAGGGATAGAGTTGCAAAGAAACGACAAGAACTCAAAGAGAGAACTAGCAAGCTTCCCACATCACGTGACCGTTGTGATTGATTGTATCTGATTGGATAAGAGGGTTTTATAGAGTGTTGTAGACCAATCACGGAGCAAAGAAAAGTGAAACCAATGCAATCTCGAGCTCAGATTGCTTTCGTCGCAATTAAAAGTAGCTCTGTATAAGATGAGTAATTTCGTGGAGTCTAGAGACTCGCATATCGAGCTGAAATATCGAATTCCCTCAGAAGGCCTTTCTAATCTTTTGGAATCTTCCGATCGCGCATTTTAGCATTAGGTAATGATGTTTTGGTAACAATGATGCCTGTATTTGGCGCAATTGTTTGTCACAAGACGGTGCATGTATTTCGTGCGTATGTTTAAGTCTGGGGATTTTCGTAACTGGAATAGCCTAATAAGGAAGATACCCCACAGCTTTTTTTCTTGATCCTCTTTTAGCCCCTGAAATAAACCTGAACAAATCATTGAGTTTCCCTGAAAGAAAGTTTCCGAATTCATTTGCATTTTAGGCTGCGCAAGATCTTTCGTGTGAAGGCTACCCAAGCTTTTCCATTTTACTTTTAAACGCATAACGTTTTGAATCGTATGTTTTGCACAATATTGAATACATAATAAAACCACCGCATTAGAAAATTCATCAAGCGCTTTATTTGTCTTACGGTACAGTGAGTAACTAAGTGTCGAGAAACTGTGTTTTGAGTGTAATGCGAGATCCGAATATTCTGCGCCTGTTTTTCGATTGCTTCCGCTCTTACACCTCCTATAACTCTCAACTGCATGGCCCCAGAGCATACAGTCTTTGTCATCTCCTTAGACTGGAGCGACTTTGTTACTTCTCCTTCGAAAAAACTTGCGAGATCTCCCGGTCGTGTGGTCATTTCTTTCTGTTGATGAAGTTTTGTGAGTGACAGAATCGGCAGAGGATGACCGCGGGCTCAAGCTTCCACGGCCGCTTGGACCGCTGTTGGAATCTTCGGTCGCATTTGGTCTCACCGTTTTCCTTATCTTCTCCATTGGCCGTCCACTTCTAGCGCCTGCCCCGTCTTCTCGATGCACATATTCCTTCCTCAGTTGCTTTATCTTTAAGCTTTCATTGGCAAGCTGCTCCCTTGGTTTGAGTATCTTGGAATACATCCATTGCCACTGCGAGGGGCGGGGAGCGGGAAATGAAATTTGACGAGCTCTTCTAGGTGCTGATGATGCCAGATACTCTCTTGCCATGAAACTGTATCCATCATTAGAATTTTTACCTTGCACTGAATATCTCTCATTTCTCCAGTTTGTGTGACTTTCAACCGGTGCGATTGTATAAGAATCCATATAATCGGTTTCTTGGCCCAATCCAGTTATTTCCATGTGTCTGGGAAAACATTTCTTCCCGCGGACCTCCATGGTGCAGGATTCCTCTTGATGCTCGTGTGCATCACTTGTCGTATCACACTCGTCTTCTGATTGACTTGATAATGAATCTGATGACCATTCATCATCAGTGCAGGAGTAAGACTTAATTTCGATGGTTTCAACGCTGCATGACTCTACCGCCTCTGCGGTGTCAATGTCCTTCCTTAGCTCCCGCTGAGAATGGGATGAGCCCGTATTTGAAGGGCAGTTGAGATGGATCTCAACCACCGGTGTCTCTTCTATCTCCTCTTTGATTGTTTTCTCGACTCCAAGGTTCTTGCGATTTACGCAAATCATCGACTGTAAGTTTCCCATCGTGGCGCGATTTGATTCTCACCAATTGTGAAACTGTTTGCGTTTTTGCGTTCCTTTGTGACGCGAAGTCATGACGTGCTTTTGACTTTCCTGAGCGCGCACTCCCAGAAAAATATGACGCAGCGGACAAATTTCCACCACGCGGATGGGTTCCTCTTTGGGAAAAACATGGTGGAGAAGTTGCTGACAGGTGTATGGAAATAACTTAGACCACCTTAGACCACTAACAGTCCCTCTGAAAAAAAAGAGTGATGTTAGCACGCCGCGCAGAACTCTAGGGGCTGAGGCACACGAAAAGTAGACTTCTGCGGAGTGCGCTAACATCATTTTTTTCCACTGAGTTTTCGGGCACGACGGACGTAAGCGAAACGTAGGGACTGCTCGCAGTCTAATGGTACTTAGGTTGGGTATTTCAGCGATAAGGGACCCGCACAAACTAAATGAGCATTTTTATATATTGATTTAGTGGAGATTTACTCGAGTCCAGCTTTATATTGCTTTCATATGTTGTAATTGACACTTGGATAACACATTTTTTATTTTTTTATAAAATCTTACAAATTTTTAATTATTCATAAAATGTTTAGAGAAGCAATAATACCCACTCTTTCCGAGCTCATTTCCGCTCCCTGGCGCTCATATCAACGAAGCGTGAGCAAAGTGATAGAAGAACAAGGAAGGAGCTAGCTGCTGATAGAGAAGGAGGTGTTGAGAAGTGGATTACTCTGATTGCGAAACTGACGATATTTTCTTGGTTTCTGCCCTATTCATTGACCGTAACTCAGAAGGGCAAGTGACTCTTAAAAAAAAGTGACTCTTAAGTGGAGTCAACTACTGACATTTTGCGGTGGTTAAAATAAGTGTGCACGTTTCGAACAATTAAAATCACGAATAATTAATAAGTAGCCATGCATGAAATACTTTCAATGAAATAAAAAATTTCGGCTTCCTCTTCATTTAGCAATCGACTTTTTTGAAAAAAAAAAAATTGGGATTGACGTGCCTAAAGAGATTAGTTTCATCCTACAACACTTTTTCTAGGGGTATATAATTTTTTCTCGATCATTTTGTAGTCCGATATTGCGAAACTTTACAAAGTAAATATCTTCCCGGAAGTTGTCGTTCTTGGCGCCGCAACGCGCCCATGCCCATATTTGGAAAGACTTAGTCAAACGTATTTCCGCTGCTTGGACCTCCTAGCTCAAGACAGCAGTTAACATACTCCGCAGTTCAGGACGATCGTAAACGATGTGGAAGATAATTGTGGTCACTGGTAAAATCCTTAACATAATTATAAACCATGCAGCGGGAAAATAAGTCGGATGAGTGGGTCAAACTTGTGTTGCGCCGATTTAGAGCTCAGGTGAGATTAGGTGTCCGACTCGTAACGGTTGTTTGAAAGTTTATGTTCAAAGCAAGCTTGGATCTCTATTGTGTTAATATTACTTGGTAGAAATATAGATTTCTGAACTTTATTTCTTGACATGATCACCTTTAGAGCATGTAAATCTTGAAAATCGAAGTGTTTTCATTCATGAAGTGTCGTGTATTCCATTGATGCCAACAATACGTATAAGATTACTCATTATCCGCTCTGGAATTACACGCACCGTATATTGCTCACTTGATTGCATTATTTCCAGGGCGATGGAATTTTAACACACACTGAGGTTCAACTTTCCTTTTCTCCTATCGTTAAAATAATCTAGATAAAAGACGAGGGAATACTGTTAACTTATCGGATAATTGTCTGTGAATGCTCGCTTGAATATTCTCTCTGCGTATAATTTATTTGGAACCAGTTCGTTATATCTCACCTTTGCATGCTTGACTGATTCTCTTTCTTTACTTATAAATGATTCACGAAATAATTTATTGAGGAGAATGACTTACTATGCGGCATTGCGTCATGCGACATAGTTGACAGCGAGATGGTATTTTGTGGTTTGCAGAAATTATATTGCAAATTGTCGTTTTGATGATAACATGATGTTACAACTACACGTAGTATGATTTCTTTTGTAACAATAATAGCCAGGTTTATTTGTAATCAAAAGTAATACCACAATTACAATCTGTATGTTTTTACAGTTGATTCAGGAGCGTTTCTATTAAGTGGGTGTCTGTTTACCAATTCACCTGTCAATTTATGTACCCACGCATCATGATCAAATCAACCTCAGCTTTCTAAACTAAAACCTTTTCTCTCCTAAGATTGAGATATCGATTCTCTAAAATGTTTGCTATACATTTGTTATAATTTAAGATCAGAGAATTTGATATGAAATCAAAGATATTTGATGTAGTTGATATTTTCCTCACCTCTCCTTACCTATCGGCTTGCAAATGTATGGTCATTGTGAGATGAAGTTTATTTTTGCTTACTCCTGGAAGTGTAAGAGTTAATCTCCGGTCAACTTACTTTTATTAACTTTTGCACAAACCATTCAGATGGAGATTTTATGGGCAAACTTTCCATGGCTGAGCTTGGATACTTAAGAAAAAGAGTAGGGAAAGATTTCTGAATAATCCCATACCTCTCTAAATATCTGTTTAATATAATTATAAAATTAATTATTTGGTAAAGGTAACAAAATTGGTGTTCTCAAGTTATTGTTAAATTTGGTTTTAAGAGAGGTTCACTTACTTTGATTTTCTTGCTGATACTGCAATCTTTTTATATTACAGCTTCCATTTGAATCAACACGTTCTCAGAAAAATCATGAAAGTACAGAGCATATCAAGAACTGCATTATTAGCCTTAGTGAACACAACTTTAGTATGGTGGTGGCAGAACTTGCTGGCTTTATTAAAGAACCATCTAAGTTGGTGAGACTCAGTTTTCTCTCTTTGGTTGCAGTTACTTTAGAGCAGTTTTCAATTGATTGTTGCAAAACCAAAACCAAAACCAAAGTAGTCAAAACTGTTAACCCTTTAACACCCAAGATCTCATTATAATTCTCCAAACTGTCTGCCAAATGATTCTCATTATGTTAGTTTGGAGAATTTGGTATTGGATCAATTAGTAATCCCATGATTGATATTTTTCTTTATTCTCATTACTTGTCTGCATGATATTGTATAGATATAGTAAGGGGAAATTTTGTCTTGGTCACTCACCAGAGTTAAAGGGTTAATCAGAACAAAGGTTAACATCATCATGAACAAATGGGGACTTAAAGTTCAAACAGGTAATTTGCTTGAAGTGCAATAAAACATTAGTGAAGAAGTTGGGATTGATTTAAGTTTTGCATTTGATTGGTTAAAAATTTGGGACCAATCACAGAGCAAAGTAGAGCAAAACTAAAGTAATCCAGGGTCCCTTTTGATATTCCATTGAATAAGTGATTATTATACAGTTTCAACTTGTTGGCACGCATTTTGGAGCTGGCTGCATTGTGTATTTTGTAATCACCACAAAAAAAATTTTCAGCAGTATAATTTTGTTTTGATTTTTAGTGCTCCCTATCGACAGAGAAGATGACACTTGCATCACAATCCAATAGCATTACCATGGATACCATGTCTCAGTGTTTTGAGAAGGTAAATGAGTAAAGGGGGTAAATTTCTTAAGAAACTGTGCTACTGCATTGGTGGGAGAGTATAACAGGGTAATTTAGTATTATCAACTGAGTTGATCATGTAAATTGGCCACCGTTTCCAGCATCAGCTCTTTATCAGAGCAAAGGCTTTGACAAAGTGTTTAACACTCAAAACTTCAGCTTTGAAACTCTTTATGGTGGCCAATTTAAGTTGTCAACTCAGTTTTGAAAAAAGAAGGCAAATATGATACTAAGTGCACTGAAGTGTCCATACTAAATGTAATTTTTTACTTTTAATGAATAACAATAATGATACTATTAGTAAAAAATTATGTCTAAAGTATAAGTACTCTTGACTGATAAAGTGCTGCTGAATAATAAAATTGTTGAAATATCTGTTGTGGTGTTAAGGGGCTAATCCCTCTAATTGTTAGTGCAAATGAGGTTTCATTCGTAAAAATTGTTATTGTTTTTTCAGAATCCAGAAAGATGTGCAGCACTTCCTGATGAAATTTTGAATAAGCGTCTACTTCCAGCAATATGTGCGGTAAATTTGTTTGATTCATAATTAACTCTTTACACCCAGGCATCAATTTGTATGTTTTCCATACTGCTCCTTCCATATTCCCATCAGTCATGATATACTTTTTTAACTGTCAATATTCTGTATTTTGTTTGTTTTTTTTTGTTTTAGTTCATAACACAGTCTTATGGATTCCCTCTGGAAGCTGAACAGAAAATTCTAGCTGGTAAAGTACTCTCCCACATCAGTGTGCACCACTTCTCTGCCCTCTTTAATCGCATTGCAATCAGGTAAAATTAATACAAATAAGTGAATCTAGTGAAATTATTTCTTGTTACTTATATGCTTGGTTATGCTTGAAGCTGTGTATATATGCTTCATAATTTAATGACAGCAAATTTTTTGTCACAGGAAAAAAAATGGTATACTACCATCGTGGCAACAACAGAGTCACAACAATTTCTTTGATGTTCAAAACTAAGGAAATTATAGTGGAGTTTCATGAATCTATTTAACAATATTGTGTCATTTTGTAATCTTTTTGTTCAAAATAGCTTTTAGTATTCCACAGATGTCGTCTTTGTCTCATTTTGTAAAAGTGCAATAAAATGACTTTTTGCATATCCTGCCATGTGATCCCACACCTGTTCAATAATGCACAGTGATCATTGCTTTGTATTGCATTCCTTAAACTGTACAATGCTGGACAGAGAGTTAGCTAAAAGTTGTAACTTTTTGCATTGTAGTCTTATTGACATGTTATGATGCCTTTTGTGTTCTGTCACGGTGGTGAAGAGACAAAAGGCTTCATTTATGTCAGAAAGAAACTGCTTTTTGATAACTCATTGCCAAGAACATGTCAGAATGTGTGCATATCTTAGTACACTGTTTGATACATTTTCTGTACAATATTGGAATTTATCTTGTTGTAAATCCTTTCTTTGTTTTGAATTAAGTTGATGCTGAAGTATATGTATATGTTGTTTCTTATAGACTCCATGTGCTTGCCAACACTGAAGATAATTCTGATACTGGTGAACTGGAATTGATTCGACATTTACATGTGAATGTGTCTTCTCTTAAAATTCTGTTGCAAGGTACAATTTTTGATATGACTTAAATGTACATGTATTTGAAAACATGATCTTTAGAGAGTTTTGTCTGTGTCACTGTTGTAAATCTGCCAACTTGTTCTTGGTCTAATTTGCCTTTTCAGAAAGCAATCAGGTATTCAGATCCTTGAAGAAGATTGGTCAGCTAGCTTTAGTCTCTGGATTGGAAAAGGTAGGTGTATTTCTATTATGGAGGAAAGACATTTAAATGAGATTAGAATTTTTCTTAATGCCTTAATTGAGATGGTTAAATTTCTTTTTCTAGGCAATATGGAATTGGGTTGAGAACAGTCCAGATGAATTTGCACAGCTACAGAGAGAACCATCACCAGAACTTTCAGGTGAATTTCATTTATGTTAGAAAACTTCTTACTGAAAAAGGAATGTGAAAAGTGTTATTCATATTTGCCCATTGAGGGCAATGATTGTACCTATGATTTGTGTCTATGAATTCTCTTTCCCTTTTTTGGTTGCATTCAAACTTCTTGTTCATAATTCTATTCTTTTTTAACTACTATCTCAAGGTTTTCTGACATCTTTTTATATTGCCTGCATGGGCAATCAAATTTCGCACTCTCAAACTTGAGGCAAATATTTGTAGTATGCAAAACTATACAAATGATCTGCACAAGGTGTGAATCAGGGTTACCATTTGCTGTGCTGCAAAATGTGGCATATGTGAATAAACAAAATAGTAGTGTGTACCACCAGTAATTGAAAGCTGTAAGTAAATGATTGGTAAGAAGATTGACCAAAGAATTGATAAATATATTTTTTAATTTGTTGCAGAGTATGCAGAGAAGCTGTTTGACATGGTAGATAATTTTGCAGAGAGTTCAAAGAGAAAAGCTGCGGTGTGGCCCCTCCAAATTATGCTGCTTATTTTATGCCCAGTAAGACTTTACAACCGTACTGTAAATATAATTGTTTCTTACTGTTAGTAACAGTTATTTTCAACAAATATCTGGTTTGTGCATCATCCTTTCCAGAGCCACACACACACACACACAAAAAAAATTGCAAAGGTTTCCCATTTAATTTAAAATGCTCTACTTCCAAGCTGTAGATGCAGTATTTTCTTGAAAGTTATAGAAAAAATTCAAAGAGTAGTAAAGCATGCTAAGACTTTTGCCAGTCATTGTAGTTGAAATACAGTCTTTTAAATGATAGCATTTGCCCTTCATGCAGATAATGATGGCAAAGTTTTCTTTTAACAGGACATGCTGGAACAAATAGCCACAAGTGAAAAAGTATTTGATGTCAGCAAAGCTAATAAGGTAGGTTCCATTACTCTCCGATTCTCGAAAGACACACTTTAGCCCTTTAACCTGTAAGAGTAACAAGCATCAAATTTCTCTTTAGAATATCACCCCTGAATCGAAATTAAGGTCCCAAGAATAAAGGAAATGATCACTGCATTAGGAAAATCTTGGTTTTTAGTAAATTCTCCTTGTTAGCATCATAGGAAATGTCTAGAGAACAGTGTGGATAGTATACATTGTACACACTGATGTTAGGTGTGAAGGATTAAAAGACTTTATATAGCCATGACTTGTGAAGCACCCTGTTACAGTTGTCACTTCTTGCAACTTCAGCTTCCTGCATACAAAATGTTGAGTTGGTGTTGTCATTATATAAATGTAGTTCACATGATTCCCTGACTGTGAAAAAAATTTTATCATCTAGACCTGGCTTGGGTTATTACTTTGTTGCAACAGCAAGGTACTTTTATTAGTTACTTTGAAATTGCAGTTATACCTCTCTCCACCCAATGAACTAAAAAAGCTGGAAACCTATAGAAATGCTGGGTATAAACAGTGGAGGGATAGCATCTCATCTTGAAAGGGTTTCAATATCCTTGCTGAATTTAATACAAAGCTTTTGCAGCCATGTTTCTCCTTCTTTTGTGTACAATTTTACCTGTCTAACACTCATACCAGCTGGATCTCTTACCATCAGTTTGAATTGGCCATGACCATTTTGTTTTGTTTTGTTTTGTTTTTTATTTTGTGGTGTCATTAGAAAGAGTTTCTTGATCATCTGAAGAAGGCCTTAAATAGTACCAAACACCTGACAGAAAGTGCAGCAGTGGTGTGCGTGAAACTTTGCAAGGTTGCAACGTACATGAAGCCTGAAGATAACTCTGTCTTGTGCTTTCTTGTTGTGTCCATGCTCAATGAGTTGAAGGTACAGTATGAACTGTTTTCTTGCTGGGATGGTGGTTTGACTAATGGTTGTGTATTAACCCTTCTGAACACCCAGATCAAACTTGTAATTTTCCTTACTGTCAACCATACAATTCTTACAATTTTAGTTCAGAGAATTTAGTATTGGATCAATTGATTATTCCAAAATAGATATTTTTCTTTATTTTCATCACTTGCCTGGTTGATATTTTATTGATATTGTAGGGAGAAATTCTGTCTTGGTCACTCATGGGAGTTAAAGGGTTAAGTCCAAATTAAATTTTTATTCTGTGTGGAAGATGTTCAAATGTAAATTTATTTGTGAGGTATTGGAAGGAAGGAAAATCAGAGATACTGGTAAAGAATTGTTTACTGGAAGAAGAATGGCAACAAACTCAAAGATAATGTTCAAAGGAAACTTGTGTAGTTCGAACTTATTGGAAAGAACTGTGTTTGAGCAACTGTGATTGTTTGCCTCAGGAACCACAGAGACATTGAATGGCAAGCTAGGCTACTGTGTAACTTAACACAAGTTGACTGAATGAAATGATTTATATGATCAGCATCTCATCATAAATCAATTTATCTTAAAGTTTGTAATCCAATTAAATGGCATATAGTTGAAAAATATTTATTTCTTTAATTTTTACATTTATTTCTCTGCAGGCATTACTTTTCAACGTGAGCAAGCCTTTTTCTGTAGGATCTGGTGGCTTTTTCACAACAGAGGAACTAATGGTTGATTGTTTTGTGTCAAGTTTCCGCATTAATTACAGAAACAACCAGCACTTTGATATCTGCCTACAGCCAAACTCTCCCATTATTTTCCATCTTGTCTATGTGAAAGGAACATATGCTATTGTTAAAGAGGTAAACAAATCCTTTCAAATAACCATGTCAAGAGTGCATTGGATAGTCAGCTATAAATACAGATATCAGTGGTGAAACTCGTCAAGCTATCAAACAGTTAAACAGCCAATACAAAACTTCTTCAAACTTGGCCTGAGATTTTTTCTGACAGTTGACAGTTTCAATAACTGGTAGACATCTTTCTCAAACATGATGGTGTTGTCATGAGGTGTTAATGAATACATGTAGCACTGATGTAGTTGAAAGTTATTTCCACTCTCAATTAATTGATGAGAGAAATGTTTTGACTTTGTGGTGAGGCTAGCAAGGCAACCCAGAGGAAGTGTCCCAAGGGTTTTGACCCTTCACTCCTGCTCCTTTTAGACCTGTGGGTTTTTTTAGTACTTGTCTGACACTAAAATTCTTGCAACATCAAGAACACATATTACTGATCAACCAGTGGTTACTTTTTGTGTAACCTAGAATGGAGCAGAAAGGGGTGTGCTTGGGTTGGGTCAAAATAATTTTAAGACCCTTCAGCCAAAAATTCCTGGATCTGCCTCAGCTTTGGGCACACATTGTATCACAATGAAAATCTTGTGACCTCTTGATAACATCTCACATTTACATTGTACATAACTACGTCAATTTAGGTGAGGATTTGAAAACAAAGAAAAAGTCTTCTATTGCTTGGAATGAATGATATTCTAATTACTAGTTTGTGACATTTATATAGGCTCCTTTGAGATGGTGGCCAAAAGCTGAAGTGCTTCATCCAAAAGCTTCAGCGCTAAGACATATTTTCTTGGTATGTTAAGTTGTAATCCTGTCATTTGTTCGTCTTTCTGATTTTTCTTGATATCCAATGATACATAAAGATCTTTTGGCTAAATCAGTTGTGATAAATAAGAGTTTCACTGTCTAGTATGATCACAGAACAGCTGGAGCAGCTGGAGCTTGGGCCACCTGTGGTATAATAGGAACATTCTCTGACTGTGTTCTATAATGTGATTTTTAAAAATATTAAGGATCCATTACAAGGATTCATAATGAACAAGGGTTTGTGATACTTATCTTTATGCATGGAAGACAGAAGACTACCTGTCTAAAAAAATCTGTGTACATGAGAGCATATTTGCTTAACATTGGGTTCAATTCTGTGTTTTTTATCTTTTCAGAATATTTGTAACAAGGTTCAAAATGGTGAACAAGAGGGACAACAGTCAAGATTGAGTCAGGTGGATATGAAGAACTTAACCCTTTAACTCCAGAAGGGATTAACTAGTAACTTCTTCCAATGATATCTAAACATTATCCAGCAAACAGGTCTTGAGAATATTCAAACTTATCAGGTTGAAGTTGTTGTCTCAATCTGACACCAAACTCTGGTAACTTATTTACAAGGAAATGCATAGCACCCAGAGGAGAGAATTAACAATCAGATCTTGGGTGTTAAAAGGTTAATTCATTAATCAGTCAGTCAATCAGACAGACAGACAGATAGACAGCTGGTCACCAGGGGTGTTGGTGGAATTATTTTGTAAAGATTATAGGGTGGGGGCTGAATCAGTGCTACCATTTGGGTTATGAGCAGACATTTTATTTTTATAATGGCACTCAGAAATTAGTATAAATTTTTTTTAAATAAAGAGAGGGGGCCACATGGATCCTAAACCCTGCTAAACCACATCCTTGGCCAGAATATTGGCAAAACAGTTAATTGACAGAGTGACAAACAGTATGACAAACATACAAACAGGTGCCATTTATTTGAATGGTGGATAGCACTATCCACCAGATAAATCTCCAACTGGTGGATTATGCAGTACACCTTCTCAACATTTATCTGCGGGATAGTGATTTATCTGTTGGATAGGGTTATCTGCCCTTTTAACCACTAGGCTTAGATGGGTAGACAAACAAACTGTAAAACAGACAGATGGGCAAACAAATAGCATTCAGCACTTAATGTCTTGAAAAACATGAGGGTTTTGACAAAGTTAGTTTTGTGTTCTAGATCTATAAAGTAAAAGACAAGAAACACAAAGAAGATGAAGTGCATTCCAACAAGAAGCAAGACAAAGAGTTATTACTATGGCTGGTGAAAATTTTTCATGCAGATCCTGTGTTTGCTTTTAATGTAAGTGTGGTGTTCTGTTGTTGCCTGTTTTGGTGAGGTAAAAAGCAGAAATTGAACTCATTTATATTTTACTTTATGTGAACAGAATCCTGATCTTCATGGCTGGGAGATCCAAAAGAATTCAACTCAAGTTATAATGGGTGTGGTCAATTTGATGTTAACACCTTCTCTACCTGCAGAAATAAGAAATGAGGCAGCTGAGGTATTCTTTCATTAGTTTGAAGCTTTTCCATTTGCTGTCTGCGCTTATCTAGCTATCCATTACTGTGACAAACTCCTTTTAATTTCCTATATTTTGCACACTCAGATACTTAATGTTGAAATTTGCACTTTTTTTTCTTTCAGACTCTTCTTTGTTTCTTTGAAGCTGATCACATAGAGATGTGGAATCCTGTTGCACCTATTGCTTCATTTTGGGAAATTAGGTGAGAAAAGACCCAGAAAACTGCACAGGATACTTTCACTTGTGTCTGCTAAACTAATTAAGGCACTTTTCCTGCTGCTCAAATGTTCATTTGATTATAGCAATAAATTTGTGCTGGTTTCTGCTTTTTTCAGAATATGATATGAATTAATTTAGTATAATTTGAGGTTAATCACAAAGTCTTGTGTTGTAACTTTTACTGCCCTTTCTGTTTCCTCTTGTAGTTCACAAGTAATGGTGTCCATTGCTGAGTTTCTCATTGGTCATGGCAGCCATGGAACTGTTTTACTCAGATACTTAAGGGATCTAACCATGTGTAAAATTGAGTTTTTAAGGAAACACCAGGTTGGTTGAGCTCTGATTATATTTCATCATATTATAGTGATTTAGAAATAGAGGATAATTTCATGAAGTGTCATGAAGCCTTAACCCTTTAACTCCCATGAGTGACCAGGACAGAATTTCTCCCTACAATATCAATACAATATCAACCAGATAAGTGATGAGAATAAAGAAAAGTATCAATTTGGGGATAATTAATTAACCTGGTACTAAATTCTCTGAACTGACATTATGTGAATTGTATGGTGGACAGTTAGGAGAATTACAAATTTGATCTGGGAGTTAAAGGGTTAACCAAAATAATGCAAAGAAAAACAAAAGAAAATGGAGCAAGGAGGTAAAAAAATTGCGCATGTGTGTACTGTTCAAATTGAAATTACAAAATTTGTATTACTTTTAATTTTACAGGAGCAAGCTTCCATAGGATGCCACTTGCCAATATGTACAGTTTCTCAAACTAAACTTGAGGTAGGTATTTCTCTTTTTCATATAAGGCTGAGGAAAAATGAGGTGGAAAGAGAGAGGCTCCTGATAAAGGCCTTGAAATATTTCAATTCCACAGGATTTATTTTGTGATCTGTTGAATAGAATTGGGCTGTCACTGAATCTGTTTTCCTCTCTGATAACATTAACATATTAACCCTTCAACTCCCAAAAGTGTTAAACATGTAATTTCTCCCTATAATATCTATAGATTATCCAGCCAACAGGTAATGAGAATACTCAAACTAATCAGGAAGAATTTGTTATCTTGATCTAACACCAAATTCTCATAACTTATCTAGGAGGAATTGTTTGCCAAAGAGGAGAATTAGAGAGGAGAATTAACAATCAGATCTTGGGAGTTAAATGGAAATATTACTAATTTTTTTTTATAATTTCTTCTCATTTTTCAGGAAGTGTTCCTAAGTTATTTATGGAATCCAGATATGGAAACTGTGTTGATCTCCCTTTCTTGTTTTGGACAAATGTGCAATGAAGTGGACATTGTACAAAGTTCAGAGACCCTCAATGTTCTGCAGACTTCTCAAAACTTAAATGTGTACAATGAGTTGTCACAGGAGGCTACCAAATTTAGAGCTGGTGAGTTATGCTTAAGACCATAAATATAGGAAATCAGTGGTACTTTAAATGGAAGAGTGTGCAGAATAAAGCCTCAGGGTTGTCATTAGAAAATCTAATATAAACATGATCTGATCTGAGTTGGCAGCTGGATTGAATTGTGCTTGCATTGCAAATGTGGCACATTGCTACATGCCATACTCAGCTACACCCCTTCTTGAGGGTTCAGAAAAATTTGAAAATTGAAACTCTCTGAGATGTGATTTTCAGCATTCTGGGACATATTTTTGTCACTTTTTCTAGTCAGACATTGAGCTTAGAATCAATTCAGTGAGAATACTTTTTTTTCTTTCTTCAATCATAATTTGCAAAGTAGCTGGCTCAAAATAGGCTGATGTTTGGCAACTTTCCACCTCCAACCTGCTTCTAATGACAGCCTAAAATGCAACTTAAACTTCTCCCTGTACAATGGACATTTCAGAGGGAGGTTCTTGGGGGTCAGAACCCTCCCCTAAGACAAGACCAATTTTTCTCCTCTACTGGTCTTACACCAAAACTCTTGCAACAAAAAGATGGTAGAATGCTACACAACACAGCTGGCTGAATTTTCCTTATAACTTGGAGTTAAAGGGGAGAGTGGAGGTGTAGGTTGGTCAAAAAGTAATGTGGGACCCCCCTTATCAAAAATTATAGGACAATAGGAGGAATTTTCATTGAAAATTTTATTGAAAATTTGATGCAGTGAAAAAATGGCAAGTCAATGAAAGGTTAGGTGAGGCCATAACCTGTGATGGACTAAGGCAGTTTTTTTTTTTGTCACTATGACTGAATGTAATCTGTTGTTTTTCAGGAAGAGCAGCACTGCAAAAACGGATCATGGCTTTATTACGGCAACTTGACAGCCAAACTGCAGGGAATTTTCAGGTACTGTCCAACTTGGTGAATTTTTATGCCTTTTGAATTCAGGCAAAAAACTGAATCACAATTCCCAGTTTAATGAGTAATTCGAATTTTGTTTCATTTCATTCACAGGCCTGGGAAAGTACTTACACAAAATGGCAAAAGCTAACCTTTGACCTTGTCAACTTTGGTAAAGATGATTCTCCATCAATAGATGTACAGAAATATCTTAGGCGGAGATCACATGCCAAAATCACTACTGACAACTTGCAGGTACATTTGTATACTTTTAACTTTTTAGCTACCATTAGAGACCAAGACAGAATTTATCCTTTTAATATCAATACAATATCAAGCAGAATTTTGGTTGTAATTCTGAAAAATATAAATTAGGAATTGTTAATAGATCCAGTACCAAATTCTCTGAACTAACTTTATTAGAATTGTAAGGCAGATAGTAAGGAGAATTACTAATGAGATCTTGGGAGTGAAAGGGTCAACAGCAATTTATGAATTGTTTATGTACATTAACGAGCATAGGTTTCAATGACTTGAGGATCTTTCATATTTTTGGTAGCAGCTAAGAATTGTAAAAGTTTGTCTGGTGCTACTGACATTTCAAAATTAATCCAAAAATTTCAGATGGTGATTTTCAAATGTTGTAGTTAGTGTTATACCAAGCGTAACACATGCTTCCCTTCCCTCACCCTGGATCTTTGTAAGCCCGTCTGCAGCCATTAAGGTAGCAATAGATAGGCACAAACACGCAGCACAAATTTATTGCAGGAGTGAATACTGGAAAGAACACAAAATTTTAAAGAAATGTTTTCATTGGTTTGTTGCAAATTGTTGTATTTCCTATTACCCTTGAACAGTTTAAGGAAAGAGGACGAGAGTTTTGGCAAGGGCTTTTTAATGGTAATTTGTTACTTTATGTGTATTTGATCTCTAGACATCATTCATTGAATGGACATTCATGACAGGATTTCTCTGTTCACTCGGGGGAGTGTGTTTGACTTCACTACAACCAATAAGGTATCGTATTGTTACAAGTAATTTTAAGTTTGTAAGCAAGCCAAGTGGCCTGCAATGTGCCAGAGCTTTTCCTGGTCTTTGTAGCACAAAGGGACTTTAACAAATGGACAGTGGTTTAGTGTGGTCTGTACTCTTATCGATAATGATATCTGTTACCAGTTGTTAAAATATTGTGGGTGCAGCCAAGTGAGTCTGCAACAAATTTTGACCACTATGATGATGAATATTGTTGTTGATAAGAGTACTGACCATGCTAAACCACTGTTGATTTGTAGTTTTACCATAATATTGATGTGAATTAAATGATTCTTTCAGTGCATGACCAAGATAAAGGCATTGTGTCACATGTAGGTGCAAGCAGCATCATCTGTACTCTTATCTACAATGACAAATTTGTCAATCAGATTGCAACATTACTGCCAATAATTATTGTGGTTAAAAAAAAAATTATCCCCCCAGGATAGCTTGCTAGTCCATTGCAGCTTACCCCCCTTCCCTCCCCCCCCCTCCCTTATTAATTGTTAAATGGTAATTTTCCCATCTGCATTACAGAAGATACAGCAGAAGTCTTCCTTCATCAGTTCACTCCAAGGCTGAATCAACTGATTCTGAATGTGCTACAGTAACCAAGTAAGTTATCGTTTTATATGTCATTTTGAGTTAAAGGTGAATGATGAAATGATGCTTGCATTTGAATCACAACGACAGAAATAACAGAAAAGAAAGCATGAAAAAAAATCCTCTTTTATGTATTGTCTGCAGGTCTTAATATGTTTGTTTGAGGTCATTGTTGACCTCATGGGCTGATTTGCAGCCTATTGATAAAGTGGATTCTTTTGAAAAGAAGGCATTCACTGACCTTTGGCCTTGTTCTACAAATATTTTTTTCAGTTTTAGAGGTAATAAAAAGGAGGTTTAACAAGTTCAATTTTCATTATGTCCTTAGGTTTATGCAGGATGTGTTGAGTCTCTTGGTTTGCAGTAATGATAAAACTGGTTTACAGGTAGGTATGAAACTTGAGATTATTGTATGAATTGGATACCATTAGATACAATTAAGTTTTGTTAATAAGAGTAATGAGGAACAAAGAGTTTACAGGTGGGAGTTTTATTCAGTTTTATGATTTGGGCTGTGAAATCTAGTTAAGTGGGTTGAAGTTTCATTTGAGCATATAGATTCATGTAAAGGTTTGTTGTACCAGCTTAGTTACAGACATGCAAGTAGTGTGATATGTTTGTGGCTCTGCTCAATTCTTTAAATTGGGATGGGAATATTTATTGATATGTCACAGTCAGTGTACTTTTTCAACTGTATATTCTCTAGTTGGTGTTCACATTGTGGAAATGACTCTATTTTTAAAAGGGTCTCCATGAGGTTAATGGTTAGACGTAAAAATTAATAAATTTTTAACTGCTAGCTGTAAAAAAAGTTAACTGTTAAAAAATTCTCAGATGACAGCAATGGAAAGCTAGTAACCCTTCAACTCCCAAGATCTCATTTGTAATTCTCCTTATCATCAGCCAAATGATTCTCAGTATGTTAGTTTGGAGAATACGGTATTGGATCACTGATTAGTAATCTTTCTCTACAGTCATAACTTGCCTGCATGATATTGCATAGATATAGTAAGGAGAAATTCTGTCTTCATCACTCATGGGAGTTAAAGGGTTAACTGTTAGCCCTAAATTGGCCAAAATTTTAACTATTAGTTGTAAAAGTCATCACCTTATGGAGACTCTCTTTTGAGGTATCCTTTTAGTTAACTAATAGCGTACAGTATCTAAAATCACACTATTTGGTATTGATTAGGTTTTTTTATGTTGATTTCAGATACGTAGTACAGTCAATGAGCTGGTTGGAGTGGAGCTTAGTCCTAAGCTTTATCCCATTTTACTGACGCAGATCATGACAGTAGTTAACAGCTTCTTCACACCATCTGGGCAGGTTAGTCCTTTGCTATCATTGTTGAAGGTGACTGGTAAAAGACGATTAGTGCAGTGGACAAAATATTCAGTATCCCAAGGTGTGTTTGTAACATGTATCCTGTGTGCTGCTAGAGTCAGTTATGTGGAAAGTGCAATGTGAGTTTAAGTTAAGAAAGATTGTCAGTTTTGAGCTTGGTAGTGGAATGAAGAAAGATGTTATACTTGGGAACTTAACATCAAGTTTTCTGTAGTTCACTGACAATGTTAGAGGATGCAATTCAGAGATCTGAGATTTCAATTTCTCATGGGAACTCAATTGTTTCTTTATTCCAAGCTGGTGACAGGTCAAATAACGTCCTTTTGTGGAAAATGTTACTACAACTAATATGAAAAGTAGCTCCACGATGGTCTTGACCACAAGACTATCTTCTTTTGGCAAGCTACAAGTATTTGCCTTCAATATATATTATATATACGGGTATTGCTCCGTCCAAAAAAAAAAAAAAAGAATACTGATGATTTCTGCAAATAGTGAATGATCATCTCAGAAATATTGTACATTTATTTATTTACTGGTTTCATATGAATTGCAATTATCTAATAATGCAAGCTTGTTTCCATGTCAGGTGGTGGTTCAAGAGAAACACACGCTTTTTATAGCACAGGTATGTGCAACTGATTTGCATAACTTCCAATTTTAGAAGGTTTCACTTTGTTTAGAAGAATTGGTTTTTGTTTGTTGATCTGTCAGTCCAAAGCGATGAAGAACTTTTTGCAAGTGCTGTAATCGTGCAAATCATCATGCAAACTTAGAAGATTTCACTTTGTTTAGAAGAATTGGTTTTTGGGTGTTGATCTGTCAGTCCAAAGTTATGAAGAACTTTTTGCAAGTGCTGTAATCGTGCAAATCATTATGCATATTTAGAAGGTGTCACTTTGTTCTAAAAGAATTGGTTTTTGTTTGCTGATCTGTCTGTCCAAAGCTGAGAACTTTTTGCAAGTGCTGTAATCATGCCAATCATTATGCTCACTAAAAATGCATTTAGAGTTTTGAGAAGCTTAAAAGATGAACCAATGATTTTACTGTCACTTTCTTTCCAACTCATTACTCTCGTTCTTCTTTGGAGCGGTTTACTCGACGACTTAGTCTTGTTTTTTTCCTTAATATTACCAGATCATTGTAATAATCAAGCACATCCTGGAAAATAAACTTGGACACAAGGATTGTTTTCAGATGAGTGGCATTGATGCTATGATCCTGTCATTTGTAAGGTCAGTTTCACAATTGTTGTTGCCTTGTTGTTCAAAGCAATTTTTTAAGAGAAGGTGAACTTTCATGCGACATGTGAGTCTCAGTAAGTCAGTTTGTCTTGTGTTAGTAGATAACTACCAGGGGTAGTGATACTGGATATATTTACTACTACCTTTCTTTATCACGAGCCTTTGTTGAATGCAATTTTAAAGTAAGAGAAGGTTTACTTTTCAGCCACAGGTATCACGCGTAAGTATGTAATTACCTGGGTGCCCCCCCCCTTTCCGCCACCTAAGGTTATTCCCCACTCCCTTCCGCTAAATCTGCCATTTGAGGAGTAATGTGTGATCTTGTCGTTGCAAGAATGTTGTCAGACCAGCAGTAAAAAATCTCACTGGTCTGATGGGGCGGGGGCAATCCGTGGGACCCTCCTTCTGGATCTTCCAATACCTCTACGTGTAAGAGACATGGTGGCCTGGTAATGAGTGTGCTGGAGTCGGGGGGGGGGAAGGAATGGTGGTAACTAGGCGATGGACTTGCATCCTGCAAAGAAAGGGGGAACAAGACTCGTGGTGGCTTAATGCTATTGAAACCAAGGAAAAGTCTGACAGGATGGGCTTGGCACATAAGATGACTTAGCATTGTCCTCTCCATGTCGTTTATTTTTAGATATGTGAGGAACCTTCCTGTCAGTCATCAGGCCCTGCAGATAAAGTGTAAACTCTGCCAGCTGATTGATGTGGTTGGTATTTTTGCTATGAGTGAATCCACTTTTCTCAAAAACCACCGTGATACGAAATGGAAATGACTGGATGAAATATGACAGCACTCAAAGCTGTAAGAAGCAGTGAATACTTAATTGTTTGTTGTTGCTTTTGATGGCAGATTATGGCAAAGAGAGACGAATTATTACTTCATCAAGAGGTAAAACTACGGAACAAGCTTGTGGAATACCTCACTGATTGGGTTCTACCATCTGCTGAACATCATCAGAGTATCCCTCTAGAGCTCTCGGGTTTATCCAAGTAAGTTCTATCGTTGTCGAGCTTTCCAGGCTCCCGAAGTGCTGTTTTGATGAAAATGCAGGTTTCCTTTCATCGTAGCCCTCATCTAGCCGTGTTTTCAGATTTATTTGTCATATTTTAAGTCGTTGAAACACCGAGCTCTAGGAGCTAGATTTGCTACCAGCTACACATAGAACGACTCCAACGCTTTTCTTGTGCTCTCCAGGCCTCCCGCATGTCTTCCATACTTTGATATACGTACGGTTTTCACACTGGTGCACAAGGGGATATATCGCTTTTGTCACAAATGCTGAAAGTTAAGGCACCAATAAGGCTCAAAAGAAAGATTGTTTCTGTTGGAATTGTGACGTCCTTATTGCGATACAATTGTCGACGCAAAATTTGCAAGCTATAAATTTATTATTAATATTATCAGACCTTGTTCGGTACTGACTCCTCCTACCTGACTCTCATATGTTCACGATGGATGCATTCTTTGTCCACGTATCAATCACATGAAATTTGGTTTTGCAGAGATCTTGATGCTACTGTGATGCGTGCAATAGCATCACTCCTGTCCGGGTTACCCCTGCAACCTGAGGGGATGGAGACAGACATTATGGAGGCCAAGTCACAACTTTTTCTCAAGTAAGAATTACGAATTGGAAAAAAAACAGTATGTGATTTCTATGTTTAAAAACGCTTCGAAATCAACTGCATGAACGCATTCGTGCATTCATATTTTTGCCAACTGATGGAATTATCTATTTTTCTCTCGTAAACTTTTGTTGAGGTCGATTGTTCCACGCTATTTTAGAATATGGAAATTGGGCTATTATTTCTGAAAATATCACCAAGCCGAAATCAGTTTATAACAGGGAATGATCAGAATCCTTAGAGGTTGACTTCTTTCTACAGTTTCTGATTTTCTCGATACGATTCCCTAGTATCGTGCCAAACATATCTTTCGGTGCAAATCAACAATGCAATTTAAAGGTGTACCTGTTCTTGTGTGAACCGATGTATTAAAATTTCTCTTGATAGAAGAGAGTTGGTTGGACGTGACGAGCCTTAATTCGCTCGACAACCTATTTTTATTGGAGTTTTCGCCTCGCTACTTCATGTCGTTGAGAAAAATTGCAGAGAGTCCTTTGTCAGCTTTTGGGTCTAAGAAATGACATAGACGGTTTCTCGTTTATTAATTATATATTTTGATTTAGGTACTTCACTCTATTTATGAACTTGATGAACGGGGAGAAAGGTACAAAAACTACAGATGAGCAAGAAGAAAAAGGGGAAATGCATCACAATGCATCCCAAACATTGCATCAAAATGCCGTCCTAGCTATGTCCAACCTTCTAAATGCGAACATTGATACTGGGCTTATGTATGCAATAGGTAAGTGAAATCAACGTTTTAGACCGTAACATCAGTAACACATGTTCATGGGAAGGTATACGGAAGGGGCATTGAGTTATTTACTGTTACTACATTTTTCAGGTCTTGGTTACCATGACGATTTACAGACAAGAGCTGTATTTATGGAGGTCCTCACCAAGATTCTACAACAGGTTTGTTCTGAATAATTTTTTTGATTTAGATCTTGTCTCAACATCCTATTAATTTCAGAAGTAAGTTTTACTTTTGATTGACTTATTCAGTTACTATTCCTCAGGGCACTGAATTTGACAATTTGGCAGACACGGTGTTAATGGACAGATTTGATAGACTAGTGGACTTGTTGACGCTGACAGGAGAGAAGGGGAAACTTCCGATTGTGATGGCTTTGGCCAATGTAGTACCATCACAGCAGATGGTAACCTTTTTTTTTCTTTTCGAAAACTTTATAGAATCCCTAAGTTTATTCACTCCCTGGATATCAATCCAGAATGGTTTTAGGCAAGTTCAGTCATGCAACGGTGTTAAGTCTTATAAAGTAATCAAATCGGTTAATCTATTGATTTCCAGTAGTGAGCGACATAGAACATCCCCTTTACAACACCAATGCGTTATTAGGCAGGTAGATTGTGAGAATTACGAAAATGATGGGATGGTTGTCATGGTACTAAGCCACAAACTTTCATGACCAACCTATAGTACATGGAAATGTGAAGTTTTTCGAATGAAGAATGACAAAGTAAAAGTTGAGTTATGAAGTATAAATTAACAATGAATAGTTTCCGTGTTCTGGTTGCGTCATGTATCTTTTTGTAAGCCAGTCTCCATCGGAGGACGCTATATATAAGCTTATTTTGTTGTTATCTGGTAGTAACCGTGGAAAGCGGCAAAATTGAATGAGTCGTTAAGATTTCCCTCTTTTTGTAATTTTAGGATGAGCTGGCCCATGTTCTGGTCACTCTGTTTGATGACAGAAAGAATCTGCCTCAGCTGCTGAATAACGTATTTTCTATGGAGGTACGTACCACGTACTAGGTTTGTTTAGTTAATTTTAGAACATTTGATAATGAATTTCCTAAGTCACCAAAGGTTAAGTTGATTGAAACAAACATCAACTACTGAGGTTTTAACCCTTTACACCCTAACATCAGGATACAATTTCTCCATACTGCTCTCTATACATTTCCTATGGTACTGACAAAGAGAATTTGTTTAACAATCAAGAGCTGCTTTAGTTGGTGATCATTTCCTTTATTCTCATGACCTCAATGTTTGTTTTAGGTGCGATACTGATGGGAGAAAATAGTTACTAATCACTCTTAGGGGTTAAAGGGTTAAGAAACCTAGTCAGAGTAGTCTCAGTTTTCTCGAACACCTCGTCTTAATCCTTTAACTCCCTGATCAAATTTGTCTTTCTCCTTATTGTCAACCATACAATTCTTATGATATTAGTTCAGAGAATTTAGTATTAGATCAACTAATTATTTCCGAATTGACATTTTTCTTTATTCTCATCACTTATCTGGTTGATATTGTATTAATATTAAAAGGAGAAATTCTGTCTTGGTCACTTGTGGGAGTTAAAGGGTTAAATTCTTTTTCAACCTCAAGCAGTGAAAAGACCATTTTAAAGCATATCCTAAGACCAAACTATCACATTTTGTAAATGTTGTAAGACTTAATTGTGTAGGTTAAAATAAACGAACTAAACCATCTTTTGAACAGGGTAATATGTTATTATGAACTGAGCTGATAGCGTCCATTGGCAATTGCGAAGAGTTTAAAGTCTGACGTTTCGAGCGCTGACGAAGGGCTAACGCTCGAAATGTCAGCTTTTAAACTCTTTACGGTGGCCAATTTACGTCGTTATCAACTCAGTTGATAACAACAAATTACCTAGTTACACTTCCCCACCGACGCAGCACCACAGTTTCTTTAAAAACTTATCCCTTTTATTCATCTTTTGAACAGGTTTACAGCACGGAGGGAATGCAGACGCTCTTCAGAGGAAACAGTCTTTCCAGTAAAACTATGGCATACTGTTTCAAAGTATTTGGTGGCAGTTACCTTCACACACTACTTGCACCGCTGATAGCTCCTATGTACAAAGAACATGTCTCATTTGAAGTGGATCCTACAAGGTTGGTTCACAACAGAATAGTGATCTCTTTGTGTGCGGCTTTTTGGCAAATTCGTTGCAAATGAACGTGAAATTCACCTCCGGTGAAAACCTGGCTTAACTCGTCCTGGAGTAGTCTTGGTGACTATGAGCAGAGGTCTCAATTGTTTATTGACCAGTGATTTACTTGCTTCTCTTCCGTTTTAGGACAAGTCATTTAGTTTCTGTCTTTCTTTTAAAAGTGTAAATGACACTGATGTGGTTTCTGAAGCATAATTCTCTTTTAAAGTAAGATCAAGCGACTGAGAATCAGTGAGGGCTTGTATTTCTTATCACAGATCTTAAATTATGCGTATTTCTGTTTTCTCATTTAAGGCTGGAAAAAGGTCAAAATGTCGAAGAGAACAGAAATAACCTGATTAAGGCTGCTCAAAAGTTCATCAACGAGATTGTAATTTCAGCTGAAAGGTAAATCGGGATTAGTGTTCAGCACAGTTCAGGCACTCTGTAGCTTTGTTGTGGTGATTTCATTTGAAATGCGTTTCTAACTGGTTCAACTTGATGTTTGCATGAATGTCTTTGAGACATTATACTCAAAGTTTGAGATGTGGCTTTAGTACTGAACCCACCTTATTTTTCTGTCTGTGTATTAGTTTTCCTATCCAGCTACGGCGTCTGTGTAACTGTCTTAGGGAGGTATGTGTGTAACACTTAAATATTACGTCTTACTATAGATAAACACTAATGAAATACCAAGTGAGCTTTCGCGCGAAAACGTGATATCGTCACACGTAAAAAGATCACTGTTGCTATGGATATATATTAAAATCGTGCCTTTCGAAATGTTTAGTGTTTCCGCTTGGAGATACGGCATTTCTCTTCTCGCGGAATGAGAAATTTCGTATATCCGTGCGGCCATGTAATATCGTCTATTTAAAAAGAGTTTTGGAGTTTTTCTTTCCTTTCCAACTAAAGAAGCTCTTGATTGTTAAACGGCAAATTATCCTTGTCTACATCCTAGGAAATAAATACTATGATCTGATATAAGGATTTAAAAGATTGATAGATGATCGAGGAACTTTATTTGTCGTTTGAAACATTCAAACTCACCGTAGAGGTGTTTTCTGACGTTAGTTAAAATGTTTATGATTCTTTGAATCAACTGACCATTCACTGCAAATATATATATTTTGGTTACAGATTGTTCACCAGAGATTCCCAAAGCACAGTTTAGAAGCAGTGGGGAGTGCCTTCTTTCTGAGGTTCATCAACCCAGCAATAAGTATGTCTGCTTTGTTATTTAACCTACACAAGGCATGTATTAAAATTTGAAAGCTCTATCTTCGTTCCTGTTTCATTTCATCTCCATAGGAGGGTATATGATCACATTGTGTGACCGAATGGTGTATTTTAGTCCTCTTCTACTTCTGCTCTTTGGAAAAAAATATTCTTCGTTATGCTTAGAATGAACCTCCTGGTGATTACCTACACACATTTTTATCTTTTAGCTTCACCCCACGCCACAGGGATGGTTGACCAGATTCCTCCAGAGGAGCTAAGGAGAGGACTGATGTTGTTGTCAAAGGTAAGGGAATGGCTCTCGAGAAACATAGTTGGTCGGTCAGTCCGTCCGTCCGTCAGTAGTCAGTCACACAGTCAGTCCATTAATTAGTCCATGTTGTCAACCGATCGGTCAGTCACTCTCAATCCATCATTCAATCAATCTTGTCAATCAATCAATCAATCAATTGATCATCGAGTCAGTTCTTCAGTCGTCAGTCAGTCAGTCAGTCAGTCAGTCAATCAGTCAATCAGCCAATCATTAATTACGTCAGCCAGGAAGTCAGCAGTCTACTAGTCAGGCTACCAGTGAGTCTATCTCGAGCGTCAATTAGTCGATTCTTCTGCCAGTCAATTCGTCTGTCTAATAGTCTGTCATTTTGTTCACCTGTAAGTCAGCTGACCCGTCCCTCTATCAGACTTACAGGCAGCTTCTCAGAGTTATCTGATTACGATATGATCCTCTCTTCTAACTGCTTCCCATTTATGGTCTTTTTTTCAGATTCTCCAAAATTTAGCCAACCATGTCCTGTTCACAAAGGAGAAACACATGGAACCTTTTAACGGTTTTCTTCAAGCAAACTTTGACAAGGCGAGAAAGTAAGTCGGCAAAACTGACCCGTTTTCAGTTATCATTGCTTAATTGGGACCTTCTTTGTTGGTTCCCAAGCACTGAGAACGGAAATGGAGACCTCTTAACAGTTTCTTTTTTTTTTTTTTTTTGTTTGGGGGGGAGGAAATTTTGTGGAGAAAGAATTTCTATAAGTAAGCTTCAGACGTTGCTAAGGTATTGAAAATCATGAGATATGCTCACTCGGTGATGTCTACTTCTTGATATGGAAAGAGTTAGGGAGAACTTTAAGTTGGCATAGTACTGAAATTCTTTAAGTTTGGGGAATTTTTCCTCGGTGTGCGTTAATTAGGGAGTCACTAATTAAAATGTTTAACGAGCAGAACAGTGGCTGTGCACGTGCGCTATAAATCATTGTATATTTCTTTGCGTCCTCTGCAAAACAACAACGTGAAATAACGAAACTTTGCGTTGTCTGGAGAACGTGAACGACGACGGCTAATTTTTTAAATTTCTACTTCTGTTTTAACGCTGTGTTCCATATTCAGTTTCGAAGATAGTTTTGACAGCGAGAAATAAACTAAATGACTTTAGAGTATCGCGAGATTCGTAGGTAACATATAAGTTCTCCCTATTGGGGAGTTTAAGAAACGACGACGGCGACGCCGTGGACAACGTCGGTTAAAAGTGAACTTGTGCGCGTGCACAGACGTTGTTCTTCTCATTAAAACTGTGAAGCTGTGCACGTGCACAGCCATTGTTCTGCTCATTAAACCTTTTGTTTTGTGACGTTCCCGTTTCCGTTGCTGTCGTGGTTTTCTTAAACTTCCTAGGCTGTAACGAAGACAAGACTTATGATAAGTTACATATTTTGGCGATAAATTTCAAGGGTGACCAATTCAGCAACGAACTTGGCATTTATAAAAAGACAAAAACTGGATTTAAAAGCCGTGGGACATTTTGTATCATAGATAATCCGAAGCTTTTAGTGCCTCTTGGATTTTAGCAAAGATTGACTTGAAACTTTAACCTGAGCTTCAAAATTATGAACTTAGCAAAGTTGCCCCCCAAAAAACACATCACCAACTGTTACAGCAGTCCATTTTAAAACCTCCATTATCAATAAGATTAGTAGTCTTGATATGATACTGTTTTGATTTTCAGATTTTTTAACGCCATTTCATCGAAGTGTCCTTCAAAGAGAGACGAGGATAGCACGAGTTATTCTTTTATTAGTGACAGTAGCGTGTTGAGTCTCCATAAACTCTTGTGGGATCATCAGGAAAAGATTGGGACTTATCTTGCCACAAAGAGGTTAGCAATGATCTGCCTAGATTCACTCTCATGAAGGGCTAACGCTCGAAACGTCAGCTTTAAAACTTTTTACGATAGCAAATTTACGTTATCAGCTCAGTTGATATTACTGCTATTAGTGTAGCTGCTAGAAGGAAGAATTAACAATCAGATCTTGGGAGTTAAAGGGTTAAGCAGCAAATCCCTTTGTGTCTTACAGTGAATTCAAGACGTTTGGTAGAAGACCTTTTGAGAAAATGTCAACGCTACTGGCTCATCTTGGACCACCTGATCAGCAGAAAAATCATTTTTCACATCTGTAAGTTCAAACCTGATTTGAAGTATCTTAGTTTCAAGTAAGTTACCGATGTTCTCCTTGTGAAAAATTGTTGTTAGTCAGCTTGAAAGTCGATAGACATTTGCATCCTGAGGGTGTATTCAGAGATTCATAGGCTTTTATCAAGACCTGTCTAGAAATATATTGAAATTATGCTACTGGACTGACAGTTTTAGACTCCCAATTGAAAAGCGCTTTGACGTCGGTGACTTAAGATGTTGTTTGCATTTTAATTGTTTATGCCCAGCGTGGACTAAAATGTTTCTTTTTTGTGTGTGTGTTCCTTTTTTAAGGCGGTGGCAGGATGGAGCTCGTTTTGAAGAGTTTATGGCGCGTCACGCTGAAGAGAGCCGGGACGATTTACAAGCCATGAAAAGTTTAAACGTGTTTTATCAAGTACGTCCAGACTTTTTGTACAATAAATGTTTTTGTGATGACGGTACATGCTAACAAAATTTATGGAAACTCTATACGCGCGTTGCGATTTCAGTTCTAAACTGTACTATGTTATGCAGAAAATTTCCACTACTGAAGCAAGTAGGGCAAAGTCGTTCATCTTGCTTTCAAACTCGTTTAGAGGTGTGTTCTAAGTGTGGAAAATCGTGTCCAAATGTTATTCCAAGTAAGTTTTATTTATTAAATTCTAGATTGTGCTAGACTGTGGCTAGATTGTGCTCAGCTTATGATAAACTTGTACAACAATTTTGAAGGAAAAACTCGTTGTAGAATGTTTGATATGTTACAGATTGTGCAGCTGTCATTTAAGGTTTTAAGTAGTTTGTTTTAAACATAACACGTTTAGGTAAAGGCCAGTGTGATTTCTTTTTATTGAAGGGTGGCAAGTCAAAAAGTGGACATCCTGTGTTCTACTATATCGCCAGGCGATTCAGGTATTGTGTAAAGTTTTCTTTTTTTCCCAAAGCTTTTCAAGAGTGACATTTTAAAATCCCAGTAAAGGAATGCAGAGCGCATGCTTGGACGCTATGGTGTCCTTGATTTCTTCCCTTGAGTGGCTGTGAAGAAGACCTGACTTAATGATGAGTGACACTTTTATTCTGAATTTCAGAGGAGACCAAATCACTGATGAACTTCTCATATACCACGCTCTAATAACACTGGAAAGCTGCATCGAAAGACCCTGGGAACTGGTTGTTGACTTTACCCATACAACTTTAGAAAACAGGTTTAGTGTAAGTGGAAAGATTTATGTCCTTTTGCTGCTAAACTTAACATGGTAACAGATAACTTACTTGATTCTTTGATAAATTTTCATTTTTTCATTTTTGGGTTTTTTTTTTTCAACGAGCAGAGGTTGTGGAAAGTGAATAGGGTGTGTAAACTGGCTCAAGTGTTTTATTGTTACTAAAGTTCCAGCAAGAAGCCATCTCTCCCAATTCTGCTCACTGCATTTTGTCACCAACCAGAACACTGTGTAGATTGAAACCTTTCATTTAGTAATTTTGATTCTCAAGTACGGAAGGAAAATCTCAGATTCTTCGAAGAAAATCGTTGGCACTCAAACTATTTATTACTGTGAAATGTTTTGTTTTAGCCTTCCACAGTATTAAAGCTTTTAACAGTCGTACCAGATGGCGCTGTGAAGAATCTCCAAGCAACGTACTTGTATAACTGCAGTAGTTCACTGAGGCAATATGCCAAGTACAACGAACGACACTTGTCTCCTTTGAAGGTAGTTATTTCTTGCTTCAACTCTCTGAATCAAAAGAGTGACTAGCATCTAAGTTCTCCTTACAATATCACCCCCTAATCACACGTTAAGGTCACGAGAATAAAGAAATACTTGAGAAAAATAGGTAAAAATAAAGCACAAAATATATAAAATAGTATTTCAAATATGTGAGGATCCTAATAGAGTGTATTGATGTACCAGACTATGAAAAGTATATAAGAATAAAAATGATCGGCAATCAAATTTATAGGCAGGAGTGAAAAAATTCACCCCTTAAAATCAGTATGACACAATCTCCCACGAAATTCGGAGATAGACTTGCTTTGTTCGATTGAGTTATTCAAGTTATTCCAGTAATAAGAGACATTGTGCCTGTACACGTGTGTGCTATTAATATCCTTGTTTCAAGAACACATTCAACTCGTTGATGCATTACATTTGGGGAGCTGTTCAGTACTCCTGCTGTAGGTTTAAAATAGGTGATTGCTTTCTTATAAGACGCATTGCAAAATTGATATATCTTTTATCTTATATGATGTGCTGTGCACTGTAATGAGTTGCTAGCTGTACCTGAACCTGTAGTGTGTCACTAAGCGTCTATAAAGCTACATTTTTAGTCGTTCATGTGCATATGTTGTGACGTTCCTCTATTTTCTCACAGGGACGCTCTATAGTACGAGTTTGTGAGTCTCTAAGTAAACTACACGAGTATATTAGTTCAAGCGAACTTAAGTTACCAAGTTCCACTGTGTCCCTCGAGGAAGACTTAAAGGTAAGCATTTATTGTACACCGTTTGTCGCTATCTTCGATTGAGTATCAACGCAATACAGGATTGCTTTGGTCTCACTTTACTTCGCTTTATGATTGGGCGAGAAAACTCGCGCCATCTTCTCATCCAATCAGATACCAAACTGAAACCAACTACGACTCGGTCACCTGCGTTTTCCCGCGCTTTAGCAGGTCGTTTGTTTTACTTGTTGATTGGCCGTTGTGCTAACCTTTGGTTTTGTTATTACGAAGCTTTTTTGACATACGCTACATTGTGCTCGACATTCACAAAATTTGTGGTTTTTTGTACAGGTTTTTCACGCTTTCAGGGTGTCGAGCAGGAGCAATGTTTTGGTCAAGGTAATAACTTTCTGTGTTATGTGCAATTGGAGAACTCATAATAATCATTTACTGATCATTTATCAAATTTGTTTTGTCGCGTGTTTAGGTTGGCCCCACATCAGTGCAGATCACCACTCCAGAGAGACACAGAGTGTTAGGGTATTCAAGCATCCTCAATGATGTGTACTATGCCTCCGAAGTTAAGGGGGTAAGTTGGATCAATGAGAATGTTGGGCTAAGAAAGTACACTTTGAATGAAAGCGATCTTTGTAGTAATGAACAATACTTAAGCAGTACTTGTTCTTACGGAGTGACTGAGTGAAATGATGGCTTTTTCACAATCGAACTTTCACTTCTATTCCTTTATTAGGCCGCTGTGGAGGATGAGAACCTGTGTCTATTAAAGCTGGCCAATGTTGGTCCAGGGATTCTTCTGATGAGTAATGACAGTGAGCAGATTGTTCAAGCTGTTACACACGTTAAGACCAGATGGCAGCTCTCACAACCCGTATGTACCACGCTCCATGATTGGTTTATAAAGTGCGCGCCAAAATTTCTACCAATCAGATACAGAACTCAAATAAATCGGGACTTGGTCGCTCACTTTTTCCCGCGCTCCCGGTAGCTCGAGCTCTAATTGGTTGCCGTCATGATTTTCTTTGTCCTGATTAGCTGTGGTGATTACTTTGGTCTTTGTCTCACGACAACGAATTAAAAAACGTTCTATAAACTGTGAGTTTACTTTCTTTTCCTGTAATCCTAATATCATCTCTGCAGATAACCAGGTAACCAGCAGAAAATTTTTTTACCACGGCTAAAGGGGTTATTTTCATTATCGTTACAAATGGCTTTAAGCGGGCAGTGTGATAATCAGTGCGTTATAAACGTCCTATTATACCTCTTTGTTGTTGTTATTGTTGTTGTCGATGTTTTTCAGTGCATTGTGATTATCTCTGTTTACTTTTTCCAGGACTCATCCACAACTACAAGTAAGAAGATTAAGCCCAAAGATGTCCCAGGAACGCTACTGAACATGGTAAGACATTATGTAGTACTGAATATTAAAGCAATCTTCACTGTCATTGATTATATACAACCGTTGAGAAATTTGAAAAAGTTTACATGTGCTTTTGTCCTCTCTTATGTTTGTTTACTCCATATCACAAGATATTGACAGTTGCTGTAGAAGTTGACTTTGAGATAAAGTCGGTTATCTTTTTTCCATTGTAGGCTTTGTTGAATCTTGGTACATCAGATCCCAGTCTTCGCCTGGCTGCCTACAATCTTTTGTGTTCTGTGACAAAGTCGTTCAACTTGAAAATTGAGGAAAGACTCTTGGAAGGAACAGGTAACATCAGTATGCATATTCTCCATATTGTTCTCTATACATTTCCTTAAGTGCTCTCAAGGGGAATTTGTTCAACAATCAAAAGCTCCTTGAGTTGTTGATCATTTCCTTTATTCTCATGACCATAATGTTCGATTTAGAGGTGATATTGTAAGGAGAAACTAGATGCTAATCACCCTTAGGGGTCAAAGGGTTGAGGTGTTTACTTGTTCTAACTACACCCAAAAAGAACCGTTGCTGATGTTTTTCATCAACCAAGTGTTTTTCTTTTTTCGTCAAAAGAAAATGCTGAAAGTTTTGTTATGGTACAGAATAAATGCTGAGGCAAAAACATCGATCGAAACTATGGTTACGTCAAGAACTTTTACATCGAAATTTTTCGATGTAACAAGTGTCAACATCATTTTATCTCTCAGGTCTGTGCATCCCTGCAAACAACACGCTGTTCATTGTTGGAATCAGTGAAAAACTTGCTGCTAGAGAACCACAACTGACTCTTGAGGTTAGGGAAGGAGTTTATTGAAGCCACTTGCTAATATAGCTGTTAATCATTGTTTGTTTTTCGTTCATCAAACCAGTTTTTTCCTCTCTTGTCTTCCACCCTTACAGTTCCTGGAAGAATGCATTGCGGGTTTTGTGAAGTCAGATTATGAGTTGAAACATTTGTGTCTGGAATACATGGCACCATGGTTACCAAACCTTGCAAGGTTTGTTAATGTGAGAGTAGCGTTAAACCAAATAGTAAATAAAGCACGGGAGACCTTCCTTGTTGGAATAAATGTCTAATTATTTAGGTATTTTGTGCACAATGATCCAAGCACCTTACTGTGCAGCTGTTGATTTTCGATTTTCTTGTAATGAGGGTAATCAAGTTTCTTGGAAACAGAGCTATTATCAAATTGTTTCTAAGCGAATTCGTTTTAACTTTGGCCCGGTAATTTTTCTGAATGCCATTGCTATGCATTTCTTATTGTTTTACCGCGATAAGGCGGCAAAAAAAATAAGCTTGGTTCGTGGGGTTACGTGTACTACTGATGACTGACCTTGCGAACGAGTCGTCATAAAAACTTGGTAATGTTTTCAGACTTCGAAGCCTTTCTACCTATTTATTTCTTTTCAGATTTTGTCGGTTCCCGGCGGATGATCCTCAGAAAGTGAAAATGACCCGTATCCTTGAAGAACTCATAAATCTAACGGTGAAAGAAAAAGGAGTAAGTAGTGTCACAGTAATAGAAATGTTGTACTTGCGAAAAGTCTCCTTCACCAATAGTGTCCGTGAGTCTGTTCAGTAATAAATCACACTTGATGTCAAAATGTGGTAAGAATAAAAAAGCGGCACTGACACTGCACCAAGTGTCGACATCTTCTATGATCTATTACAGTACAGATCCAAAGCAAAATGGAATGTCTTGTATACGATTAAAAGAGCAAAATATTGGTAATGGTGACGTCATCTATGCTTTGTCCTTCAATAGATCATAGGTAGTAACCAATAAAAAGCGTTTATAATTCAGCTTATTATATTAAATCCTTCTACTTTTGTAACATCGTTAGTAGAAGAAATAAACTTTTTTTTTGAAAAAAGCAATCTCAAACTTTTGCCTGAAACGCGAGTACCGAATCTAAACACCAATCCCGAGTTCCAAGAAACCTCACTTTCAAAACGAGGCTGAATACCAGACCTTTTTTTCTTTGTTGTTGTGAAAATGATGTTTTTTGCACGAGAATAACAAAACATTTTCATATCAAAGATTGTGCACTTGCGCTTGTTTCGAAAGAAGGGCTTTAGGCATTTTGGAAATGGCTTGTTGTATATAATGTCAGGTTTTCAACGTTTTTCTGTAACTTGTCGAGGGTGAGTTACCTTGAGATTTATTATTGCCAGCATGACTTCCATAGTTTGGTAACTTTGATGAAGGGAATTTCGATTTTTTGAGAAAATAGGTCCAACTCATCAGCGAAGTCATTTTTTAACCTAAGGTGTCTCCATTAATTCTGTATAACTGGTAGCGTGGCCGAGTGGTCTAAGGCGCTGGTTTAAGGCACCAGTCATTTCGATGGCGTGGGTTCGAATCCCACCGCTGCCAACTTAGTGTCCTTTTGAACTTTGTTTTGTGGATCAATCACGTAACAAAGTGAAGAAAAACTATGCATGCAATCGTAGAGTACTACCGACATTCAGTATAAAGTTACTCTAACAAAGCTGTTGCATCTCTGTTGTAGACAATGTATCCGTCTGTTCAAGCGACAATTTGGGGAAATGTGGGTAAAGTGACCGAGTTACTGGATACAGTCCTTGACTGCTTCATTAAGGTATTTTCGCTTGTTTCTTGTTGCTTATGTCTCTCCCTCTTTCTTTTCAATTTTATGAATGTGGGATTGTATAGGTATACGTTCTTGACAGACTCCAATGGTTCGCGAAGCGAATGATAACGTCTCATGACTAGAGTTAACTCGTTAACATCTAGATCTCGAGGTTTTCGACAGATGTTCAACGCGGGGCAGACATTCATGTTATTCATTAAAATGTCTCTTGAGTCTTTTTTTGTGGTGATTAACGGTCCTGCCCATAAAAACGTTGGGTGTTCTTAAACCTTTATTCTCGAGAACCTGCCACAAAATGTTGTTCTTAATAATTGTGAATACTGTCCACATTTGCAAGGCATAAATAGTGGAACCAACTGAAAGAAAACTGTCAAGGAACCACAATTTCTTCTAATAATTCGCTTTTGGTCGACTTCAATTTGCAGTCATCCGACGTCTCACTGCATTTTTTTTTTGGGGGGGGGGGGTTGTGTGGACGGGGTGGATAAGGGAATCTGGATCAATGTCCGCATCCGAGCAATTGCGTACCTACCCCTCCCTTGACCCAACGACAGTCACCTGATAGCAAGTTAGGATTAATGATGGGTAAGGGGAGGGGTAGGCGCGCAGTTTCTTAGATACTGATCTTGATTCAGAAATATACATGATACTTTGAATTTCCTGTCCAATTGTTTCAAGAGTACATGGTCCCAACATCTCTTCATTTTGTCCATCTTATTGGATGTGTCATAATGATTTTGTATCTTTCAGGCCAGTGCTACAGGAGGCCTGGGTTCTGTAAAGGCAGAAGTTATGGCAGACACTGCGGTGGCTTTGGCGTCAGCTAATGTACAAATTGTGTCACGCAAGGTCATTGGGAGGCTCGACTCGGTAACCCATTCTCTTTTGGGTTCTTAACTCGACGTAAAAGTCTATAAGCAGAACTGGCTTGCTAGACCGTCCTATCCGGAAATAGACGGGGCTAGTTTTGAGAACTGACAGAAATAGTTTTTTCTATTCTGGTAGAAATTATCTCCTACGCTTGTCCCATGAGTAGGACGAGTCAGTTTTCACGCGGAATACTCTTGGAGAAGAGATTTGATTTCCAAATATAACAGATAGGACGAAAGCCAGTTTGCAATCTGCTAGTCACTGAGAACGCGCGTGACAGCGCAACGCGCGGGTGCGTTCACATAAAGTGGACTTCCGCTTTCGTTTACATCGCTAAGAACTAGTTCTTTTTGTTCGACCAGACTATATGAATGGAAAGATACCTTGATGATAATTTTAGGAGCATTTTATAATTGATCGGAGTTTCTCTTCAAAAGACTGAAAGTATCGAGTTTCCTCTAACGTGTTATTTCCACATTTTTTGTTCTCAGCTTATCAGCAAGACCTTTATTTCTCCGACTGTCCGTCTTGAACAACATCTTATGTGGGACGACATTGCTATCCTTACAAGATATCTGCTTATGCTTTCATTTAACGACTGTCTGGATGGTAGGGGGCTTCTTTTGATAAAAAACAGCTTGCCTTACCCTCCTTAGTGCAATTTTCAATTGAATTTACAAAACAATCCAGAATTACATTGGTTTCGATTTACTTCGTAATGTGATTGGTCCAGAAAACAAAGTTGAAAAGGAAACGAAAAGGGAGGAAATAAACTGTGGTGCTCTGTCGGTGGGAGAGTATAACGGGGTAATTAAGTATCATCAACGAGTTGATTGTGTAAATTGGCCACCGTAAAGAGTTTCAAAGCTGACGTTTCGAGCGTTAGCCCCACTTCCTTCACCTTGGTACAAAATGAAACTCCGCTGGCAGCGGTGGGATTCGAACCCACGCCATCGAAATGACTGGTGCCTTAAACCAGCGCCTTAGACCGCTCGGCCACGCTACCATTTACACGCCATGTACGGAGAGACCTTACTTTATCAACCAATCAGATGCAGAAACAGACCCAATCGTTTTGTGATTGTGCTTAAACAACGGGTGAACTCTGTGTAAACAACCGGCCCATGTTTAACTGTGATGATTACTCAGTTTGTTTGGTTTTACGCCCCTTGATGTTATCACTCTCTAACACCCTCTTTGTTTATTTGTCTGTTTGTTTTGCTGACAGTTGCCAGTCATATTCCGTACTTGTTTCATCTCGTTACTCTTCTCGTCTCCACTGGTCCGCCAACCATCCGCGCCTCAATTCATGGCCTGGTCATTAACATTATCCAGTCTCTCTGTACGTGTTCCTGTATCAAGTTCAGTGGTGAGTACATAATACGCTATTCCGGCGAAATCCCCAGCATTTGATTTCACAATTGCTTAGACCAATTCGACGCAAAAATATGCTCGAATGTTTGCGCTCAGTTATTATTTGCTCATAACTTAGTTATAACCAAGAGAGAATGTTTTTCAGATCTTTTTTCTGCAATTTCATTAATCACAGCCCAATTACGAAGATCAATTTCTTTCTTGTGTACCATTCTTAGTTGGTAGTAGTCCCTTTCAAATGAGAGTGTAGCTTCGAATCTCGTCGAAGCCTGAATTTTTTCATGCGTCTTTCCTGCAGCCAACCTGCTGGATGATTTCTGTACTTGTAGTCTCAGCTTAGGGGGGCATTTATGGTTAAGAAGGAGTGTACAAGCGTGGGCGCAAATTGAAGTTAAACGTGTTTTTATACCTTAACTATTTTCCTACAGAGCGCAGGAAAATATTTGCAAAAGGGTACCGTTTATTGCTTTGGATGTTAACTTTTCCCTGTTATTTGCACAACACCACAAGACCGGAATTTTAACTCTTCTTCCATAACAAAACTTACTGAACTTAATTAAAACGAAGAACATAGAGGAACGATTGGGTATTATCTCTTTTAGTGTACCACTCGAATATTCTACAGTGGCAGCTGGCACGTGGTGCATATAAACGAACTCAGTGAAGAGTGAGATATTGGATGAGATTTAAAACGTGAGATTCCTCATCCCAAGTTAGTCCACTATCAGTTATTGAGCTTCTGTATGAATTTGTTTTCTTAGACGAAACTCATCGGCTTCTTCGCATGCGGTTGGCCGAGCTTTCGTCGCCCAAGTTTTATCTTCTTTTTGGTAAGTGAAACAAACACCTATCAGTGTGGTGTCACTCCCAGAAGAGACCAACATGTTACTCCCCTTAAGGATATCAATTCAAGAATTAGCAAACAGATGATGAGAATCCAGAATCTCATTGGCGATAAGAAAACCAGATTCTCCTGAAGTGTGAAGCAATTTGAGTACGAAATTGTCAATCAAATCTTTGGAGTCAAAGAGTTAGTTGATTCCTGTGCTTCATCTTCTTCTTATTTTTCTTTATTTAATTTTTTTTTTTACTTTTTAAAAAACAAATTATTTCACCTTCAACTAAAGGCATCTCAAAAGTGAAGACACCAGCAGTCAGGGCTTTTAAAGCAACATACCAAGGCAGGTACACGCTGAGGGACTGGGAAGGAGAGCCCCTGAGCATGACCGCCATGGAGACTGTCACTGACCTCCTACTTGAAATAATGGAGGTAACTTATCGCTTTACTCCTTGTTTGCGGATTGAACCATGCTATAATTTAACAAGACAGTGGTTAGAAGTTTGCTGGAGTTTTTTCGTTAACGTGCGTGTTATGTGGAAAAAGATATGCCATGCAATTTTTCGAGTAGTCTTGGACTCAATTAGAATATTACCTTATTTAAATATTATTTAAACTAAAATTTAAGAAAAAGTTAGCCTTCAGGTTTATTTGAGTTTGTAAATGATATTTCTTCAATAGTTCTCGGAATTTCCCTAGCTATGTCGCCGTTGTTTAAGTTCTGTTTCAGCTCATAAGTGATGATTTTTTTATAAGAATACGCAACACACCTAACCCGTCAGACAAATAACTGCAAGCGTCAATTCTGATTCAAAATTGTTCAATTCGACTTTTCTTTGTCTCACAGAGTTGCATGAAGGATATGCCAGAATGCACTTGGCTAAAGAAGTGGACAGAACTCGCTTCAAAGTAAGTTCAATTTTCGCTTATGCTGTTCCATTGGTGTGCCCAAGCGTTTTTTTCCAAATGGATATTAAAAAAAGTAAAGTTGTGGCAGCGGTGGGATTCGAACCCACGCCATCGAAATGACTGGTGCCTAAAACCAGCGCCTTAGACCACTCGGCCACGCTACCCCTCACATTAGATAAATCATTGTGAAACCAGTTTGTTCAGTTTTTTATCACACGTTTCCTACACCTTTATCTTGCAGGTTTGCGTTTGACTTCAACCCAGCACTTCAACCACGTTCTATTGTGGTTCTTGGTTGTATCAGCAAAGAAGCCAACGACATGCTTGTGCAGAAATTGTTACAAGTGTTGATCATGGTAAAAGCGTCTTCTCTTTTGCTATATGTACTGACTGAATTTTATTTCCTTTTTTTTTATTTTTTAGATATTTTATTTAAGAAGGGAAGCCCAATTACATGCTGATATGTAACTTGTTCCCTCCACAGGCTCTAAGCTCATATAACGACCTCGTGTTGATAGAGGCGGCGTTCATGTGTCTCTCAAGACTTCAGGTGATTCTTTGTAAGGTGAGTTCAGTCATCTATAACAAGTCTTTTAAAGATTCTGGTAGAAATCTCACCGCCCCGAATAGCGGAACTTATTTAAAGCCTTCAATTCGTAATTTTTGGCTGTCAGTCAGCTAGTCAGTCAGTCAGTGATATATTCAATCTGTTTGTGTCTCTGTCTTTTCTTTGTCTCTTTCACTTTCTGTCTGTATCTCAGCTAGTTAGTCTGCCAGCAGTCAAGATAATTTGGTTTTTATCAATTGGGTTGATGATGTAAATTGGCCGCCGGAAAGAGTTTCTGTAGCTGACGTCTCGATCGTTAGCCCTTCGTCACAGTGATTACATTACCAGCTTAGTTGATGAAACCAAATTAGCTTGCTATACCCCCACTTACACAGTACCACAGTTTCTCTAGAAAGTTACTCCTTGATTCATTTGTCAGTCAGTCAGGCAGTCACATTCAGTCTGTTATATTATCTGTGATCTGTTTGTCTCTCACACACTTTGTCTGTCCGTCTGTCCTTTTGTCTGTCTGTCAGTTAGTCAGTCATTCAGTCTATCTGTTGTTAGGTCTTCTGTTAGATTCTCACTCTCTGCCTCTCTGCCTATCTGATAATATCAGTCTGTCTGTTTTTGTGACATTTTTGTGACGCGCTAGCAAGTGTATCTTATCGTTTTCAGGACTCCATGTTCCACAAGGCATTTTTCTGGATTGCTATAGCTGTGCTTCAGGTAAAGGCACTGAACACTTTTTTGTAACCTTTAAGATCTTTATAGCCCGTGCGTAATGCTTTGGTATTAATCTTTCATTTCAGCTGTCTGAAGTGTCTCTATATCCTTGTGGTTTGGCGCTTTTGGAGCAGAGCCTTATAACAATGGAAACACATGGTGCCTTTGAATCAGAGGTTCGTGAAAAATGTAGGAAATTACAGTGAGTCTGCCGCTAGAGACTTCTCTTCTTTATTATATATATATTATATATTTTTATTATATATATTATATATTTTTATTATATATATTATATATTTATATCCATTCTTGGAACAAAATAGATGCTATTTTTTTAAGTAGCTGTATAAAAGTTTTAAAGCTGACGTTTCGAGCGTTAGCCCTTCTTCCTTTACCCTGGTACAAAAGGAAACTTTGTTGGCAGCGGTGGGATTCGAACCCACGCCATCGAAATGACTGGTGCCTTAAACCAGCGCCTTAGACCACTCGGCCACGCTACCATTCACGTGTAACGTTAGGAAGACACTTTGGGATTTTTCTTTAAGATATTTTCTTTCTTCTTCAGTCTGTGGACAAAGTTCTGATGGCGGTACGCGAGGAACCTCTGTTAGAGTTTCACTGTAAGCAAATGGACCATTTTGTGGGTCTTCACTTTTCAAACAATTTCCACTTTGCGCTGATGATACACCTCGTGAAAGGTATGGAACTGTTTCTCTAGTTACAACTTTTATGTCTTGTTGGCTGTTTTGACTTGCTTTGGTGTCGGTAGGGAGGGAGCTTTTATATATACCAGGATAAGTAATATGAGGCAAAAGAGGGAAACACAACGAATGTAGTAACACGTGCGCTTTGCCTTACAGTTACTGGACAGTTGAAATAGTCTTGATCCACCAAAACTTATGTCCTTTTTTTTTTTTTTTTTTTTCCTTAGGAGTATATCATCCCCAGGCCACCTCTTCTGCGCGTGCCATTCGCATCCTGAACTTGATGTATAACATCACAAGCAAACGTAAAACAGGGTAGGTATGGAGTGGATACGATTATCTGCACCTGATTGGTGAAAACAAAATGGGAGTGCACTAGTTTTTTCTTCCTTTGCTCTGTGATTGGTCTGAGGAAATGTGCCACCCTTTCAACCAATCAGATGCATCATGGTCACGTGTGTTTTCCTGCATGCTCATATTCTGCATGATTGATGGTACATATACATTTCTTATGGTACTGAAAAGGAGAATTTGTACAACAATCAACAGCTTCTCCAGTAGGTGATCATTTCCTTTTTTTCTCATGACCTCAAAGTTAGATCCACCAGTGATACTGTAAGAAGACACTATATTCTACTCACTCTAAGGGGCTAAAGTATTAGATGATCATTTCCTTCCTTCTCATGACCTCAAATTTTGATCCACCAGCGATACTGTAAGGAGAAATTATATGCTACTCACTCTTAGCGGCTTAAAGGTCCTTAGCTCTCTCTGTAAATTGTAATGTGGCATGTCAATGTAGTCTATTGAAATAACGTTAGATAAAGGGAATGAAAGGGGTATGTTTCTAGAAAAATGGGGTGCTGCGTTGGTGGGAGAGTATAACAGGGTAATGTAGTATTATCAACCGAGTTGATAACGTAAATTGGCCAACGTAAAGAGTTTCCAGCGTCAACGTTAGACGTTTCGCTCTGACCGTAGCTAGAGTGGATACGGTAGCGTGGCCGAGCGGTCTAAGGCGCTGGTTTAAGGCACCAGTCATTTCGATGGCGTGGGTTCGAATCCCACCGCTGCCAACGACGTTTCCTTTTGTACCAGGGTAAAGGAAGAACGCTCGAAACGTCAGCTTTCAAACTCTTTACGGTGGCTAATTTACGTTATCAACTCAGTTGATAATACTAATATCCTATTACGCTAGATACAGTCAACTCAAGGAAACTGATAAAATTTCAATTTCTTTGCAGTCGTGGTTCTTTTATTGTCAACAAAGAAAATCTGGCATATTTGGCTGGTAAGTGTGTAGAGCGTTGTGGCACTGCGTGACTTGCCACGTGACAGCTTTTGAGAATTTGTGACTTTTATTTTCCTTTCGTTACTAAGTTATTAATTATCTGAATTTCTCGAATTTCTGATCATGTGATAACAAAAAGTCGTTTTTTCCCGACGCGGGCTTTCTTGGGCATCGCTGTGACAAGGTTAGGAGGTTTTTACGCGATAACAAATCTCTTGTTGATTGAACTTGCGAATCTTCAGTGTCTCTGGGAAACATGACCAAATATTCCCTACAGTAAGCGACACGATTGAAAAGAAGCTTCTTACTCATGACAGCGATGTGTTTTTTAAAGTTCGTCTTTGCATACCATTTTCATCTACTTCATTACCTGTCATCCTTGTCCTTCATGGCTTATCCTTGCCTCCTTTGTTTTTTCCTGTTGTACCGAACTAATATTTTGTAGTCCCCTTCAAGCTGAAGTTGGTTCTGGTATGTGCAAACGTTGTGTTGCGAAAAGTTTGTGAAGTGCGAAAGACGTGAAAACTCGGTAGTATTTATGTTCTTTTGAAGTAAAACCTTTATCATCAGCATCTCAATGCTCTTGCAAAAATTGTAGTAATTTAAGATCCAGTAAAACCTTAATAGTAATCAATTATGATTATGATAAAAACTAAACAATGAACTAGATTGACATGCTCAAAGATGGTCAAAATGCTCAAGATGTTCAAAGATGCTCAAAGTTTTAGGTCTGCTTCTAAAAATATCACGTCTAACGGGAGACAAACTGCGAGCACCGTAGTTCTTTGTGGGAAAACTACGATTAAAAAGTTCAGTTACAATGATACTTCTAACTTGACTATGGTATTTCTAAATTATCACGTTTGACTATTATTCCTCGCTCAGACGAAGGGCTGACGCTCGAAACGTCAGCTTAGAAACTCTTTACCGTGGCTAATTTACTTCATCAACTCAGTTGATAAAACCGAATTATTTGATTATTCCTCGTAGCTTTGTTGCCTGTATCTGAGGAAGTTCGCGCCAGTCTTCGCCCGGGTGGCAAAAAAGAGCCCGAGAGTCCCACCCTGCATTTTCCAGGCAAACTGGACGGCAGTATCTCCGGAAGCGCAACATCTTTGAATACGGAGCATCAAGTGTCCATAGTCATTACAGTTGATGACAGTGCTAGTGATCAGGCCTTTGTTTGCCCCTCGGAATGTCGCAACATGCTCTTGGATCCAAGCATTGCGAACGACAATCAGACTCAAGCTTTGCTGTTGACCACGTTGGTAAGGTTGTTGAGATAATTTCGAAGTAACTGCCCGGAGGGTGAATTGATTCAGAGAAATTTTCAAATTGAGTTTCGAAAGTTTCTCGGAATTGCCTTGGTTTTTCTTCAAAGAAAATCGTGGCGATTAAATTCGCGACGATCGGCGAGCAAAATCGCCAGGTGTGTCGCCGGCTTAATTAGTTTTAAACTGCGCGTCGCGAAGATAGATTATTGCTTTAGTTTTGCTTTTCACTTAGAAGTTACGCAATCAGAAAGTGTCTTAATTGTACACCTAAAAAGTACCGCGTGCGCTTACCAGAAAGTATTATTTAGTCCTCCCGGTGCGTCCATGCACATGGGGCTTCGGCCAGAGGACTCCATTGATTTCTGTCGGTTGCCAATCGGTCAAGCTTCCCACGTGTCCAGCCTCTGTCCTCATTTCCCTTTCTACGGTTCTCCTCCAAGTTTCCGTGGGCGGCCTCTCTTTCGTTGGCCGTCGGGACTCCGTCGGAAGACGACTCTGGGCGGGGCTTATGATGGCATTCGGAAAGTGTAGATACAGAGTATTTGTCGAAGGTCAAACGAGCTATGTGTGGGCGAGTTTCCGTTAACAGCGAGACCCGAGTTTTAATGATTTTATCCGTCGGTTTCTTGATAGGCAATGCTGCTCGAGCACGTCACTGGAGATGTAGAATCACGGTATTTGTACGAGGTACTAGCGGAGGCTAGTTTGGTATTCCCTGGAGTTTTCCCTGTTATGTGAGTACTCAAAAAAAAACTCTTATTAATCTATATTATCCTAGTCTTGACCGCGACCCCCATATATTTGTTGGAGGTACAGTGAAACATCGCCAACCCTTTCTATACTTGTTTATCGATCGTCGAGAAACCAAAACAAGGAAACCACAGAGACCAATCAAAAACAAAGTTAACATTATCGTGAGGCAATGAGAATTATGATTTCAAAAGCAGGAGAGGCCCATAGAGTAATTTTCGATCAAGTGTCGAAAGCAGTCCGATATTGCTCTGGTATTGCTTTACTTCGGTCTGTGATTGGTCCAGAAAACTTTCAATACCCTGTATTAGCTTAGTCTTGACTGCTGCCCACATACTTGGCGCAGGTACTGTGTAACATCGCTAACCTTTATTTCCATACTTGTATAACATGTAACTCATTTTTACGATATTAGCACATTACCCAGCAAACAAATCATGACAAAAGACAGCTTGATCTGACACTAAATTATCTAAACTAGTTCAACAGGAACGGCATAGTAGTAAGAAGAGAGGAAAACGAATCAGTGCCAAATAGTATTTTTAACTCTTCAGCACAAGCGTCTCTTCGCCCTTCCGGAAGTTTAAAGCGTCCGGCGAGAGGTCTGTGAGGGGTCTGGCACTGTACTTGGAAAACAATGGCATCCTCGTCGGCCCTCATTATTAGTGCCAGACCTCTCGCCGGCTGGCGTCAAATTTTTCTCGCAGGCGAAAAAACGCACGTGCTGCAGCTGGAATAACGAAGACCTGCTCTTAGAGGGGAATTTATTGCCAACCTTCATTAAAGTCTCAAGCGAACCGTACTAGACAAGTTTTTCTTGTGTTTTTGCAGTTATAATCTGTTAGACTCGGATCTATCCATTGTGCTCGGCCATTCTGATGATGTAGCCACTCTGAAAGCGATACAAACAATTGTACACTCGATGAGCGCTGTCAAGCTAAATGACGATCCTGTTATGAAGTCAAGCTATCTATCAAGTAAGTGAAAATCAAAGTACCGTATGCAATTATGTTTAATTTCCAGGTGATGAGAAACGAAGAGGTTGATAAAATAATTTCAGTTATAGGCGAAGAAGTCTCTGTTTTCAATGTTATGAGATTATTTGTTTTGCCCGCGCCATCATGACGGCCTCCTGTGCGAATTTTAGGCGTCCTCTTTCAAGGAGAGATTAATTTGCTTGTGTTTTTGCTTTTCAGCGTTTGGATTTTCCGGATTCAGTCACTTCACGAGGTTCAAGGTAGGCATTGTGTATTAATGCGATTCAGTTCAGTTCAGAGTGACCTTTTTGGGTCTTGAATTGATGTAGTTCACCTCCAGCTATTGTGGGAACGAACCTGAGTCTCTCTCCGAATTTCAAACCTCAGACCTTCGCATTTCGCAGTCTTATAGTCTACCACTGAGACAGAGAACTTTATGAAGAGCTAGCTAGGCCATTACAAGGTTCATTTGAAACAAGGCTCCTGCTATTTGTCAGAATCTAGAGCTTTGTGCGGGTAAATATCTTTGTAATTTTCTTTCCGCAGGAGCAGAGCGGTCAGGCAAACCGTGCGCAGCTCTTTGTAAAGTTTTTGGAAGCTGTAGTAGAGGTTTATGGTATACCAACGACCGATCAAAAAACACAACGTTCAGGTTCTGTTGCGTCTGTCAAACCAATACTTCTCAGCTCTAGCACTGAGGACCTGAGGGTGGCGTCTTCCGGGTCGTCTCTGTCTTCTTCCCTCAGTTCTCTGTCTGGTGCTGCACCTGGTAAGCACCTTTTCATTCCATTGCCGTTCAAGCGCTCATCGTCTTCATACCGAGCGAAGAAGGCCGATAAGGAATCTCCCAAATTCCGACGGAACTGGTCCACTAGGGGAACAAGAAGTCCCTCTTCTGGGAAAGTTACGAAGTGATAAGGCAGTCAAAAATCTGTGGGGGTAGCACAGGCCAAGTTGCAGGACAAATTGTCCTTATTACCAAGGGAAACGTCCCTCATCGACATCCAAGCTCTTGCAACAAATACCAAACCAAATGAACGACGACTGTAATGGGGAATTTGAAAGTTGGCTTAGGGCTTTAAAACGAGTGAGAAAGAGTCAGCTAGATAGACTGTAAGCCTTGCTTGACTCGGATTGGTTTCCATTATGCAAGCAGATGTATGTGAACTCTTCTTTCCGCGAGGTTTAATTTTCATCCTGACTAAACGCAGAAGTAGCCGAGAGAAACCAAACAGAACACTTATAAATGCGTTTGTGGCTCGCTTTGAGTTTTTCATCTCTTATTGGTACTAACTTCCGCAGGACTCAATTTTCGCTGTTTCAGAACAATCGCGAGATTGAAGTCCCGCGAGAAGCGGTTGGTGTGAAAACAAGAAACACAAAATTTCATGATTTGTTAAAAAATTATTTTAGCAAATTGCATACAGTCCATCGTTTACTATACTTTTAGACCAAAGAATGCTTTGGCATTCTTATCTGGTTAACGCCGTCCCTTTTTTCCTATTATTCAGTTTAGTGCTGTTATTGGTGCTGTTATTGGTACTGTTATTGAATTAGAATATTTAAATAGGAGTAAGGAATCGTCGCCTTTCGCTAAAATTAATTCCATTGGACAGCACTTTTCGCCAAATCGTTAAATTTCATTCGCGCAAAATATTCCTCTTCCCGGCATTTTCGCGGGAATAGTGACTGCGAAAATTACTACCAAATGGGTAGTTTTCCGATTGTTGATTTTGGTTTATTTTCGACATTTCTCAGAATTTCAAGAGGTCTGTTCACTCTAGAGTTCAATTTGAAACAGATCGTTGTATTGGTTAAGGCGTTCTTTAAGAAGATAACTGTGGGACCATTCGTGGCCGCACCCATTTTTTCTCTGTATTTCTCCGATTTCTAGAAGGTTGCTAGACACAATCACATGTAATTCCGCGCGCTTCATCTCTTTAACTACCATAGGTAATTAATTTGATACTTCTCTTAACAATCTCCCCTTAAGGTGAGGGAAATTCAGCCGGAGAATCGGCATCTGCATCAGATGGAGAAAGTTATCTCGCAATGAAACCAAATTAACGAAAGTGATTTTTATGAAAATGACGAAGCTGTCGTTCTGTCTATTCTCGGAGATGAGAATTCCGCTAACCCTGAACACTTTTACTCCCATGAGTGACGTGACAGAATTTCTCCTTACAATATCAATACAATATTAAGCAGACAAGTGATGAGAATAAAGAAAAATATCAACAAGGGGATTTAGTGGATCCAATACCAAATTCTCTAAACTAACGTAAGAATTGAATGGCAGAAAGAAAGGAGAATTGGTACGGCAATCTTGGGAGTAAAAGGGTTGACACTCTAATTTATTTGTAAATATGACTGTATCCTATGGAATACAAATGCCTTAGTATAACTGGCACCACACTGGTTTGTGGACCTGATATGAACGTGAAAACAGATGAGCCCTCTTTAAGGCATTTTCTTTGATTGTTAATTGGAGTTGTAAATAAAATCAGAGAAATTTATACAGAGCAGTTTTTTTTTCTTGTTTCTGAGTCTTTTAGGATAGAATGAGGTGTGCGCATTGATTACGGCTGATTTTCACTAACGGCGGATTCGATGAAAATCAAGCCCACAAAATAGTAATGTTTTTCCTTTGCGTTTTGCTGGCTAGTTCATGCGTGCGCTTGTCACGAGCGAGAGGAAGCGTGTAAGCGTTTTGCGACCAGGTTTTCATCATAAACGTTGCAGCAGGTACGTCAACGCGCTTTGCACAAAAGAACGGATAAAAAGTTGTATACCGGAATGCAACCAAAAAGTGAGACAACACCCTAGTTCAATAGACTTCTATTCAATATCTACGAGACAGGAAACAGACGTAGGAATCAAACACCGAAAAAGAATGAAAAAAAAAATAGGAAGATTTAGCGCGCGCACTCGAAATCTCAACGCAAGTACGTTGCTATCAAACTTTACGTCACAGTCACAAAATAACACGACAAGTGTTTTCCTTCCAGTTATGGTTGATACTAAAATGGGAAACTGTTTTACATTGTTATTTTCAAATAACAAATCAGTAGATAACGATACGAAAATGAACGAAAAGGTTGAAAGTGAAGAATTACTACAAATACCCTCAGTTGAAGTGCACGCTCAACCTGCTTCAAGTATTGTTTCGTTTCAGTCCGAACAGGACTTAAGTGTAGGAGATTCATGTGCAACGATTGATTTTGATGCAGATGATGAATCCTCATCGTCTGGTACATTGTTGTTTGATTCGGAAGATGAGTATGACGTCTCCAAGCCACAAGGAGAGGCTCTAAATCTTCCAAAAAAATCACGGCAGCTGGCTAGAAACACAAACAGAGCTGTCCAACTTCACGGACTGGGCCGAAAAAACGATGTTCAGTCATATGCATTGCCACCGGTGGAGAGGCCTGCTTCTTCAAGTTTCAAGAATAGAAAATCAGTGAAAGAAGTGGGCGATAATGCCCGAGACACGGCCTTGGCGAGGCAGCGCTCTCACACTTCCAACAGGGCAACAAAGCCCATCAAAAGAGAGCAGCTTACTGAAGAGAAGGCCGAGAGAAAACCACCACGATTTCTGAGGAAAAAACGCCGAGATAAAAAGATGCAAACCAACAAAGTGCAATTCATAAAGATTTTTAAAAATACCATCAGGAGAAAGGCGTTGCGCAACACTGACAGTGGCTCTCCAGTCTTGCCACCTGACAAAACCGATGTGCAGGTTTTTAACGCGGATGCAAAAGACTATTCTGACAGCAGATCGGATGATGGCGCCACCAGCTGTAGCCGGCCATCTACCGCCACCCTGGGTGAAGATACCCCAGGAACGAGCACTGGCTATCACTTCAGATATGTCCTGTCAGTCCAGGAAAAAACGAGGGTAACAAAGACAAGGAGTTCTTCCACGAACTCATCGGGCTCTTCAACCACCGTGGGAGATAATCACGGGAAGGATGAAACCAAAAATGAGTACGTAGCTGGAGTTCCAAGACTTGCTGCTGTTACGCCGTGGTATAGCTCTACATCCTCTGAGGAAGATCTGGGGAGACTAAGATTTCATCGCCCCTACAGAGTGAGTAAGTCAACCACTGTGAAAGCGCAAAACGAGCTCCACGTGATGGCAAGGACTCCTCCCTCTACCAACTTGTGGGATAGTTCCAGTACTTTAGTAGAGTCTGAAGAATCCAGCGTTAGTTGCAATGAAAACGATATTGCCCAAACGCCTAAAGATCAGAGGATTGAAAAGAGTAGTTCTACAGCACAGTCTTCCAATTCCGTTTCTTCATGGAACAGTACATCCAACTGCGAAGAAGACACCGAGAAAGAAAGCTCAGAGAGTGTGTCTAGCAGGCAGAGAGGTGTTACATCTCGTAAATGGTTCCGATTTAAAATTTGCAAAATTACTCCACAGTGAAAAACTGGTGCAAAGTTGCAAGAAGCCCTGGGACCATTAACTGTGGGTTTAACTGAAGTGTGTACATAGTGGACAACATGAAACTTGCATAGAGGACTTCTGTCCGATGCTCAATATATGTTAATCGCAGACACACGGATAGTGTTCCCTTATTTCAAATCACTTGCTTCAGGGCTACTCAACTGGTATGATTGTTCTTGAACTGCCAACAAATGGACCACTAAAAGTTTTTTGAGAAAGATTGAGAGCAAAGCTTCTCCATGACTTGTTGAAACTATTTATTTAAGTGATGAGTTGCAACCAATATTATATTAGATTCATCATTCAAAAACAGTGTCCAGCATTAAGTGCAATAATTATTACCCTTTGAGTTGTTTATCCCTTTATTCAATAATAAAATTTTCTTTTCAGAAAATAAAATTTTTGTTGTGTGGATTCTGACATTGATTGCTGCAAGGACAAGAAAGTTAGATAAGAGCCACTGCCCCCCATGGCTGTAGAGGATTCACACTAAATTACAGCTGCAGTCAATATACATTACCCACTTAAGCCTCAGTACATCATGTGTCCTCTATCACATCAATCACATCAATTATCACCTCTATCACCCAGTACATCATGTATCTCTAACACAAGTGGAGTTCTGACTGATCAGTTGGCAATTGTTTTTACAGTAGTTAATTGTCACAACTGTTCATAATTACATGTCCAATGGCATCTATTTTGTCATATGACTAAATGCTGCTAAAAACTGCTCAGTGCCTTGGGCTCCAGACAAAGATATTGTCTTCTTATCTTTATTGTCACTTGATATGACAAAGTAGGGCACACCAGATATTCTCAATTGAGATTTTGCAAATGAATCTTGAGACAAAACCAAATCTACATCAGAGGAAGATTTGAGATAGTCCTCTGCACCTTCCAAGCCCAGTTCTTTAGCAGCTTCAATCAGTGTACCAGTGTCACTAACATTTTTGCCATCTTCATAGATCATGCGCAGTAGGAGATCTTTAGCTTTTCCTTGTCCTTCTGGTCCTTTCTGCATCCCAGCCAGGTGAATGAGGCGGTGACCATGTAAAGAATTTGGCCATGTTTTCCAGTTTTTGAATCCTAATCCATCCTGTTGTCCAGCCCTTCTGAGTGATCGTGTCCATCCATCACCTCCCCACCTAAATTTAATCAGTTAGTCCATCATTCAATAATAATACGTTATTTATATAGCCCTGTTTCTATTGCTATCAAAAAGTGCTTTACAATGACTGAAATAAACATAAATTACTTGAAAATCCCAACTGGCAGGAGGCAGACCAGTTGGCTATTTAAACAGCACAGCCAAGGAGTTGAACTCAGGGTTAATGAGAACAAATTCAGTGATTGGCAGGGTGGAAGACTTGAACCCAGGCCCACCAGATTACAAGTCCAGCACCCTAACCATTTGGCTGTGTTGCCTCCTAATAAGATTAGTAGGGGAGGGAGTGAGAGTCATTTGGTCAGTATGCTAGTTTCTAATACACTCTGAGTGGTCAAACTGATTGATTGCTGCACAACCTAGCAACAAATTTATTCATTTGTCCTTTTATCTGACAGCATCTGTCTTTGAGTTGGTTTGTTTATCTATGCATAAGTCTGTCTGGCTATCTGTCTATCTACATGTATCTGTCTGCTTGACTGTATGTCTGTCTGTCTGTCTTTCTGCCTCTTGTTGTTTCAACTCTGGATCATTTTCTAAAATGATCAAATGGCTTTCCAGAAGGTAACTGGCTACCCTCATTTATTGGCACCCATCTGCCAAGCAAAGATTTCGCCCCTACGCAGTCTTATACACCCTTTGAAAAAATGCTGTACAACAGTTCAACTATCCACCCTCTGTACCACTGCTTATCAGCTTGGGTGCCTGTGCATGTGTGTTTGTTTGTGTCATCCTTGTATATGGAGAGGACTCGCATAAGGAAGAAAAGTGGATTTTCCTAATCACACTCAAGGGTGCAAGTTATAGAGATGTTGAGCTATTCTGAATTAATAGTTGCAAATAATGTAAAACTAATTAATTCCATTACTCTCTTTGAATTGAATTGGAAATTTATTTATTCCCTTCAGGTATTCCTAGATCTTTGATGTAGCATTCCCCCCCTCCCCTGTCACCAAAGGATTGTTTGTCCTTCTCATTATCTGTTTCTAGATATACCATCTTTTTAACCCTTTACAACCAATCATAAGTATGCATATTCTCCACTCTGTAGTCTATACAATTCCTTAGGTGCTGACAAGGAGAATTTGTTTAACAATCACCTTTCATCCTAGCAGGTGATCATTTCCATTATTCTCATGACCTTAATGTGCATTTCAGGGGTGATATTATTAGGAGAAAATTAGATGTTAGTCACCTTCAAGGGTCAAAGGTTAAGAAACTGAAAAAGCAGTGACTGAATTGACCGATTAGATGTCACAATTTTACCTTCTGGTATTGTATGCCATGTAATCCTCTCCCATTTCAGCAGTATTTTTGTCTATAATGTAGGGATGCCAATGTACAGTGATGCCAGCTTCAGTATACTGCTGAATGGCTTTGTCGAGCCGCCTCTTGCCCACGTAACACCAAGGGCAGGACAAATCAGAATATACATCAACAGTGATCGACTGTGGAAAGGCAAACTTGTCATGTAAGCTAGCTTGTAGAGCGATTCAAGCTTAACATTAATAACATAAAATACACGAATAAGCGGTAGATGGATTGATAGAAAATAGAAATTTTGTAGTGAGAAATCCTCTTTAACATACCATTTTAGTTCCAAAACTTGTTATAGAGATCTGAACTACAAAATTAGCTGTAAAACGTTTTAAAAAATATTGCTGAAATGTCTGATACGATAGCGGACAGAGGGCTAATTGATTTGTTACCAGTCCTAATACGATACCTGCAGTTTATCGACTATCTTCCGGGTTTAACCGAGACTTGTCGAACATCATTTCTCCTCTCAGGATCATCTTCGAGACCGATTCGGAACCTTTCGCGTTTGTAACCAAATCGCGGGATTTACATTTTTGCGGATCAATATTTTGTGGTGTCTAAATTTTTCCTTCCGTTTTGTGCATAAAGGAAAGAGCAATATCAACAGTAAATAGGCGAACAAACCTGTCATCACTGAGAATCGATCCTAATTTTGGCATTTTGTTGATTAGGGGGTCGGATTTCTTTGTTTTAGTTTTGTTTACTTTCGAAGCGATCGATAATATGGGCATACAAGTATTGATGCCTGTCTTCTTGTCATGCCCTGGTCTTCACCCCGGAAATAGAACGTCTGCAAAAAAAATTCCTCCAGAAAGTGGCAGCAACTACCGTACCATCACTGTTATCGTCAACCTGACGGAACAACGAAGTCTTTGCGTTGAGCAAGCTCAAGAATTATAGCTGTTTTGTGAGTACAATGTGCAGACTGAATGTTATTTTGTTTCCATGCATGACTATGGGTTGCTTACCAAGACAACGATATTCGCTCGCGTTGGTGACATGTAATGGACACTTATTTGATACGATCAAACATATTTTTGGTGTAAATTTTGTTTTAAGTGATTGTTTTTGGTCCCTTTGGTTGTAGTTGAATGTTGTACAAGTCGGATGTTTAAAGGCAAATGTTTATTTCGTAAATTTATAATTAATCCCACATGAACATCAAATTTTCATGGCATCGAGTCTGTTTTCATGGCATACGAGTTTAACTAAAACGCCAGATAAAGAGAACACTTAGTATATATATATTTTTTCTGATCACGTAATAGGTTATTCTACGCGATAAACTAGTAATTCTTTACTCTATTTGCACATCGCGTGCTTAACTTCACTTTTTGACAAAGATGAGGTAGTGACAGTTCACAAGAGGAAAAAAATCACAAGTTCAATTCTTTATCGAGGTTCCTATTAGGTTTCCGTATCTCGGTATGCGCATAAAATAGGTTGAAAAACTATCTGTTCTACACTCTTTGTTTGAAAATCTATTGTTCATCAAAAGTTCAAGGTTCTTTGTGCCTGCTCCTTTCTTCATTAGTAAAACCCTCTCTCTCTGCTGAATAATTAAAACGTTTCTTCAATCTAACGGACGTTTTATGCGCCTTATGTTTACAGGAAACTAAGAAAATGATATCTTACCGGATCTTGCTTTCGAGCTTTCTTAAAACTGGAATAATCACTTGTTTTGGTGAGTAAAAAATGTATTTACTTTGCTTTTGAAGATGTTCAATGGTAGTCAGAAGGAGACAACTGTGTAGAGTATGATTTAATTTTTGGTTCTTTTTCTGGAAGTTTAAATTAAATGTATTATAAAATTGATTTTAGAGGGGTCTGTTTGTCACAAAGAAAGAAGTGTAAAGAGTCAGATGAAAACTAATACCCAGTTCACCCAAAGGCTAAAATATATTTTTAAGCTGTTATGTTAAATGCAGTCTAAAATTGTTCTCTTCATAAAAGTTGCTTAAACTGATGTTTGTTCACTTCAGATTCAGTACAATAAAAATAAAAATTAGAGGTTACTTGAACTCCATCTAAAATTCAGTTTTCTGTTGCTGATTTTCATTCATAGACAGTTAGGTCTCTTTTGTTGGTGTTAATGCATGGGGCATCATGTAAGCCAGCTTGAGTTGTTGTGACAAATACAGGGACAAATTGTTTCTGTTGCCTTTACCTGGATCATGTAGCTTAGATTTGTACATATAATAAAGACTTATGAGTCCTAGCCTATACTGAAAAAATATCTGATTTAATGTGACCTGCTTTTTCCTCTCTATAGCTCTTATCTGCCTTTGTCCACTGTCAACGTCTCTCAATGCAGAGCCCTTCCTAATTTTTGGCAACACTGTGGACATCCGGCGAGTGAGTCTTGATGGAACTGGTTATAACTATGTTGTGCGAGGTTTAACAAATGTTGTTGGTGTGGATTTTGACATAAAAACACAAATGATATATTGGTCTGACATAGGTGTTAAGAAAATTCAAAGGGTGCATATAAGTGATGGACTTGATCCTGTGAATATTGAAGATTTTATAGTTGAAGACTTAGGAATCCCAGAAGATGTGGCCGTTGATTGGACAGGTCGTAAACTTTTTTGGACTGATGCAAACAAGAAGATTATTGGTGTTATAAATCTAGATGGTACACAGCGAAAGGCACTGATTGCCACAGGTCATGACAAACCAAGAGCAATTGTGCTTGATCCAGCAGATGACAAAGTGTATTGGACAGATTGGGGGACTGAGCCAAAAGTACTGAGAGCTAAAATGAGTGATGGTACACACAAAGAAGTTCTTGTAAATTCAGGCATTGTTTGGCCAAATGGACTTACTTTAGACTATGGTGATAACATGCTGTATTGGGCAGATGCCAATACAGATAAGGTTGAGAAATCCCAATTGGATGGTCAGAATCGAAGGGTGCTCATTGATCGCATAAGGGTGTATCATCCTTATGCTTTGACTCAGTATGGTGATAGGCTGTACTGGAGTGACTGGCAGCAGCACAGTATTGAACACTGTAAGAAGGATTCTGGGGATGACCGTGTCAGCATCAAAGGAGGCATGACAAGGCCTACAGCCTTACATGTCTATCATCCTGACCGGCAACCTGGAGCAGGTAATTTTCCCTTTCAAGGTTGTTCAAAGAAAATTTGGGAGAGGCTTGCTAGTTCTCTTAAGGGAGAAAGGGCTGTCAATTAGTTGTGTACATTACCTAACAATATAGTTAACATGGCTTTGGACTCACAAGGAGCAGCAGTTTTCCTTCTGGCTTTATGTTACAAAAGGAAGATGAAGCTGGTGGCTATGCAAGTCATGCTTTTGTATTTTAAAAGAACTTGATAAAATTCTTGGTTATGTTGTAAGTCTACTTGCCTGGGTAGTGATAACAAATGAAAAACCTTTTGCTTAGGTAATGGTATAGAGTGAAAAACCATTTGCTTGGGTAGTGGTATCAAATAAAAAACCTTTTGGTTGGGTACTGTAACAAATGAGAAAGGTTTTGTTTGGGTTATGGTATTTAATGAAAATTATTTCTTGTTATTGCCAAATATTACGGAAATGTCACTGCATATTACATGTACACCTGGATGAAACATGTTACCCTGAGTTATATGATGTGTTCAGGCCAGTTTTTAAATTCCCATTTTTAATTTAAACCTTGGGATGCTGAAATGAGCTCTTTATTTGGATCAGATAGAAGGTTTAAACAAGATGCTTGAAGAGCTCAGTTAAAAAAATATAGTGAGCTGCAGAAAACTTGCGTATACCATCAAAAAGTTGATGGCTGATATTTGGCTTGCGTAAATATTACAGTTGATTTGTACTTTTATTTCTTCCAGATTTTAATGAATGTGAAGAAAATAATGGAGGGTGCAGTCACACATGCATGGATTTGATTGGTGGATACAAATGCATTTGTCCATCTGGATTTGAGCTGAAATCTGATGAAAAGACATGCCAAGGTAATGAACAAATGGTAATTGCTTACCGGAAATTGCATGTATAAACTTATCAGTATGTTGTTACATGTCAGGTCATAGACTATGTGTAAAAAGAGACACAACAAAATCTGGCAACTCAGCACATTTATTGATAAGGATTAGGACTACTCATCTCACAGTGTGCCTATGGTGCTGGAAAGTAAGGCTCTGATGCAAATATACCTCAACACTTTTGTCTTGATCACTCCTTGTATCATGATATTTGCAGATATAAATGAGTGCAGCTATAATCGTGGAGGATGTGAGCAACTGTGTATCAATTCTCCAGGAAATTACACCTGTTCATGTTTAACAGGATACACTCTGCAGAGTGATGGAAAATCATGTCAAGGTATGGTAGATGAAGTATCCTATGAGTGGCCCAGTGTTAAACCAGTATGCTGATTTAATATGTAGGGCTGAGCCATGGATTAGAGAGTAGGGGGTACTCAATTATTTTTTTCACCACAATTGGCAGTAATGTTGCAATCTAATTGACCAATTTGCCCTTGTCTATAAGAGTACAGACAACACTGCTTGCATCAATGTGTAACGCAATGGTCACGCAATGGTCACGCACTGAAAGAAACGTTTTATATGATGTCAATGTGGTGGTAATAAATAAATGGACAGTGGTTTAGTGTGGTCTGTACTCTTAGTGACAACCGTATTCATCATTATAGTGGTCAAAATTTTTTGCAGACTCACTTGGCTGCACTTCTTGGGTAATCTATTTTTCCATTTGGTATTTGCTATTTTTGAAAGTATTTTTGATTTAACTTTTGTGTTAGATGCTGATGAGTGTCGCATCAATCATGGAGGCTGTGAATTCAGTTGTAACAATACAGAGTCTTCGTACTACTGTTCCTGTCGCTCTGGCCACATACTGGCAGCAGATAAACACTCCTGTCTGGACATAGATGAATGTCAGTCACTTACCCACCAGTGTCCTGGTAAAAAAATTTTTCTGATTATCACTGATTCATTGAAAAATAGGATATCGGGATGGAACATTGATTATCAAAAAGTTGATGATAAAGTATTTTTTAAACTCCATGGGAGAGGAATAAAGTCTTGCAAAGGATATCCACGGTTTGGACACTTTTTATTTTGTTTTAGATCTTTGTGAGAACACTCCTGGTTCCTACAAATGTCTGTGCTCTCCAGGCTTGGCCTATAATCCAGTGAACAAGACCTGTGATGACGTAAATGAGTGTTTAACCAATCAGAACTCCTGTAAACAGCGATGCGTCAACACCAGAAGTAGCTTTCATTGTGACTGTAACCCAGGCTTTCTCTTGAGTGGTGATCATGTGACGTGCTCAGATGTTGATGAATGCAGCCAATCAAATCACTCCTGTCAGCACCATTGCATCAACACATATGGTTCTTACGTGTGCAGCTGTGACGCTGGTCATACATTATCAGATGATGGACGTACATGTGACACCTTGGATTGTGGGAAGCCAGATGGCATGGCAGGAATTGTGGTGAAGTGTGATGGAACTCCGGATCAGTACAGGTTGGATTAAGAAAAAATAAAACTCTTTTCTGTGTTGCACTGTACATTCGAAAGTTATGAGGATGATGATAAATAACTACGTTACGTACGCTAGCGTGCAATTTTCAGCCAAGTGTTGGAAGTAATCTGGGATTGTACTGGATTTGTTTTACTTCACTTTGTAAATGGTCAGGAAAACTCGCGACGCTTTCTCGCGATTGGCTGTTGAAAGAAAGTTACAACAAAAAAAGGAAAGGAAGGAAACGTCGCAAAAAAAAAAAACAATATCCAGGAGTGTTGCTTCTCCTCCCTGGAGGGTACGCCAGTCTATCAAAGGGTTAACAAACCCCACTCCCCTCCCTCAGCATTTCGTCAGGTTTTTAGTGTTTCCAGTTTTTTCTCACCAGCGATATTTGTTTCTGTAGTTCTGTTGACCGTTAGGATAAATTAGTTCAGACTCCTTGTTTTAACTGAGTGATCATCACGTTGCTTTTCATCTTGTTAGGTTTGGTAAATTGTGTACTCTATCCTGCACTAAGGGATTCCTGATTGGTTCAAGTTTTATCACGTGTCAAGCATCGGGCCAGTGGAACGTCATCACAGCCCAGTGCGCAAGTCAGCTCCCAGGCTCCAACAGCCTACCTCTCGGAATCTTATTATCATGGCGTTTTATACCGGAAAACTCACCTGTTAACACTGTTGTAGGAAGACTTACAACAGTCGACAATGACGAGACGCAGTTCTTTAATTATACTTTGATTGATGGTGCTGGTGTGTTTAATGTTGATAATAATGCGGGAACCTTGGTCCTTCATGGAGACGTAGACTACGAGCGACAGTCAGTGTACATGGTGAGCCTGATTTCTACCGACAGTGGAGTACCACAACTGTCTGTCCAACAGAACCTGACTGTTTATATCACAGATGTTAACGAACAACCAAGTAAGTGCGCAGGAGGTGGATACATTTAAATGCACTATTTCCTGTATCTCTTAGGACCAGTCAGCACAACTACGTTTCCAGGGTCCACTTTCTTTCTCTCTCGAGAAAGGAAGAGAGGACCGTGGGAATGATGTCTTAGTTTTTGACGGGCTTGTTTGGTGCTTTTCAAGCCGCACTACTTGGGAAATGCGAAGGGATTTTGGGTGGCTAAGAGTTTTCCGAAGATTGTGCAAGAAAGATGTAATCCGTAGAGCATTCGAAATGTAGGAGACAGCACAACTCGCATATGCATACTCGCGGAGAGGTGATCACCGCTTTCCATTTAATGCTTTGAAAAGAATCTTCTAGACCACACCTGATAAATGGAGAGCGCTATGAATTCCTAATGGAACGCATTCTCTCTCCCATTAGAAAACGAGTTTCGTGACGTGACAGAACAAAGGCTTCGGAGGGAACTAACCTAGACTGTAACTCAAAAGGATGTTTAGAGACCTTTGTGAAAATTGACTTTGAAAAGACTCTACTTTTCGTACTCCCCGCCATAAGCCAATCGAGTCGCTTGTTCAACTTTCCTTTACGACGCAGAAAATAAAACCCATTGGGTCCCAGATACCTTTTTTTTTGTTGTTGTGAAAATAAGAAACAGAATCTTTTTTTTAAAATTAATGGTACCGTTGGAATATTTGATTGTAGCTACGGAGGGAGGATGGTGAAATATACCGTTTTATCTTGTCCTGCAGGCCCCCCAACATTATCATCATCAGTTGTGTATGAGAACGCCTCCATTGGAACTGTCATCGGTATAATGAATTCTTCAGATGTCGACTCTGGCCAAGAGATCAGTTATTCGCTACTCACTAATGCTGGTGACAGATTTCGTCTTGTTCGCAACGAACTGCGTCTCCATTCGGAACTGAATTACGAACAAACCAATAGTTTTATTGTGACAGTTGAGGCTAAAGACAGTGGTTCTCCACGACTTGCGAGTGTTTCGGTCCTCACCATTGCCGTGATTGACTGTAACGACCCTCCAACGAAGCTTATATTCACGGGGAACCCAATCCCTGAGTTTGGAGAACATACCCCTGGAGGAACACAAAACGGGACCGTGATAGGTAACTTCTCAACAGTGGACGAAGACATTTGGCAGTCACACGTTTATGAGATCATCAGTCCTAGCGGTCTGTTCTTTATAAACGGCTCCTTTCTTGTAGTAGCTTGGGCAGATGAACTGGACTACGAGTCACGTGACCTTGTGACTTTGAAAGTGAGCTCCACGGATCCTCTTGGTGAAAGCGTGACGTCATCCATTCAGATACGTTTGCTGGATGTGAACGAAAATCCAAGCGGTATTTTATTGTCTGCGGATTCCTTCCTTGAGCATGCGTCACTGGGCACCGTTGTAGGCTCTTTGAGCGCGCGGGATCCGGATCTTCACGATAACCACACATTCGAGCTACTTACCAATCCCAACAGTGTCTTTTCGGTTGAAGGAAAAACTCTCAAAATTGCCGTCGATGTTGATTTTGAAACAGCAACAGTAAATCCTCTGTCAGTTCTCTTAAAAACTACCGATAGTGCTGGACTGTCATTTCAGCAAACTTTCAATATCACAGTCCTTGACAAGAACGAACCGCCGACGAACATTCTTTTCCACCCGAGAAAGCCTTGCGTAACTTCAGCTGGGATATGTGTGGAAGAGAATCGTAAGATTGGTTACCGCGTAGGAGATATCACTGCGATAGATTCAGATATCGGTGATACTGTCACTTGTGATGTGGTTAGCGGCAATGTGTTTAAAATTGAAAATGATGCTTTACTCGTCAACGGAGATATCAATTTCGAGGCGTTAGATAGTTCACATCTCATCAGTGTCGAAATTAGATGTAGAGACAAAGGAGGACTTGCTATCGAAAAGAGTTATAACATCAGCGTTTTGGACGCTAATGACGCTCCAAGTTCCGTGTCCTTGTCACACCATATTGTCAGCTCTAATGCATCAGTGGGTAGTCTCGTTGGGTCGTTTATTGTTGTTGATGAAGATCAAAGTGATTCCCACACCTGTTACCTATTGGACCCAGACAGCTTATTCCGGGTCTCCGGGATTCAGTTATTTGTGAAAAAACCGCTGACGAATGCTACGTCGTCTCGCCAGCCCATCCATGTATTTTGTAGTGACCATCAACACATCAGCTTTCCGACGACGTTATTTATCGAAGTAAGGAACAACCAGTTGTCAAAACAAATAAATATCTCGTTGGACTCCACAGATGTGAGGGAAAATGAGCCTGCTGGCACTGTAGTGGGCCGTGTTACGGCCAAGGTTTTGAATCCAAGTGATTCCTTAGTGTTTCAGTTGGATGATGACGCCAATGGAACGTTTGGGTTGGTCAGCGGTGCATCGGTTAATTTTAGGGATCTGGTAACCACACGGCCGCTGGATTATGAGATGGAGAGTGGGTACGATGTCATTATCCGTGTATATGGTAATGGAGGAGCGACGAATTTTAGAGTGTTTCGTATCCAAGTAAGACATTCTCTTTGAAATTTGATCGATTCAATCATGAAAAGGTGTTCTGAGGTGTATTTTTATAGTGTTTTTTTCTTAAATGTTCTTGCACTCGTAGGTTGTTGACGTGTACGAAGCTCCAGAACACTTGGTACTTCACCATAACTCCGTGGCAGAGAACCGGCTGGCGGGAACATTGGTAGGTGTGATCACTCTGAAGGACCCTCAGCTGAGCCTCCTGTCTATTAAGCTCCTTAATGGCCCAGCATTTGAGGTAAGTGGATTAAACAGATTTTCATTAAACGGTTTTTTCTTATAAATGTTTTATTAAGACCTTTTGAATCTGAGGAAGTTATTACTTTTTTTTCTTAAGCTTCGTTCCACAAGCACTCAATACTCTTGGAAGCTTTTGACTCGCCATCCCCTTGACTTCGAAACAGCTCAGCTCCACCAGGTTACCATGCAAGTGAAAGACGTCAACAACTCTTTTGCTGTCAATCAGAGCTTCACCATCCACGTCACGAATGTAAACGAGGCTCCCGCGTTCATAGCACTAAGTAATCGGATGATTGCCGAAAATTCACCCCACGGAACCGTAGTTGGGATAATTAATGTCACCGACCCAGATGAAGTGTATGTACCGCAAAGGATCACTTGTGGTTTGCGAAATGATGCCGGCGGCAGGTTTAAGGTCAGCGGTCTAGCATTAACAGTACTGGATTCCCGGATGTTAAATTTTGAAGCCCCGGATGGTCCGGATCATTTGGTCGATATTGAATGTCAAGATCAGGACGGTGATGCAACTCAGCAACAGTTTATTATAGCAGTGACCGACGTCGATGAGCCACCGGTCAGAATAGAGTCATCAAGTGGAAAATTTGAGGTATTTGTAATACCACATTCTTTAGTAACACGTCTCTTCCTTAGGTGAATTCTCATACAATGAAGCTTGTCGCCGAAAATATTATCCGTCATTTACTTTTGAAATTGCCTGGGCGAACATTGTCAAAGAGTAGTTGGAGTAGAATTTCACCCTAAAACCTCCACAATGTCCTCGACTAATGTCCTTGTCAAGTGATCTACAGTAACAATTTCCGTCTTTGAAAATGAATGGACTAAATTAAACAAAATTTCGTATGTGCATCGTTCTAAAGGAGAAAAAACTCATGAAAGAGCTTGTACAATCGGCTTGTATGTTCATTTTGGATTTCCTTTTATTTTTTTCCGTTATATTTTCCGTGAATTTCCTTGCTTTTCTATTCTACCAGTTCTGACAATTTGTTGTTTTGTAAGGGGAATTTCTTTCGGTGGTATATACTTTTTGGATAACATTTTTGGATCACTTTTATAGTGTTTTATCATGCTTATGTTCTCTAGGTCGCGGAAAATTTGAACCCCGGATCTCTGGTCTCTGTTCTTCTCACGATCGATGAAGACAAAGGTCAAAATTACTCCTACAGTGTTACACCTGGTGAATTGTTTAGCATTGTACACGACCGGTTGAAAACTCGTCTGAGGTTCAATTACGAAGAGAGAAACGTTTACTTCGTGAACATAACATCTACAGATAGCGGTAACCAAAGCTTGACGCAGGAGGTGGTGGTTAGTATTCTCGACGTCAATGACGCACCAACGGGAATAGTGCTACCACAAGGAACAGCAATCGCGGAAAATAGTAAAGTGAGTCATGATTTTAAAGAGTGTTTAGTTAGACAACTTTACTGCGCTAGAGAGCAAAGTTGATGAAGAGCACGTCTGTGTATCCCGCGCAACAGTCGCTTCCGTTTCCTTTAAGTTAGAGCTAAAATGGCGAAAAGGAACAAATAGTGTTGGAGTAGAGTTGGAGGGGCGATGAAGTCAGTCACCGCTACCGACAACACTCCTTCTCAGAACTAGCCTTATGTTGACGATCCGATTACAGGATCAAATGTTACCACCGGGCTCAAACCACTCACTAAAAATTCTCCTTCCACCCCCCCCCCCCCCCGCCCCCCGTTCCCACCTACCACAAACACTGCTCAGGTGGGCGGGCCTGCACCACTGTCCTCCGTCCGATTTTTTCCTCCTCGTCGGAGTGAAGCTTATTGGTTATTTGGAAAGTCGTGGGGGAGCAGGAGGTTGCTATAGTAGAGGTGTGATCGACCGTGAGTATGGAAAGCCTCACCAGATTAAAGAATTTAAGAATCTCACAGTATTAATTCATATTGCCAGGAATTTAGAATCTGCTGCTGGTATCTTGCCATTTCCAGGTTGGTTCACTGATTGGAGAGTTAACTACAATGGACGAAGATCACGGCCAGATGCACACTTACGTCATTCAAGCCCAGACTCCCAGCGGCGTTTTGTCTCTTGGAGGCTCAAACAAGCTTTACATAGTAGACAGCAGTGCTCTTAACTATGAACTACACCGTCATGTAAATATCACTATAACAACGACAGATAATGGTGTACATTTGCGACTCTCTAAAGTTGTGACTTTGACGCTTGCTATTGTCGATGTAAACGAGCCACCGAACGACATCCAGCTTTCCTCGGCTAGTGTGAAAGAGAATTCCCCTATCGGGACAGAAGTGGGAACAGTGACTGTACGAGACCCTGATACCTTTCCCCAGAGGTTTCGATGTCGGCTTCGGAACGACGCCTCCGGCAGATTTGGAGTCAAAATGAATGCATCCAGAATCGTGTTATTTCTCACTGGAAACGGTTTAGAGGTGAATTACGAGAAACACACATGGCACAATATCACTCTAATTTGTAGTGATAGTGGTGGTTTATCATACGAGAAGGCATTTGTTATTAAAGTTTTAGACGCGAACGACCCTCCCTCCAATGTGATATTTACCAATTCACCAGGCGATACTATTTTCAACCCGAATCCACCGGTCAATATTTCAGATATCAAGCTAGTAACCCAGGCTGTCGCGACTGTCAACGAAACGGCCGATGTCGGCATCACAATTGTGGCCTACGTCAGAGTCATTGACGAAGATAACTCTAACAATCCTTTGCGGCCTCAAACGCACACATGTGAACTTGTGAGCGAGGCTGAAGCCAAGCTTTTTGTCACTGTCGACGTACACGAGCCGCCGAAGAAGAGAAGAAAACGTTCAAGTGATAGGAACTCCGTGCCTTCAGAATTCATGATACAGCCTGGTACAAATTCATTATTAGTTCGTGAACCGCTCGATTACGAAATTCGAGCTAATTATTCCCTGTATGTGAAATGCTCAGATGACGGTGTTCCTAAGTTATCCACGGTCGGTCCGCTAGTGGTGTTTGTGTTAGACGTTCCCGAAGCGCCAACTGATGTTTTATTTTCTTCACTGACGATCCCTGAAAACGCAAGTAACGGTGATGTAGTGTGTAATTTTACTGTCGTGGATGCTGACTTCACCACGTCGGGTTACTTGTATGAACTGACATCACGTGGTGTACCGTTTCGGCTGATCGGTAATCGCATTATCGTGTCACGTGTTCCACTCGATCATGAGGTCACGCCCCTCATTACAGTCCAGTTGACAACAGTGGAAATATTCACCGATCTGAAATTTGTCAAAACGTTTGATATTACGATAACCGATGTCAACGAACCGCCTAGTAGTGTTACGCTTGACGGAAAGACGAAAGTGAGTGTTCTTGAAAGTTCAGCAATCGGACATGTGCTCGGAAGATTCGTCGTGGAAGACCAAGACGTGAACGACACCTCGTTTACTATTACAATCGAAGGAGAGCAAAATGAAATCATAGGAGACTTTGAGGTCAGCGGACAAGACCTTGTGGTGGCAAGCCAGCTAGATGCATGGTCACGTGACCGATACCTACTCAAGGTGCTTGCAACTGATCGTGGAGGACTAAGTGCTGTTAATATAATAACCATCACTGTAGAGGAAGTTGATTTGTGCGCGCTGAACAAGAGCTATTGTAGTCCTTACGCTATCTGCAGCCGAGCAGGCCCGGGCCGAGCCTCATGTGCGTGCAAACTCGGTTTTGGTGGTGATGGCTTCCGTTGTAATGATATCAACTATTGTAATCCAGACCCATGTCATCCCGGAAACGCTATCGGTGTTTGTCGGGATGGTTTTGGCGGCTGGAAGAATTACTCGTGTGACTGTAAACCCGGATGGTCACCTCCTGATTGTGATGTGGAAATCAACGAATGCCGCCCTGATCCTTGTAGTGTGAACGGGTCAGAGAACTGTGAGGATTTAATAAACGATTTTCGATGTAACTGTAAGCCGGGTTATAGCGGCAGGCTTTGCGAAACAAACATTAACGACTGCAAGTCGGGTAGCTGCCTTCACGGCGGCACATGTGTAGACAAGGTAAACGGCTATATATGTCTTTGTAAAGACCCGTATATTGGGGTGAATTGCGATACTGACGATAGTATCTGTCGTGAAAACCCGAATATTTGCCCTCGTAACGGAACTTGTATCTCATATGCCGAAGATCCGTTGAAGTTTTCTTGTCGATGCGAGGAGCCCTGGGGAGGAAACTGCTCAGGCTGTGCACCAGGTTACGGCGGACAGAATTGCACGCCGTGTGTATATCCGAGGACTGGGGAAAATTGTGACTTAAACTGGGAAAACTGTAAACCAGAGCCTTGTTTTCATGGCGGAACATGCTATCCTCTAAGAGGTGAAGACTTCTCGTGTGTCTGTCCGCCAAAGTACTCAGGGAAAACTTGCCTAGAAAACATTGTCGTAAATACAGACGCTGGGGAGAGTGGAAAGCTTACGAGACTCAGTCCAGCGGGACTGTACTCCTTAATCGGCTGCGTTGTATTCCTATGCGTGATTATTTTCGTCATAATCATCATCTGGAGAAGGAAAAAGCGTCGAAAATACAGATCGAACAGTGCTCGTGTTGAATACCCGAACAGACGACAGAAACCGGAAGTGAGCTCAACTTTTAGAGAAATGATGCAGCATAATGAAAACACTTTTGAAAATCCGGCGTACATCGCCGACCCAGAACTCGATGCTGTCATGGAAACGGTCGTCAATGGTACGTCAAACGTCGACACCGTTTCCAGGGTGACAGAGATCAGGCTTTCAGGTACTGCGGTAGCCGTTGCTCGAGATAATCCCATGTATGAACCAGCTGAAGAAGTCTTGAGAAAGAACAAGGCTGTCGTGTGTAATCCGATTTTTGAGGATGACTCTGTGGCGGAAAACGTGAACAACAGAAACTTGCGACTTTGGAGAAGACCCGAGCAACTGACTTTCTCAAAATGTTAAACTCCACATGGATATTTTTTAATGTTATTGATTGTATATCAGCCTATTTATTTTCAAAGTCTACTTTTCATAGATCATCTTTTGCAAAGTTTTTTCTTTTAAATCTACGCAAATAGCTTAGAGCCTTATTAATTTTTGAATATGTTAAGGTGGCTCTGAACTGTAAATTGCAGATAATGTTTAAAATGAACGTATTCGTTAATAGGTACCTTAGAAATATTGTTCGCAATGTATTTTTACGGTATTGTCGGTTGTTACTTCTGTCATACAGAATTAACTTATTGAAATCGTGTTCAGTGAGACAAGGTTTAGAACCTTCCATGTTTTAGGTATTTATTAATTTTCATTCGTGTCTTGAAGAGTTTTTTTTACCTTAATTAAGTGGTACTTAATTATCTTTTCGTGAATCTAGTGACGTTCCCTTCCATTCAACCCTTTTACTCCAGATCAAATGTGTGATTCTCCTCTCTAAAATTAATATATTTCCTAGTGTATTAATTAGGAGAGGTTGCTGTTAGATCTGTTTATACCATGTGGGTGATAACTTTGTCGATTGTCATTGCCTGTTTGCTCCCTCATCGTAGCTAGAAGTAACACATCGTACAGACAAACTGGGGCCCTGAGAAAAAAAACTGCTCCAGACGGCGCAGCTCTCAAGCGCTGTTTGTGTTTTCGTGCAAAGCTGCTGTAATCAATTCTTACCACGTATAAAATCGATTGAACGTGCTCTCTCTAACGCAGTCTTTGTAAAGTTTAACTCTTGCAAATAAAATCACAGCGTTTCGCCTTGTATTTAGCTTGGAACGAGAAGTCAAATAATAGTTTCATTTATTCAACTTAACCCTTTAATCCCTAGGGGTGACAAGGTTCTAATTTCTGTTTACAATCTATCCCTTGAATTAAATGGTTAAGTCACGAGAATACAGGGAATGATCAGGAACTAACGAAGCTCTTGATGGTTTTATAAATTCTGCTTGTTAGAACCTAGGGAATACATATTTAGAGAACGGTATTGAAAATATGCATAATGATGTTAGGGTGTACAGTGTTAATTTGAGAATATGTACAAGTTGCGTGACGAAAAACATTGCGTGCAGTCTAGTAACGATTACGTAAGAACTCGATGAGCTCGGAAAGCAACAGTATTACGATAACTTTGGCTTAAAAAGTGCTAAGGGATAGAAAGAAATCTCACCTTGGTCATCACTATTGAGGATGCATGGTTTAGTCGATTAAACTGATACATGATTGCATGAGAGGAATTTGACGCGCTACTGCTATCTACGTAAGGACTAATTTTAATGACTCTAAGAGATCCGGCGGAAAAGGGGGTGAGGGAGTGTTTTACACGAAGTTCGCCCCTAATTAAAATGGAGTGGATGTGAGATTAGAAGGAGCCTCTCCTGAAATAACTTGCGTCCTACGTCTACGTGTCTGAGTATAATATTTCATGGTTAATAATAGTAAAAGCAGCTGCGTAAAGGGGTCCGAAAAGGAGTTAACGCGGTCACCTAATCACGAATATGCTATACGGACCTACAATGTACTCCGACCGCCTATGAAAAACTTACTTTATTGGATAAATTATTTTCATTAAATAGAGAGGAATTTTATCCTCTCAAGCTGCGTTTTCCACTTTCCCTGGCAAAACATTTAAGGCGGTTTGGTCAGTCGGGAAATTAATAAAGATGGTTGGTTGATTATTGATGTCGTTATTACGCAATAGACCGCGCTTTCCATTGGTGGTTTTCCGGCGTAATAGCCCACGCGAAGAGTTTGTAAATCACCAGCTGGAGACGAGTGATTTATAAACTTTTTAAGTACTCTCCCAACATTCCGTGTGGGTAATCACACTGGTAATCTGATAAAATCTGTGGTTTATTGCTGTTATAAAATATTTCAATTGTCTATTGGTTTACCCGTACAGTAAACAATAGGCTTTTGACCAACTCGTAATATCTTAGATCTTTCATGATTCGCTTCAGCCAGAAATTCATTGCCAGTTATGTAACAGCGAGGCGAAACCGAAAATTATTTCCGAGAGCACAAAAAATAAGTTCAAATCACGTTTTTTAAATTTATTATCAGGTTTCCATGTGAACACACAAAGATGTTGGTGGAACTTGTCAGTCAGAAAGATATGTTGAGGTTTCGATCCTGAAAGGGAGAGTGATTTTTATCTCTGCAGAAATATGATAATGGCACTTATATTATTAGCATTGTTTTAAAAATATACCCCAGCTCATTAGGGTTATTATCCTTTTCCTTCAGTGTTTTATTTAATATTTGTTTTTTCAGAAGGTATGTGAATAGAGCATCATATGCATAATCAATTACTTTGTTTTTTGAAAAAAAAAATGTTTAGATATCTCAAGCCTAACTAGATCGCGCAATCGTTATTTGCATCAAGTTTAGACGATTTTATTTCCTTTTTGAGGTCTCTTAGGGTTTACTTGGCTCTACTGAGACTTCGTTTTTTTGCCCTTTTTTCGACTTTTTGGAAATGTACTTATGTCGACATAAATATAGATATGACATATTTTGACTCTTTCAGTTACCGATTGTAACATTCGCTCACGTTCGTGTTTGAATAAGCACAGTAACTAAGATGGTCTTAAGCCTCTTCAGCACTCTGTTTGATTCTCTAACAAGATCATATATTTATAGCTTTTTAGTTTGATATTCAACAAGTATCCAAGGTGTTTTACTTATGTTTTGTGGAGTCGCGATGGACTCTTTTAAAATTAATAATCAGGTCACGTAGTTAGGTCGTGATTATAGTTTGTGTGAGTTTTTGAGCCAGAAACTTCCGATAATCACGTTTTGGAAAAGTAACCGGAAACTCTTTTTTTTGAGTGACATGCCCGCCAGGATGTCATGGAAGTGTGCGTGACGAAATATTCATGACGAAAACAAAAGATCACGATAGAATGTTCTGCTGCGTGCGTGGTTACTATAAAAGTTGTTTACATTGGTTGAAGAGGAAATTTCTCAACGTCTACCTTAAAGATCGCTTAAGCTAAACAGATCTTGTTTTCAAAACGTTACGTAAGTAATTTTTATTCCATCACGATGTTTGAATGGCCTGATTTGAACACTCTTCCATCGAGCCTGGCGGAAAGGAACATGCGAATGTTCAATAATTCTCTCATGAGCGACGTAAACTTCATCGTACGAGACAGCGAATCACAGAGGAAAATATCAATCCCTGCCCATAAGTATGTTTTGTCAATTGGAAGTCCTGTTTTCTACAAAATGTTCTACGGGGATTTGTCGGAGAAGAGCGATTCGATCGAGCTTGTGGATGCAGACTCGGAGAGTTTGTTAGAACTTTTTCGCTTCATGTACTCCGACGAAACCAATTTAACAGCAAGCTGCGTGCTCCGTGTCATGTACTTAGCTGAAAAGTACATGGTTCCTGCGTTACTTGACGAATGTGCGAAATTCTTAAAGAACGAAATCAACGCCGAAAACACATGGGAGATTTTAAGACAGTGCGAGTTTTTCCGTGACACCGAAAAACTGCAGGAAAGGTGTTGGAGTATTGTGGATCTTCAAACCCGTCAATGTATTCGCTCAAAGGGCTTCCTCTCAAACTCTCAGGGTATTGTTGAAGCGTTAGTAAAGCGTGAGTCCTTAGATATTGAAGAGTCCGAGTTACTTCGAGCACTCTTGTCTTGGGCAGAAGAGCAGTGTAAACTTCACTCACTGGAACCGAGATCAGAGAACATAAAGAAGTTCCTAAGTGCCAAGGTGTTGTCTCATATTAGTTTCAAGTTTATAAACGACAGTGATTTAATCAATCATTGTTTAGCTACTGGCGTTCTTGACCTTAAAGATTCGCAGTTTTCACAAGAGCTTGCGAATCTTGATTTTGTTCCCGCTGTATCCGTGCAGCCAAATAAAGGCAGTCGTCCTCGGCAAGGGATACAGCCTCTTCGTTGTCGCCGCTTGTTCGTAAACGAGCCACCCCGTCTTTTTGCTCCTTACGAAAGCACAAACAATGTTTGTTTTTTCGCGGATCAGTCTGTGTGTATAAGGGGAGTGCGTATCATTTTGAGTGGACGCAATTTACACGATGACTATGTAGTGATCACAAAGCTGCTGGATAGCAACCGCACCTGTGTTAGTTGCGTACAAGGAAACTACAAAGTGGAGTTTGGCGGGACGGAAGGTTTGCCTGGTTTCGACATTTTGTTTACAGAACCTGTCCTCGTTAAAAAAGGTGCCAAAAATTTTATAACGATGTTTTCACCCGCTGAATTGGATTTGCCCCAACGCATTGGAAAAAGAGATGAGGTGAACTGTGCTGGAGTGAACTTTTATTTTCCTGATTCAACGCACAGACAGTTTCCGGAGTTAATTTTTCACCCTCTGCCGCCTCTATGGTAGGAGAAGAGGGAAAGAGAAGAAATTACAACACCCCATGAATAAAAATAAATGCTGACAGTGCGGAATTATTCATCCAAACTATACAAACATCCTAAAAATATCAATCTGCCGCAATAGCGAATTTAGGGGAATCTGAAGTGGTTTTGACGAGACAATAATAAACAATTCATAACTGATCGTATGTCACGAGATATCACACTTTGTCACGGGTCACGACATTCGATCTTGATCAATAGCGTGTCACAGTTTAAAGGTCTCTTTGAAAGATAATGTATTCAGTTTTTCCGTCAGCTTTACTTACATGGTAACTGTATTTTGAGTAAGACGCACTTAGCACTTAGCTTAAACATTTACCACACAACTAAATTTAGATGTATATTAAATTCGACTGTAGATGTTTCATTCATCACTTTATTAACTCAACAAACGATATCTTTTATCATGGCATTAGTGTAAATTGAGCTACTTAATATCAAAATGCATGATTTCAATAAACAGAACAATACCTGAGATTGGCACACGAATTTTCTCTCCATGTTGTATTCATGTCACTTTGAAGGTAAGAAGAAGACTTGTTACACAACGTAGCCAATTGATTATTGTGCAAAGTGCTTTTGCCTTATATATCGCGGGCTCATATGTTCCACAACGTGTGATGCCGAAAAGTGAGAGGATTGTCTGAAATAAGGCATAAATCTGCAAAAATATTGAGTAGATACGATCTCACAGACCCCTTAATATGTTTTCAGTGTCATTAAGAGGGCTGAGATGTCAGAAAGGTAAGATTTCGTGATTGGATTCTTCTCTAAAGTTAAATAGTAAAGCTCTCAAGGCCTGCATGGCGATTCGATATTCCACCTTGATTTTTTTATTCTTAATTGACTTAAGGAAGGTTTCTCTGAGGATCGATTAGTTGCTAATGATACTTTAAATATTTCAGCTCTTAAGGAAGTCGTAAGAAACGCCAAGTCTCTCTACCTTAACTCTGGTTACAATGTAAGTGTATAGCGTTAGCGAATCGTGCATGTAAGTTACATAAGTTTGTTTCACACCACATCTTGACCTATAAGGGTGGACAGGGAACAGGAAGGAATACTGTGCATGATCATTACCATCGCATAATTCATTTACCTTTATGAACTAGATGCGTTCAATAGGCCATTTTTACAGTTGTGTACTTAGTTGCTAAGCCTTTCATTTGGAGTGAGGCTGAAAGAGACCTTGTTGTGATTGAGACCAGTATCAAGTTAGCATAATAACAAAACAATTTACATTTGAAAAACAGCGATGTTTGTATCACAAGAAGGTCACCCTTAGCCTCACTCCTGTTCAAAGGCTTGGCAATCGAGCATGCAACTGTAAAATGGATTATTGTGCACCTGTCAACATCAAGCCTAAGGGGGAGACCTAAGGTATCTGCAGGCATACAATATCTCTTGCCTTCCCCACCGTCCTGAATTTGACTTAAAACCTGGGCTTCCGGTTGGTGATGCTTGATTTTTTTGTTTGAAAAAATGTGACAAAATCACATCCTCACATGTGCTCTTTGTGACTGTCTCAGAAAAGATACAAAAAAAATTCTCAGAACTTGGCAAATCATATCAATTATTCATAAGTTAAGCACAACAACTATTGATTTTATGGATAGTTTTGCCAAGGAAGGGGAATTGGATAAGATTTAACACCTTTTTGGGTAAGGTAATGGAGATTATCAACAAGAATACTTTTGAAAAGTCTAGTGCACCACATATGACAGGGGTCCCCTCCCTTGGGATTCACACTTATTGATGCATGAGCAAATGTACTATGCACTTTCATAGAGCAGGGCCTCAGGATTGTTAAAAAAAGATCAATGATTATGAACACTGAAAAAAAATACTAGTTAATAATGATTAATAAAATCAAATGATATGTAAAATTAATAGACAATCACACAAATCATTTTGTTGGTCATCAAGGATTATTTTTTCTTGCATTTCACTTTTAATCTATCCTTACCAACCAATCAAACAGCACTGATTGCCGTCTGGTTATTTGATTGTGTCAATAACAAATTTCCAATTCTAGTCGTTAACCACATTACTTGAAATTTATTGACATTTTTCCAGAATGTGCTACTTTTACAGTCTGGAAGAAGAAGTGCTGGTAAGAACGTTTTTTTGGTCTTCTAAGTTCTTTGATTATTTTGTTGTGTAGTTCCTGTCAAGTAAGATAAAGTAATCATAAATAAACAATGTAAACTTTATTTAAACAAAATAATCCAATAAAAAATCACAATATACAAGGCGTGATAAAAGTTATTACAAATTCAATTTTGAAAATATATAGAAAGCCCTTAACCCTTAAACTCCCAGAAGTGATTAACATAAAACTTCTCCCTACAATATCCATACATTCTTCAGCAAACAGGTAATGAGAATATTCAAACTTATCAGGTAGAAGCTGCTATCTTGATCTAGCCCCATGTTCTCATAACTAATTTACAAGGAAATGTGTAGCAGCTAGAGGGGAGAATTGATAATTAGATCTTGGGAGTTAAAGGGTTAAAGGTGAAAAATAATCTACACAGTACTTCAAAGAAAAACAAATTGAATACAAGGTGTGTCTACTTTATCTTTCCAATCATGTGTGCAATTTCTGCCTTGCTAAAATTAGTATTCAACTCGTGTTTGGTTGTTCTGGAGCCTCTTGCACTTAACACTGCTGATCTTCATCATGAATTAATTGTTAGTATATCTGAAGCTCTTTTGACTAAAAATACTTCTGGTCTCTTTTAGTGTTTCAAATACGAAACTATGCAGCCCCAGTTAAAAAGGAATCCTTTTCAAGGGACAAACCTCATGTGAACATTGGAACCATAGGTCATGTGGATCATGGAAAGACAACTCTTACAGCAGCAATCACTAAAGGTGCGGAACAGTGGACAATGCTTCCACAAATTTGGTTTCACTGCTATTGTTTATTTTGATTCCAGAAGTCTTTGTTTATTCCTGTGATCACTGACACCAGGGATTTCAAAATAGGCTACTGATTGTTGGAGTTCTGCTGGTCCAACTCCCATGAGTGGCCAAGACAGAATTTCTCCTTACAATATCAATACAATATCAACCAGATGAGTGATGAGAATAAAGAAAAATATAAATTTGGGGATAATTTATTGATCCAATACTAAATTCTCTGAACTAATGTTATAAGAATTGTATGGTTGACAGTAAGGAGAATTACAAATTTGATCTGGGAGTCAAAGGGCTAATAACCTGTTGCCTGTTACTCTAGTCAAAATAATTACCTTTTAGCCCCTAATGAATGTTTCACAGTCACTTGGTTTTGCCGAGTCTGATTCCTACTTCAAAATATTTTGAAACCCTTGTAAGACCTGACTTACACCTAATTTCCCCTTTCAGTATCACCCCTGCATCAAACATTAAGGTCAACTTACAACTTGCAAAGCCCCCTGGTATTCACAGAAATCTTTGCATGTAACACAAGGATTTGATTACTGCTAATTCATTATTTGAGTGGTGCAAAACCAAAGCTAAAGTTATCACACTGGCCAAATGGAAAAATAATAAATATCATAAGGAGACAATTCCAACTAAAAGTAAGAAATGGCAAAGTGATTGAAGAAGAGGGTAATTTGAATGAGTGAAAAAAGTCAAGTCTTTTACATTGTAGCTTCACATCTGATTGGTTAAACAGGATGGTACAATTTTGTCAAACCAATCACTGAGCTAATTTAAGCAAAAGCAGTGCAATCTTGGATGGCTTTCAACATTTAATGGAAAATGGCTCCAATCTTGTCAATGAATGCTAATATCCTTTAATTTGTATAATTTCCAGTGTTGGCAGAAGGAGGGACGGCAAACTACAAGTCGTATGCTGATATTGACAATGCTCCAGAGGAGAAGGCCCGTGGAATCACAATCAACACAGCACATGTTGAGTATCAAACGGACAGCAGACATTATGGACATGTAGACTGCCCAGGTCATGCTGATTACATCAAGGTATGGGGAATATTGTTCAAGTTAACTTTATTTTGACTTGACATTATGAAATGCAGTCGACTCTCACCTTGTAGACACTCTGCTATGGCGAAACATATAAAGAAATTACTGAAACTCCTGTTATTATGGACTCTTGCTATTACAGAAATGCAGACACTTTTGTTCCCCCAACCACACCCAAAACTCAAAAACCATAAACATTTGTAATAATGTGTGATGTAAATATGAAAGTGATTTTGGCTGTAATGAACACTGATTAAGCAGTGGTGAAAATAAGGTCTGAAAAAAATTCAGGCCTGTAAGTGATTTGAACCCATGACTTCTGCAATACTGGTGCAGTGCTCTGTGGACTGAGTCCAGAAGCCAACTGGGAGCTGGTCATCATGTTGGTTTGTAATAAACTTGTGAAGTGATGAAAATCATATGTATGATGTGTTTTCAGAACATGATCACCGGAGCTGCCCAAATGGATGGTGCTATTCTAGTTGTGGCCGCAACTGATGGTCAAATGCCGCAGACGAGAGAACATCTCTTACTTGCCAGTCAGGTTGGTACAGATTGTTTTTCATTGGCACAATTACTAGTAATTGTAACATCATAGTACACTTTGTTGTTTTTTTTTTTTTAACTCCCAGCAGTGACCAAGACATATTTTCTCCCTAGAATGTCAATGCAATATCAAGCAAACAAGTAATGAGAATATAAAAAATATAAATTTAGGGATTATTGTCTGATCCAATACTAAATTCTCAGCATTAACATCATAAGCAATGTGTAACAAAGAACTCAATGCTTGACTCACTAGGTCTCAAAGTTCAGTGCACTGGCTATTCAACTGTCTTGCACTGTACTCAGAAAAAGGAGCTGTATTTACTTTCTTCGCTCAGCATAATTTGTTTTATTTTTTTTTGTCTTTCAGGTTGGCATTAAGCACCTTGTTGTGTACCTGAATAAAGCTGATGCTGTGGATGATGAAGAAGTTATTGAACTGGTGAGCTGACATCACTATGATGTTTGGGAGTGTTGCTATCCCTTCTTAACAGAATGCTAGTCCAATAGTTCAATGCTAGTCCAATGCTTGTCCAATGCTAGTCCAATGCTAGTCCAATGCTAGTCCAATGCTAGTCCAATTCTAGTCTTTCACTTTTCCTTGTTGATTTTTTGGTACCCATTTATACCATTGGGTGTAGAGAGAAAGAAATTAAATTGTTTTGCCCATGAACACAACACGATGAAGCACCACAAGCTTAAACCAAAGTGTTTCCATTTTGCATCTGGTGCACCAACCTCTAGGAACACCTGCCACAAATAAACCAAATGCTTACATGAAAGTGCTATTTGTAACATTTTTTTTTTTTTTAAAACCCAAACAGGTTGAATTGGAGATGCGAGAGGTTCTATCTGAGTATGGCTTTGATGGAGAGAACACCCCCATTATTTCAGGGTCTGCTCTTTATGCATTAGAGGACAAGGAACCAGCGATGGGTAGAGAGACAGTTGTCAAACTCCTGAAAGCTGTGGATGAGCACATTCCTACACCAGACAGAGAACTTGACAAACCCTTTCTCCTCCCAGTTGAAGATGTTTTTTCCATTTCTGGGCGAGGCACTGTGGTAACAGGCAGGATTGAAAGAGGTACAATCAAGATTGGTGATGAAGTGGAACTCGTGGGACATAAATCCAAGGCAAAGACAATAATCACAGGTAAACTGAATGGATTAAAAAAAAAATGCAACTACATGTGTATGATAAAAAGTGTTGAAACCTCCTTTGCTGGAACAGATTTCCTCTTCAAAAAATTTCACCTTAAATTCAATGGCAATTATTTATACATATTTATATGTATATATAATAATATGTGTGTGTATATATAATATATATGTGTGTGTATATATACTTGGTAATTAAAATGGGAAACAAACATGTGCTTCTTTTTGAAATGAGTTCCCCTCGTAAACCAATTTTGGATTTACCAATTTCAGCATGTGTTGTAACCAAGAATTCAAATAACTTACTGCTTTTCATTGGTGTCAAACGGACAAAGTGAACATATTTGCCACTTTTGTTTCAGGTATTGAGATGTTTCACAAACTCCTTGACAGAGGGGAGGCTGGGGATACCTTAGGCGCATTGCTCAGGGGGACTAAGAGAGACGAAGTCAGACGTGGAATGGTGCTGTGTGCACCTGGAACCATCAAATCGCACAAAGAGTTTGAGGCTCAGGTACTGTAATGAGTTTAAATATACACTCATCTTATATGATATCAGCTGAGGATGTTCTTTATAAGTCTTATGAACCTTTTGCCTCCCCCCTTCCCGCACTAATCACAGGAAGGCTCGCATCGGCCGTGGGGCTTGAGAGGCAAAGACTAGCTGAATCGGCTGCCATGAGTGACCAAGACAGAAATTCTCTTCACAATATCAATACAATATCAACTAGATAGGTGATAAGAATAAAGAAAAATATCAATTCGGGTATAATTAGTTGATCCAATACTAAATTCTACAAACTAATATTATAAGAATTGTATGATAAGACAGGAAGGAGAATAATAAATTTGATCTGGGAGTTAAAGATCCCTTGGTGATCAAATCTGTCAAACAGAGCCTGATCGCAGGCTGCCCAGAAACTGGATTATGGTACAATTTGGACGATTCAAAGACGATTGTTAACAAAAAAAATTGTTAACTCGAGTATGATGGAATAGATGGTATATGTTGGTCGTGATGGTGAAACAAGAAAATCGAAACAAACATGGTTATGTGAGTGAACCAACCTGGCTTAGCTTTTGAATCAGTTTTTACATAAAAAAATCTGATCAACCTGTGTCTCGAACAGGTAAATCGGCAAGGAGGTTTGACTTGGCTCGAGGGAGAACTTTTTCACTGATGTAAACGCGCACAAATATTTTACCGCATAAGGGTTATCCTTTGAGTTTACTTGTAACCCAGGGTCATGTAAAAGATCCCTAAGAGAAATCCTTAGTCGTCGTTTTTCTTAAACCTTACAGGTGTACATATTGAAGAAGGAAGAGGGCGGACGCCACAAACCGTTTGTATCCAATTATCAGCCTCAGATGTACATCAGAACAGCAGACGTGTCGGCCACCATAAGCCTCCCGGAAGGGAAGGATTTTGTCATGCCCGGGGAAGATGCCTCATTCACTATTAAGCTCATGTTCGACATTGCGCTTGAGACTGGGCTCAGGTTTACCCTTCGAGAAGGCAGCAGGACTGTGGGGACAGGGGTGGTCACTAAGATAATCGAGTGATGGAATTAACTGTCATAACTGACCCCTCCCTAGTAATGTAAGCGTTGCGCCACTATTCTACAGCAGTCTTGTCACAAGAAAATATGTTTGAGTTTGCAAAACTGCTTTGCTTGATCATTTCTTTTTTCTTCTTTTTTTTTTAATTTCAAACTGAAAGAGATTATAGTGGAGTTGAGGAAAGCCAGCAAAAATTAAAGATGAGAAAAACCCTATTGCAATTTAGTTTGGAAGCTTCTTGACCTTTAAACTCGTATTAGTGACCAAGACAGAATTTCTCCTTTCAATATTAATACAATATCAAGCAGACAAGTAATGAGAATATAGAAAAATATCAATGTGGGAATAACTAGTTGATCCAATACCAAACTCTCCGAAGTAACATCATAAGAATTGTATGGTAGACAGTAAGGAGAATTGCTAATGAGATCGAACGATCAACTATTATTGGAGAAGGAACATCTACTTGTCAACCATTTTGCTGTTGTAAAAGGAAAGGACAGATCTCTGTGATGTTCTGCACTGTGACTAGCAGGTCTTTCTGTCAGATGACCTTATATAGACGGTTTTCTCTTAGGAGGCCAGAAAGCTGAAAACTTAAAAGAGGCTAATTGTTCTTGTCTTGTTCTTTGTATTCTCGTAATTTGCGTTCGACTGCTTGGAATTCTTTAGTTGTACTTATGCCTGTTTTGTAATTAAAACTGTTAATTGGTTAGGATTTGTTATTGAGCGTATTAGTGTACATTCATATCACGATGTATTTCTTCAAATTCGTGTGGGAGAAAATCGATCCTTGTGTTTTTGTATGAATAAAGAGTGTGGTATTGTTTACGCGAATAATTTATAGGGATTTACTAGTGAGGGGAAGGCTTAAAGGAACCGGCGTTTCCTGTAACGTATATCGTTATCGATCTTTGTGTTAATTAATTGTTCTTTAGTGGGTGCCCTCATGGGTCGGTACTAACGTAAGATATTAATTAAGTATTTTAAGAGGATCACGACGGCAACGGCAACGGCGACGGCAACGAGGACGTGGCCAAACATAAGAGCTACTGAATGGGCAAAACAATAGCTAATCACGTGCATTTTAAAACTCCCCGCCCAACAACAACGTGAAATCACCAAGATTTGCGTGGTCAGCCGCTGAGAACGGAAACCCCGACGGCAAGCTATTTAAATTTGGAACTTAACCCCTTCTCGCTAACGTTATGTTGAAGTCGAGGTGTGGCGCTGTAAGAGACAGTAAACACATCCAGCCATTCGCGAAATTCTGACTAAATTTACATTCTTTTTTAAATCGACGTCTTCCTTGCCGGTGTCGTCCTGATTGCCCAAGGTCCCTAAATTAAGTCTCCGCCGTGGTACTGAATCGCACCACCGTTGACCTTTCAACTTTCGATTTTTGGTTTGTGATCCTCTCGTGCCTTATACCAATTTCTTTGTAAAAAGGATGAAGGAATTGGAGACATCTGTCATGCCTGGATAGCCAAGAACTGCTGCCCTTCCTCCAACCAGTGTTTCCCTAAATTGACTTCCCTGGAACTTGATCAGTAAAATGCGTAAACCGATTTATGAGCCTGTAAGACAGATACTAGTTTCTGCTTTAAAAACATTCATTTTTTTTTTCAACATTGTGTTCTCTTTCGTAACATACCTTTAATATTCATCGTAAAAAATAAGTGAGGAAGTAACCGCACTTAAATCCGTGGGCACTTCGGTTTTGAAATGGTCGAGAGGAGTTCAGCTGCATTTCAATATCAGTTAAGATATTGTGAAAATGTTGAACGCAAAGCAAAAAAGAGACGCTTTGTATCGAGGAAGATTCCCTTGCATCCAAATGTAGCATATTCCCATGTCGAATCAAATTCAGCTCTGTTAGCCTTTCAGTTTACGCGGGGATGATTGAAGCCTTGTAAGTTAAATGATTTTTTTCAATATTCAAAGGCGCTCAATATTTGTTTGTCGGACTCAACCAAAACTCGACTTTTCCAAGGCGTGGGTAATTAGCGGAGGAGGAAAAATAAGGCGTATTAGCTTGAGGTCAAAGTTGAAATTTTTGTTGTCTTTTTTACTACCGGTGAATTTTTAAGAAGAAAAGGTTTTCTCTCCTAATTTCTCTGAGCATAGAATAAAAACTACCCTTGTTGACCGTTAACATCATTTTCAAAGTAAGTTTATTTTCGACGCGTCCTAAACCGTACCAGCGAGAAGAGTGTAATAATTTTGCATGTGAAATAAATCATGATAATGTGCCCACGAATAAATAATTTCCAAAACTTTCTTTGGGAAAGAGACTAAAGGTAATTCGGATCTGGGCCATCGGACACTCCTAGAAAAGAAGATTGTGTGTTAGTTAAACTGATAAACGAAGGTAAAAACGTGAACGCTTTTTTTTTTTTTTTTTCGAGTTTTGTTTTTTCGGACTGGAACAATTTGTTGTTATTGTGTAAATATTCACGGGTGCAGCGCATATATCTCTAATTAAAGCTATTGACACGCAATAGCTCGGCTTGCAGAGACATTCAGAAAGCAAGATATTTAGTTGTATAAATATCTGAGAGTTTGCGTGCAGATAGCGTTATTCATTACAGCTCTACAGTTGAGGCAAACAGCTCTGGAAAGCAAAGTGTCGAACATTTCAAGACAGGATCACAGGTAAATCTTGTTCTTTTTTATTATTATTGTCATTTTCGTGAAGGGAAATTATATATTTGATTTGATATGAAAACTTTTGGTGAACAGTGATTACTGTGCAAAAACAGTCGGTGTCTCGAAGTCAGAGTCGAGTGTGAGCATTTGAAACGGCGAAAAAATTTCAGTGTATTTATTGAATTACGATATTTAGATAGGCTTACCTAGTTCAGCTTTAAAGCTGGTTTAAATAGGGGGCTGTGAACAGACCACAACATCTACGCTCCCTACTCTTTGCGAGAATGTGTGGGTTCTTTAACGTCCGCTGTATATGATTTCTGATGCTCTCTCAAGACACTCTGTGTATTTCTAATGTTCTACAAAGCTCTTTTTAGGTTTTACTTTCTCATTTTTTCCCAGTTGATAATAGTTGTGATACTATTTTGTTATCAGTCCGAAATGCACATCTCATTTTAGTACTCGAAGGTTTCGCCCATACCGGAATTCGTTCTTACCACGACAAATTCATCCCCAAATGTTGAGAACTACTTGGCTTCACTTAAGGACACCACATGGTACCAAACAGAAAGCCTCAGTTTGACAGGATTACTGCCTTCGTTGTTGTTTTAAGCGCAGTTTTTTCTTCGTTAAATCAATAAAGAAACCAGGCTTGTATTGATTTCGCTCTGATTAAGGGCTAACGCTCGAAACGTCCGCTTTAGAAATTCTGTACGGTGGCAGATTTACATAACCACTCAGGTGATAATGCCATGCTATCCTTTAATACCCCGGTCGTTTCGTTACCAGCATTTTCTGTTATTTGGTAAGTTTGTTCCTAATAGACAAGATTAAAAAACTATCATTTGAGTTTTTTTTTAAGTTAAGTATCGATTTACGGTAAATCAACTCTGACTGAATAAAATTACCTATTTGGAACTTATTTTCTCAGGTCAAAGGTCAAACTCACCAACAAGTGACTTCCCGCGAATAGAAAATAATTTTTTTAAATACTATGATTTCATTTTTTTAAAGTTAAGTATCGATTTACGGTATATCGACTTTGACTAAAAAAAAAAACTATTAGGAACCTATTTTCTCATATCAAAAGTCAAACTCACCAACGAGTGACTTCCTGCGAAAGCATTCGCCTTTTGCTTAAAATAGATAATAATTTTGCCCAAAGAAAAATAATTAAAAGAAAGCAAATCTCGTTTGGTCGTAAAAGCAAGATTTCCGCACAGGCCCACACTTCATTATGCATACAGTTCTTGGATAAAGAAACCAGCCGCGAAAACAATATATTGACTTTGGGAAAAAAGATTTTTCTACAATAGTATGAAGCTGTGTGGAAATCCGTTACCGTCGAAGCTTTAGAAATAATTTGAAAAACTCTGTGGTTAACCTCGATGTCGTATTTGTTGAGGTGGGTCGATCTTAGTGGGAGCGAACTAATGATGGGTCCAATACCACACCACCCACCACTCCGCTATTATGTGACACTCGCTTTGAATACTGACAAGTACTGCCCATGTACTTCTCTTTAAACTCATTATCGATTGATCGAAATAATGACTCTCCGGCTTTGCGATCCGTTTCGTAGCGTGATAACGAGCCCGCTAATGCACCAAGGTAGAGCAGCGGTATAAGCCACATTGCGCAAGATGCGTAAGAGATTTGTACTTCTCTTCACCTATGTGGTTGACAACAGATTAAATTGTAATCTCTTGCAACGTGTTGAAGCTGTTTGGGGAAATTACTTAATGTTCACTCTAGGGAATGAAAGGGTTAAAAATTGTTATAAGACAGCGCTTTATTCACATAAATCAGTGAAATCATATTGTAATAATTATTTTATTTTACAGCATTGCTGATTTATTAAAAAATGTTTTTTATTAGTTTCAAGTTGGTAATGTTACTTTGTGTGTTGAGGTCAAAAGGATGTTAAATGGCAAAACAAAATATATGAATCATGAAATGAAATGCTTAACTTTGAACTGATAGAATTTTCGGGGGTAGACCATTGCGAAATCAGATGCAGGGATTTCTGCACGGACAATGACGTAGATACTGAACTTTCTCGGACGAGCACTATCTTAATGTTTATCTAGTCAAGAATAGGCCAGCACTCACAATAGGCGACTCGTCGTCACAACACAGAGCAAGGAAAAGTTGCGGCATTGGTGATAACGCGCTTCGTGAGATCAGGATAATTTCTGTACGTGGGAATATCAGCTCCTGTAACATAATTAATAAATATTGAGCAAATCTAGCCTCAGGCTTGTTGGTAATGAATATCTATAATTTTATCACTCTGCGTAAACATATTCATGTCCTTTTCTGCCTGTTTCTAAGCTAAACTGTAGGTGTACGTCTCTATTGGGAATATCAATATTGAACATCAAACACGGAAATATTTTTTGAAGCTAATTTTAAATCGTAAAGGGAATCTACATATTTTCGGTCGATTCATCTCCTTCACAAATAAAGAGCAAAGGAATTTTATTCTTTCCAGACTTATTCTTCATCAGACTCATCCATGCATATCCTATCATGACTTCGTAAATTAAAAATCTTAGGCTTGAAAAGATCGCTCAAGTTCATTCGGTTGAGCGATTCGAGTTCAAATTATCGAAAGAAAAATCGACTAGCATACCTTTCATAGGGTCAAAATCATAGCAAACATTTGCCTTCGTTTTTAAAATGTAGTTTAACGTGCTTTTAGGTCGTAACTTACGTCCAGTTTTCAAGCCAGACTTTCAAAAATTAAAATTTTTTAATTTGTTGTCGCCTGCGGTCACAATAACCAGGAAAATCAAACTTGTATTTATTAACGTGTTTAAATAAACACCACACCGCAATAGCAGCCTGTGGTTCCACTTTATTGCGTTCAAACTTGTTGGTATGTTCCACATCGGATACAAGGTATGATGAACTAGGATACTTTGAGATTAATATTATACGCTATAGCTATTTTTTTTCGTCTACGTAGCGAGTTGAACGATGATTCCGACTTATGTATGCATGATTATAAGTCGCTGTTAGACTTGACTTAACGTATGTTACATCTCTATTATCCATATTACAG